TGTAATTGTATTTAGAAGCTGTGATTTTAAGTACTACATAAAAATCAGTGTGCATGCTCATTATTTCTCCGCAGGGCTGTATCATCACTCTCAAGATCTCCAAAACGACAACACAGGAATTCGGCATACTGCATCCCTTCACACACATTCACCATTTGTCAACACTGATGGTGTTTGTGAGGGTTAAATAAGATAAAGAGGGGTTTGTGTAATTTATAAAGACTAACACACTTTTTCCAAATAAGACCAAGGCTAAGACACACACTCATCTAGTCAGGGTTGTTTACTCTGCATTTCAATTGAAGGAACCTCTCTATTTTACTTCAAAAGCCTGTGACTGATCCATCTTTGTCCACTTCTATTCCCAACAGGTGAACAGCTTGGAGTGAAAGACTGAGGGTGAGTTCTCATTCAAAATAAAGTTGCAGAGCCTTTTGTTGCAAACTTTTGTGAAATTTTTCATCAGGCTTTGATGCTTTGACTGATGCTGTCATGTATGTGTATGCAGTTCGAACACCCTACTATTCCTATGTGTTGTCGAGTTAGCGTAAATACAGTTTAATGTAAGGGAAGGGTAACACCAGTGATGAAATAGTCAAATAGTTTGATATGTCTCAAGTGCGGGTTAAACAAAGGGAACATCCCCCCAAAATATTATCAGCATTGACTACAATATAGCTTCTGGTCTTGAAATTCAACCAGGGATTTAAAGCTGTAAACCCAGACAGATTCATTGTCTTAAATAAGCTTATAGACATGGATAAGAAAATCCAAAGTCATTCATATAACAGCACTGCTCTAGTTTTTCATTGTGTGAAGGCATGAGGGAGGGAGAAAGTGGGTTAAGGGGAAAGATAGATGAATGCAGAGGGGCTGAAAAATAAATGCAAAGCTGTTAGGTCTAGGGGAAGGGATTAGTCCATTAGTCCCTGCACACTCACAAATGATCTAACACACGGTCTAATCTGAGCCATTGCACGTGAATTATTGTGTGGTTGAATAGATTGATATACAGCAGCCTCAGATATGTTCTTTCTGCTAAGAGTTAGAGAGAGAGAGGAAGAACAGCTGATCTGACAGATCTAACCCTGACCTCTTTGGTTCTCTCGTATGTCAAATAAACCTTGAAGGGGACACCAACTCCTGCACTAGTCGTCAAATATATTTAGCAACCCAGGCACTTTACTAAGTTGTTTTTTTTTTTAACTTAAAGGTGACGTAGTTAGGATCTGAGGAAGTGTCAGTTTTGGGGAGAAATCTTGAATGTAAACTCTACCCCTCCCAAACAGTTTTCCCCTCAGCTCCTCCTCTACCCTCCCTCTCTGCTCCAGCAAGCCCCGCCCGCAAACAGATGCTCCTGTTCGCTCGTATCGATATAATGCAGATAAATACTTTAGATAATTACAAATGGGGCCCAGTCAACGTGAAAATAAAAAGCATTGGTGCTACTGTAGATGCAAACAGATGACCAGCAAACACAATGTTTGCAGGACTTCTACAACTAGGATAAATAAGTGACATACTCCAGGACCCGAGGTAAACAGTTCAGCGGCACTACAACACGCAGCAGGTCCCGTTTGACAAGAAAAACTTCTGTAACAGACACTTGGCTTACTTTGTTAAAGCAGTTTACCTGTCCAGCAAAAAGGTTACAGGGTCTGTAAGATCCTGAAGCATCCCCCTTCGTTTATGCTACATTGATGTTGACCAGGCTTTTTAGCTACCTCCTTTTTAAGGGCCTGTTATTCCACCAGAGTCTCTGGTATTTACTTCATTTTATTGCTTGTGTTGGCAGTCGAGGCCAAAAGAGGATTCAGAAATTTCCCGTAGTTTCCGGTTGGTTTCTACTGTCCAATATTGCAGCACGCTAACTTTGTTTGGGCTCGTGAACATTACAACCAACCAATTACAACAGCCTCACAACCAATCAGGTTGGGGGAGGCAGAAAATGTCTTTGTTAACAGTCCCGAAGAGCAGGCCGCTCAAAAATGTTAAAATGTTGACTACACAGACATAACAAAACACAGCAATATCGTTATATTCCCAAATGTCATCAGTAACTTATAGTTATTGACTGATGTTAAAAGCTGTTTTGTGAATACACCGCAAAAAAGATGCGTCTTTAGCAGAATCCTCCCTACCCCACCTAATAATAATCATGATTAATAATTCATTTCAGTAATTAATAATCATGAATATGTCCTAAATTAAAGCATGTCATACCTCAGAGCTTACCTTCACTTAATCACAAGCACTGATCATATATTTAGGGTCAACTTTTTTAGCACAACACCACAGCACCACACCAGACATGACACAGTTATCCTCACAAGATGAGCAGTTCTGCAGTAAGTAAGCAGTCTGCTGATCCCTCTGTGTCACATTGATAAAGAGCTTGATATTTCTCCAGTCAAAAAGAGTCTGACTGAGGAAGCTGGATCAGTGCTGTCTGCTGCCGTCTTGGTGGTTTCTCTTTGAAAAGTGCTTTTTCCACACGGACTTCTCTTATTCTGCTTTACTCTCAGGCTCTCTTCATTTCTCCACCTGTGTCTGCCCTTCCTGGATAAACTGCTGACATCGATGTAAAATCAGCAGTTTTTCTGCCCATTTAAATTTGGCCAGCTCATGACTGTGTGCTTTAAAATAACCCTTGCACACCTCCTCAACACCCCAGAGGCTGAAGCCCAAGCAATGAGGCAATTACATTTTCCTCTCTTGTAGTTTCTCATCATAACACAGGTCGCGCTAGAGGACCCATCAGCATTAGTATACTAAAATGACAGAGCACAAACACTCACACAAATATACACACATGCAAACACACTCATATTTGATCATAAAGCTTGGCAGTGCCTGGCGTGCAACAGCAGCACAGCAGGACTGAAACCCACTTCCTGTCTCGTCTTGAAGGTTTTTTTTAACATGAACTATAACTAATCAGGTATTGCATCCTCTGTTAAGTTGTCAGTCTTTGCAGCCTCTAGACCACAAGAAAAGGCTTTAACAACCACAGCCATACATTAAGAGACCCATAAAAAATGTCCTTTTAACCATTTCAGATACTTCCGTGGACAAATTTGACTTATTCATGAGGCTGGCTCAGTGCATTCTCATAAAAAGTGTTTGGGTTGAGGCTTTAAACGTGAAAAAAAAAGTCCACCTCACACAAAAAAATCTTAAATGTTTAATGATCCCGTCTTTGTGGGTTTTTCTCAGGTCTAATGAGTCCAATGATGATTTGCCACTTTGTGTCAAGAGGCAATTTGAGGACAGCCAGATCGTACTGTGTGATTCGTGTTTCTAAAACTAAGAAAAAAACAGGCTTAACATTCAAACTATGTTGTGGTTCCAAGAGGAGCAGCCCACCAGCTGTGAGTGAGAGAGGACAGCCACATCGAGCTCCATTAAGTATTGTTATGTAACCCTGCCAGTGTTGCCACCGATGGTCTGCCAGGCAGGACAAGTCATTAAGCTGCTCAGCCTGTGACCACAAGTTAACTGGGTCTAAATTTGCCAGCTTAGGCTTATCCAGGCAGCGATACATTGACCGACTGCAGCAATGTCTGAGGGATGATGGTAGACTGCATGCTTTACTCGGGGACAAGCGATTCCTAGCATCATCCACGGAGAGAAAGTGCACAGTGTGGTGAAAGGCTGATGTTGAGGGCAAAGCATTCCAGCTTTGAGGGTAACACACAGCAGTATTTCGACATTTGTGACTGAGGTCTGTAGGGTATAACCAATGACAAGCTGATAGCAGCAGAGATTCCTCCCTGAGCTGTGACATTTCTGACAGGCTTGGTGGGACTCCAGGCTCAGCTCTTCCTTGGTTGTGTCTCACCGAAAAACAACTCAATGCCATCCACAAGACTTTTTCCACCCTGTAGTCAACTCAGCACAGCTTCTCCTAAAAAATAAAAAAATTCAAATTTTTTCCTTCATCAAACACTGATTATGGTAATTTACCCCTTTTGTTTTACAGCTGACATATATGTATATAATACAAGAAAATCAGACATACCTGATGGAGATGATTTTATATTGCTACACATGTTTAAAATAATTTACACTTGAGTTTATCATTTAAGTGAACACAGCAAAACATAGATACTGAGTTACTTTAACTATAAGGTAATCAAAGTGTCAGTCAAAAGTTGTGATTTTAGCCTCATTTATTGAAAGGCGCGTGAACTGTACTTCCTCCAACTTCCTACTCAAGTCCCATTTTGTCTAACTTTACCTTTACTGTAACTGTTCAGCCCAATGTCAATAACAAAGATAAGCAGGCTTGTGTTTGATCTCCTTTATGCGTCAGGGTTTTGCTAAAGTACAGTATATAGACTGTATTTTTCAGGCGATAATGTGCACCGGATTATACGGCACACTGTGAATTAACGCGTCTTTGTTCACACATAAGGCGCACTGTGCTTGTTGCCAGCACATACTCTGGGCCTGGGCTGCCTTACATGACTGCTGTTCTAGTTTAGACATTACAGTCAGGCAGTCTTGTAGACTGCTCAGGGATTCTTTTACAGGGCCGATGAGGTAGTGACACAGCGTATTGTATTGTATTATTGGTCAGTAAGCACGACAATTAATCATACATAAGGTGCACTGGATTATAAAGCGCTGTCAATTTTTGAGAAAATTTAAGGACTTAAAGTGCGCCTTATAGTCTGAAAAATACAGTAAGTTAAATGTCGTGTACCAGCTTGTACACGTTTTTGTAATATTTATAATATTTCATTTTAAATGTTCGTACATAGTTTAGTTTACCAGAGTCAATTTCCTCTTCACATACTTGGCCAATAAAGCTGATTCTAGATTCTAATTCACATGATCACCTGCTCACTCCACATTACCCTGACTAATGCTCTTTTCTGTTGTTATTGTTATAATCTGATGAGGCTGGTGACTTGCTGGATTGGACTTCCTGGATCTTATTTGCACAATACACTCCCAATCATCCCGGCACTGCTGACAGACCCCATATTTTTAACCCTGGGTTGTTTACTGCCATTCATTTCAGAAAATAAAACTCCAAAATGGAAATGAAACATATACAGACAGTATTTTTGCTAAGTTAGGCCTCTGAACCCATAAGCCAATATTATGAGCTACTCCAGAGTCTTGAAATGTTTGATGAAGTCCACTGAAGCATCTTTATCAAAAGTCATTTAGTATGCCGTGGGCAAACATCAGCGTGATGCTCCTACCTTGGATGAGGTCAGAGACTGCACTTGATGAATCCACAAGTAGAAATGAGGCAGACATTAAGAGAGTGGGAGGAAGAGAGAACGATTGTGCTCCTTCTGTCCATTCACTACCTTTGGATTAGTCAAGTGTAGGCATTAGGTGGGTTTGTGCTTTGTGGGTCTGAGTCACTGATGAAGAGGTGTGTGTATGTTTGTGTGTGGGCAATACAGTACAAACTGCCTCTGACCTGAGAGAGAGAGAGGAGGAGAAACAGACAGCAGTAAATTATGATTATTAGACTATCACTGGTATCTTTCTGTACAACTGCTGCATATGCGTGCCTGTGTTTATGCTGGGAGGGATAACTGCTACCAGTGTTTTATGATGCTGGTGTAGACCCTCCAGCTAGACCTTGGTTACATTAAGCCTCATACATCACCAACAGATGATACAACCGCATTAACAATAGGAAAGTCTTTCCTTTGCATTCAGAAATAAGATCTGCATCCAAACAATAGCGTTATGAAAACAATCTACATCTGCAAAATCAACTGAAAATGCTGATGTATGCATGCTGGTGTATCCCTTACCCACACATGGAGGAGCTCTTTAACAACAGCATGTGTATACATGTCACTGTTTTTTAAGTTTGTGTTTTCACCTGCCCAAAATGCAACAAAATATGATCATTTTCCACCAAGTCTTCTTCCCTGTAAACAGCCTCTTTGAATAAGCCAATGCAGACTTTATTACAGCACACAAATTGCACTATACTCCTGCAAAGTCTCTGAGGTCTACAGGACAGCAGCTAAGACCAGACTAAGAACCAGGGGTGGCCGTGCCTTCTCTGCAGTGGCCCCCAAATTATGAAATGAGCTCCCCCTTCATGTTAGATTGTTCCCAACTTTAACTGTTATAAATACCGTCTACCCAGCATAAGAGTTATGTGGTCTGTCTCTGTCTATTCTTTTATTTTTTTTAATTTCCTTTTACAGTGTTTATATTTCTAATATTTCTAACATTCCCTTTAATGCCTGACACCAAAAATTATGGCCATTAATTCAAAATTTTTTTTGAGCTGAAATTTTTATTTCACTTACAACTAAAAAGCAAAAAAATAAAAATAAAATGTCCTTAAAATTTACAAATATATTAATTATTTTATTTGATACATTAGATGTTTTTGGAAACTGATAAACCACGGGAGGACATTTTAATCATATATCGGACTGTATTCAGGTGTTTTTTTTTTTTTAGTGATTTGTTGATAATATTGATTTGATAGAAGTATCATAAAAGTATGTATTAAATATGATACAAAAGGCATTAAAGGGATAAATTGTTTTTATGTGGTTTTTATTATGAGTCTTTTATTTAACATTTCATGTTTCTTTGTGTTTTTTAACTTATTTTACAGCACTGTGCAGCACTTTGTTAAACTTAATTGTTTTTTTAAATATAAATAAAGTGGATTGGACACAAATGCACAAACACACTAAAGACTTTACAGTCAACTCAACAATCTTGAGTCTTCTATGCTACCAAACTGTGTGCACAAGTGGTGGCGTACGCTAATATCTAGAGGGGAAAACCAAGACAATTTTACATTGAGAGTTAAGCAGGGAGAAATTACACGCATGTTTTAAAAAAAATCAGCAGGACAAGAATCCACTTACAACAGACAGTGATTAATGAGCTTTTGCTGGAGCTGTGTAACACAACATCTGCTGCCACAGGGACTTCAGCACGAGCCGGAAACAATATGGCCTGCTCGGCACATTATACGGTAGCCTCATGGATTGAAACACAGAGGCACACTTCCACGCACACACACACTCACATGAGCATATACACAAGCACATACACACACATGCACATGCTCACACATAGGAGTCTGCCTTCATTATGCTGGTTGTAACCTCGTTTTGTCCCAAACCACCCCAATCTACACCCCTTCGTGAATATATATACACACACTCACCCCCCACACACACTACACATGACCCCTGCAGACCTACACATATGCCCATTATACCTTCTGTATCCATCATTTCCCTCCAAGACAACCTGCAACCTTAAAAACTCCCAGAATACTCCATGAAGACAACCCACTGACTGTATTCTGCAAACACTGACACCGTGGACAGTATCATAGACTGAAACAATAACTGCTTATTTTTATGTTGCCTAGGAGACTGGAAAACAGCAATATAATGTAGGGTTTTCAAATGAGACACAAAATATCTACAGGAGAGACATTTTAAGGAAGGAGACAAAATGTAGACACACTTTTAAAGCTAGCAGCTGATGGTGACTTTTAAAAAAATCCACGTTTTGATAAGAAGTCTGATTATTTCTCAATAGAAAAAAGGAAACTGCTCAAAGTCATTTAAAGTAAGCTCTGTCTCCATGTAGGGCTCTTATAAATACAATAGTTTGATCAGCAGATTTTTGCATTTGCCCCTCTGTGTCTGTCCCCCTTAGCACTCCTGCAGCTCTCTTGATGTATGCGGCTGGCTCGCGGTCAGATGTGCGTGGGTGGAGGTTTGTGTGATGTGCTTGTGGCCAGGTCACCTTGTGTGTGTGCGCATGTGTGTGTGTGTGTGTGTGTGTTGGGGTGTGCTCTGCATGTCTGGTAGGGAGGGGGTTTGACCGGCTTGGCATTTATGTGATGACCTCCGCGGGGTTCACATCAGAAGACAGAAGTTCAAGCCAAATGGCGAAACAAAGGCGAGGCGTGGCTGTGAGTTTTATGGTGCCTGCAGTGTGTGTGTGTGTGCGTGTGTGTGTGAGTGGTGGGGGTGCATGTGCGTGCACGGCCATAGGGATAAAAGAGGCACCCTGAGGACAATGGAAGCGTGTAGCAGCTGACTATGGGGGAAATTATTCAAGAAACAAATTAACATTTCACCAGACCACTTGGGACCCTGGCTGTTAATCTCACATTGATACCTTCAAATGGTCTGCAGCTCTTTCCTGGAAATTTACTCTGTTTCACCAACATAAACATCCAAGATTAATTCTGATTGATTTCATGTTCAATAATATCACTGGACACTCCTCTGGGGCTCTTAAGGCACCTGATGAAATATAACAAGCTTGTATCTCATCTTCTTTTCAGTGCACATCTTTCATGAGCATGTAAGGGAAAAGCTTCAGTATATCTCAGGCTTGTATTTATGTCCTTATAGTGATCATGTTTTGTTATTATTAATTCACATCTGACTTTAGATGTCAGAATGAAAAATACCTGTGTGGTATATGTTACCAGTTTTGTTCAACCAATGGTTCACAACTCAAAGATATCAAATTTAAAGTACTCAATAAGTGAAGTCTACTCTGGTGATGTTATTACTTACTTTATTTTCAGTTAATACTGTGTCAGCTCAATCATGGAGTGTCAACAAAAAAATATGTTATTTTATTAAAAGTCAAGATACACCTTTAAAAGGTTGGTTTAACTGAAATATTATTAAAAATTTATGTTATATTTTTGTCGATATGGAGGATGGAGCTCAGGATTGTGAAGATGATGATGAGTTGGCTTGTGTTCTGTTATGTATTTATTGTTTTAAACCTGTGAGTAATCTGTAAGCTTATCATTTTTAATGTTTTATATAAAAAATAATAATAATCACTCAGTAGGAAGATATTGTTTCTTAAGTAGTAAAGTCAGAGATGCAGTCTGTTCTCAATGAAATGGATCAACTCCATTTGTTGGTGTTTTACTGGGTTGTCTTGTTGAACTGGGCTAATTTCAATGGTAATGTTGCTGTATAATAAGAGAAATTCATATTCAAGACATCTAGAACAAAGAGAACAACAACGGCCAGTGCACGATGAAGATTAATTTCCTAAGTATATGTCTTGGTATCCAGAGAAACACACAGCCTCAGGCCAAAACAGCCTCTGGCAAACACCGAATGTGAGAATATGCAGTGATTGTCTTCCCATGCAGGGTTTAGAGAAGAACTACGTCGATTTGGAAATGGCACATCAGGGGAAATGGTGCATAACAGTACAGTAAATCATCACTATGAATATATATGAAGCCTCATTTACTTGTATAATCTTACAGTGACAGTAGGTGATGAAAATGATCGATTTTCTACTTTTCAGCGTGTAATGAGCAAAGTTTAAACATCACAGTGGGATACAGCTATTTGCTGCTCTGGCCTGCTGCTGCACCTTGCACTTTGTTGTTGGTGTAATATCTCATAAGATACACACAGACAGCTCACAATTTCACCTCTAACATTTAACAACCAGAGAGAGAGAGAAAGAGAGAGAGAGTATAGAGCTGTGTACAGTCTCAGATAATTAAACCAGAGGGAAATTATAACAGCCCTCTCTCTTTCTCTCTGGCTGTCTCTCTCTGTCTTGTTCTCTCACTCTCTTACTCCTTGTCAGCAAATCAGCTTGGCTAGAGATGAAAATGGTAATCCGAAAAAAAAAAGAGAAAAGAAGAAAAGAGAGGAGAAGGGACAACACAGAGACACACACTGGCAGTTGGGCCACAAAGAGGAGATGAAAGCGATATTTTCTGTCTATTAACTTCCATCTGTGGTGGGTTTTCTGCGTGTGTGTATGTGTGTGTGTAAGGAGAGGAAATTGAGTGTCAGCTGTTAAGGGCTGCTTAGCTGCAGCAGGTACCAGGAGCATTGTACAGCAGACACCGGTACACTAATTCATAGTTTTTTATTAGGAGCAGACCATTATTGTCTTTCACCCCCTGCCCACACACAAACACATACAGAGAGAGAGAAAGGCACACACACACACACAGTGAGAGAGTCCAAAGGGTATAATAGTTTGTGGTCCTGATAGCCTTTGTGTAATGTGTGTCATCACTGGGAGCAACACAATCAGGATCTGCTTATGCACGTGTGTATGTGTGTGTTTGTTTGAGTGTGTGTGTTGAGGGATCAGAGAAACGCTGTAGGAGTAAAACTCCCACTGAGATGCGTTTTACAATTCATATCAAAGTAGGATGGCACCGTAGAATCACAACCACAAATCACACAAATCAGCCAGGATGGGATGACGAGGGGCCTATTAACCCCTACGCACACTCGTTTTAAACGTTTACCATCAGGCACTTACACGCACACATACACGCAGCAGAGGCTATTGTCCAGACAACAGGGGAAAGGGGCTGCTGGAGAATGGGAGGGGTGTTTCCATGGTGACCAGGGTGACAGAAGGAAGAGGGGTCCGCCTCCTGACCTTCATTGAGAAGGTGAATGACTGTCTCTAAGCTGAGGCAGGACAGCTAGCAGTCACAATGCAGGAGACAAGAGTGAGGCAGCTGTGAGGCCGGTGCGGCTGTGGACTGTGAGAGCTGGTCAGTCAGAGGCTCTTATCATTCACATCAGAGGACATTATGCAAATAGCATCAAAGACTCCTGCCTTTGTGTTTGCTATTCCAACCTAAGGGCATTATTCTTAGGGATTTCACATTTCAACCGTCCTTCTAGCACTGAACTTTCAAGGCATTTGCATGAATATATATAATGAAAAATAATATATAATTCCATATAGAGATGATGACGCATGGCCAAGCTACTAAAGGTCCACAGTCCACATAGGCACTGAAACGACAAAGACAGAATAATATAACTGGAGCTAAACTCAGTTTGCAGAACAGACTGAAGCGTCAGCGTTTTCTGAACTTGAGTGTGTATTTGTGAAAAGACAAACTCTTTATAATATCATTTACAATTGTTATTAAGTTTTATTTTAAAGGGAAAATTGTTGTCTTTGGTCCTTTCTGTTTTCTCAGGCATTTAAAAACCATCATATTTACCAAAAAACAACATATTTACAACAGCTACACATGGAGACAGACCTATGAATAAGTACAAGTTAGCATATCTCAGTGTACCAATAGATACACAGGTACTATTAAATAGATTTCCTTTACTGTAAATTAAAATTGAACCACTCAAAACTAAGTTCTGATCCTAAAATGATTTTAGTATAGAGGGTTGTTTTCCTTGTCATGATAACTGGCCCCACGTCATCAGTAAGTGCACGCTTTTGACCTAAATTCATGTTTTTATGGTGTTGAGTGACTTGGAAGACAAAAACAATGGACTCATATTACTCCTAACACTCACTGTGATACCTGCAGAACAAAGACAGGGGCTCACTTGGACATTTGTTTATGACAAACAACGAGTTTCTCATTTACACCATGAAACTGGAGATTGAAGAACTCTCTCTGACAAGTGATATTCTCATGAAAATTGAATATTTCAGTAGGGGAGAAAAGGCTGACTTAAACCTGTAGGAAAGTTGAGCCATCTCTTGTTTCTTGGCAACAGTCATCTGTTTTACTCACCAAATGATGGAGCGATGCACATTGAGTAAATAATAGCAGCAGGCACATTTAACTTTAAAACAGTGTTTGTCTTTTTTCCCATCAGAGTGAACAGTTCATGTTTAAGGAGTAATGGCTGTTATGTCTGAACAAAAGGTTTTCAAAATTTCAATCAGTTACAAAATGAGACGATTGTATATTGTTAGCATGATGCCATCCCTAAATGCTGTCCTGAATGGCACAAATGTATCAAGATGGATGGTAAGTTAAGCCAAGAGGCCTGGGGACAGATGAGCCAGTGGCTCAGGAAAAGCTATGTATACCGCCTCATTATGACTGCCATTGGCTGAAGTAGGCAAACATGATTCTATTATCTTTTCTCTTTGTGCAGTTTATAAAAATGATTTTGTGTTGTTTGATCTTGAGTCGGTGATATAGTTTCGACATGGTCTTGGTGAGAAAACTAGCATTTAAAGCTGTATACTTTGAACTTTGTGTATAGTCTTTCAACACTGAGTTGCTTTGATGTAGCAGCAGGAGTGAGGTAATTCATTTCCTTGTTGCTTAACTTATCCTCTACCAAGGCTCAACACCCCCTTTCTGAGGGATAAGTTGATCTCGGAGACAACATTTTTTTAAGACTTCTAAACCAGTTTTAAATAGATTTCAGAACCAAAGTGATTACTCCAGGGGATGCACCACATCCTGATATATGTCTGTCAGTTGTAGTTGGAGACATAAGTGTCACACCCTTCATTAAAATGCTTCAAATGATCCACTCGCCTCTATTTACTCCATAAGCACCTTAAATGTACTATCATCCCCTTCAAGTCTTAAGGAATGGCAAATGGCACAGACTAACATCCCTCTAGTAAATCACTGCATCTAATACAGAGATATCAGCCAGCACCACAGAAGAAGAAATAGTGCAGGTCATGGCAATAACAGGAGAGGCGATGATAAAAGACGTTGTTTGGATGATGTTTTGGATAGGGTGTAGGAGCCAAAATATATTTGTTGAAAGTATGATTTATATAGGTTCGTCACTTCCAGGAATCGTCACTGAGGGTTGTGGTTTTGGGATGTTTGGTGGGTTATTTAAATCTCACTGGTGTAGTCAAACAATTGGTTGTGGTAAGCTCTGATCATTTTCTGTTGACCGTTTCACTCATCCTGTTTTAACCTCATCTCATCTTATCACTTTTTCATTCGAAGGCAAAAGTTTTGGGCCTGGATCAGTGTATTTTCTTTTCTTTTTTGGAACAATAAACCACTTTTTAACACTCAAACTGGACTGATGATTGAACGAGTCACAGATGCAAGCGAAACTAAACCCCAGCTGCCTTTTTGTCGAAGGAAAGCAGTCGCTACATAGGGTGTAGGCAAAGATGGAGAGGAAAAAGAGGATCCAAGTGAACTGCTTTACTTTGCATGAGTCATCCAACACACCTTAGCATTTCATACAGAAGCATATTGACAGTACAATGCGCTCACCCTCTCTTCCTCCTTTTTTTGGTTAGTCAAGCAGCACAGCACACATCCACACACACAGTTGGTGTTTCCCTGTGAAAGAAATGTCTCAGTGTACAGACGCAAGCGCAAACTAGATTTAAAAAAAACAAAAACATTTAATTCAATTTCTAATCCCCTCCTATATGCCTTTTATTGGATCTGAAAAGATGCCCTTGACCAACACAGCTGTGACTCACTGCAGTGGAGACATTCGTCATCCGCTGAATAGAAGGGTCAAAGAGTAAAAGCAGACTAGAAGTGGAGTACAGACATTGAAGCTGTTTACAGCATTCAGTGAGTAATGCTCAAGGTGCACAGAGTGAAAAACGTAAGTGTCTGCTTCCTCGCTGAAGGACAGGCACTGTGACGTGATCACCGCCTCAAGAGCAAGCAGTCTGCTCTGACGCTGACGACATCACGGGTTTCCTGCTTCTTATTGAATCTCATTTGTATTCATATCGAGTCTGCAGGTGCAAAATGCATTTAATTTTGAGAATGGTCAGAGCTGTGTTGAAAAGAGATCAACTATATGGTTAAAAGGTGCAGTGTTTAGTATTTAGTGACATCTAAGAAAACAGAGCTGTACATTCCAGTTTGTTTCAATCAGTGTTTGATGAACTGAACTTAAAAAATATTTTTTTTTAATCATCTTGGAATGAGCCTTTTGTATTTTCAAAGAAATATATCTCTGTCTTTTGATTGTAAAAGCTTGACAAGTACTACTTGCCCTGCATCACAGGAGTTTTTAGTCCTTCACCACCATTAGGGGTGAGCAGGGGATTGTTTCAATCTAGAGTCTGACAGCTGTGCCTTTCTGTACTTTTATTACATTTGCTCAGGAGCACAGGCATATTCAAGCAAACAAAACAATAGTTATGAACAGAATTGCCCTTACCAAAAGACAAAATTAGGTCAACAGTAGCAGGTTGTTTTTTTCACAAAAAAAAAAATAAATAAATAGAAATAAGTGTTTAAATACTCTTGGCCTGACTCACCTAACCTTATAAAGAAAAGCACGCATATATTTGTACAGTGTCATGAAATTAAATTTAGCATGTATTTCTATTGCAGAGACGTAAAAGTTGGCATCCTTCTCATCTCACAATGCAAGACAGTAAAAGAGTTTCATAAAAATCTCACTTCTTTAAAAATGCTCTGGGATTACCATGTTCCTATAATGTTCTGCAAATTAAGATTGAATCTGTCTACATTATCTCAGTCTCTTAAGTTTAAATGATGTCTTAAATGTAGATCAAGAAACAGGCTTTCTTTGGTCTAAAGAAGGCATCACTGTTCCCACTCCTCCTCCATAAAAAGGGGAGGCTGAATCCACACTCCACCACAGCTGACTAAATGAGACGGAAATCTTCAGGGAAGGGTGACAGTTGGGAAAGGCTGCCCGTATTACTCTGCAGCATAGATTACAAACCAATAACAGGGCTCGTTTCCCTCCTCCTGCCCCAGAGGATTGGCCTCAGGGGTCAGAGGGGCGTGTCACTGTGGTTAAGCCCCAGCAGGAAAAGGCGTGTCGGGCCTCTCGATGCCTGCCTGACGACACAGTCTTGTCTGTTGTTAAAGCAACTATCCATCTTATAGGTGGGTACATACACACTCAGACAGACACGGTATAGATATAAAGTTGGATGTTATGGAATTGACATTGGAGCCCATCCAGTGCAAATACTGATCCATCATTAAGTCATAAACTGACAAATTGACCCGTTTTATTTCTTTATAAATAAAAACCTCTGACAGCACTTTTATTTGTGGAATTAAAAGCTTGTATACAGAAATATTTTATGATATTTTTGAATGTTTTGTGAGGAACAATAGCCCCTAAAAAGAGCAAAACTTGTTCATTGTGGAAGGATTTTCATTGGTCATGTTATGGCCAAATAACATGACCAAATATGGCTAAATCTAAACCCTACAAGTCTCTACAGTAATTCATTTTGTTGACAGTTGAAAGACCTCTGCTTTTCATCACCATCGAGAAACAGACCCCAAAAAGCACGAGTGTGGCAACCATAGTTTAATAGCAAATGATTCATATGATACAAACAAGTTACAACGAAGGAGTGGGATCTTCTCTGCACATATCAAGTGATCAGGCACAACACTTCTATCAACAACATTTGCATTTTAAAGTCATGGCCATTATTAGACACCTGAGTTGATACAAAATACCTGTAACTATGTGTGGTACAAATGAATGTTGCACAATGACAGAGAAACATTACAAAGTAGAGTGTCAGAGTTCATATATACTGTATGTACAACTTAAAAAGGTTATTCCTTTGTGCACAATCAGAGATCTGCCTCACAGTTCCTGAATATATCTGACAGCCAGCTGGAGGTTGAAAGAACCTGAGCAACTGCTCATTTATTGTTTATGCATCAGCAGGTACATTAAAGACAAATGTGTCTCCTGGTAAATTAAAATGAATTTCTTCCCTCTGCTCTTAAATGAGGTTTCACCATCAAGAAAGTAGAAGACTGGCTGAGTCAGGCAGGTAAGTAGAGATAAAACCTTCTCCACGCAGATGCTCTCCAGAAACAGGATCACAATATTCAGAAAAAAATCTGTGGGTTGTCATCATATTCTGCCAAAACAGAGTAGGTACCAAGTTGTCAAACACCCTTCTGGATCTGATCTTAAGGGTCATGGGTAAAAAGTCTGATGTTATGGTTCAGCAGCCATTAGGAAGGGGCATCTTCTCCATGGATAGCTTTGTACTTGGACATCTCCTCGGGAAAGACTTTGCCGAGTTCCGAAATAAGGAGGCTTTTGAATTTCTGCAGTAAAAAAATAAAAAAATAAATAAAATAAATAACAACATATAACTATTTTCAATTTTGACTCCAGTCTTAATCATTTATTGGTTCAGTTACTGCTTGACGTAGTCACTTCCACAGAGAAAATCCAAAGTTGATGGCCCTTTGTTTGAGATAAACGATACGGGGAGAGTGGGGTAAGATGAGCCATTTTTCATATTTCGGATCACTACATCAAGGCAATCATAGTTTTGTCTCTAACTCGTGTATCTGCATATTTTTCAAGATGTTGTGTATCCCGGCAAACCAACAGAAAGAGTGTAAACAGAACTGTCTTGATTATATAGCAGGCGTGTCAAAATTCGCCTCTGGATATTTCGTAATTTCACGTTCTATATTCACATCAGCCCCAGTGTGTAAGGACCTTAACCTGTCACAGACTCCATGACTTGAATATTTGGTCACATGATCAATTCCTTTCACCGTTTCCAAGCAACAGGGGGTGGTTAAACTCACCCCACTCTCCCCTACTAATGGAGAAATGTTGAGTGAATAGTTAACATGTTCATTTTGAAGCAGACACAATACTGTCTCTTCGTGCTAAGTCACTGATGTAGACTCTTAGTGGTCCTGGTCCAAAGCTCTTACCGTCATGGTGTCGATCTTCCCTTTGACCTGCTCATTCCTGTCCAGGGCTCTCTCTAGACACTCCTTGGTGTACAGCTGAGGGTTTCGGCCTTGATCAATGTATCTAGAAATAAAAAGGCTCAATGTCAAAATTGCAGGTGATTGTGTTAAAGCTAAAAAGAAAGATAAAGTAAATAAGCGATAGACAAAGTCGTGTTTCCAGACTTACTCAAAAACCTCCAGCGGCACGTTAATCTCATGAAGCTGCTGTCGGCATTTCTCAATATCTTGCAATCCGGATATCATAAAATTTCTAAAAACAAAATACAGACAAATTAACAAACATCATTTATGTCCATCTTCTGTCTAATTCAACATAATCTCGTCAAATAAAGTGACTCACAGTTTTTGGTTGAGTCCTGCCTGACTGCTGGGCTGGAAGTCGCTGACGATGATTCCCAACTGTCGAATATTCTCGATAAATTTCTCCAGATGCTCCTCTAAATTATCAAACTTTTCAGCCATTTCAAATAGGAAAATCAAATGAATGAGAAATATCCTGTTAAATTTAATCCTTTTGTCAAATAGCCGCTGTTTACTGCTCGATACCGACTCCGCGACACCCACTGAACTAGTGTGCTTTACGGCAACGGAATAGCCAACCGCTGCGGGTTCCCTCCTGCTACCTAGGCAACACCCAGTGACAGACTGTCGGTTTAAAGCACCAAACTGTCGTAACCACCAGATAGAAAACCCTTTGTGAGGAGAGCTGGATGACGTTCATAAATCACTATAACAGGTTTTTGTTTAACTAAATATTTTATCCACGCTCCATGTATATGGGTCCATGTCTTGTATTCTGTTGAAAGAAGTGCTCCATGAATACAAGTACATTTAAAACATGATATTGTTGCAGAGCCGACGAGACCCAATCCAACGAACATAAGTAAGGTTGCACCAAAATCTTTCAAACTCATATTTTCTGAAAGATGCACCTTTAAAAATAATTAATAAAACGACATTATAAAGGCCAACGATTGGGCTATAGGCTATGTAATATATTTCCAGACACGCTTTTTATATCTATTTACCGCAACACTTTTGTTTTCGATTAGTAACATCGAAAATGAAGGAACCACGTTAATTAGAAAGTCAGTACAACGTACCCTTCAAAATAAAGTGTGCCCTAAATGATTTCTTTGATGATGGATTAAGCGGATGTTAAGTATGCAGTGTAGTACGTAGTAGCTACTGTAGAAGGGTCCTATTTTTACGAGCACAGAGTTGGAGTTTTTCTTTATTTTATTGTTGTTTTTTTTATTTACTTTAAATTCTTTCTAATTTTATTTTCTGGGCTCGTCAGTCTTTTGTATATATATATATATATATATATATATATATATATATATATATATATATATATACACACACACACACACACACACACACACACACACACACACAGAGATACACATGATGGTGCAAATATGTCAGTATGTGTATGTGGCCTTTGAAAACACCACCTCTACACATTTGCCAATGTTAGTGTTTGGTTTGACTGTAGCGGAACTCGGGAGCTTTTACTTTGAAATGTCGTAGCTGTTGCAGCGCCTCACCGGTGAGAACAGGCTGAGGAGGATTACCGGGGGCTGGTTCGTCCTCGGCTGCATTAAAGCTGGAGCTGCAGCTGCAGCACACACATCAAAGGCTCTCCTTCTTCTTCTCCTCTCTACAGCTCCTACTGACGACAGTTATTTTAATTTTTTTTTAATTTTTATTTTGGATGGTGAAGCCATTTTTATATCTTTTACGCACAGCGGGATCGGTGTCCGCTGCACACAACAGGACATAACACGGACATATCTCGAATTTCAGCTGTCTACGGTAAGGCTGCGCTCGGATTGCTCGTATATGACTGGATCTGTGTGGGCGGGACAACACATAAAGAAAATGTGTTTTGTATTTTCGCGATAAGGACTGACAACGAAGTGTGTTTTTGACGCTGAGGTGTCTTACCGTGACTATGGAGCTTCGGTAGGCTATTCACATCCACTGTCGAAATGATCCTATCACTCTGAAATGTCAAAATGATTATACATCGTAATAACAAATGTATAGCTGCACAGTATATTCATAATAATACATTTTAATATTCCATAGATGATATTGCTGAGATGTAGTTTATCAGGCCCCAAGGAGTAAAATGTGTCTCTCTGCAATCAGTGAGATCATCAATAACAACCTCGTGATGCATCGTGTATACCTTATATTTTTCCCTATAGAATTAAAGTCTCTGATTCTACTCGTCCTGTAGACTTTTATTCTTTTTTAATAATATGCAACACATAGCCTATTTAAGTAAGAATGCAATGTAGGATCACATCAGCGCTTCTGCGTAATGCATCATCCTGTCATAGAACAACTGCAGTCATGATGTCGGTGCACTTGTGGGGGATGACTGAATAGAATAGATCTGTTTAGAAAAAATGTCTTTGATTTTGTTTTGATCAAACTAAGACTCGCATTTATTCGTTTTTTTTTTCTGCTGTCTTGTCTCCAGTCGAGTCTTCTCGAGATGCTGCTCTAAGGAGACAACAGCTCAGGATCCTGCTTGTGTTCTTCCTGTGGCTGCAGTGAACAGAGGGGAGATTGCGGTACAACAAGGTTAATAATCAGCACCAATACTGGTCTTTTCTGCGAGCGGGAGCCAACTTCAAAGGGTGAATCTTGCCCCTGTGTGGGGGGATCAGCGGAGAAATATAGATCTATAAAAAATTATGGCCACCCTACTGCGGAAAATCGGTCTGATCCGTCTGCACGATCGAGACACCGAGGATCCAAAGCACCATCAGGGCTCATTAAAGGGGACCAAAGGGAACCAGAAAAACAACACCAACAAACACTGTCAGACAGCCAACGAAACCAACATCCTGAGTACCCCGGAGATTAAGGCGAAAAAGCTGGACCAGCACGGCAAGGACAAGCCGTCCGGCAAGGATAAGCAAGGAAAGGATGCGAAGGAGAAGCAGCAAACCGGAGGAGGAGGAGGAGGAGGAGGAGGGAGCAAAGCAACCAGTGCCTCCTCGATACCACCGCTGGCGCCTCACCGGCAACACTGCACCCAGGTCCGGACGCGGAGGCTGATGAAGGAACTACAGGAGATCAGGAGGTTAGGGGACAACTTCATCTCGGTGGAGCTGGTAGAGGACAACCTGTATGATTGGAACGTCAAGTTGCACCAGGTTGACAAGGACTCAGCGCTGTGGCAGGACATGAAGGAGACAAGCACCGAATTCATACTGCTCAACGTCACCTTTCCAGATAATTTCCCCTTCTCGCCGCCGTTTATGCGCGTCCTGACACCTCGGCTAGAAAACGGCTACGTGCTGGACGGTGGGGCCATATGCATGGAGTTGTTGACCCCCCGCGGATGGTCCAGTGCTTACACGGTGGAGGCGGTCATGAGGCAGTTTGCAGCCAGCCTCGTAAAAGGACAGGTGAGAGGAGGAAGGGCTGGTGGGTGAGGGTCATGCATGGAGCATTATCAACCACGAGGCATGCTGCTCATCATCCTCATCATCCTCATCATCAACATCATCATCAGTGTACCTATTTTTGGCCTCAACACGCACTGGAGATGAGCAATTCTGTTAGTCACTCATGCTCTATGCGTAATTTCAGCGTAACTGCTTTTACGCAAAACTGGTTATGTCCACAACCGAGCTGTTATACAAATGTTTGAGCCAGTATTTCGATAGATACACGTGTAAAACTTCCAAAAAAATGGAACTGTAATTTTTGTGTTTGGTAGAGATCAACAAAAGAGGTAATTTTGTAGCATATTCTGTGCTCGATGTAAGCTACATCTTTGGCTTTTAGTCTCCACACCCACAATGAGCATAAAGGATAGTGAATGCTCTTTATTTTTATGAGACATAATGGCAGCCATTTCATGCAGTGCAACCCTCAGTATCTCACTGATGTCAGCTCTCTTCTGCGGTCCTACTTTGCTCTCCCTCTATCTCCTTTATAAAGCAGCTGGTCTTAAAACAAAGACCAGTTTGTGCGTAATGTTTCTTTACAGGCTGTAACATAGACTCACTGTATATGTTATCGTATTCTATCGGAAATTATGACTGTGCTGCGCGCTATGGCTGAGAGAAAGAGATGAATAAGGAGAGACAGCAGGTTTGCCTACCTAGGCTACTGCAGTCCTCTGTGACTTAGACTGACTATGTTATGTAATACTGTCAAATCCGTTGTGCACGTCCTCAGTGCACTGCAGCAGCTCTGTAATTCCGATGGAAATGGTGGCACCATTAAACAGCCTTCATTCCGGGTCATTTTGTTTTAAATCAGATTAGAATGTTTCTTCTTTCCCACCCGTAAGAATAGTTTTTGTCTTATGTATTTCTCTCATACTGGTTTTTGTGCGTCCGCGTCTTTCTGATCGACTCGTGTGACTTTTGACGTCAGCAGTATGACAGCGCTGTGGCAGGAGACCTTATGTAAACCGTCACCGGGTTCTCCTCCCGTCCACCCCCCTCCCTCCCTAACCCGCTGTGCTTTTTGTCTTTGATGATATAACTGAACGTTATTCCTCTGTTATCTGTGGTCATTACGCATCTGTTGGTAGGTCGACTCATGTAGGAAAGGGTACCCAAAACAGACAGACAGACAGACAGACAGACAGATAGATAGAGAGTGTTTTCTTCTTGATTTGCTGCTTAAGGAGATGGCTGAGGAGCTCTGCAGTGCTCCCTAATTATGGTGCAGACTCTTCCCTCTCCTGTTGGCTAATGGAAACGGTATTGATTAATTATTCCTGTGTGTTTGTGCATCATTGTTGCTGACTCTGTTGTTGCTATGTGCTTACAGATATCCTCGCATAGATGTAGATATGACAAACTTGACAGGCAGAACTCTACTGTATATGCCTAACCTTGAATCCTGAATATGACTATAAAGGAATAGCAGTGCTGCTGGGTTTTTAGTTATTCCTCTTTCAGCACTTTGACAATAGTAGTGTAGTTTCTTGAAATGTTGCTGTTTAATTTCTAAAGATGAGAGGCTGCTTACTTTCAATGACTTAATGCAGAGGCAAAATACGACAGAGACACACATTATCTCCTTCAAGTGTATGAGAACACAAACAACAGCACAAGCTAGATAAAGACGTCGCAGAAAATCCTCAGTACATCAGCCTGGCCTTCAAAAGAACAACTCTCAATGCTCGAGCATCAAAACAATCTTTTCACAAAGTTAATTGTGTTCTGGTTTGTAACACTGAGTTTTCTGCAGCATCTTATTCTGAAAAGAAGTCATCATAACAACAGTTATGTTTTCTGTACAGCAGTGTTTAGAAAGGGAACTTAAATCGTTGCATTATGGGTGTGCAAGGCAATTCTTTAAAGCTTATTTACTTTTTTAGTCAGGTTGAATAAGATTTTTCAGCCAGAGTGTTTCAATTATTACACAAAAATCCTACTATCTTGAACCTGTGGTAATATATATATATTTTTTTACTTTTAACATCGTTCTTTTGTTTTGTTTTTTCAGAAGTGCTTGACTCACATTTTCCTTTATGATGATGAAGTGTAGGTGAAAGTCCTTTATTTAGACTTTGCTCTAAATGAGATAGGATTGCTGAACAGACTTTGTAGAGATGGAATGAAATATCTATTACTGGTTAATTACCTGGATACAAAAATGAATGGTTTGTTTTTCTTTCATGAGGATGAACCTTTTATATCTCACAGGGCCAGGTCCTTATCCATGAAGGTTATCTTTGAACATGTTTCAGGCACACGACTGGCATACATGTTTTTGTGTGTTATTTAGTGACAAACTGCCTGAAATCCAGATTTAGAGTGGGGGCTAGGTACAAAGAATTTGTATTGATAGACGTTTTTGATGGTAAAATTTTGATATCATGCATGATAACTGCTGCTTAATCGGAAAGTTAGATACGGCTAAATATTCCCACTTTTACACACTGTACATTTAAAGTCCTAATCAAACACTGTGAAGAATCTGTGCGCACCTGATCGTGCAAGTCTTTCTTCATGTTGACATATTTATTCACCCTATGTTTACATCACAACAGACTCTCAGCTGGTATAAGATCAGCATCAAAACATAAACAGCCAAAAAGACTGCCTCAGTTTTCGGTCATCCAATCAGAGAACCTCTGAGACTGACATCACCTTAAGCTACTTAGTACTGAATTAGCTAGAGAAGAGTCAGAAGTTACATTAAACCATAGCAAACATTAAGCATCCATACAACTTGAAAATCCCTAGAATGCCGGAAACCACAAATTATGGCCAGAAAATTATAATTTTTTGGAGCTGAAATGTTTATTTTACTTACTACTGAAAACCAAAAAAATCAAAATGTCCTTAACATTGAACAAATATGTTTATTTATCTCGTTTGATACATTAGACTGATAGAAACTGCTCATATTGATTGATAAAAGTATCATAAAAGTATGTATCAAATATGATACAAAAGGCAATAAAGGGCTATGAGCTTTGTCATTAATACCATCCTGTAATGACTATATTCCCTCAGGAAAACTTGAAATATTAACTAAATATGTCATATCAAACACTTAACTAAAGTGTTTGAATGTCCAATTATATGAATGTATTGTTGTTTATGATTATACTAAACAAATACTTTAAAAACAGGGGGATAAAATTGATAGAATATTCTTTTTATTATTATTATTATTATTATTATTATTATTATTTTAAAAAATGAATAAAATAAACCAATTCCAATCCAGGCTTTGCAGAAAAGGGAAAACAATTTTAAACTCTTTAAAAGGTGCCCACACCAGAATACACAAACTAATTGGGATCTCATAATTCAAGTATTACATAAGACCAGCTTTATTTAGACTAACTACACATCAAGAGCATAGTTTATCACATTTATTGGAAGTTTGTGTCCTAAAAGGCCACTGCTGTGCCATCAGTTAGAACCTGACTGCTAGATATCCCTAAATATTCCCATTTCTACGTATTGTACCTTTAAAGTTCCGGAAATTAGTGTCTGTGCCCTTTTACTTTTCTGGCTGTCATTTTTTTGACAAAAATTTACCAAAAAAGACACTGAAGAGAGAACAATTGTTCTTCTGGATGTGAACGATAACTTAATACAGATAAAAACTTCTCTACTTTAATGGGTAGTTCATCAACTGAAATGGTCTTTCTATTGAATTTGGAGACTTAAATTTGTGGTTTTAAGGACTCCAGTTTTGTACTGCTGTCTTCTTTATTCAATAAGGTTCCTTTAACCCCATCCATCAATTCCCACGAAATCAAATGATCAGTTTGTCCTTTTGTGAACTTGTTTTGGAGGAAAAAAAAGGGTAACCAGAGGACTTAACAATTGGATAAATCTAAAAAAAAAAAAAAGACACCAGTTCCTTCATTTCCTATCATGCAGTCTGATAATGTCTTTTATTTGAGTCCTCCTTTGAGTTTGTGTTTCCTCCCAAATACGCCAATACAAAATCAGTCACGCCTGTTAAAAGTTTCCTGTTTTCTGTGACGGACTATGTTGTGGTTGACGAAGTTTCCTTTTTCTCTGCATAGAGCTGATCGACAACTAGATGCTCTGTCCACTGTGTGCAGACAGAGACATTTAGACCATTGATTTCAAATATCTGTATATAAAAAAACATTAGCATTGCCCTTTAATGACCCCACCATCAGTCCCACAGGGCTCTCCTTAATGATCTAATGAGGATGATGATGACATTGATCTCTGTTTGTTTATCTCATCCCCTTTAAACACATGTCTGGGTTATGCAACTGCCCTCCCCCCAGAGCTGCTTTTCCCATCATGCAATGGGGCCTTTCCTGCTCCGCTCATTGACTGATCTCCATTCACACGATTACCCAGCAGCCACTTTACACGAGTGTGTACCTCTCGTTGAGCAGGCGCTTAGCTGAAATAGATAAACACTGACATGGCACTGTATAGGCCCAGGGCACCCACTTAGCTGAGCAGCAAGACACACACACACATACACACACACACACACACACACACTCTCATACACACACTTGCAAGTTTGTGTACCAATTGTGGGCCTTTGTCATGCCAAACCCTTCCTGTGGATAAAATGGTTGATTAACATCATGTTTGCCCTCTTTATCCGCATCCTCTTCGCAGTCTACTTGTTTTTGGAATTGTTCAAGTATTGTCTGTTTTTATTCTTCTGTCTCTTTGTCACATTTTTGGTCAATCTGTATCATCAGCACATTTTAAAAAGGTTCACAGTGGCAACAAACGGATAAGAGATCAACAGCAGTTATAAATAAAAACAAGTAAATGATACCACAGTAATTGATTTATGACAACAGGATGTTAGCAAAGGGTACATTTGTCCCTGGCTGTCGTCGATCGACATGGTGATCACACCTCTTTAATGCTGGCCTGTAGCCATAATGATATACATCCAAGGCAGCAGTCACCATTTTGAGGTGATGACAGCTACCATATGGCCGGGTGTAAAGATGTGTCAGATTTTATGAAGTTGCCTGTGACTCGAAAAAAAAAAAACAACATCCCAGCCTTCCACGAATGTTCTCTAACCGGAGCCAAATAGTACAATGTCTTTGTTCATCAACCCAGGTGATCTATTATTAGCACTACGGTTCCCTGGCTGTACAGAGAGGCAGAACAGATTTCAGGCAGCTCCACTTTGGTGTCACCCAGCTGGTTTGTTCTCCATTTTTAATGCTATTTGTATCAGTTACTCAAGAAAAGAGGAGGTTGTCATTAGACACGATTTGGTGGGGAAGAGCAACAGAAACAAGCCCCCAAGGCTGTTGCATGCAATACCTTTCAAAATGAGTCACTGACTGAGTCATGTATTGAGTTTTTCAAAACAAACCAGGCTCTTGCTGAAGATGAAGACTTGTTTTAGCTTGTTTAAATCTTGTAATCATTTTCAATATGAGATCGTAGTGTACATTTACAGCTGGAATTGATGCCAATATTGAAGGAAATACATGTCGATATAAAAGAACCAGCACTTCCAACTTTGTGTGCGTCGTAAAAGCTGGATTTAGCAAGAGTGAAATGTCTCTAAGCCCTGCAGAGAAATGAGGCCAGCATTGCTACAGGAATGGAAACTGTAACCCTAATCTCCAGATCATTCAGCGTTACTACCTCATCTCCCTTCAGCCTCCTACATCACTTCTGACCCAAAATAGCTGAGCAAGTTCACAACAGGACAAACTGATCATCTGATTTCGTGGGGATTGATGGATAGGGTTAAAGGAATCTCATTGAATAGAGAAGACAGCCATACAAAACTGGAGTCTTCAAAACCTGTTTTTCATGAAAGGAAATTATGGTTTTGGAGGTTAAAGCATTGAAGACTCAAGGTGGTTCAGGTTTCGTAATCTCACCCCAAACGTGTTTTTGTGTGTGTGTGTGTGTGTGTGTCTGTGTGTGTGTGTCTGGCCTTCTTCCGATGTAACACTGCTTAAGTGTGTACAGTTCCTCTGCAGAATAGTCCAGATAGTTCCAGATAGTGTTCAAACGTAGAAAGTTACAGTAGCCGTTGTTAACCAGAAACTGTGGATGAGAAAAGGAAAGACAGAGTAGAAAAATATAAACACCAAGTCTTGCTTTTTATTTTTCACCCCTGTTGTTTTGTAATTTGGGATTTTCTTGAGCTCTTTTTTTATTAGAAAGATAGGAAAGAGTTGAAATTAAGTTCAGATTACAAAAGAACGACGGGAGTGGACGTTTCCTCACTCTAGATAACAAATGTGTTTTTTCAACTGATTGTGAAACTTACATTGGTTTGAACTTCTCTGTTAAGCTTCTCAAATGGGAAGTTTATTGAAACTGCTATTTCACTATCTGGGGCTTTTGATCACCAGATGGTTTTGTGTTTGTTGTAAGACTTGTTTGGCCAGGGTCTATATCTGGATTATGTGTACCTCGTAAAAAGTAGATGGTTGATTTGACACTTTGTATTTAGTGGATTCAAAAGCAAACAGGATCTAACATGCTTTAAAGATCTTTAAAGGAAGAGTTATTATTTTCATCAAGAGCCAGGCTGGATGTTTCCACCTGTTCCCAGTGTTTGAAACCAGCTAAACAGCAGCTCGCTGTTTCTCAACATTTACAGATTGGGGAGATATAAAAGCGATGCACATTTTTTAACCCCCATTTTTGGCAAGGTATCAATCAAGCACTTCCAACAGTGTCAAACTTTTCCTCTAAGACCAAGTTGGAAAATGAAATGGGTTGAAAATGTTGCTCCCTTCCCCTCTGTGGAGTGCATCATCTAATAGAATTTCATTGGTGTTTGTTTTATTGAAGAAAGGCAGTCCCAGCCAGTGGCGTTTTCCACCCTCAGCAAATTTGTGTTATATAGGATTTAAACCTGCAATGACTAACCTGAGGTGTTACAGTGAACCAGACTTACAACAATAAAGTGAGTTAACTATATTAGAAATGTCAGTACGACTGCAGAATCACAAGTGGAGAGATGACCTGATCTTCACTACCTTCTCTTTTGTGACTCTGGCTCTTCTAAAGAAGAAACAATGCTCACCAAAGCGCCGTGACTTATTGAAACCAAACAAACTCATTGCTGTGTATCTAGTGTTCAGCTCAGTATGATTATCGTTGTCTCTTTTTCGCTCTAGGACTCACATGTTCCTCTTTGGAGAAAATGTAGCTCTGTCTGCAGCAAAGACAGACAGCAGCAGCACTATTACATTCAGCACAACACCTCCTTTTCCCTTTTTTTGCCTGTTGTCATCCTATAGTTATTCTTAGCTCCAGTGTGTGAGAGTGAGAAGTCTTCAGTAAGGTGGTGAAAGCATCTCTGTTGTCTACTTCAGTTGCTTTTCACACTGAGCACAAGAGGTTAGCATGCTGGTAGATTTTTTTATAGTTTCTTTTTTTTACGATTCTCTTATCTCCTTGTGGCTCAGTGTAGCGGATTTTCCCTTTTGATCGAATTTGACAACTTAAAAGCTTTTCCTTGTGTTTAAACATTGACCTAATGTTAGTCAACCTGCATCCAGACAGTTTGCATTGTAAACATCTCCCTTGTGGCGGTGCATTTACCTTTGCATCAATCCATGGGGCCATAAGGGTTGTGTGTGTTTGTTTGTTTTTCTTCTGTATTTTGGCATGAAAGACTTCAGATTAGATAAATAAATATGATTTTGGTAACACTTTACTTGACGCCTATCTCTATAACTCATAATAAATATATGTATAATGCGTTATAATCAAGTTATAGCACTGTATAACTATGGTTATAAACACTCATAAATGATCATAACACTTTGTGGCAATAATTATAACACATTATAAAGCATTTTATCATGACTTACAAGGTCAGGTATTATAATGTGTTATAACTGCTAACAACTCACTGACAATGCCCACATAGATAATACAATGCAACTGTTGTTAACAGTTATAACACATTATAATATCTGACATTGTAAGTCATGATTAAATGCTTTAAAATGTGTTATGATTATTGCCACAGTGTTATGATCATTTATGAGTGTTTATAACTACAGTTATACAGTGCTATAACTTGATTATAATGCATTATGAATATGTTTATAATGAGTTATAGAGATAGGTGTCAAATAAAGTGTTACCATGATTTTCATCTGCAACATTCGAATGAATAATTGACTTAGTTCTTTTTATGCAAAGGTGCCCAAAAGGCGGTTGCAGTTTTGCAGAAGATAGCACCACAGCCTTGTCTCCCACACAAGCCAAGCTACCTAATTTTGAAGCTTCAGAAATCATTGCATTTGCCCAATAATACTATACATATCTATTCATATAGGCCTTATTGGGTTTAAATTCTGAATGAGATACGAGCCATAAACACAACGATTGAGATGCGTGTGCATAAGGTTCTTTTTTATGAATTCTGAAGCTATTACTTCAAAACAGCATAATTTTCCTAGATATGAATAAGCTTTGAGGTAGGATCATGATTTTGGTTCAGTGCCTTTTGGTGCCAATAGTTTGGTGCAATTTCATTGAGAATCTTAACTTTTTGACAGACAGCCAGACAAACAATTATGTCAGCTGAAAACAGCTTTTGGCAGACACTGTTAATCCTTGCGAGGCTGTAGCCAAGATTTAAAAACTCTTTGGCCATGAGTTCATCTCCTTGTAGAGCAACACATTTTTAAAACATATTTGACTACAAATGAACAAAAATATATCTTTCACATTCCCTTCACTTACAGACTTTAAATATTTACACTAATGTCTCTAAAAAAATGTCAAATATAGATTTAATAGTATCTGTTTGATTCTTGTCTTAAGAGTTCAATACATACAATGATCTTTTCTGCGCTACCATCAAAAATAAGCTTTCCATTATGCAGGTTTTTTATGTCCTTGTGTGCATTGTTTGTAGAGCTGCAGAATGTAAACTCATCCAAGAGATATAATGAGAGACACTGCTTCTGCTTTTGTCATGAAGTCCCTGGCACAGATGAGATAAGATGGGAGAACATTCATTTTAGATTTGAATATCTGCGTTGTTGCAGAGCCAGCAGTGTTTCCATAACAATCAAGTCAAAAGTCAATCACTTACTGTCAAAAGTTCTCACCACAAATGTCACTAACGTCTTTTCTTCTCTTCCTCTCCTCTGTCATCTTTCACAGGGGCGTATATGCAGAAAATCAGGGAAATCCAAGAAAGCTTTCAGTCGTAAAGAAGCCGAGGCAACATTCAAGTCCCTGGTGAAGACCCACGAGAAGTACGGCTGGGTGTCTCCACCTGTGTCCGACGGCTGAGCGCTGAGCTGACAACACTCCGTCCCCTGTGCTAGCTGGACGAACCCCCGGCTAGCCCTGACACGCAAAACGACACACCACGCTAACTCAACAATCTCTCATCTTCACCCTTTGCTGATTGACTCCTCTCCGTTTTTGTGTGTCTGTGATTTTATGTTTCGGGGGGTTCATTTTTGGCCCTTATCTTTACCAAAAGGCTATGAGAGAAGACGCATCATCATCACCATCACTCCTTCGCAGAGAAGCAACTTTTCTTGCCCTCCCTCTTTCCCAGGGATGTTCTCTCCCCGTATTTCGGAGAGACCTGAGAGAGAAGTGTATGTGTAGGTGTGTGTGTGTCTTAGTATGTGTATGTTAGTCGCTACAAGGGACATCAGCTGGGAGTGTGTGCATGTGCATCAGAGTGTACATTACTGTCAGTGGGATACATTTGGTTTCGTTTTGTTTTGTTTGTTTGCACACACAAGCACATGCAGTGGGAAAAATCGGACATTGTGGAGCTTTCCACCCATGTGAAGACTACTGAATGAAGAAGACTCATCCCCTTATCCCGACCTCTTCATCCCTCCTTTTTTCTCTTCGGTATCTTTCGTCCCCGTCCTTCTCTAAAGCACTAAACTGGCATCACATCCCGACCTCTTTCTCTGTAGCTGTTGGTTCATTTACATATAAATGAAGCCGTTAATGTTTAATAGACGGCAGCACACTCATTCACTCCTTCATTTCCCCTTTTTTTTGTCAACTGTGCCGTTGCTCACAGTTCAATGCAACATAAAGATTGTAATTTACATGGAGCTGTGCTCTTTCTCTATCTCTCTCTCTATCACTTCCTTTTAGCTTGCTCGTTCACTTTGTTTCTTTCTCTCTTCTTTTCTCTCTCTATATCTCTCTCTGTCTCTCCGTCCTTGTGGCTAAATTTAGAGCTCACTGTTGTGTAGATGGATTATTGATTTCTAACGAAGAAATAAGAAGTCACATGTTGCTTTATGCAGAGACTATGTATGATAAATAGAATGACAGTCGGTCACCTCTCTTTCTTTACTCTCATGTTATCTTATAGGTGTGTGAGGAGGATGTGCGGCTGTAGAGAGGAAGAAGACTGTAATGCCTATGATTTAGATACCAGATGGTACAGCTGAAGGCCAGGCTTGTGTGTGTGTGTGTGTCTGTGTGTGTGCATGTGTGAGCAAGGGAGACAACCCTTTAAACAGAGAAAAATGTGATTTACTGTGAATGACACTAAGGCCTAAAGGGAGTGCTGTTTTATGTTAAATTATTGTCGCTGTCTTACTCTATGTCCTATGTCAGCTCCTGATTACTACTACTGGGAACACACATGTGGTTGTTACTGAGTATGAACACACACATAGCCTCATCTGTCTTTCTGGGCCGAGTAAAGAGCGAAAGGTCGGCAGAACGAACGCTTCAAATGATTAGCCAGAACACATACCGGCACTTGTGTGTACACCTGCAGCAGCTCCACCACCCAAGACTGAAGACAAACAGGGAAAGGAGCGCCGCCGCCGTCATGGATGGAGTGGTGCTTAAAATGAGCAAACGCTTCAGAGCCCGTCTGATTGATGTCTGTTAGAGGAGAAGAAGAAGAAGAAGAAGGAACCATAAAAGGAATTGTGGGAGCTTTGATCGCTGATGGCTGCTTCTAGGAAATGTCAGGTGGCTCGAACAAAAGGCCGAAGACAGACATTACTCGTCCAACCTGATTGTGATTAGTTAGAAACACACTGTTCCTAAATTCCAACCTTTAGAAGGACTTACATAAATATCTAATATTAACTCCACAGACGTTTCAATCAATCAGGCGCCTGCTTACCTCAGACTATCTGTCCGTCAAGTCCAGTGAGCTCCTCGTGTGTTTGTTTTGCTATCTGCCAGTTAAATGTCAGGGGGGGAAAGCTGCTAATTGGTCTGACATTTCAGCAGAGCGTCATTAGAGAAGAGCAGCTGAGAGCAGAGGGACGGAGGATGTCAAACCTCCTGCCCGGCACTGACATTTCCTCAGTTACCACTTCTGCCCTGCCTTTTTTTTTTTTTAGGGGAGGGTCGAATATGAGGAGGGCAGATAAGTTGATTCTGGTCAATGAGGAGAGGCGAAGGTAAAAGAACAGCTCTGAGTCGGCCTAAAAGTATTCCAAGAAGTGAGATGTTGAAACCTCTAAGCTGAAGCGGGGCCTCAAAGCCAGCATGTCGTGATCTCCCGTGTGTCGCGTTTGTGGCTCATGATGATGATGAGGTTTTTTTTTTTTTTTTGTGAGTGCATGTGTGAGCAAATGTGTTACACTCCTATCATGAAAAAAATAGGCAAAAGAAAAAAACTACAACACACCATCTGGTATGTGATCATGTACAAAAGCGTGTTAGTTCTCTTTGAATTTGGCTAGTTATTTCAGGGTTGATCGTATAGTGATCTCTTGGCTTTAAGCTAAGAAAACTGTTAACTGAATTACTATTAAGACAAAATATCTCAAAAGCTGAGTGTTTGCTGGTTTGAAGAGAATAATTTTGTGATATAGTTTAGATTGGTAGTTTGCAGACACTAACTGAGTGAACTGATTATGTTGTATTATATCTGCATGTGAAATGTGATTGGTAGCTAGCTACTGTATATCTCTTTTTTTTTAAGAAAAGCAAGAAAAATATGGGAAAAACAAAAGTGCAAATGCTTCACTTTTCTTGGTCTTTTTTCTGTTTTTCAATTCTGTATTGTATGTATCTTTTTTTTCTTTTCTTTCTAAGCGTCCTAAAAGTGTCACATTATGTTCTATGAATGTTTGTGTTTTAATTTATTTGTGGTTTGCCAAAATGAAGATTTGAAGCATGTTGCAGGTATTGTCACAAGATAATGAGAAGAAGAAAAAAAAACTGCTAAAAATGACGGCCCATGCTTCGGGAGAAGGGGGAATGTTTGTTTATTTGGGGGGATTTCAGGGAGTATATAAATGGACAAGAGGTCGTAAAGCCTCAAGGATATAAAAGTAGTATTTCTTTGCTCCTTTGATACTTCCTGGTCCCCTCAATGATGTCACTGCTGTCTCTTCCCCATTGGTCCTAATCTAGATAATGAATTGGCTTATGGGTAATTCTGTAAACAGACAGATCTAGACTGAAAGTTCCCCCAGTCGTAGATCTGGGATCAGTATGACCTCCCTGTGCTTCAAATCTCACTCATAAAGGGAATGTGCACATCTGACCTGTGATCAGTTACTCTGGGCCACTCTTGACTTGACTTGAGTGTTTGGTCAAGACCAAGGTCTTAAAAGTTTAAAAGGTAAAGGTTGTTGCAAGACCAAACAGGAATGTGCAATAAAAAGTTACAGCTTATTCAATCTCTGATGATTTGATTGTGGTTTTGTTTCATATCTGGGCTTACTGGACACCTGGGGGCTTCATTTGCTGCTACGTTTGCGTATATTTTCATGACCCACTTCAGGCTGCTGTGTCCTCTGCATGGCTTCTGCATTGTCCTACTTACAACTGCTGCAGTCAATAAGACACTGCATGTCTCTTATCACATACTTCCTCTTTATATAACAGTACAAACGGCAGATGTCTATCATTGTTTACTGACTTCCTACTTGTGTAGAGTAAATCTGATTTTCACAGACAGATATACTACAAATATGTACCCTACACATAGTCAGTCATGCAATTATACCTGTGAACTACAACCAGTGTTGAGTGGTTTAGTGGACCTCAAAGACAAAGAAAGCGTCAGAATAGTCCTTGTGAGATACAATTTCTAGGTTTGCAGCCTGTTGTTGCTCCAAAATGCATTTCTTGTAGCACACCTGAGATGTGCATCTTGGTTTATCCAGTGCAAGGTGACCCTGACTGTCAAGGAGTGACGTTTAAGGAGCCAGAAGAGCACATGGGACCACAAAATGCCAAAATATGACTGGACCTATCAAGACACTACAACAGTTTTGGTGATGTGTATTTGGTACAAATACTCAGACCAACTAAATCTTATTTTCTGGGTATTGGAGGCAGCCACAGTTTCCAGCATCCTCAGAAAGACAGACCTTAGTGATCTGTTCTGTCCTCTTGGGCTCCACTTTTTATTAGATGGCCTCCAGCTCTCTGAACATAGTGTTCACTCTGTGCACACAGTTACTCACAGTGATTATCTATATTTGATAAACTGAAGACAGAATTTTGTTGTTGTTGTTTTGAAGTGCGGTTGCATAAGGCACTTGTCAGTATAATAGATTAGCAAAAGAAGATGCCGCTCAGCTCAGCCTCTTTGTTGTGAATCTGGTATCTTAGCTATCAGCTCCTGCAGATGGGGTCAATTTCCCCACAGTATCAAGATAGATTTAAGAAACTCTTATCTAAATACTGGAGTCAGAGTAACATATGCAAAATATTCCGACCGAACTGATCAGAATGATACGGAAGCCCTAAGCGGACATGGTTTATTTATTTATTTATTTATTTTACCCCCATTTTCTCAAGATCACGAGATAGTTTTCTTGCAATCACGGCGTTGTCTCACATGCCAAAGTTTGTCTGCACGTACCAAGAAGCACCGGAGCAACAGCCTAATAGTTATGACTATGAATAATTCTGGGGTGATCTGTTCCTGTAAAGTTCCTGTGGAGTGTGCATCTTACCCTGTGCATTTCGTCCTGTTGCAGAAGGCAGACCCTGCGGACACTGTGCCATGTGCAGTGATCAGCCCGATGTTTGTAGTCCACCGTGAAATTAATTTGTGATCCTGAGAAAACAGAGGTAATGAAATAAATAAATCAAATCCAGGCATCTGTAGAGTTAGCTTCTGCGAATGTAAAAATGTGGGTGAAAGTAGCATTTAGTGAGACAGAGAAATCTGGATGATGACTGATAGCCTACATGAGCCACTGAAATACCCATATTACCAAATCCCACTCATCTTCAGTACATTAAGATGACCCTTTGTGTCTATAGTAAATGTCATATCATGGTTGCACTCAGAACCACTTGTTTTTGAGTGTAATTTTATTCTTTGTCTCTGTCGACCACCGTAGACCAGAACAGCTGACTGGTGTGCTGCAGGCAGAGTAACATGTGTGTTGTGTCCTGAGCAAAAATAAATGGGCTTACCAACAGCAAAGAAAGGCTTTGAAAAATGCCGAAATAGAGCTGTACCCAAACACTGTTGGTAAAAATATCATGGTATAATTAGCCTGTGTGCACCAGCTTCTGTCACAGTTGTCCAGCCAGTTTCAACAAAGGAGTCCAGCTGACTCCAATCTAAGCAACAATATAACCTCATCTCCCTAAAAACCCCATTACTTTCCACCAACACTAGATGAGAGTCCAATCCGAAAAACAACAACAACAATTTTGGATTTTTTAATATTTGAAAGCACATAAATAAAGTTTTCCTGCCATAAGTCACATGACTTACTGGACAAATATGAGTCAATACGATCACACTCAGCCTAAAACATGAGCTCATGTACTTTCATCCACTCTACTTCTCTGGCATCATGTCAGTAAATCCAAATGAATTCATTTGTCCTAACACATACATAGAATGAACAATGCTTAAGTAATTTAAAACACCACTGCATTTCACAATGTAGCTCCATGATATTTGCATGTTTGCACAATGATACAGTTCAAGTTAAACACTTCACCTCAATTCAGGCCTCGTCACTTTTATCACTTACACCTAAATTTACAGCCAGGCGAGCTCACAATGACAGCTGTAGAAAACATGTTATATTGAAGAATTCACCAAATGTTTTCTTCACTGCATCAAATCTACTCCTGGAAAGTTACATCTCTGCATTTTTGGATGTCCAGCATGGAGTCATATAAGCAGTGGTTAGCTTAGCCTAGCACAACCACAAGTAGCCTTGCTCTATGGCAAATGATATAATCTGCCTCCCAGCCCCAACTTGCACAGTTGATCCTCTCATCTTGACATAAAACCTTTTCAATACTTAAATCATCCTAATAGGCACCTGTTCGGCAGGTGTTAGACAACACTTTCCTGCTGAACCGTGGAAAGTTGTTGCACTAAATTAGCATGCGTTCGCCCACTTCTGCACACATCACACATCATGCTATCGTCACTGCTGACATATCCCAATTAATTGATCCCTTAGCTCGCTTGTTTTTGTCTAGCTGATGTTTCCCTGCTTCTCATTAACACGATGGCGAGACTAAGCTGTTCATGGATCAAAGAGAGCGAGCAAGATATCGACGGTGTCATCCTGAATCCTCTGGAGACAGCAGGGCTAGTTTACTGATTGGTTATCAGTGTTAGCTTATGAACGATACCAGCTCTGTACGTATACCTTTCTGTTTGTGCGCGGTCCTGCTTGTGTTGAAAAAACAGAGAAAGACATTCATTATTCAATTTAGAGACAACTTGACTCAATTCCCTGAAGGTTACCTTGACACAGAAAACATCCAAAACAGCCTCTGCTGAGCTCAGGAAGATGGATAAAAAATAACAAACATGAGGCAGAGTGAGACAGCAAGCTCAGAAAAAAGAGACTGAGATAGTGTTTTTATATTCAGGTTATTGCATTTACTCAAAAATACGTGCAGCACAACACATGCTACACAGTCAAAAATGGCTGAAATTTTGTGTGTTATGGAAGCCCTAAGAAGACATGCAATTGTATTTCCTGGGATATAAAGTTATTTTCTTCAGATCTGGACTATCACTCCTTCATGTCCACGTGTTTTCCTTGCATGTGCCAAAAGGTAAGGTAAAGGTATTTGAGCTCTTTGCACAGACGTGGTGTTTTCATGGTCTGAATCGTGGATCAGTTCATGACATTATATCAAACTTGGACTGTGTTCACATGGGGACGTGTACAAGCAGACCCAAGTGTGTTAAAACAGCAGTACCACAGTGGAATGACACGAGGAGGAAACTTAATGTTAACTGTATCACACATCACAATGATCTAAACCGATGTGATAAGGTTACCAAATCACACCGTGTACTAACAGCTGAAGTTAACTGTAACAACAGCAGAAGATGACATTTAACAGGAGGGATTAAAAAAAAACAAAAAATGTGTGTTTACAAGCAGGACGTACTGAGCATGCTCCACAGTAAAGTGTGTGCGCCTGTCACAGTGAGGTGCAGAGTGGGTGGAGGGTGTGCACAGCTTTTCCAAAACTAATAAAAACTAATAAACTGACAGTTAATATAACTGAGAGTGTGAAGTCTATTTGAGACAAAGCTGGATGTTTTTATTATTATTATTTTGTTTGTAGCTATTCTTTTGTAAAGCACTTGCACAAATGTGTATTAATAATAACTGTATTTATAAAGCAACTTTAGGAAGAGAAGTTTACAAAGTGCTTTGACAGACCAAGCAGAATAAATAATAAAAGGAACATTATATCAGAATGAAAACCAGTTAAAAAGATGAGGCGCAGTGAGATATAAATAAACCAATCAATAAATGAGTAAATAAATGAAATAAATGTGATCGAGGGATCAGATGAAGACTTACAGCAAATAGGTTGAACAAAAACATCAATATATGAAAGCAAGTCTTCAAATTAATTTAAGAAAAATAAAGTTAAAAGTGATGAAAAAAGGAAAACCACATAAAAGTAAGTCTGTATAAGTGAATTTAGAAGTGATTCAAATGATTCTGCAAGCATTTTTCTCCTCAGGAAGGTCTTTTCAAAGTCGAGGGCCTTGATTTAACAAGATTAATCTCCTTCAAAGCTGGACTTTGGAAAGACCAACAGGCACCACCTTGAAATCTAAGGCTGTGAGATGACTTTTATGGTGCCCACATTTCTACAGTATAACTTTGGGCAAAACCCAGAGTGATTATTAAAATCTACAAATCAATTTGAAAACCCACAGGCAGTCAGATAAAGGCCAGTTTATGTTCTTCATACAAACCAAATCCCCAGAGTCAGGAGAAAAGCCAAATTTCAAGAGGTCTGTTTTTCCTCTTGTGACTAAGTGATAATTTCTTTATACTCAGATGATGTTTGTGTGAGGTCACTATTTCTCCTAAAAATAAAAGAAAACACTCACAACAGAAATGCAGAGATACAATTAGCTGCAACCCAAAGTTGATTTCAAAACAAGTGTCGCCAATATGATAAGATTCAGATTTTAAGGTGACCACTGGAATGATTAACCTGCATCGTTTGAGTAACTGTTCGCACCCAAACTGGATAATGACTGAACTGAAATTACCATCTTATTAGGAATATGTGCCGCTTTAAACCCAAAAATTGAAATAATCAGATAATCAAACAAGATGTTTTTGGTCTTTTTGTGTCAGCCGACAAAATGGTTCAACAATGTATTCAGTCCCAATAAAGGGAATCCAAAGATGGCACTCCACATAGCTAGCCTGGACAGCAAAAGGAAAGACTTGGATCAGTTACAAAGAAATGCAACAAGATGGTTCAATAAGGCAGCAAAGAGCAAGGGTTAGCTTCTAATCTCCATCTGAATTTAATTAGCTTCATTTGATAAGATGTCATTTGTGAGATGCCCATTTCCCCTGCCCTGAAACGCATCATGTGGAGGAGATTTTCCAGATTGTTTCTGTATGAGATTAACCATTTAGAGACCTGACCAGAGGATTCTTGCTGCTAGCAAAAAATAGAAACAAAAGCTCTAATGAACACACAGAAACATCAAACAGACGTGCACTCAGAAACACTAGTTGATCAATTGCTAACAGCGCCACTGTCAAAAGACAAAGCAGAAGCTAGAAAGACTTTAAAAGGGTCATAGGGAGAAAGAAAAAACAAAAACAGCAGAGCAAGAAGCCTCTGGGGAGAAGCCATCAAAAAGCCAGTGTTGAATTATAGATTCCTTCTCCTGCCCCATACATACACTAACACATGATGTACGTATGTGACTGTCTTTCAAAATGCATGGAGGTGCTGATATAAAGATCAAACCATAAATTATCTGTTGACCTTATACCTAAAGGATGATTTACATTGACACCGCCTTGGAAAATCATATAAGGAAGAGCTGAAAGGTTACATCTTCTCACTAAGATGAGAAATAACACTGTGTGCATAACACAACAGCAGCAGCAGCAGGCTCTACCATGCAGAGCGGGGTAGACCCTTGAAATCACATTGGAATTGTGATTTCTTTCTATATGGGCTGCATGCATTATGCATTTATGGCCATTACACGATGGCTCAGTAGAATATAAGGTGTTAAATAATGAATTTGTTTTCCATGTTGATACACAGATGTATGGATAAAATGGGTTGTATGCGTGTGTGTGTGTGGGAACATTAACATTTGGATAATGCATTGTGCATGCGTTTGAATAACAGGACATGTAAAATTTACTTTGTTCCATAAGCAAACATGCCTGATAAAGTGTGTTAAGAGTTAAAGCTGTTTGCAACATTGCAGCATGATAAAGCTCAGTTGGCACGCCTCTTGTATTAATAACTATGCCTATGTATCATTTCTCAGGCTAGCAGGCTAGTGTTTTTAGGTCCTCTAAATGATTAAATACATGACCGTGTCCCCTCACACTGTTCTTGTTGGCTTGTAAATTGCTAAGCGTAATGATTTCTGGTAAAACAACAGAGAACAACATGAGGGTGCTCCACAGTCTTTAATCTTAAGTCCTCAGTGTTGGCGTCAGAGTCATTTGGATGAATTTCACTTTGGGGATAAATTAGTTCTTGTATTGGATCGTAAGTCCCCAAAGGAATATCAGCAACACTTCTGAGTCCAGTTCCCACAACCTGAAGATTTATAAGAAAGACAACAGTTTCACCCTAAACTATTTATTGGATTAACTTCAACAGACTTCATGAGACATTTTGGTTTATTATTAACATTAGAGTCTGACTGATCCTGCCCTGAATTCAGTTATATGCACACAACACCCCATCATGAAGATGTGTGTTGTTGCTGAGTTAAAGAGCGAATCATTTCAAGTTTGCTTGAGATGAATAAGTTTTGCACCCATCTAAATTTGATATTGAAGTTTTTTATATTAAGTTTGTTTCACATACTTTACTTGTGTAAGCAATAGCTTATTCTCATCCCTAAATTTAGTAATAACTGTTGCTGTTAGCTAACTGATGATAAATAAATTTGATATCTGTCCACCCTTAATTCTGCCAATTAAAGATTTATTCTTTCTTGATACTTGTAGTTTTGTCATTCCACAATAGAGATTTAACTACCATTTAGTGAAGCCTGTAAAATGGGTATTTATTTCTGTGTGAGGTGTAAGAAATAAAATAGACTGAATGACCATAGGCATGGGGAGGTAAAGTTCCTATTATGGTATAATTTCTCTGGATTTTAAATGTCTTCTTTTTCTGTTCAACTGGCTGCAACACATACTTTGTCAAGTAATGTCCATTAATAATAAAACACTAAAGTTCAAATCTTTACTCGCATGTTAAATGCTTGATTGATGAAAAAGTTCAACTTAGTGCTGCACTATAAAACTGCAGTTTACTCTTATGTAAGTTCTGGCCCTCCACCCCTCATGTCTCTCTCTCTCTCTCTCTCTCTCGTCCTGTAGCATCCTAAGCTACAGCCATTCTAAGCAGACTAGAGCTCACTATAAATATTTTATATGGCACAGTGCATGTGGGAAAAAATGTATTTTTAGCATCTTTCAGCGCTTTAACTTGAAGCCAGCTCTTTGTGAAGCCAGACAGCTTTTTGGTGGGGATTTTTTTTTTGGGGCTCCTCTTTTCTGTGCATGTGTCAACACATGAGTACAAGGGCTGGCTTGATTAACTCGATCAATTCTGACCTCACCGAGTTCTTTTGAGGTTTGCATGCTTTATTAGCTTTATTTGCAGTTGACAGACACTTTGAGAGACGTGCATCTTAACATAGCAGGTATTTTGCACATTATGATCCTCCTCCTCCTAAAGGACCACTTGACAGAAAGAGGCTGTGATGCGACATCATTTTTAAACCGCGACGTAAATCAAAGAAAAGGAGAGAAAGCATTTGCAAAGGTCTCCAGTGAGGGATGGATGTTAAAATGCAAAGCACACTCTACCCCCCGACAACCAAGACATGCATGCATGAACATGAGGAACAGACAGCACACACACTCTGTTGCAATGCTGTTAACACCCAAGGATGTTGCTCTTTGCATCTGCTCAGACAAAAGAGATCAGAGAAAGATTAAAACAGAGACACTCATTAGTAGTCCAAGCATTAGACACATCCTTGGTTCATTAGCTACAATAGTGATGCAACATTGCCAGGGGAGGGTCTGTTCAGTTTTTCAAGCAAAATAAAAACCATTGTCCTGGGAGTTTTTAATGTAGAGGCAACAGAGGTACAATGTAGTTGTTTTCCTCTGCGTCTCTCTTTTTTTTTTTACACCTGATCTGTGAAAAGGCTGCAGCTAACTGGGCTAATCACACACTTTCTCATGCCCAGATAACCCTCAATCTAACCTTGATCGATGCTACAAAGGGTAATGATTAGACGTAAGATCAACAGCATGGCGAGCACCTTTTTTTAGCTGCCTCCTTCGCTCATTCTTCAAACACTTCATTAAGATAATAATATCAATTAGAGTCATTACGAGCGATCATGCTTGTCTAGGATTGTGGCTGTATTTACACAGAATAGCTGTACTAAACCAGCCTTCACAAGTTGATAAGAAAGTGCAGCGGAGCAACAAATGCTATGGCAACAACCTTGGCGGAGGATTTTTTTTTTTTTTACTGTGTTATTTTAGTGTTTTTTTCCTTCCTCATGTCTACTTTTTCCTCTCTAATTCATCTCTCCTTCTGCTTCTCCTTGCCCCCAATTCCTCGTCTTCCTTCTGACAGGAGGACAGCAGCCATACTGACTGCTAATGAGGGACAGAGCTTTTGCTATTTGTGTTTGTGTGCATGTGCATGTCCTTGTGTGTGACAGAGTCTGAAGAAGAAAGACGCAGCGAGAGTGTCTTTGTTTGTGTGTGAGTGCATGCGTGCCTGTAATGGGATTTTGGAAGAGGGTAAGGCCAGAAGCAAAAGAGAAGGAGTGAGAAAGATAAAGGGAGATGTGCACTCCAGCTCTCTTCCCTCGATCTGTTTCCTCTCTGTTACTAGGCAACACCTGCAGGCATGCACTAAATAAAGCCTTGCACCCACTATTCAACCTCCCCGCCTCCAACTCTGACTCTTCCTCTTTCCCCTCATCAAACTCATCCATCTTTCATTCTTGCCTTCACCCCTTAACTGTATAAAACTCTCACTCTTCACCCCATCATCCTAGCATGTTACCTTTGCCTCCCCTACAACACAGATTTGACTCCTTCTTTCTTTATCCAACCCTCAAAAAAATGACTTTTAAGGATTTTTAAAGTTTCAGTTTCTCTGTGACACTAAAGTGGAGCTACAGTATGTCTAAGTCATTCAGATACTGGGACCATCAAGGTGCGTTCAAATGCATTAAAAGTGCCCAAAATGGAATCAGTTAAAACTGATGGTTCCCTGCATTAGCATCCTCTGCCATCACTTTATGAATGTGGTGGGATTGTGTGACTGTGACGAGTACCATAAAAGTACTTTAGTGTGCTCAGAGAGACCAGAAAAGCTCTGTTAAATTATTGTCTATTTGCTGTTTTCCATTCACATTTGTATGTTTATGGTTACAGGCTAACTCATTTACACCTCGCTGCTATTACTTACATTAATTGCAAGTGCATTAATATAGTAACTAGGGGTGGGAGAAAAAATCGATTCACACAAGTATCATGATTTTCGGTTTTACAATTTTTGAATCAAATTTTTTGTTCAAAAAAACTTTTTTTTTTCAAATTTAAGAATAAAGGTCCTTACACACCGGGAATGACGCAAATTTACGATGCGGAATCACAAAATATTCTGAGACGAATTTTAACGCGCCTGACTATACACATCAAGCGCAATGTGATTTTGCAACTTTCTGGGGGGAAAAAAGACGCGTCCCGGGTGGAAGCGAGAAGACTGACACAACAGCAGACTGACTGTTTTTCAGTTCTGATTAGACACTAGTGTTGAGATGTCTGTCTGTCATGATAGCATGTACTGAGTCGGGGCCAGTACCAGATAAGCACATTAAACTATAATCTATAAACGTAAGGTAACAACCGAGACCTAATGTTGCTGTGACAGCAACGCGATTGAGTTTGAGACAGTGAAAATACATATGGTATGTTGTATCTGAACAGGTTAGCTTACGAGCTAAAGCTACTTAGCACAGATGAAAGTTAAAACAAAGACGTTTAGCAAACTCTGTTCCCCAACACGTAAACAATCAGCCAGTCGGCCATGTTGGATATACCGGTGAATCTGACGTCACAACAACACGAAATCTGATTGGTCAGAAGTGGACACACAGTATGTGGACACACAGTATGTGTCCGAAAAAATAAATGCCGCAATATCGCAGGATGGGAAAACGTTGCTGATGTGAACGCTTGTATCGACAGGATATGGGTTCGAAAAAAAATATTGATGTCCGAAATAATTGCACGAAAAAAAAAGCTCCTGGTGTGTAAGGACCTTTAATCTTAAAAACTGACTTACATGTGATGTGTATTTTTGAGGGAAATATGGTTCCTGGAATAGTCAGTAGACAATAATAAACATTGAACTGTTTCACTGGTGTTAAAAATGCAGACTAAAAATCAAAGAAGAATTGAATCGGGAGAAAAACATTTCTTCCCAGCCCTACCAGTAACGTACATTTCTACGGCAAAAGTTTTCATTCAGCTTTGACGAAGAGGAGCTGAGTAAGGAAACCAAACTAATGTTGGTCGATCTTCTACAATTATACTTCTCTTTGAATTTAACATTAAACAATCACATTATCTTGTAGCATGCAATCACTAATGCTGTCCATTTAGTTCAGTTTGCCTGCAGCTACTCAGAACACTAACTCGGAGTAAACCATTTTAAAAGACTGTCTTGTGTAATCATTTTGTGACGCAAACGTCTTTCATCAGTCAATACTTAGAAACACTAAGTTTAAACTTTACTGACTTTGGTGAGATTATAAGATAAGATGTTCCTTTAATAGTCCAACGAGGGGAAATTCCAAATTACATCATTTCAGACATGATGCTGACACCAGAAAGTACATTTTAGTCGCCTTAAGAGAGCTACATGTTTTTTTTTTAGCACGATTTTAAAGCAAAAGTCATAAAGTGCCTTAAAGGTTAGTTAGTCTGACAAAGAAAAGGTGGTCAGTATTATGGTTTGATGTAGAAGAGATTGTTCAATAGTTGAACAATTCATGATGTGCTACTAAAATAACCTTTCATCATTATTTTGACCTCAAAACCTGTATAAATAAACCACCTTCACACACGCTGGCTGAAACACTCTCCATGCTTCTGCCTTTCAGGCTGTACATGGAGCATTTCATGCATTTTTAAAGGTCTCTGCTTTTAAAGAAAACCCTTCAGAGCGACTTTTTAGCACTGTACATATTAAAGGTTATATTCTCATTCCTGGATAGTACAGTACAGAGAACTGTATTAGCTCAGGCTATTATCTCATCCTTCAAGAAAAAAACCTGATTTAGATAAAAACTCTGCAGCTGCAATCTGGAGAATCCTCTGAGTGCTCTCATGCAGGGTGAACAAGTGATCTGACCCACACCTGGATTCTGCTCTGAGCCTTCATTCCACTTGCCATAATAATATCATTTCTCTTTGGGTGATTTGTTAGCAAAGACAGTAAAAGAGCTGAGGTTATAGAGATGTAGACAGAGATAAATAGAAAGAGAGAGGCAATAGCTAAAGACAGCACACCTGGGGACCCCAGCAGGTAAAAGCAACCCCAAACTGTCATTGTGACATAACACCTCATCTGTCTCTGCGTGCAGCAGAGGATATATCTTCAGCTTTATATGGGATCAGTCAGCCTGACAAGTAAGTGCAGCTAAGCAATGATCCTGAACTATGCAGCAGTACACAGAAACCTACTTTAAAACCTTTTAAAATACAGATCTATTGGAAAAGTTACACCTCAAATTCCTGAAGTGTGCGCTTAAAGTTCAAATGACAGCATGCAACAGCACACTAGAGTGTATGGGGAGCTGGGAAGAGGCTCACTCTGTATGGGAGATAACAAAGAATCCATGGTTACTGGGGGAGGCTGGGAGCAGGTATGAGTCTCCATGGAGACATTTAGAGCATTTTTATAGTAGTGCTTCATACCATATGATCATGGTTTGAGACATGTCAAATAAATACGATGGATATGAAAAAAACGGTCAAAATACAGGGTCAAGGTTGTTGAAGTCCAAACACGATTGTTTTTTTTTTACTACTTAAAGTGTTCTCAGTGGTCTTCAAACTGTGGTTATTAAGTTTTTAACCAAAATCATGTTACCTGTGTCGTTTTCAAGAGCTTTTCTTCTGCAGAGCTCCAGTAGCTCATTAGCAATTCGCCTCTGAGTCGTGGGCGGAGACAGCGCTGCTCTGCACACTCCTCTTCACGCTAGCTTGCAGCCTGACATTGCCGGTGTAGTAGAAGAAACAGGTTACAGAGGAGGTATTCAGCGTTCAGACACAAATGTATGAAAGTTAATATCATAATTAGCTCTCTTACAAGCATTTTAATCCTCTACAGAGATGCTTGTTCCGTGATTGTCCTCTCTACTTCTCCAAGTCTGGCCTGCATAGTGGGGCTTCGGGGGCGGAGCTTGGATTGGTTACGTAGGAAATCTCACTGTGTGTGATCCTGCTGTTTGGGTCTGCCAGAGATTCACAGAGATTTAAAAGCAGAAATACTCAGAAATGCAATTTGGCTCTTCTTTTTCCTCATGATATGTCCTCTAGTATAAGGAAAATACCCTATGAACATGTAAACAAGAAAAACATGATTTTCATCGGAGTAGGTCCTTAAGTTCTCCTTTCTAAACCCTGCTTGATGTGAAGACAACTTCACATAAATTCCCTATCCACGTTAAGTAACTACTTATAACACTGATTTATTTGATAGATCAATACAACACTGATAGGTTCCTGCCTGATCGCATGTTTGACCTTTTCTTTTCCATTTCTCATAAGACACTAAATGATGTGTAAGCATGGAGACTCATCTTGTTGTGTAGCTGTTGATTACAAAGGAGCTTGAAGAGGACTCAAGGGTTCCTCTTGAGGTTTTTATCAGTCCTAATGCAAGAGTGGGTGTTCACTCGCTCATGAGGGATAATTTCACTACAAATTAGGGGTAATTTTAGGTTTAAAAACCCAAGATACAGTCCTGTGATCATACACAATCACCTGGTAAAAATACAGACATGATCGTCTGTTACACATTTGTCAGAACCAGGGGGGAGACATGAATGAAAGCCTTTGTCAGCTGCAGCATTATACACTGCCGAGCAGACTGTGTGTCTGTTAAAAATATAACCGCACAGCTCCATCTCTGTGCATGTGTGGAGCTGCCGTTAGACTGTTTTATTTTGTGGGTGCAAACAAGGACACGAACACACAGACCTGCACAATAACACTCACAGACAGAGCCAACATCCATAACCAGAGATTTACCCGTGGATTTTAAAAGGGCGAGCGGTTGCGTATTTGTGTGTGTGTGTGTAGAGCTGAGTGGGATTTGGTATAATCCAAACATGAAACACAAGAGTCCCCCCCACACACACACACACTCTCCCTGTAAGTGTGTATCACTGTTGTGTGTGTGTGTGTGTGTGTGTGTGTATGAGTGAGTGAGTTTGCCTCCCTCAGTCTCTTTTAGCGTTGCGTAACAGCTTGATTATATAATCCCAAACATATATGCATGTCCACAAGGCTGAGCGCTGGAGTGCATGAAGCATCCAAGAGCATCAAACTGAAGAGGGGGATGGATGATGTAGAGCAGGAGAAGGAGGAGCGGCAGGAGGAGGAGGAGGAGGAAGGAGGGAAAGAAAAGAGGAAAGGAAGAGGTGATGAAGGGACAGCTTCCACAGCCCTTTAGTACTGAGGACATTTCTGTTCTGGGTGAGATCACACATTTACTGCTGTTAATACACTCATGTTGACATGAACTGAAACAGAGGTGAGCAGACTCCTCTGGTTCATAGAGTTTCTAATATCAAAATCCATCCATATAGAAATTGATTGATAACACAATAATGGCTCTTGATTGAAAGTAGAATAATGGGACTCTGGTTCGGCTCAGATTGAATCACACACCCCATGTACAAATGCCCCCCAAGCAGACAGACCAGACTCTGTCAGTTCCTTATACTCAATCCTCTGTCTCCTCTACAGATACAAACATTTCCCAAAATTTACTCCAATAAAAAACTTCATTTTTACACCTCTTCAAAGCACAGGATATTAAGAACCAGCTGAGAAAATTTATCCCATGCAGGCAGTGAGTGATAACTCTCCCTGGTGTATGTAAGTCTTCAGATGTTTGATTTTTCACACTCGCTAACTCACAAACTCGGTCTATCAAGTTTTCCCGGATTGGTAGTTTAGACTCAATATTGCTACAACTTCAGAAATTTCTGCCATGCTTAGGCCAAATAACTGTTAACTTATACTTAGGAAATTATTCAAAAAAAATCATGGACTTAAAAACATCGCTGAGCTAATCTACAGTTTTAAATGTCAGCACATAGCTCTATCCACAGGTGGTGAATTTCACTTTGTCTGATAGGGGATCGCAGGTTTAAAGGCCGTTAAAAGAGATCTTAGAGCTGATTCAGTATGAACCTTTATCAGCTGATAAGTGGGTGAATGGTTTGAGAAGTTTAATTTATGAATGGAATCACAAAGAGAAACTTTGAAAGGTAAACACAGTTTAACCCTTGCCTTCATAAACAGTTTTTTTTATAATTGTGATTCAAAAAAGACAGACATCCATTTTTTTCTGTAACTGCTTTCTTTTCAGAATTTTTTTCTGTATTTTCTGCCTTTTTATGCCAAATAGATGATCTCTTATGTTAAAGAATACCGCACACACGACCAGGACAGGGTGAGCAAAAAGATCCAATACTCTGTCCTGAGCCGCCCAAACTGACACGCATTTAAATACCATCATAGTTTTAATGAATACAATTGCACAAGGATCCCCCTATGCACAACATGCAACAAAATCAAACAGAGAAAATTGATTTATACTAGATTTTACAAGCTAATGTCTTTGTCACTTTCCTTTGAAAAATTTGCAGTGTGCACAGTGATACTTATAGATTTATCTGTGACTCACACAGAAAGGTTTCAGTAGACGTCGTATCTGACATTGAAAATCACTGCAGTGTGCCATTCCTAGGAAGAACGACAGTGCTCTCATGAAGTTTTTTTTTTTTTTTTTTTTTAAAGGATTAAAGGCGGAGGATTGAACTGAAAACACTTTGAGAACTTTTCAGAAAGAGCTTCTCTAGACTGCAAGTGCTTTCAGACACCTCTTCAAGGGAGAAAGATCAAAATGTACAGAGAAACTTTGAGGTATGAATCGAGTAAAAATTGAATTGAAAAAAAAAATACTGGATAGATACTCAAATAAAAGTGTAAAAAAAAAGAGGAGAGGATGAAAGAGAATATTAGCAAAAGAAAAGAAAGATAATATATGCCTATTTTGACTACAGTAAATACTATAGTCTAAACTACAGTAAGATGAATTTAAACATTAGACATACCAACAAACACACACTTGATGCAAACAAAGAGGAGCTTAGCATACACACATATTCACACAGAGGCTTAACCCAAACACACACTCCCCCACACCCAGACAAGCCGATGACTCAGAAACAACTTTTGTCTTATCTCCAAACCTTGCTCTGTCTGTCCAATTCAATTTACTCCTCCCCACCCCCACCCTCTCTGTAACCCTCCATCGTCTCTCCTCATCCTCCCAAGGCTTTCATCATTTTCAACTCTTTCCATTTTCTTACGCTATCTTCTTCTCAGGTTGAAAAAATATAGCTATGTTTTGATTTATATTGACTGAGTCTAGCAGCAGACCCCCCGCCACCCTCCTCTTCTGTGACTTCACCCTCAATCCGGAATAATTTATGAATGTTTTCCACAACAATCTGAATTCTTTCATTTGCCCATTTTGTGCTCTTCCCAAAGTTCAACCTTTCCCCCTTCCCCTTTTGGCCATGTTGTTTAAAAATGGACCAGTATTTCATCTGTGCCTTAATCATGCTGTTTTGTTTTCAGTTTCCATGCGGTTAAGTAAAGCTGTGAAGAAATGCTCAAACTATGTCACCTCCACTCCACCTCACATGTAATCCCTGGCACCAACTCTTATCCCAGTCTTGTCCTCCACCACTGCAAACAGCGCTGTCACTGCCGTATCCACACAGACTCAGGGAACTGATATGACAGCCACTCCACTGCTTAGTTAATACCCATGGTCATCCAGTGTCGAGGTCACAGATCAAATAAGAAAAGAGGGGAGGGAAGGACAACAGAGTACCAAGAGGTAAAGTGAGGAGGGAGTCGGGAGAAGAAAATACAGAGCAGAGCGGAGGAGTGCAGGATGCCTTCTGTGGTCTCTCTGTCCTCTCATCCCCCATCAACAGAGAGAGGTAAGGGGGCTGGTTGTCATGGCGGCTGTTGTCATGGCAGCTGAACTGGGTTATAAACAGGAGCGCTATCTGTCTATCCAGTACAGTAAGGCTATCTCTGCGAATGCAGCTAAGATGCAGGAAATGAGCTCAAGTCAGGAGGCATTTAAACATCGTTTTTCACTTCTTTTCATTAAAACAGCTGAGGTTCTTCATAGCCTTTGAGAAGTAATATACCCCTATTTATTGATAAAATGTTCCAACAGAGACGCCACTTTCTTGCCATGCTAGGTCCCTCTAAAGATTTCAGTCCCAAAAAATTTACAACTTGGCACAATAGTCGGATATCTAAAGGTACCATCGAGGATTAAAGGCTGCAATTAGACTAAAAGACTTTTACCACACACGACAAGCAACCGCTCTTTACTACCCTTCACTGACTACCTGTTAGTGTTAGAACTGATGAAGATTTGACTTCTTGTCTCAAAAACCTTAAATGATCAGGCTCCAGCTGGGCACAGCCTGACTGCCGCCTGAGGTCCTCTAAGAGGGACAGATGTATGCTTCTAAAATCTGGACTGCTTAGAAAAGGAAAATGCTCTGGTAGATGTTTTATTCTTCAAGATCGCTGATTCGCTTGTTTAGCTGTCAATCAAAAAAGGATTTTACCTCAGACAGCTCATCCAATCATGGATGCAGAAGCTCAGCGTCCGCGAGAAAGTTGGGACCGCCCTCTCGTCATAGAACTCCAGAGATGCTGAGCGTCCGATGGGCGGGACAAAGCCCAGCATTTATCCAATGAGCATCTAGTTTCGCTGCTGGAACAACCCACTTTGAGCTTCCACATTGAACTCAGCAGAAGCCGAGCGTCCGGCTGTGTGAAGCGCTGAGGCGCTGCGAGGATGAATGAGAACGAAGTCATGCCGGTTACTGTGATAAGAAGCTGATTCCGAACAAAAGATGAAGGCTTTCTAGCACATATTTAGTTAATGAAATGAACACACAGCAGTACGTATTTCACCACTTTTTCTTTTTTTTTGGGGGGGTGACATTTTAAGGGAAGCTGAGCTTCCCTTGCAGTCTTAGAGCAATTGCCACTGATGTATATAAATATATATATATATATATATATTTGAAAATACCATTTATATTTATATTTTTAAATACTGTATATATGTATTTAAAATATATATTTATTTATACATACAGTATTTAAAATAAATGTCTTCCCTCATTGCGGTTTTGATATTTCTATGATTCACAGAGGTTAGTCAACCCATTCTCCTGCATGGCTGTAAAACTCAACAGGCCATTTAATTATGACCACCGACACAACTGACTTTCAAAAGCTTTAATCAATTTTGTATTTCTCCATCGTAGCAGGTGTAGAAAATAAAATGACAACTGACATAGACCCCTCAAAACATGAGCAACTAAAAGAGGATTGAGGTCTACTGATAAGTGAAATAAACGTATTAAAACACTTTCAAATAAAAAACTTAAGAAAATAACACAACCCTTTCTAACTGAAAGCTGATTCCCAGAGACGATCAAACTATTTGAGATTCCATTAAAGTCCTTTTCTAAAGGGGAATCCTTCTGCATCGTCAGTGTGTTGAAATACAGGGATCAGTACAGGCACATCACTCTCCTGTTCATCATGGTGTGGTCTTGGACCTGTTCATCAGCTCTCAGAGCTCTCGTTCAGTCAATCATTCCCTCCAACTTTTCCTCAATGTGTTCAGCCACTAGTCACCTGGCTGCTCGTGTCCATCTTGGGTGAAGATTCATTTTCATTTTCATTTCCGTTCTTCATGTCCAGATTGACTTCATTTTCTACTGTTCCTCCTTCCTGTCCGTCCTTTTCCACCTCGTCCACTACATCCTCCTTCCCCTCCTTTCCGTCCTCCCTTTGTTTCTGCCCAAGGCCCTGTTTGTCTCTAAAGACCTCTACACCTAACATTCGGAGGTAATGAAACCTCTCGTTACGCGGTACGAAGGCTCTGATGGACGTTTTTCCCCTCCAGCCACACAGCTGGATGGGACACTGGGGCTCTGCTGGGTTACTGACAAAGAGAGGTGGAATAGCAGGTGTCACAAATGGCTTCAAACCAGGACATTCCTTCAAAAATCCGATAATATGCATGTGAAAGACAATATTTTCAACTTACTTTGGGTTGGGAATGTACTTCAACACAATGCTCCCCATAACTGTCGAGAGAATAATACATTAATTACTACAGGAATCAAACTATAATCACTGAACCTATTTTGATGCTGGATACGCCCGCGTGCTCTGTTATTTGTATTCATCCCTGATGACGAAACTGTGTAACCACAGTTTCCTTTTTCTAAAAAAGCTGAGCTCTTCTCCAGAGTTTCTAGGTCAATACCTTGCTCAAGGGCAGCTCAACACTACTGTTGAGGAAGACAAAGCATTACTCATTCATTCCGCTCTTTCATTTTATGCCAACAGAACTGGAAACCTTCAACTCAATATCCACTTCTCTAACAATCATGCTGCTTACCTGTGAGTATCATCTGGAGTCAGTAACTATAAAATGACTAAGGTTTGCTTTTGTGAAAGGCTAATTATGTGGAATACATCTCTTATTTTTGCAATGAGAGTCTTCAGTCTGTGTACCCATTTTCTTGGCTTGAGAGTGAGCATCGTCCCCCAGTTTGCTGAGGAAGGGGTTCTCCTGGGTCAACAGCACTTTGATGTCCTCCACACTCACTCTGATTATCCTGGAGCGGATGTACGGCTGGAGAGTGTAAATACCCTGACAGGAAAGAAAGAACATGAGGTTGACAACCTGCAGACTGCTAGAGCTTTTACATACAATAAACCCCACTAGTTCTCCTTTTTGAGTGGGACCTCTGCTGGGCGGCTCCCTTATTGCTGAGCCAAGATCAAGCCTCCAGAGCAAACACAGTTATGTTGGTGAGACTGACTTAAAGGGACATTTCTGCTTAAATTTGAGTTATGGTCAAACACACCATAACAGTGAGTTAGATAGACACCCCCTCTAGAGATGAATGTTGCCGACTGCTTGCTTCTCTAGTGATACCAACTTCAGCCACGACTGCATGATAGCGATACACAGCGGTCTACGTCTCCATGCGCAAACCTCAACCAAAAGCTACTCTATAGTCACTACTCTAAAGCTACTCTTTGTGGGGGAGCCCTTACAAGTCGATCACCGAGTGCAGCGGAGTTTCGCAGCTCAAGGAAGAACATTTATGATCATTACTTCATGGAAATGCAATCAGATTTCTTGTGTTTCTTGTATGTGCACTTGCAGACATGGTAGTTCTTCTGATTTAGCGTCTTGGTCTGATTGCATTTCCATGAAACAATAATCATAAATTTTCTGCTGCACTCGGTGATTGACTCGTCAGGGCTCCCCCTTAATCAAGCGGCTGCTGGAGGAGAGTGGGTGAGTGTTGATGAAGTTAGGTGCTGTTCTGAGCATTATTTGTGGCTATAGAGTGGCTTTTGGTTGAGGTTTGTTTATGGAGACGTAGACCGCTGTGTATCACTAGAGAAGCAAGCAGTCAGCAACATTCATCTCTCAAGGGGGTGTCAAGGACTGTTCACGTTTGTTTAAGTGGAGTTAAGGCATGAGGAAAATGTTTGATTAAGAAACAGCTTTTGATTATTAAAAGTCCTGCTTTTCTTATTTACTTCCTCTGAAGAGTGTGTTAGGATGAAAGTGGCATTCAAGTGAGTGACTGCGCTGTGCGAGTGTGACTTTTACCTCCTGAGCTAGCCTGAAGGCGCAGCCAAACTCCTCTCCATCGCTGTTGCGAGACCACACTTTAACTCCAGTGTTGATCACCTGAGGAACAAAAGATTACCCACAAAAAATTAGGCTCTTTACACAAACGACAAAATCTAAATAAAAGATAAATTCAACAGAATTTCCCCGCACTAATTAATCACTGCGGAAAACAAATCAAGGGTACTTCAAATCAAGGTCTAGGAGTCATTATTGTTGTTTGATGTTTTGCAGCATCACCGCTGTTTTATTTTTTTAAGTAATTACTAACGCTGACTAAACTGCCTTGCTTAAGGCATCTACTGAACAACATAATACAAAACTGTCGGCAAACACAATTCAGCAGCTTTTAAGTGTCCCAACAGGAGTAGGAGGCAACTGTCAGTGATTTGCATAGTAAAATAAAACCAAACCTGCAAATAAATATGCATGTTGAGCTCCTCAACAACCTTGGGAAGTGGAGCAAGTTAAATGACCTTAACATGACTAATTTATAAGTGAATACTGCACAAGAATGCAAACATGTGTGAACAACTGAACAGTTTTAATATCTATTCAAAGAAATGTTGCTCCAGTTGTTCATGCTGATGTTAAATCTGTGTTCAAATAAATACTGTCAACCAAATCAACGAATGTCCAAGTCTTTGCCGCTTTGCCATAGGCTTCTCCCAAATAACAGAGACGGCATTAGCAACAACTGCAGAAATTTTCCATTGACAGGGTTTCCAATTCATTTGTGAACCTTGACAAACTTCAACAAGAAAGGAGAACTGAGTTTTGTGTTTCGATCATCAAACCCAAAAGCTGTTATAATTATGAAGAAATCCACTTCATTGTGGTTGAACCTGACAGAAAGGGATTTAAAGTGAAAGGAAAACAAAGACAGTGAAGCGCACAAACCAAAACACATGCACAGTACCACCTGTGCAGGTGCTGCGGGGTGTAGTAGGACTACAGGGATTTTAAGTGGAAGAGGGTCCCATCTGTTAGGCTGTTTTTCTATGCTGGGCAGATAAATGTACACAATAATACACTAACAAGGAACTGTTGCATCAATCTTGACTGTATGGAGCATTTGTATTTGGATGCATTACGGACATTAGTGTTAATGGATTTTTCCATGTCCGTTCTTTTCTTCTTAAAGTGATAAAAACACACAGCAAAGAGAACCGGTGGGCTTTAAATCTAGTCCCATATGTTAGTGGCTCTACCTCGGTACATTGAGTACTCTCTGCCTGAAGTTCAATCCAACCAAATTATTTTTCTTATATAAAAGGTAGGTGTTACATCACCGTCATTACAGCTGACCTCAATGTGTGAAATGATGCAAACCCTGTTCCAAAAGGTACACACACAAGTACACACCACACACCTTCATGCGTTCGCTGTTGTTGAGAAGCACATTACGGAGCTCCTTTGACACCATGTACAAGTGTCTCTTCTTGCCTTCGTGGGTCCTGGTCAGAACGTTGAGCTTGGGGAAGTCGGGCGACATATCATAGAAAGATCTAGAGAACAAAAGAAACACAAACTGTTTGACTCTGCTAATAAAAATAAAGAAGTCTGAGTACCACTACCAAAGCACATTGAGGGACTCACTGTATGCTGGTGAAGACAGGGTCGTCTTCTGTGAGGAACACAAAGGGGTCTTCTTTATAACCGAAGAGCTTCATCTTCTTGGTGGGTGGAGGGCTGTGAGGGATACAGATAAACAGGAGTCAGTTATTCAGCTCATACATTTTTCATCTTACTCTCTTCTTTTTTTTTTTTTTACATTATAACGTCATAAATATCATAAAATATAATCAGCATATTAAGAGTATGATAGCACCCTCATTGAAGACAAACGTTCATATTGATTATTGACGTATTACAGAACTTTAAAAAAAATGACAGCCTGAAATCTGCGTTTTCTAAAGGTTTGTTTCTTGATTCAGTGACTATTTTTTAATACAAAGCACTGTATATGTATATTGATATGGAGCTACGTCATTCATCTGCTTATTGGCTCACCAAGACAAATGACTCACCCACACACTCCCTCTTGTTTAGTAGTAGTCTCCGGGGCTGAAGAAGCTTCTTTGGACGCCTCCTCTACTTTCTCCCCTGATCCCTCTCCCTCCTCCTCTTCCCCTCCCTTCCCCTCCACGGTTGTCTCCGGGGGGCAAGGAGTGTCTACAGGGGACGAGGCTGCTGCAGGGCCTCCAGCTCTGGTCTCTGAGATGGACGACATGTCCTTCCTCAGCTGGGGATGACAGAGAGGTGGATGAGCAGACGGGGGGAAAGGAGAAGTCCCAGCTGTGGTTTGTAAAACTAAATAAGGATGCAAGTAGACTTGAGTGTGTGTGTGGGGGAGTGGGGGGGCGTGCTCGTGGTTTTACAGACACACTGCAAACCCACATGGGGGAATTCTGCTCCAGTTACCACTTCAAGTACAACTGATGATCTAATCATCCATTAAGAGTGTGTGTGTGTGTGTTTGTATGGGTGTGTTTTTGAGAGGAAGTACCTTGGGATATCTTTTATTCCACGGCATCGGCGCCTTCTTCACCAGTACAGCCACAAAGAAGCCCCCAGTGTTCTGGTGATGCGGCAGAATCCTCATGCTGACATTAAAATACACACAAACATATCATTGCTTTGACTTGACGATGCCTCCTACTGTGAGAAAGCTTTGGTGGCATTACATGAAAAGGGGGCCTCAAAAACTGTATGACAATAGCTCCCTCTGCTGGCCAGTAGTGTATCAGTCTTTGTGCTGAGGTTAAAGCTGCCGAGTGGAGATGACATCATCCTCCCACTACGTAAGAGTGCAGGTATGCACATGGGTACGCATCGTTGCATGCGTGTGGCTGAAGCTGAGCCGAGACAATAAATCAAACCGAGCCCAGCTGATGAATCCGGAATCTGCAAAGACAGACCACCATGTGGGTGCTTACAGGACACCTTATGATAATCTTCACACTCATGGGGGGTTTGGAAGAAGCTTCTTGCTCTTACTGCTTCTATTTTCTTTGGCCACAGAGCCTTTACAGGACATCATTAAATCGGGCTGGCTGTATGTAAAAGTACTTTTCGGGGGTTAGATTTGTACAATAAGAACATAAAATCAAACTGAGTGGTCCTCATTTTACTACAAAAGCTTTGTGTGCTGTGCGTACCATCTCTCCAGATGCATGCTCGCAAGTCTCTCTTTGTCTGTTGGCGGGAACATGGTGGGGCGGATCTGTGTGTGCCGACTGCTCGGAACCTCAGACCAGTCAGAGAACCACTGACCCTCTTTGGTCATCAGCTGAAGAAAAAAAACAAATAAAATGTCTTTTATTTGAAATTCAATCAAAGCAACTTACATCAACCCACAAGATTCTGTCTGACTGCAAAGTTAAGGTGCTGTCATGACTAAAACACAGTTTTGAGGCTGATTCTTGGAGCAGCTGCCAAAGACTAAATGTTCCAGTACCTTCCAGGAAGTGACCCCAGGCATCCACTTCAGTCCTGGTAGATCAGCTGAGCTGTCTGCCAGCTCCAGCGCTCCTGACAAAGCCAACAGGAATGACGTTATGACTTGGCAAAAAACTCCAGAGATTATGTTTTACTGTACCAATTTCCATGAGAATTTAGAATAATTACATGATTGATGATAATACGTCAAAAAACACAGCCAGAAATTTTAGAGTTGTTCAAATGTTTGGTTTTTAAACAGCACATTAAGTTACTCACAAACACTGAGCACAGCTTTGATTTAGTTATATTACGCAGCCTGAACATCAGTGCAACATCATCTACTCTTGGACTGTTTTTTAACCATTGTGATTACTCCCTTCCAACTACTACAGACAAACCCTGAGGAAATGTATCCACAGCTCTCAAATCACGCACAGCAACAAACAAAAATCCTGTCCAACCATCAGCCTGTGAAATTATGTGAAAACAGAGCTTGATGCCATTGCTAATATTAAATCAAAGAACATGACTTTAACAAATAACACCAGTGTTCAGATTCCAACAAACTCTTTAAGACAGATCAGGTGAGCATTTTAGCCTGTATGGTCATTTTTGAAAATAGCTTACCTATTATCTTTGTGAAAGATCATTTTTAATATTAAATTAGATCACTCCTGATTCAGGGTTCCTACACAGTTGGAATTGACATACTTTTCCATAATTTTTAAAATTATTTTTGGAAATACCTACTTTTCTATTTTAGAAAACAGTACATTAGAACTGTAGTAATAGTCTGGAAACATTTTTCATTTGCAATACTTTTTAAGACCTGGAAATTGATCAAATTTATTTCAATACTTTCCATACTTGTGTAGGAACCCTGCTGATTATAAGGTGACCTGCAGTAAGGTTCAGTGTCACTGGGATACACGGCATCTCTCCACAGTTATGCTGATGACCCTAAGCTCTACTGTGTCCATGTCTTCTGATGACACCATGCCAACTGAATCACTTTTAGCTGCATTTTAGACACTAAAACATGGAGCTCCAAACTTTTTTCAGCTCATTCAAAACAAAACACAAGTACTCGTCATTATTTCAAAGACTCAGATAAAGAAACTGACCTCTTTACTAAATGAATTTGGACTTAACCCAGGCCAAAAAGCAGGAAATCTAGGGTGCTCTCTTTGATTCAGATTGTGATTTCAAACCACATGTACACTCTGTAACAACCGCATCTTACTATCTAAACAATATTTATAAGGTGAGGCTGTATCTCTGTGATCAACACAGAGAGATTCATGCTAACTTTTATAACTAGCATGCTAGACTAATCCAATGGGCTCCACTCTAGTCTGCCAAAGAATACAATGAACCAGTTAATCGAAAATGCTGCAGTATGAGTGCTGACAAAGACCAGAAGGAGATCACATATAACTTCTATTGTAACAGCTTTGTACTGACTGACTGTTAGTTCTCGTATTGATTTTAAAGTTCTTTTACTTGTTTTTAAGGACCTGCATGGCCTCACACCAGACAACATCCTATCTAGTTTATGAACCAGGAAGGCCCCTCCGTTCCCAAGCTTTTCTCCTTCAACTGTTTCTCAGTGCAGAACTCAAACATTTCCTCATGCTGGTTTCAGATTTTATGCTTCAAGACTCTGTAACTCTGCAGGAAGATCCAAGGGGAGCTGCAAATATTGAAGTAGGAGACTCATTTCACTTCAATTATTAAACCATTCTGAATGTTTCTGAAAACTGATCAGCTAAAATCAGCAATAGCCATGGTTATTAAATGAAAATGACTGCTTTCATACAATCTAACACATACCACAATATTCATCTGAAAAAAGCCAACACACTTATCTACCATTTCATCAAAGATAAATCAGCCTTTTATTCTGATAATCAATTATTTCAAAAAACTGAACAGCAAATGTAGCGCACCAAAATCTGAGTGGTCTTTTAGGGAAAGGATTTGTGGCAGAGTGAGGCTAAGACCAGCCACGACAGGTATCACATCAGTTTATCCAGTTTTAGTGCTGCACCCATGAAAATCTCACGTAATCAGCTTTAGGCACAACTGTTCATACTTCTTATATGTCTTATGCAGTGTAATGAAGGAGGGCACCACATCCACTTATCTCCTCTATAAATCATCTGTGTTCTCACTGACTCAACTTTTAGACTTCTCTTATCAATAAAAGTATTCAACCTCCTGTACCTCCTGCACACTCTTTCAATGTAAACAATACATCTACTGTGAAATGAGGAATAAAATATGTCTGTTTTCATATGACAGAGAGAAGAAGAATTTAATCAGTCAGATACATCAGCCTATGACAGAGTGAGTAATCTCTACTGTGGCCAAAGACATTCAGCATAAACAACTGTGTCTTTGACTACTCCTGTAGGTTTCCTCAGTGATCGATTGGATGTATATCCTCAATCAACCCTGTGTGTATTTACACCTGTTAAGTCTGTAAATACCAGTGATGCTGTCACTCATTTCACATGTTGATACCAAGTATAAGGAAGGTTCAATAAATAGTTTGTAGGAAGCTACTTGCCCTTTTTTTTTTACTTCAGCTGAGGTTGTGGTTAAGACCACATTAAAGACCCATTCAGATGAAAATCATGTTTTTTCTTGTCTACATGTTCATATGGTATTTTTCTGATACTGGAGGACATGTCATGAGAAAAAGAAGTGCAAATTGCATTTCTGAGTGTTTCTGCATTCAAATCACTGTGAATCCCTGGCAGACCCAAACAACAAGATCAGACATAGTGAGATTTCCTACGTAACCAATCCAAGCTCCGCCCAGGAGCCCCACTATGCAGGCCAAGCTTGGAGAATAGAGAGGACAATCACACAACAAGCGTGTGTGTTAGCAGATTGAAATGCTCGTAAGAAAGCTAATTATGATATTAGCTTTCATCATGTCCCTACAGACATTAGTGTCTGAACGCTGAATAGCTCCTATGTTACCTGCCACTTCTACTACACCAGCAATGTTAGGCTACAAGCTAACTCAAGGAGGAGTGTGCAGAGCAGTGCTGTCTCAGCCCACAACTCAGAGGTGAATTGCTTATGAGCTACTGGAGCTCTGCAGAAGAAAAGCCCTTGAAAATGACACAGGTAGCGTGACTGGCTAAAAACTTCATTATCAGCGTTTAAAGACCACAGAGAACACTCTAAGTAGTAAAAGAGAAAAGATCGGAGTGGGACTCTACATCCTCAAGCGCTCATCTTTGACAGTATGACTGGTAAACTACTTAGAATAGTTGTGAAGCCTGATATTAAATGTAGACAAATCAAAATTGAGCTTGTCTGGTACTGGAACTGAGCCTGTGTACGTGTGTGCGTGTGTGTAACCTTCGCTCTTCTCCAGCAGCGCTGCGATGACGGCCTCGTCTTCTATAGGGTTGAGAGAACAGGTGGAATAGACCATCCTCCCACCCACAGCCAGCTGTTCCACACCACGTACTGCAATACGGAGCTGGAGCCTGGTAACAACAAACACACACACATAAAAAAAAAAAAACAAGCCCTCTAATATTGCCAACTTTTTTTTTTTTTAATTAGCACCAAAAGAATGCAAAACATTCCCTTGTTGTTTAGTCAATTTAGTGAACAACAGGAGAGCATGAATTCCTAGTTTATCACAAAAGCACAAACACATTCCCTTTCCTGACTCACCCATGCAGATGCAGGCTGTTGCTGGTTGTCCACTTCTTCCACACATCTATGTTCTTCCTCATGGTGCCGTCTCCGCTGCAGAACACAGAGCAGACAGAGAAACATCCCCAGTTTGACTTTAGGCTCTGAAAACAGCAGACACTTTTCATAGGGTAAAAATGTCTGCCAAGCACAAACTGTCTGGACACTCGGCTGTAGCTGACTGCTCACAACCCCTGCTTCCTGCCTGCCCCCTCTCTGTCTTCCATTACTACTTTTCTTGCCCTTCTCCTTCTATGTTGTGTTTGGCAGGGTCTTCTGGCTACAGCACTGCAGCTGGCCAAACTCGGGCCAAATTTGCAAACACTCAAAGTTCTTTTTGGGCCAAAAAGTGATGCTAGGTCCAAAGAGGTGAACAGTGTTTGAACCACAAAGCCATTAGGGAAACACGAAGAGAAGAACATGACAAATAGCTATTTATGGAGGACCTTTAAAAATCTTGCATCTTGCCAGAAAGGGGAGGCTTATCTCCATCTGTCACAATAAATCTCTTCTACAGTAGAACCACAAAAACATCAGCTTATCAACCATATTTCTTTCTATATCCAAGTCTCCTACAGTGTCTTTAAATCTCAGCTCCCCTGCAGTGTTCTAATGTGTGAAAATTCCTTCAGCCTTTCCCGGACCTGCAGGGTACGTCGCAGAGGATGCGGTCGTAGAAGAGGATGTCCTTGCTGCCATCTTTGTCGATTTTCAGCATGGGGATGCAGGAGGCGTCATGGTTGACAACCATGATGCAGGGGCTGTTGAGACGCTTGGCTTGGTGCACAAGCAGGTAGCAGCGCTTATTGTCCACATCATTGGCAATGACAAAGCCCTCTGAAAAGTAAAGGAGGAGATTTCAGTTGACAACCAATAAAATGGAAGCACAAAGACAGACAGTCAGCTGCTTATACGAGGATTAATTCTCCAGGTTGAATTCACGGATGTTTTCTGTGCTTTATGAATACTTCAGAGGACACATTTGAGTTACTTACAGTGACTGTGTGTTAATTTCTCTGCAATTTAACAGTCATTAATATTGTTAAAGGTGCTAGTCTGCGGCTCAAGCTGCATTGCACTCTCGGTGGAAGACTGGTCACAGCACAAACCATCATTGAGCCCAGGTACAGCTATTTGACGTACAGATTGGCATTCTTTTATCATAGTAAAATTGCTGTCAAGTCAGGCTGTCAACGCAGTCAACTCCTATTGTTTTTAACTTTGATCAAAAGTCTGCTTGTGTGATGTGATTCAACCTGTATTTTTTTTCTGTAGGATACAAAAAGAGGTTCCAGGAGTAAATTGCTTTTTCAGTTCTTGCCATTTTTACAACAATAAATCTTTCTCAAAGTTACAGCTGATAATGTTGCATCTTTACAGGGTTTGAATGCTGCCCCCCCTCTGACCTGGAAAGGGCACATCCATGTCAGAATGGAGCATCTCAATCAGCTGGGCTGTCTTTGACCCAGGAGCAGCACACATGTCCAGGATCTGCACATAAACATACATCAACACACCAAACAATATCTTTCAGATAACTGTTTCCAAAGCCAGAGGTACACAGGGGAAAAATTGTAATACCTTAATACCTTATGTTGTCAAGCAAGCATACAAAGATTTGGGGAGTGATGAGATTTTCTTAAACCTCCAAGATAGAGTTTGGAGTGGCATACAGGCTCCTGTATCAGTGCAGCATTGGTACAAGTCAGTACTGACATTTACAGAGCAGACGGACAGATGAGAAACTTGCAGCTGAAGTGGACAGCCACAGATAGTACAGTTTTCAGATGATGGTAAAGAGAGAGACATGTCATGCATGTAACAGTGTAGCTCATTGGCTGTCTGAACAAGCTTACAGGCTCTGCCTCATTAACCTCTGACCCCATATTTTTAACCTATAACCAGTACTTTACCTTGTGGTGGGACTCGATCTTCAGGAGTAGAGGGGGGATCATACTGACAGCTTCCTGTCTGCTGATATTACCCTGCACAAACATGAAAAGTTATACTTATCTATTCCAGCATTTCCTTTTCACCCTTTTACAGTATGACATCCTGTCTTTGTTAAAACACTGAGTGATTGAAGTAAATTATCTATTTATTTTGTGCTTTCCTCACCGACTCAGTCTCGCTAACCAGAAACTGGTGGAACTTCTCCAGCAAGGGAGACTTCCTGATGATCTTCCTACTCATGTTAGTGTGCCAGGCCTGCTCATCTGGGTACCTGGAGATGACAGGGCATAAAGTTCAGTTAGATTTCAGAGAATTGGAGTTCTTAGAGCCAGGGGTAAATCATCACTCAATCAATCAGTCTATATTTATGTAGCACTTTTCATACACAACCATGTAGCACAAGTACCCCAGCCCAACCCGTCATTCCCACCCCACGATCCAAATGCAACAGAAACAGAATTAAAATGCATGAACTTAAAAAGGCTTGATTTTGTGGAAACAGGAATATGCACACTGAGGAAACGTCATAAGGAAACACAAGAGGTTTAGGTTAAAATTGAAAAGCAAAGTAACATAGAATGAAATTTAAGAAATAATGAATAAAATGAAATAAAAACACATGACATCCTGACATCTTACCAGCTTAAAGGCTGCGGAGCCTCAGTCTTCTGTCCATCAATCTCTAACTCCTGGATATCCTTAAAGTATTTTTCCTTGAGACAGTGGAGGATTTCTTTGGCATGGCTGAGAGGACAGAAAAGACAGCAGTAGGAATGGAAGTTAAACTAGCTGATTTTCAGTTCATTTAACCACCGCTCTTATCACCCATTAAAAAAAAACTGAAGCTGGAATCAGATTTTCATGGTTTGGGGTTTGCTTCTCGATGTAAGTTTACATCCAAGTCTATTACTGTCACATTTGTCATCACAAAATACTTGTCATAAAAGCAATATTAGGGCTTAACTTGTGTTTATGCGACAACAGAGTTAAAATGGAGGAAAGAAAAATAAATGGTAAATATCAGAAAAAGGAGAGAGAGCACATTTGAGAACAGATTTTACAAGTTATCACACATTAAGGAAAGTCCTGGCTCTCATTTTCTAGGTTGTGCATGCTTTGTCAGAAAGAAAAAGACACAAGTTTACATCAGAATACATGACTTTATATGTGACACTTTGTACCTGCTCAAATGCAGGGTGTAAATCTCTCCAATTCACCTCTTATATCCAGTGATGCGGATAGTTGCGGGCAGTGGTTCTCTCATTGCATCCATGAACTGTTCGAACTCCTCTAAAGGCACCAAACCTTGCTCTTTGTAGTAGTGCTCGAACAGCTTATTTTCCTTCACAATGTCTGCATAGCCAGCTTCCCAACCCTAAACAACCGAGACTTGGTTAGTATCAGTATTGTGGCATGTAGTTAAACCTGACAATCTCGCCAAATAAAAAGGAAAAGCGTGTTTTAAGAGATGTTAAAAGAGGCAAATGGAAGTCAGGGATGGATCCATGTGAGGTGAGTGAACAGGGAGCTAACTGTAAAGCAGGATCTGGACCACATTATCACATCACAATGACTACATGCAGCTGCTAAAGATGTATATTAAGCCTGTTTCGCATTCATCAATATCGACAACGAGCGGCCTTATCGGGCTTTTAAAAAGTCACAAAAAAAGGATTTGCAACAGTGAAAGTGTGAATCTTACTGCGTTGTCCCTGGGATCCCTGCCGCCAGCACTTTGGTTTTTCTGCCGCTGTCTGCTTCTTTTACCCATGTTTGGAAAACAGAGAATCCTGGAAAAACGACGTAAAATTATGTATAGGGGAACGCTGGGACAGCTGTACATTGACTGTAAGTCAAACAGAATAGGAACCTGATGTTAGACTGCGAAGAAGATCAGAGACTATCCTGGAAACGTGTTGCTGCTGTCGCACATGAATTAGGACCCAATGAGGCGGCCCGAGATCTGCCTGAAGGTAAAAGAAATTTCTTCCGGAATGTCAAATGGATTTACTGAGGTTTTTTAAATTATATTTTTATTGTTGTTATTACTTCACCGTGCTGCAAATAATAACTCAGTGAAAAATCTATAATGTCTTTCCCATTTTTTTTCTCAGAGGGTGGGGGGTATTGGATACTTTCTCTGTATTCTGTGCAGGGCCGGCCCTAGCCTTTTTGGTGCCCTGGGCAAAAATTACTCAACGCCCCCCCAGGACATGTCCGAGCGAAAGAGGACGTCTGTTCACCAGACATCAGCGTGTTAAGCTAATGCTTACTTTATTTCAAGCTAGCTAGCTAAAAAATATTCTTTACACAAAATGATATTTTATAAAATATGTTGACATTACATTATCTTGCTATTTGGAATTCTTTCCTTCTCCTTTTTTTTCCTTTCCTGAAACTGTGCGCCCAAGAGCTTAGCTGTCCCTTCCATGATGAAAAACGTATAAATAAAATCACCTGCTTGCTCGCTGACTTGCGATGCACCCCCGCATCATGTGACTCACCAAGTGACAAACATAGTTACTTTATTTTATCATTTTATTTGTTATTTTCAAGACAGAAAAGTAAAGGGGGCACCAGTAGGCGTCATAAGCTATTATATGATTTCATCTTCATTTTTTTCCAAAGGGGGAGGGCACTGGCAGTGCGCCCCTCCGGCAGATGGCGCACTAGGTGACCGCCTATGTCACCTATGCGACATACTGTTCCAGTGTTAACATCAGATGGTACACTCAGGTGATAGTGAATAGCCGTGTAACAGTGTTTATAATTATTATTATTATTATTATTATTATTATTAAATTAAATTTATATTACATTTTAGAGTAACAAATCCACTTTCTAATGTGTTTTTGTTTTCCTCTTGGTCCAAACCAAGTGGGAAAAGTAACAAAAATAAAATAGAAGGAGGGTGTGAATAAAAAAATGAGTACAAATTTGAACTAAAGGGCTTATGATACAACTGATAGTTTAACATAACGAAATTAAGATAAATATATATATATCCCCGAGGGCAAACTCGATAATTTTATAATCTTGTTTGTGAGTAGCTCTATGGCCAGAGTAAATTTTTCGGTTGCATTACTGTTCAGCCAAAGGCTGCTTTATACTGTGAGTCATGTGACTAACACCATATTTTGTAACCTGCACTGATGAGCATTTCCATTGGTTGTAAGAATTACGTCACTTATGTATGAGGATTGTGATTGGCTGTCGATGGGAAACCCATCCGTTTGGGGCGTGTGGAAAAGCAGCGTTTCTGTTTGTCGTGGTAATTCAGCATCTATCCAAGTTTTCATTGATTTAGATTTGTGTTTTGTAAGAGTATATCCTCACGCCAACATGGACTCGCTCCTCTCACGGCTCTTTTCCTCGGAAGAAGAAGAGTTGTACATTTTGGACTGCATGGGTTACTTTATGGTTTTTATGGCAGCTTGCACTTTTGTGACTTTGCTGTTCGAAAATGTCCCATATGGCCGATATGCTACAAGCAAATACGGGTTTCCAGTGAATGTACGGCTTGCATGGTTTATTCAGGAGTTACCTGCATTCCTGGTGCCTTTCTGTTTAGTATTTTGGACGTCCTCGGCGAAGACCTCCGAACTACCTAACCAGCTCCTTATCGCTATGTATTTCTGCCATTATGTCCAGAGGTATGTAGGAGTTATAAAGAAACCAAGCAGCATTTCGGTTAATATTATGATATATTCTACTAAGTTTTAACAGTTGAAATAACTGTATTTAGATCTCAACATTTTATTCTGTTTCAGGTCCCTTATTTATCCATTTTTGATACGAGGGGGTAAACCGACACCATTCGTCTCATTTGTCCTGGCCATTGTTTTCTGTCTATATAATGGATACATGCAGATCAGGTACCTGAGCCATTATGCTGAGTACCCTGCTCACTGGGTCACACATCCATGTTTCATTGCAGGTAGGTGTCCCGTATCTGCAACTCGTTTCCTCAACAGAAACATAAATGCTTTGTTTTGCATGAAATCTTGTCTTTCTAACTTCCTTTTAACATCTGAAATCTACATTTAATGCCCCGTGAATAGTTTTAAAGTAGTGGCAAAACAGGCTGAAATTAACACGTGTACTTCTTTATGAGCCCTAAAAGCAGTAAAGCAAGACCATCAGCAGCAAAACTGACAATTGTTATATTCAAATTTTTCATACCTGCAACACAAAGGGGAGGAGACAGACCGAGTGATTGACAGCAGGCTGACAATCTCTCATCAGAAAATACTACTTTGGCATGTAAAGGAAAGAGAAAAGGTTTCAGACTTCGCCCACAGGGTGCGCCAAAATTGACCCAGTACTGACCCATAGTATTGACCCATACTTAAAGTTGCACTAGATCAGTGTTTTTCAACCAGTGTGCCGTGGCACGCCAGTGTGCCATGACAGATAGTCAAGTGTACCCTGAGAAATTATCCAATTTCACTGACTTGGTCTATTTTTTTAATTACTTATTATCTGCAAATAAAATGCAATTCTCAAGTGTCTGTGCTGTAATCTATAGCCTCAGGTTTGGTGAGTTTGAATAAACTGAGAGATGATATTGTCATAAGTGTCATTTGGTAAAATTTTTGGTTGTTGGTGTGCCTCGTGATTTTTTTAATGAAAAAAAAAAGTACCATGGCTCAAAAAAGGTTGAAAAACACTGCTCTAGAAGCTGTAATCAAAGTACTTGTGATTGCATAGTATTTTTTATACTCGTGGAAATAGTACCAGCTATTGAGTGTGTTTGGATGGCTCTAATTTTAGTTTTATAAAATATTAAAGCCTTGCTCAGAGATGTAAATTAAAACTTTCTTTGTTCCATTATCAAGTTTTTCTTCTCTGCAAGTGTTTACATGCTTTACAAACTTTTAAGACATTAGGAGTTTTCCCCAGGCCATCCTTGTTGTTAAAGCTTGCACAAGAAGTTGTTATTTTGAATATGCATGTTTCATGTTTTTTTTTTCTTTTTTTTTTTTTTTACATTTTTTGCCCCCCATACTCACACTCCTTACAAACCCCGCAAAACCCTACCTGAGCAGCAGAGAAAGAAAAGTATACATTGTTTTAAAAAGTAATAAATGCAGGTTTAAAAAAACTTTACAGCTATCAAGTTTTTAATCAGAGATGTGGGGTGTTGATTCAAAGGTCTGGGCCCAAACTAATGTGCAGTAATTACACTGATTTGTGTGATTATCCCAGTATGCGTCCACAGTCCAGACCAGTCATAAACTGTGAACGAAAAGTCTCATGATTTAGTCTGAAAATGTTGTTATTAAGTTGATAAATTTTTCATTATCAACATGAACCATTTTAAGTTTGTTATTATGTATTAGTGAGTATTAAACAGCCACAGCTTCTTTTAGCTGCTCAATACACATTTTTCATGAGATGTAGCATTTAATATTTAACAGACATGATAATTGAACACCATCATTGCAAGATATACAATTTAAATAAATATTTAAAAATTGCAAAACACTCTAGTATTGACATTAAGACAATCAGGTGAGAAAACTTAGCTTTAACTAACTGCCATCTCTGCATCAAGTGTGGAGCTTTTACCAGGAGATAATTGACTTGGATAAGCGTAAGAGTGCATCTGTAAGAGTTGTATTAATCTGCTCATTTAACTCAGAGAGGTTAGAATGTGTCCCACAATTTTGAGGGTATCTTCAAAAACACAATTTAGCTCTTTTGACAAGGAATGTCATGCTAAAGCAGCTTTAAATTGGTGCTTCTCCAGGGTCTGCACTGTGGTTGGTTGGTTGGCTGATGAATGTGCACTCTGACCACATCCTGAGGAACCTGAGAAAGCCAGGGGAGACTGGTTACAAGATTCCCACAGGTAAGGGCCTGAGTCATCAAACACTGGGTACAATATTCTGCCAAAGCAGAATTCATTTCTCTATTTATTTTCTAGAGTTTGTCTAACAAGCTGTTTTACTGAAGCCAATCTTAACATGACACAAGTTCTTTTTAACAAGCTCTTCTGCAGAATATGCAAATGCGGGTCATAAACTGTTCAAAGCACATCTCCTGTTGTGAGATCCCCAAAGCTTTAAAGTTTGATTCTATTTCCACCAATGCTGCAGGGTGACAAGAAAGCAAAGAAAGCAGTAATCACATTTTGGCGCAAAACGTTGCGGTCTTCCTACACAGGCCAACGTTCTAGTTTTCCAGTGTGGTCACAAAATTATACAGGACCATGCTGTCAGCAGAATCAGAGGTCGTCAATAGTTGTCTTTTTCTTTCTGTATTGCTCTCTGTGAGCCCTTACATTTGAGCTCTATGTCGGTTCCCGTTACTTTCGCCCTAATATGGTCCAGCTTTACAATACCTGTTGTGTTTGTGGGTTAGTGAAGAAAGTCAAATGATCTAAAAGTGTTGAAAGTACTGTATGATGACATTAAGCTCACCCAGAATGTAAATCATGATCCAAATGTCATCATAATTAATGTACGTATTATCATCTACATTACTTTTAAATATTGTTGAAGTAAACAAAAATGCTAGTTTAGATGTCCCAACAAAGCTAGTTCAATATGTTAATAATATGTAAATGCAAAGGGACAGTTTGACTCTCTTGAAAATCCAAGAATAAGCTGATTATTTGAGCTTATCAACCCTAAAATCAGCCCATCCCTTAGTAATAAATGTGATGTATCCTTTTCTCCTCACAAATTTCAAGAACAAACGAGGACGCCTCTGGCGAGAAGGCAGGGCCGGCACCCGGCACAGGTGAGGTGGAATCCTCGCCAACAGCGGGGGCAAACTGTCTTTGCCACCCCGATCAAAACCACCCAAATCTCTGACTTTTTGTGTGAGGGATAAAAGAGACTAGCGATCATACACCGAACAGAGAGTCGATTTGTTTAGTGCCAATGGTTAAAAACAACAGAAAAAACAAACATTGCAGGAGTAGCAGACGGCCAGCCACACACACAGGCACCATCTAGCTCCCTGAGTAAGAAACCTTAATCTTAATCCCACCGACAAACTCTGGATGACCACAACCTCCAAACACAGCATGGAGGGGGTGGGGTGGGGTTAAAGTAATGGTGCCAGTTTGGCTCAGGTAGAGGAGTGGGTGTTCAGAGGACAAGGTCCTTGTTAGGCAGGTGGTAGGATTGATTCCTGGACCTGACAGTTTTTGGAGTATTTCCCCCCTTACTCTCCCCCCATATTTTATGACTTCTTTAAGCTAAAAGCTCCAAATAAAACCTTTAAAGAAGTCCTGTGAAATTAACGGCTGCTGCCGAGTTCAGGCACTTAAACATCAGGTGAGCTTCTGGAGAAGGTTTATAATCCATGTGATTTAAACAAATCACCTTTGACCCTCAGCTTTGATCTCCTCACACCTTACTAGCCCGGTCATATCCTGAGGTCCTCAGCCAAGGGTCTGCAGACTATTCCTCAGTCCAGGCTGAGGAGTAGTCTCTCAGACACAGACTGGGCTGGTTTGAGCCACTTGGATGTCTGATGCAGCCTCTGCTCCCACTTCCGCCTGATCTCTGAGGGAAGAAGCAGCTGTGCCAGCATCTACTTACACTTCTGCAACCTCCTGCACACCCACCTTAAACTCACCTCATTCCACCAACTGTTTCAATAGATAAGCTTTAATTTCTCCTTTATGAGCATGGACACATGCTCATAAAGCACACATTCATGTTGAGCCTCTGATCAATGTTACACTCCCTTCCAAGGGGGCAGGTGAGCAGCATAAACTCAAACCAGCAGGAAAACAAGCAACAAAATGTGTTTACTTTTCAAACAGTGGAAAAGTTACAATAATAAAGTGAAGAGAAAATAATATCTCAAGATAAGCAGATGGATAACAAAATAAGAACATAAAAAACAACACAAAAAAATGCCATCAAGTAACAAACTCTATTCCTAAAGAAATACTATGGAATAAACAGGAAGAAACAGGAATAGGCTTAAATAATATGGGAAAAAAAAACAGGAATAAACAGAATAAACCGGAATAAACAGGATTACAGTGGAATAATCTATAATAAACTGGAAAAAACTAGAATTAACAAGAATAAATTGGAATAAACTAGAAAAAACAGGAATAAACTAGGATAAACTGGATAAAACTAGAATAAAACTTCTGAGCAGGATTACACAAAAATAAACAGGAATAAACAGGAAAATGCTGGAATAAAAATAAATAAACAGGATTACACTAGAATAACTGGAAAAAAATGGAATATACAGGAATAAAGAGATCTACTAGGACCCCGTTGGGGCACTGGCGGGCCCGAGCTGTGTCGCGTCCCCCCCCCAACGCGCTGCCTCCCCGTCCCATTTGTGTCCTCTGGCCATCGCCCTCTCTGGTAACGCCCATCACTGCAAAGACCCTTTTCCTTCATCGGCGTTTGCTGTTCTTCCTGCCAGTGCGTGTTGCTTTCACTTACACTTGCCACAGCCAGCCTCGTGAGTGCCTAGCCTATTGGATATCACTGTCACCTACACAGGACAGTCATTACCTTTCTATTAATACTTTGTTTTTTAATTTCACATTAATTTCCATATTGTATAAACAACTGGAAAAAACTTGAGCCCCTGCCCCTGTATAATCATGTGCACGTCTCTGTTCTAGCTCTAAGGTGAATCTTCACTGCTCATGTTCTCCTCAGAAGCAGTCACCTCACTCCCCTCAGGTTACTGTACACATGCACCAACTGCCTGCTTCAGGTTTGGATGGAGCTTCATGGTTGTCTTTTGGAGAAATGACCAGTCAAGTTGTGTTTGAAATTTGATTTTTTTCAGGGGCAAAAGGAGCCTCTGCATTCTTGTCAAATATGTAAATAGCATGTTTTTGCAGGTGCTAAAAACCAGACTCTGAGTGTGTGTGTGTGCGTGTGTGTGTGTGTGTGTGTGTGTGTGTGCGTTCAAGTCACATGACATATTTAACCGGATGTAGCTGCAAGACGGAGCCTCGTTGACTCTCCGTTTCAACTTATCTCAAAAGTGAGGACCTCAACCTATATACCAGTTTTTAAATTGTGTTGATAGGCCAAATAAAACCAGAGTTATGATAAATTATGTCCGCGATACTTGTTTTCTGCTTATTTTGATCACGTTCGGCGCTCGATCGCGCTGTATGAGACAGGAAAACATAGCATGCAGACATTAGCGACAGGTCTTACAGGCGGAAAAGGCTTGCCAAAGGAAAAAAAAAAACACACCACAACATCTCTCCTATTGGTGGAAAACTTCACCACAACAACCAATCCAAAATTATATGGTGACTGATTGACAAGGGGCGGGCGCTTACGTTCTTCCTGCAATATGAGAAGGGAGGGAGGGACTCTCAGCAGGGATGCAGTCTGGGACATGTAGTTGCAAACCTAGCGACTTCAATGACTTTTCAGACCCCCTAACGACTTTTTTTTAGAAAGAAAGGGACTTTTATCGACTTCTTCTGGAGTTTAGAGACTCTGACATGAAGCAGGCTTTCCTTACTGAGGAGTTAGCAACGCTGCTAAGGGTGCAGAGCCACACATGCGCTCCGAGCTCTGCATGGGAGACTGAAGCTGACAGAGCTGCAGCAGTTAGCAGGTTTCACCCTCAGAGACCACCAGGGGTTCATGTTGAGGCATTTTCAGTTTTTTTTTTTTTTTTGCCATAGACACTGTCAGCACAATCTGCAGTTACACTAACAAAAATGCTGCAAAAAACAAAGAATTATGGAAAAATTACACATGGACTAACATAGAGGAGGATCTACACAAGTTTTTTACATCATGTTTTACATCATGCATCATTTACATCATGTTTTTTTGTAGTGGCATAAATAAAAAGTGACATTTGTGAGACTATACAGTGTTTTGTAAATAATTTTACAAAGAACACCTGGGCCATTGCCTGCATTTTGATGTAAATAGAGGTAAATTACTATGTTCTTTGTTAAAAATTTGCATATGTTTTGAAGTTTACAATTTTTATTTGAAGTTTAAGTTTTAAAAACAGTTCATCACACATATTTGTGGTTTTCACAGTAAAAACGTTACTTTTTTCCACTCGGATTTTATGTTTTGTGTGTGAATTTGGGTCCAATGTGTAAATATAGTATGTCAAAATGATAAAATAACTGTAAATTGACACAGGTGAGGTTGTGCTGAAAAAAATGATACCAGGCAAGGCAAGGTAAAAATTTTGTAAGAGGAAATATAAAGGTAAAATCTAAAGAAGTCAAAAACGGCCAATAGTGACTCACAGACTCCACAGACAAGTCCCTTTGGCGCCACTCAGTGGGCAAAACTACTTTGTCTACTGTAATGTATATTTGGGTCATCTTTGGCGCCCCCTAAAACGTAAACCGTGGGGTGCAGCGTCATGATTTTTACAACTTTGAATGGCCATGGAGTGTAGATTGGCCTGAGCAAATTTGGTGTCAGTGGGATGAAAGCCTTAGGAGGAGTTAGCGAAATTCCAATGTGTGCGAATCGGCAAAAAATGCAAAATAGCCCTTTTACCGTACATTATACAGATACGCGCTCTTTGACTTTTTCGTAGATCTAATTGAGATACACATGATTGTCAATTTTTGTGTCATTTTGCCAAAGCGTACAGGCGTGACAGTCAACAATGTGTATTTTCACCTTAGGGGACAAGAAAAAATGGACTTTTTTCTCCTGCCATGGGGGGGCGCTCTTTTAGGGAGTAAAAATTCCTTCACAAATGTGTTGATGGCTGGACATTGCATCATCCTAGAAAACTTGGAGGCCAGTGAGGACAAAAATAAAAAGTTATAAGACTTTTAAAAATGTGGATTTTTGGGTTATCTTTGGCGCCCCCTAGAACGTAAACCGTGGGGTGCAGCGTCATGATTTGAATAACTTTTAATGGCCATGGGGTGTAAATTGGCCTGAGCAAATGTGGTGCCGGTGGAACGAAAGCCTTCGGAGGAGTTAGCGAAATTCCAATGTGTGCGAATCGGCAAAAAATGCGAAATAACCCTTTAACCGTACATTTGACAGATACGCGCTCATGGACTTTTTTGTAGATCTTATTGAGATACATGTGTGTGTCAATTTTTGTGTCATTTTGACAAAGCGTACAGGCGTGACACTCAACAATGTGTATTTTCACCTTAGGGGACAAGAAAAAATGGACTTTTTTCTCCTGCCATGGGGGGCGCTCTTTTGGGGAGTAAAAATTCCTTCACAAATGTGTTGATGGCTGGACATTGCATCATCCTAGATAACTTGGAGGCCAGTGAGGGCAAAAATAAAAAGTTATAAGACTTTTAAATATGTGGATTTTAGGGTTATCTTTGGCGCCCCCTAGAACCTAAACCGTGGGGTGCAGCGTCATGATTTGAATAACTTTTAATGGCCATGGGGTGTAGATTGGCCTGAGCAAATGTGGTGCCGGTGGAACGAAAGCCTTCGGAGGAGTTAGCGAAATTCCAATGTGTGCGGATCGGCAAAAAATGCGAAATAACCCTTTAACCGTACATTTGACAGATACGCCTGCACTGACTTTTTTGTAGATCTTATTGAAATACATGTGTGTGTCAATTTTTGTGTCATTTTGACAAAGCGAACAGGCGTGACAGTCAATAGTGTGAATTTTCACCTTAGGGGGCGCTATGGAGCCATTTTGCATTTTCTTGTTTGGGCGACTTTGGAATATCAAATTTTTCACCAGGCCCGGTCGTACTGCCAAATTTCATGAGTTTTCGCCAGTGGGAAGTGGGCCATTTTCCAGTTCAAAGGGGAGGAAAAAGAAAAAAGAAACAAAGAAAAACCACTTGGGGAATAATAGGGCTCTCGCAGCTGCTTAGCAGCTACGCTCGGGCCCTAAAAACTGCCGTTAAGGTAAGGTTGAGCTATTTCTAGATTTAAGTCCTGTTGTTGAGCAGAGCTTCACATTGAACACAAGGTCCCTGCTGCTACCCTGTTTTTAACTACTGTCCTCTCTCAAAATTGTATGGTGTCTGTGTTACTAGGTGTTTTTTAAAGAGCTTTATAAATGCATTGGTTGGGCATTACTGGGGTAAAATAGGCATTTGGCTCACTCTGTAAATGTGGTTTATTATTATTATTTCTCCAAATGAACAGAGAATGGTCCCTTTCATATCGAGGAATGATGCAACATGTTACTCATAAGGAAATCAGATTTTCTGAAAAGTTAACTAACAATAAAATAAAAAAATGTACCGACAAAAAGAATGAAAGATTATTTTACTGGATCTTTTTGTCATTGTACAGCTTTGCTGGTGTGAAAGTGAACTTTGTTTGAGACCTAAAGTCAGTTGTGGGGTTGACCAAACAAGTCACGGGCACATCTCCAAATTCCTTTGTGAAAGTGCCTGAAGGGAGCCAGAATTGTCGAGTACAATAGAATCCATAGGTCTGTGTTTTCTTATCAAATAATTAGCTAATACAAACCACAAGTTGGAATTTTCCTTCAATAAATCAATCAGTACTTATAACAGGTTCATAGAGAGAGCAGCTCCTCTGATAAAGAACATAGTCGAAATAATAGCACCTTGAAGCTGAACTCAGCGAACCTGTGAAAACAATCCACCCTGGACGCTTAAGGATAATAAAAGGGAGTGAGCAAGGAAAGAGGAAGCTGTGAGCTGGGCTGCTACAAATGAACTTCCAGGCACGTCTGGAATCCCCTCAGCCAAGAATCTTGACATTTTCACATGAGGGTAGCAACATTACTCACAGCCTGTAGCCAGATAGAGAGTGCTCAGCCATTTATGATCAGTGTGGATCTGGATATGTAAATAGCCTATTAATGTTTAGCAGACACAAAATTATAGAGAGAAATTTGAAATACCAGGACTGCCACTGCTAACTTTTTAAAGGTGGCAGAAGAAAATCAGTTACAATTTCTTACAGAGGTGTATATTGGGCCCATTTTAGTGTTAGTTTCCTTGGATAAATAAGTCACATCTGTCTTGATTGCCTGCTTCTCACCCTACAGGTGGCGTATTTGAATATGTATCTGGAGCAAACTTCTTGGGAGAGATAACAGAGTGGGCAGGCTTTGCTCTGGCTGGCCACTCTATCCACAGCATATCTTTTGCCGTCTTTACCACCGTGGTCCTCGCCAGTAGGGCTGTGGCGCACCACAAGTAAGAAGAAGAACACTCATAGAATAAGCAGATCATTCAGGGAGGAGATGTTTGCTGTAACTGTTTATCTTAATCTTCTCACTATCCTTACAGATGGTACCTCAATAAGTTTGAAGACTACCCCAAAACGAGGAAGGCACTGATCCCCTTCCTGTTCTGAAAACATTTTGGACTCTGGAAATGTCAAAATGTGATGGATCATGGTCTGGCTGAGAGGAGCATCCCATCATCATTAGTTAATAACTCAGTGGAGCTCTGATGACAGGGCAGTCCTTGAAGATGCCAATTGAAACTGGAAATGTGTGCATGTTGATGATTTGAGCAGCAAGGGTATTCTCATCTGTGTCATGGATCATAATTACCAACAAAGCAACCAACTTCAGCACCTATGAACTGACTCTGAGAGGATTTATTGCTGAAAAACAACAGAGGAAGTTAGACCCTTAAATAGTGCGATAGTAGATTTATAACAACGCTCTGCACCAGCAATAAACAGTTTAAAGACTCTTCTCTGATCTACAGACTCTTCCAGATAGAACATAAACTCAGAAATGCAAACTAGATTGTTGAAGTTGTCACAGTCATTGTCATATCCTTATTTGGAAATCCGTACCACTGGAGAGACTTTACCTCTTACCCCATCTTCTGAAGAAGGGAAGCCACTTTTTGGAACAAACGATGACTGTATCTCTGTCATGTAAAGACTGAAGCAGGCCTGTCAGCAGCAACTCTGCTGCAGGGAAATCAAATGGAGATCATGCAAGGCCCTCTACAGCTCAACCATGCCTGAAATGAGAAGAGGAGAGAATCGCCCTGGAACATCACCGCTATCAGGGTTTCATAGAATGAGAGAAAAGGAGGAGAGCTGGTTAAGAAACAGAAGGGAAAGACAGAATGGTTGCATTTGTGATTTTATGAATGACAAAAGATTAAAAAAAAAGGAGACAACGGTGATGTTCACATCTCTGTAACAGATGTGTAATTACCAGTTTTAAAATCACACCTATTTATTTATAAAACATGTTCTGTATTATTTTAATCATTTTATGAAACAGGTTTGGATCAAGTGCAATTATCTTCACTTTGGCAAAACATTTACAAATTATCTGTATTTGCAAGTGAAAAAGGACCCTTGCTTTTGACACTGCTATCTAAGTTGGAAATGTATGCTGAAGTTTTCTACCATAAACCTACCTGCATTTTGGGTCTTCAGTCTTGCGGTTTGTTCCAGTAACTCCAACTCAACACTAGTGAAAGCCAAGGTTAAAGTGTTATTTTGAAATAAGATTGTATTCTTACCATTTTTTACATCTAGTTTCATCAATAAATACAAGGACCAGTGTGTCTGAGCGTGATGAGAAATGAAGGCTGTGTGTTACTGAAGGCTCTATGGAGTGACATCCTTCATGTTCAAGGTCCCTACTGTCTCAGTCTTCTTTTTCTTTCAGGCTGTTTCCTCTGTATCCACACTTTTTACAACTGCATCACTATATCACGCAGCTACTATTTACTGCGATTTCATTTGACATTTATACCATTTATCTACAGACAGACTCCATTGGACTTCCTCTCTATATGCAAAGCAGACCAGTGAACTGGCTTTTAACTGCCTAACTTACATATTCATGTTAACTTAATGAGCTCCAGAAGGGAAGTTATTCTGTAAGTTTGAATTTACACACACCGACAGTGGGTTCTCAAGAAATTGGCAACAGCAGTTGGGACCTATTTATTAATTGTTTGTGATAAAGAGTGGAAATTTTTTAAGTTTTCAAATGTATGCCCTTCTCAGACACCAAGTGTCAGCAGCAATTTGCTTTTTCCTGAATTAGACCTAAGAATAGAGTTTGGACTATGACTCTCTCCCATGTTTCAGCCTAAATATACGTGTGTATTTAAGCTGTTGAAGAATCAAGGGACCGAACCCAAAAAAAAACCACAATGTTTGGGACCATAAACCCACCATATAGAGAAATAATATTAAGCACCAGACTTGAAGCTTTTCACCTTAAAATTCTATATAATTAAGCATTTATCCTTTTGGTTTGTGTAGTTATATTTGCTAGGACAAAAGATTTGGTTACCATTCTTTCTGAAATGAACAGAAGAGCAACTCTGTGGCATTTAACCTGCAAGAGCCGGTACAAAGCAAGTGAATGGTGCCAACTGAGCCAAGTGTTAGACATTCCTTGTTGCAGTGTGTACCCAGTGATCCTGGAGCTGACAACACAGACAAACTACCCATGTGTAAAAACACTGCTAAATCTAAAGGACTGTGATCCTTCAATGTGGGTTAAATATCTGGAACATATTGCAGCCTCATTATTATTCAAGCCACATACATGCTATGACTACTGCCAGCATGCCTTCATCATAACTTCTGCTATTTCTGCTAAGCCTTAGAGCATACTGTGGACTCCTCTAGTTCTGTTTCTGTTTATATGTGGGCATGTGTACGTGTGTATGTAAGGCATCTGTCAGCCATGGTCCAGTCATCACCAGTGTGGTAATCCTGTAAAAGCTGACGATGAGACAAACCAGCCTGGAAATGGCACTCGCACACATACTTGCACACAGTCAGCGTTGGTGTTCGACAAAAGCCGAGGCTGTGACATGAGATATGAGAGGAATAACCTATTTAATCTGGAGTGCCACAGTTGCCCCTGTTTGATACAGTGCAAGACAGAGAGCAAGAGAGAGAGGGACAGAGCGAAGGAAGCTGCTACATTTCTACAGGCTTTCAAAGGGAGTGAGCAGCTGTGTGTATGCCTGAGTGTGTTATTCAGAGAGCAACATATCCTAGCTGGCACATAGTTTGCTCTGGGGGTTTTCCTTGACTCTGTCACATGCTGCACGTGAGTAGAAGGGGTTGGGGGTGGACATTATGCAAGGCACACTCTCTCTCACTCTCTCTTTCTTACATGCAAAGGCATCTCAGACTATGCCATTTGTGGCTCTTCCTGCAACTCTCTGCTCCATCACAGAGCTTAATGGGCCGGGAGATGGTTGTCATTGGGTCTGGAATGATCAACACCACCTGCTGGGTACTGCCCCTGAAAATATGTATTTGAATTCATGGGCTACAAGGTCCATATGAGATAACAATAAAAATAGATAGATAGATAGATAGATAGATAGATAGATAGATAGATAGATAGATAGATAGATAGATAGATAGATAGATAGATAGATTGATAGAGACAATTTCTCTTTTATTTCATAAATGTGCCAAAAATCTCCACATTTGAAGATGGATCAGCCGCTGTCCTGGCTCATATTGATGGGGGGATCCCCTTTGAACCCACCCACTTGTGACGGCCGGGAGGTGGAGACAGTTCGTCAAGACCTCGAAGCTCCTATTTGTAGGTTAAAACCTGAGACCACTGTACCTTTTTGTGAAGCTATTTCAATTTGTACTTCAGTTTTTGTTCAATTAAATGTTTATCTAACGGAAATTTAAATGTTTTGGCTGTGCAGATTCATTAACCGACCGGAGTGATGAAGGAGCAGGAGGATAGGGGGGCGCAGTCGTCGTTTAAGAAACCCCTCTTACAGCGCATGCGCCAGGATTTGAAGAGAATACGCCATATTGAATTCCCGTAGGAAACGGCTAGCTCTTTTCCAGCTAGCGGTGTAAATGGGCCACTTTATCAATGGTCCAAATGGTTTAATGTTTAATTACTCTCCCTTTAGTTATCTCGGACAGAGTAGCGACCTTTGAAAGGTCCAGAAGACGGCACGAATTCACAACGGGCTCGACAGTAATAGTTAGACTCTCGCAAGAGGGTTACCAGAGCAAGAAGTTGAATGGATCCGAGGGTAGCTTGGATTCAGCCCGAACAGAAAGGACCTGCGAACGCCTTATGGATGCACGTCTGGGAGACCTCTCAGGGAGTACGGACACTCTCCGCTCAGCAGCTCCACAATCAAAACCACAACCAGTGCGTGAATTATACTGCGCTGGATGTCCTGAAAAATGTGGCGAGCGCGGTGGCAGCAGGCAAGAATCTTTGCAGCAACGGTAACGCTGCTGCCAGTTTGAGCAACGGCAGCAGCCATCACAGCATCATGAACGGAACTACTGCGATCAACGGCACTGCGATCTCCTCGCTGGGGATAGCGCTGTCCAACGGGAACTTACACAGCTCCATCACCACGACCAACACCGCTGAACCAGGTGAGGGAAAAGCCCTTCCCAAGAAGACGGGACCTGTCTTCGCTATGTCCTCCTCGCAGGATTCCCGAGCGGATAGCCCACCATCCAGCAGCTCTCTCGATAGGACTATGATTGGGAACGTAACAGGCAATATTAATAAAAACGTCGGGGGTGCCAATCTGCTTTACAGTGTGAGCGACAGTATTGACAACAATGTCAACCTTTACCACCATCATCACCGTCACCTACAGGAGCACCCGGCTTTCAATTTACAGCAGATTTGCGTAAAGCGCCATCAGATCCAACCCTCTATACCTGGAAATCACACACACCACCCAGGCCGAAGGAAAAGTGACAACAAAGCGAGCACTTATGGGATGAATTACTTGCTGTCAAACTGCACTAATGGCAATTATGCGAGCACTTGGACGCCTTGGAAGACGAGGAAGTACAACCCTGGAGTCCTCGGGTGAGTACATGTCGTTAACTGTTGATTGCCTCCGGACTGAAAGCGTACAAAGCTGACATTAACGTTTGTCTTTTGCTGCTCGGGGCCATTTTCAATTCATACTTGTATGTGCGTGTGTGGGATGAGTTATGAAGCTTTTTATTACCAAACGCGGTTACATACTCGATGTTGTCGCGTTAACTGGAGTCTGGCTGTTGCTGGAAGTCAAGCGTTAGAAATACACCGTTACATACACTGACGTGATTTACGTAAAGGCCGCTGTAGTCGACCAAAGGAAGACCGGAAGTGGGTTATTTTTGTCTAATGATGTTTGAGTTATGTCATTTAAAAAGCAAATTTCATTATTGTTTTAGAAAGCAAAGAAAAAAGCACATAAATGTGAGTCTTCGTTATTAAATAAACACATCCTAGTATTTCAGGTTTTATTTAAAATAAACCGCTACTTAGAAGCAGTTGACCGGATGTAGTACTGTCGGTTATGTCAATGCGAGCATTACAGAATAGCTGTAGCTAACTGGGCTATCGAGATTTACCTTTTACTGTGATATAAAAGTTGAGGAACAAGGGATTAAAAAACAAACTGTATGTCGCTTTTAACCGAATAAAATATAGCCTAATTTGAAGTCATTTTAGACTCTAATGGACAAGTCTAAGAAGAGTATTTCCCCCCAGGTTTATGTTACGGAGTTGGGTAACACTTGGTTAGTAAATGGTTGGTTGTCAATGTCCCATTAAGTAACTACCAATATACTTATTTACTCCGGACAAAGTTCAGATGAACAACTTGTAATCGTTTGATCATAAATCTGTATCCGACAGTCTTTTAGACTCAACTTTACATTAAAAAAAAAGTTTAAAACATCTTTTTTGAGTAGAACCTGCTGTATTTTACTGTACTTAGTTAAAGTAAGCATGGCAATAATGGGTCATTTTACAAAAAAAAAGAAGAAGAAGAAGAAGAAAAAAACATGTACTGTATGTGTTATAATATTAGGCAATTCCCCTTTAGAGTTCACCATCCATCTGACATAACATTAGTCAAACTCAGTGTAAGTTTTCTTTCAAGATGAACTAAAGTAAAAATCTTACATTACTGTTTAGTGGAGCATTTTTTCTTTACTCCATAGATGAGGGCCAAAAAGGGTCAACATTTCACCAAAACTGTCATCCTCCTTTTAAAAAAATGTGTACCAAAAATAGCAATGATTTAAATCATTTGGAAATTCAAAAGAGATGAAAAGATAAGTTTAAAGGCAATCTGAGAAAGAAAATTTGCTTGTTTTTATTTTAGTTCGAAATATCAGAGCAAGATATTAAAAATAGAAAAATAATGCATTAAAAGAGCAAATACATGAAAAGAAGGCTGAAATCAGCTTTAAAAGGTAAAAATATGACTTAAAATTTAAAACTGGAATCTAAAGTTAAAAAAAAGTGACACAAGTCTAAATATTGAGTTAAACAAATCAAAGCATGAAATAAAAAATCCAATCATGTTTGGCTTGTAATCTTGAGATACAAAATTGAAAACATGAAATAAAACACCAAATTTTTCCCCCCACATTCTTGACTATTTATCAAATCTTCCCTACGCTTTAATTTCCCAGATTTTCGTGGCTTATTAAGGACATTTTAAATGATGGTGCTAAAGTTTACATGATTATACTGGAGGAAATCTGCAGACCTTATACTGGTCGGCCAATAACAATACAAACATGATATGATCTTGTGGGCCAGATATAATTGTTCCACGGGCCAGATTTGGCCCCCGGGCCTTAAGTTTGACGCCTGTGCTCTATAGACTCTATGGATAGATGTATATCTATATATTTTTTTAATTATTCGGTGTAAAAGACTGTTCTGTAGTGATTTGAAAGTAGTCTGACTCTAAATTATTGGATGAAAAAGCTAAATCTTTGTTGCGCTGTTATTTTTTTTAAAGAAATAAAACTTCCAGATGTGTTGCAGGGCCTTGTGATATTTGTAATGGCTGCTTGCACTGGTGTGGGAATTTTCTGCACAAAGAATCAGAGTTTGTCATGTCATGTCAGTACTTGCACATGTTTAATGTGAGTTCAGCCAAACTTTAAATCGAAGCTGTTAGTTATTGTTTTCAGCAAAGAGTAAATGAGAATCACACCCCCACCCCCCACCCCTCTTGTGTTTGTGGCTGTTCTGGTTTTGTGTTGCAAGTTATGGCTTGTGCATTGACTTATTTTGCAGTATGTTGCCTTCAGGTGTTCCTTTGAAGTCCAGAATTGAAGTATTTGCATTGATAATGGAAAAGAGAATATGCTTAATTGAATGCACTTTTGGTGTATGGATACTGAAATGATCAGAGATTAAGCTCAGGTTAATAGAGAACAGTATAAATGCATGGATTCCACAGATATTATAGATATAACTGGAAGGATACAGGGAAGAAGGCAGTGGTATGGTGTAAGTTCAAAGGTAAAGCACTTTGTCAGTTAAAGCTGTGGTAGCAGTTCTTATTTTCACTCGGGCTAACAATAACTATGCCCCCCTGTCAGCGGTGGAATACTGGCATGGATTTGTCCTGACTTATTGGCAGAGAGTATTATTCACCAACCAGTGGGTCCACGGGCTGACTGCATTTCCTCCAGGGCTCTGGTAATTGATTGTGACAGTCTCCCTGTTCAGTATTTCACACTGACATCATTGCATGCATTCCTAGAAAAATGAGTGGCCACGGGGTTGAACAGACATGCACTGTTTGGAGGCTTTTAACTGATCAGAAATGTTGACACGATGTTTGCTTCTGTGTTGCCCAACAAACTACAATAAAATGGCTTTCAGAATTTTACCAAGCCCCCTTTTTTTTTACACCTCTTAAACCTCAAAGGTGTGTCATGGATTCATGTCTAGATGAGAACCAAGTGTTTGCAGTTAAAGGGAGATAAGACATATCCTCTGGGTCCCCCCTCTCTCTGCTCTACTTCAGTTCTCTTTTTTTTCCTTTTCTTATACTTTTTAGAGCTTGACTGTTTTTACACAGTTGGGTGTTTTTATTTTCAATCATAGACGTCAAAATGAAATCTTGTGAGTGGAAATATATATAAAAAGAAAGAAGTCATGTCGTTTGTATCATGTATTTTGGACTTTTCCTCCATGAAACTTTAATATGCAGTATGGTAAGTTTTCTGTGTGAAATCTGACCAGTCAACCTGAGGAATCAAACAGTGTAATGTTTTTAATACAAATATAGTTAGCTGTTGTTTAGTTTGTCTGGCTTTGGCATGATGGGGTTAAGCAGACCAGTGATAAGCAGGAAGCATATCTTGCGCCATCTGGAGAGTATTTTTTTTTTCTGTTGTTGTTCCAAAATGTAAGCCAAATCATATTGCATATTTCACATCCTGTACAGCTCCTTCTCTTCTTAATCTTTTTCATACCAGACTGTTTGAGGAATAATTGTTGATGTGTTGAGTTCATGTCCTTTCTGTCATCCTCTTTCTGTCTAGACTGCATGAGGAGGTGATGGACTTCTACAACTTCATGTCTCCTCGGCCAGAAGAAGCAGCAATGAGGAAGGAGGTGGTGAACAGGATAGAGATGATCATCAAGGAGCTGTGGCCCACTGCAGATGTAAGTACACACATATGCCTCTTATTTCATTGGACCCGACTCTTCCCACTCTTAAGAACCTCAATATCTGGCAGCGTAGTCTTTAGAATCGTTTTGTCCTTGGAGTAGAAACCGCTGGCTTCCTGACAAACTGATACAAGATTGCTCAAAAATCCTAATTGAGACAAAAGTTCTTCTAACCTCGCTTTTTTTTACTTGAGGTTTTTCTCTACATCTTTACATATTTACATCTTTCTCAACAGCTGTAGCTCTACAAGAGTTCAAGTACATGGGTCACGACTTGCTTCATGATTTTGTTGGTTTGTTATTCGGGAGTAAGTTATGTAACTCTTCATAATTGCCTGGAATGCTGCCAAAGTTAAAGTTGATGTTTGATTTTAGGAAATGTCCTCATTCCAACACACACCCTTAAGTCAAAACTATGTAGTGAAAATATCCGGAGTGCATCAGGATATAGATAAGAACCATGGAAGTGCAACAAATGCCCAGAGCTAAAGCAGCAGTTTTAGTCGGTACATTCATGTGATGTTGAAAAAACTGATTTATGACAAAGTCCAACCAAATCTTTACCTTTAAAACACATCAACATCTTAGTTTGACTGAAATCAAACTATTTCTGGAAGTCAGACCAACACACTCATAAATGCAACTGGGAGCGGATTTACTCTTGAATCAGACCCTAGCTGGCAGAAGCCTGTAAAGGGAGGAAAAGGTCAGCTTTGCCAGTTTTGATATATATTTTTAGAACGACTTTCTCAATTTGAAATAATTTCTTCCTTAAAACTATTGGACACCACCCGTGTAAAGATGCTGCTCTGTTATTTTTTGACATTTTGACATTGTCCATGTATGAGTTTGAAAATGAAGAGTTTCAGCAAAAATCCACCATTGTGTTTCTTTAGTTACCAATGGATTATTTCTCATATGTTAGAGTGCACAATAAAAATGCTAATCCTACTTCAGATCACAGGTTCAGAGCTGCATGTAGAATAACCACTGTAAATAAAGAGTTGATTTTCATTTCTAATGGTGCTTATTCACCATGTGCATAAATAGTGACAGAGGATACTGCAGCTGATGGGGTAGTGCATATTGCAGGGTTGATGTAATGTCCCCCACATTACTTAATCATGTAAACCACGCGCCGTGGTGATTTGTTGGCTGCCAGTCTTCCCTCTTCCAGTGTGAGCCAGATTGTCAGGTAAATGGACCAAGCCCCTGATTTGTACCAGCCTTCCTTTTCATCCCGACCAATCAATCTCAGCCTGTCTTTGTGCTGTTGCCTTGTCGTATTTACCAGACGGAAAGGGAAAGAACTCTACTCTGCTTCCTTTGGAGAACTTTTCACTCGCAGCGTCCAAAACACAACATTCTTTTGCCTCAACTGTTGTATGCTCAATTTGGCAGCTTACTTAACTTGGCAGCGTTTACCGCCTTAGAAGTGGAACGCGGAAATACCTAGTTTCCTGCAGTTTGAAGTGTATATAAAGTGTAGATCATCATGACAAATGAGTTGCTGCACTAAACGCACATTAGCCAAACCTCTTGAGTATTTTACTCCCAAGTCTTCCTCTTCATAATTCTTTCACATTGTTTTCCCAGGTTCAAATATTTGGCAGCTTCAGCACAGGCTTGTATCTTCCAACAAGGTAAGACTCTAGCATTATGATACAAATGTCATTACGGTGCGTCTTTCTGGTTAGGTTTATAACATTCTGACTCTGTTTTGCTCTCAGTGACATAGACCTGGTGGTGTTTGGGAAGTGGGAGCGCCCCCCACTCCAAGAGCTGGAACAAGCTCTGCGCAAGCATAATGTGGCAGAACCTTTCTCTATCAAAGTGCTGGACAAGGCTACAGTGAGTAATGGCAACCAGAGCATGTTTCCCAACAGTTCAAATCTTCAGCTATTGTATGAAGCCTCTGTGTTTTGTAACAGCAGATGCTAATCAAGTAATTAAAAAAACAATACAATATTGTATTCCTCTTACACTGGTGCAGTCTTAACTTTGTGGCACACAAGAACCGTATGATATTGATAACAGTTATCCAAAGATTTTCGACTATTTGAGATAGTAAATACAGCAATATTGCAGTAGAAGCTTTGGTGAATAGAAAACCAGTTGGAATCTGGTTTTCTATTCACCAAAGCTAAATTTGGCAGCTCTTTTTTTGGTCCTTGAAATTTTCCTCTAAATTCCAAAATAGTGGAAAATAAAGAGCTTTGTCTCATGTGTTTGTTTACGTACATAGAAATGTGAGAAGAAAAGAAAGTGCTCAATTACTGTCTTCCATCTGTTTGCACGATAGGTGGCAGACTCAGCCAGCTGTTTGTTCGTTTTTCCCACTCAGCAGTTAATATACGCAGTCTTCTGTTCAATGCCAAATAGGTTAATTCAGGTCTTTTTCTGTTGCTGAACAATTATTTGCAGCTAAAAATAAATAAATGCAGGGCTTTCAGGCTTGTAGTGTGTGTGTACCTACTTGAGTGGAAGTATAAACAACTACAGTCTCACTGTGGTGAAGTATGACAGAAGAATACACAGTCCTCCTGTGGGGTGTGTACAGGCAAACCACTGCACGCTGCAAAGCTGCCCTGACTGACAAGATAATAAGTAGTCAATGACTGAATTTAGATCCCCTCTCAGAGACTGTCAATTGAGAAAGACTTATTTTCCCTCAGTTGTGTACAAAGTGAATGTTTCCATCGCTCATGACTTCAGGGTTTTGTTAGCTAATAGATGTTTTACACGGTTTCTCCTCTCAGGTGCCAATCATAAAACTGACCGACCAGGAGACTGACGTGAAAGTGGACATCAGCTTCAACGTGGAGACTGGAGTGAAGGCAGCGAGCTTCATCAAAGATTATGTAAAGGTGAGGTATACCTGAAATATGTGAGTCAGGCTACTCAACTCAACTCAACTTTATTTATATATCACTTTAAATACAACCAAAGCTGACACAAAGTGCTGTACATAATAACATAAACACATAAAACAACAATAAATAGTTGTTTTAAAATATGATAAAAAGCAATAAAACAAATGCCGTCTCGTGCTAAAAATAAAAATATGTTTTTAGACGGGACGATATCTCCCTGTTCCCAAAAGCAGACATTCTCAAACCACATGTAGAAGGGATTTTGTACTTTTCTCTTTGTGTATTTTAAAGCCAGATAGACTCTGTGAATGTCATCTTTCAGATTAATGGGACTGAGCTCGAGCACATGTTATGGAAAAAAGTCATGTTGAACATCTCAATAATAAAAAATTACTAAACAAGTCACATGATCAGCATTTTAAAGGGGGGTTTACAGATTCCCTTATACAGATTCAGATTGGTGAGCCAGCAGTTTGACATCATCCTTAACTTCACTACAATCTTGAATTGGCTGATCTCATTTCCAAAGTGAAGCTGGAACAGACCCAAGCAACCTTACTCAGTATAATCTCCACTTACATTAAACTAAAGTGAGTCCGTGTGGAGCTGAAAATCTCGCTGCCAATTCTGCCCGGTGTGCGTGTAGTATACCCCATGGCTCAGACAGAATTCCTGCTGAAGGTGGATCTCTGCCTGCTTTTGTCACAGTTGTAGTTGCTAATGCAGGAGAGAGATTCCAGGTGCAGATGTTCCAGCACGTTGTCAGGTTTTGGCTTTTGTCCCGTGTTGTTGTTGTTGGATTTTTTCGGTGTTGCAGTTTCTCGCAGAACACGTCACAGCTTGAAATCGACAACCGTACTCAGGATCAGCTCTCTGGTTGTTGGTGTTGTTAATGCGTGGGTGTGACAGACTCAAGTGCAGTCTTGTCATCTAAAGGTCATCTTACAGTAAATCCTTGAGTGTCAGGTAATTCTCATGCAGAGTGCAGACTGATAGATCAGTGGACCTTTTTGTTTTCTTCACCCTTTGACAAACCTAAGTCAGAATGTTGGCATAGATTTGCACAGGCTGGAAGTTGAGTCCCGCTTTTTCCTCAGTACAGTATTTCCTCACAATAATTGACACACCTTTCTCTCCCCTTTTCCTCACTTTTACACTCTCACTGATAACGGCAGGTAGCCACTGTTTGAGTTCACAGCACAAACTTCACCGTCCAGTGATTTTTAGCCTACGTGACTAGCCGGGCACGCTGTGTGGTATGCCACCATTTTCCCATCTGTGTGGGGACACTAAATACTAAATATCGTTACAGCACTTTAAAGAATCAACACAGTTGGCAGGAGGCACAGCAGAATGAAAGTCCAACAAGCCGATTTGCTCCTGTCAGTCAAAAGTAATCAGTCAGGCTGGATGTCTTTGACTTTTTTTTGGCGTCATCACCAACTTGACACACTTGAGCTTTATTCACTTGTTGAACAGAACAGTGACTTTTGTTACACATGTAAAGTTTCAGAATAAAACAAAGGTTTTAGCAGCATTCTGCATTTTTTTTCAGTTACTTGAGTCACAGCTGTTGACACACTCGTTCTTACTCTGGTTTCATAGTACAGTCATTTTCAGTATTTAGTCTTCATGATTGAAGTTAAAAAACCAGGGCGATGTAGCGAGAAGAAGAGGTGAAGAAGAGGTCTTCAACAATCAAGTCAACAAATGAAAGCAGATGCTACAGCACCCCCCAGAGACCAGTCGATCCCTTTCTAACCTTTTTATTTGGCTCAGAGACTCAGAGAGGTGGTTTAAACCTGAGTTCTGCTACCTGTCCCCTTTACATGCATCCTATTTGTCTTTCTAAGTGGGTGTGTGATTGTATTTGCCCCTTAAATACTTCAACATCGATCTTTCTACCTGCTCGGTAGCATCTACATCAAAAAGACAAACCATGATTTTCTCAAAGTCATAAACCCATTATAACTCTTCCTACTTTAGGTTCTCATCAGTGTACTTTTGTTGAACTTTTGCCAACTGTAACTGTAACCAGGAAACTTCTCGTGTGAAATGTGATCATATTTTAGCTTGCCAACAATCACAATTACTCCTCCTGCAGGTGTTTTGACAGTGAAGTGTGTCCATGCATAGAACATTCTGCAATAGACGGCAGTTATTCTTTATTTGAACGTACATTAGGATATGTTCGGCCTTCTTTGCCACTAATTTTGTGTCTATCTATTTATTGTCATGCAAAAAGGGATTATATCTCATACTCCTTTTTCCTGACATAGTACAATATGCAGAAATGTCAGTTTGAGGTTTTTCACACTGTTTTTATCATTCATTTTTCAAAAGTATTTTTGCTTCATGTGTCGTCCTTTTCTATTATTTATTTGTTTTTAATACTTTTTTCTGACATTAGGAACAGTATTTGTCTATTTAATGGTTGTAAGAGATTGCACTGAAACAAATGACAATAAAACAAATTCAGTCAAGTAACAGTGAGTGCCCTCAAATCAAATGACCATACACTTAATTAAAATCCAACAAAACATTCATTCTGTTTTTGGTATCATTTAATTAAATTGTCTCTTAATGTTGACAACAGTAAGTAAAGTCATATTTCTACCTCAATGAACTCTGTACATCTTATCAGTAATCCCAGGGAGACGTTCAAGGGAGCCTGAGCCAAATATAAATCCACCTTCTTTTTTCTCTCTCTCTTCTTCACCCTCTTGCCTCTGCTCAGTCTCAAGTTTGACTGAATCAACTGATCTCAAGAAGTCTCTTTTTTTCTCTTTTTTCAGATGTATCCGGTGCTGCCTTATCTGATCTTTGTGTTGAAGCAGTTTCTGCTGCAGAGAGATCTCAATGAAGTCTTCACAGGGGGAATCAGCTCTTACAGCCTCATCCTCATGGTCATCAGCTTCCTACAGGTACAGTCATGGAGGAACAGGAAGTGCACGTTTATTTTCAATCCTGGTCGTGTAAGCAATATCAGGATTCGGAGTAAAATTATCAGTTGCCACATGCACGTGTCCAGTGTTGTGTATCGATGTTTACGTTGTCTTTATTGTTGCATACTGATACTCTTTAATGAACACTTATCCCATCTTCTTATGCTTCCTCCCTTAGCTCCATCCTCGTATCGATGCCAGAAACCCCACTGAGAATTTGGGGGTATTGCTGATCGAGTTCTTTGAGCTGTACGGCCGCCATTTCAACTACTTGAAAACCGGGATTCGAATCAAAAACGGAGGTGCATACATAGCCAAAGAAGAGATTATGAAGGCCATGAAGAATGGATACAGGCCATCCATGCTCTGCATAGAGGATCCACTGCTTCCAGGTGATTATTTTTCTGAAGTTTCACAATGTCTTTGTGTGAATAAATACAGCAGATGCCCTCAAATTCAACTGTAATGACTAAACCTAATGTTATAATAGACATTTAACGTGTTTAAGAATATTCATTTACAGAATTGATTCATCTCTTTTCACAGAACAACCTTTACAGAAGCCCCAGAATTAAATACCTTCAGTTACCATGTAGAGAAACTCTTAACTGCATTTCAGTGCCATCCAGTGGCACTTTTATGAATGACAATTCAGCCCTACACATGTACGAAGGGATACTTTGTCAAAATTTGTATGCAAAAAGCATCAAAAAATAAAAGATAGTATCATCAAAGATCCTACTTTTCCCCTTCAAAACACTTATAAATATTCATCATTGTTCTGTTTGTCTCTACACAATGTAGGTAACGATGTAGGGAGGGGTTCCTATGGTGCCATGCATGTCAAGCAGGTGTTTGACTATGCCTACACTGTTCTGAGTCACGCTGTTTCCCCACTTGCAAGGTCATATCCCAACAAAGACTCTGAAAGGTGAGTTTCAATCCATGTTGACAGCTCTAGAACTATCTTGCATGAAGTGCAGCTGTTTTTCTAAAAGGCATCTACTCCTTAACTGCAGTACCCTGGGGAGAATAATCCGGTTGACACAAGAAGTGATCGACTACAGGGATTGGATCATCAAGAAGTGGGGAGGCAGAGATCTGGCTCGAACAGACAACATGGGTAAGTGTCCTTGGACTTAGATACCTAATCGTGCATCAGCGTGATCAAAACAGGAGAAGTTTTGAAGTATACCCTTTAAAGACGAATCTTTCTAAAAGCCAATATTATGATTAAATGACCAGAATATGTTGGATTTTGAGGTGACACAAGTCTTGCGTGTTTTTAAACAGGTTCACCTCCCAAGGAGCTGGCTTCTGAGCAGGAGCCGTGTGTGCTGGGTGGTGGTGTCGCACCAGAGGAGCAGCAGAGGGACTCTGTGTCACCCCACAGCGCTGACTCCCCAATGTCCATCTCCAGCCCCCAGCAGCACTCTTCAGCCTCTTCTGTTTCCTCACTGTCTGGATCAGACAATGTAAGGAAACACACAAACACACACACACATGCAGCATAGGCAGAGTCATCCCCGATTTTCACTGCATCCGGAACGGCGACGATTTTCTGCTGGATCTGTTTGTGAGGCAAATTTCATGGCAGATTACAGACAGCAGAAATCGCAAGAACTCAAAAGAACCTACAGATTCACATGCAATCGTGCAATAACAAGTTGTCTCCAGCCACATGGGCTAACGATATAAGGAGTAGATTGTGTCCTTCCAGAGGAGGAAATCTACTTCTAGACTTCTAAAATCAGCATCTCCTCATCCATGGTGTCATCGGGATGAAATACTGTCTGAAAACCTTTCACTTGTTCGTCCCAGCCGCATGAAACATGGACTGTTTTATTTTGAAAAGAAGCCGGATGTTTTATTTTGTCCCTGTGCCCGACTTCCTTTACCAGCACAGGTTAATCTGTGCTGACTTTATTCGACATTTCCAGAGTCCGGAAAAAATAGGACTCTTGCGATCAGCTGCAGAGTCGATCTGCGATCGGTGGATACAGCCTTTTCGTAGCCGCTCTGGATGCGGTGGAAATTGGGGGTCACTGTGTGTTTTACTCACAGCATCTAAAGGAAGAAAAGCATTCTCGAAAATACTTAAGCAAAAAATGTCAATCTCAAAATCTTATGGTCCACAATGTGTTTGTATGCTGTTCTAGGACTCTGATTCAGCGCTGCCATGTCCAGTCCCACCACCAGCTCTGCCACATTACCCATCGTTCCCAGCTCTGGGCCTCGCTCTACCACCAGGCCTAAACATGGGCAAGCCAACCATGGGAGGACACCATCTACTCATGCCTCCAGGATCACAGGTAGGCCATTTAATGGATGAATATCCCAACCTTGAAAACAGTGCCCTGCTTCGTGTTTTAGAAGCCAGGGTGTTAGGTGGGTGTTTAAAGATTTAACTAAAAACAAAAACACAACATGATGTCATTATTTACATGAACTTTGTGTCCTTCAGGCTCGCGTCTCACTGCCCGGTGGTCTAGCAATGCACTCCATGCCTGGCAGACAGGTGTGTATAGACACCGGGCTCCCTCCCTTCTTCCACATGCCCCCCCCAGCCCATGCTCATCCCCCTGCCCCCTCCAGCCCCCAGCCTCCGCCCAGCCCCCACTCCAGCCATACACACAAGGTAGGCGCCGGCTGCCTCAAATACAATGTCAAGGCATACTTGTCTCTCTCACAAACACACACCAAACACACACTCACATAAAAAAACACGCTTTTCTACACACATGTACTCACACATCCTCTCATATTTTCTGTCTCTCCTCTGCAGTCTCAACTCTTGAAAGTCTGGTTTTACTTTCATGGTTGCTTTTTTTTTCTTTGGGATGATTTTTCAGATCATGATCTCTAACAGTTTCATGAAGGTTTTTACAGCCTTCTGTCTCATTGGAGTTTAAGTTCATCACTTAAGTAGATCCCCTCTTTCCTTTATTGGCACTTACCAAGATGAAATCCACATCACTCCCTCATTTGTATTAAATATGAAGCTACTCTGTGAAATTATCTTATGCACATGGAAATCAGGGAAATGTTTTTTTCTGTGGTACATGTGATGGAACAAGTGACCTAACAACGTGAAAAATGTAGAACATTTCTTTGAGAAGCAATTGTTTTTACATCATGGAGACAATGTTATCAATCTGGTAAGACCACAACAGTAAATTATCTATTTTTATCCACTGGTATTTTGGTTTTGGTCATGTGACTGACAGATTTTTCATCCTTATACAAGATCAATGGAGTACCATTCACAAGAAGATTCTCACCACTTATTACAACACATTTACCATTCAGTTAAATCAAACACTTGGTATGTAAATTAGGGCCCGCCCGATTTATCGGCAGGCCAATTACATCAGCCAATTTTAGCCCGTTTGTGACTAATCAGTTATCGGCCAAAACTTGCCAATTTTCGCCAATATTTTCAGAAATAAAATGCAGACTAGGGCCCCGGTGGGGCACTGTCGGGCCCGAGCCGCGTCGCGCCGCCCCCAGCGCGACCGCCTCCCCCTCCCGATCGCGTCACACTCAAGGTCCAAAGATGGTGTGCGCACTTGTCTGTGGTCATTTCCCATTATAATGAATGGGAGGCGCAGTTTCTACCAAAACGCTTGCTGCAGACAAACTACATGTCCTATTTGAAAAAAGTCTGGACCATGAGTGAGGGCACAAACACAGCTAGTATATATCCAAATGGCAAGTTGCTCCTCCTTTCGGTTTTGCAGAGAGAGCGATGCGTTTGAGCCATTGAGCGATGGGCAGGAAAAACTTGACTTTTTCTCCTGCCATGGGGGGGCGCTCTTTTGGGGAGAAAAAATTCCTTCACAAATGTGTTGATGGCTGGACATTGCATCATCCTAGAAAACTTGGAGGCCAGTGAGGACAAAAATAAAAAGTTATAAGACTTTTAAAAATGTGGATATTTGGGTCCTCTTTGGCGCCCCCTAGAACGTAAACTGTGGGGTGCAGCGTCATGATTTGTACAACTTTGAATGGCCATGGGGTGTAGATTGACCTGAGCAAATTTGAAGCCGATGGGACAAAAGATTTAGGAGGAGTTAGCGAAATTCCAATGTGTGCGGATCAGCAAAAAATGCGAAATAACCCTTTAACCGTACATTTGACAGATACGCCCGCACTGACTTTTTTGTAGATCTTATTGAGATACATGTGTGTGTCAAATTTTGTGTCATTTTGACAAAGCGTAAAGGCGTGACAGTCAACAATGTGTATTTTCGCCTTAGGAGACAAGAAAAAATGGACTTTTTTCTCCTGCCATGGGGGGCGCTCTTTTGGCGAGTAAAAATTCCTTCACAAATGTGTTGATGGCTGGACATTGCATCATCCTAGAGAACTTGGAGGCCAGTGAGGACAAAAATAAAAAGTTATAAGACTTTTAAGACTGTGGATTTTTGGGTTATCTTTGGCGCCCCCTAGAACGTAAACCGTGGGGTGCAGCATCATGATTTGTACAACTTTTAATGGCCATGGGGTGTAGATTGGCCTCAGCAAATGTGGTGCCTTTGGAACGAAAGCCTTCGGAGGAGTTAGCGAAATTCCAATGTGTGCGGATCGGCAAAAAATGCGAAATAGCCCTTTCACCGTACATTTGACAGATACGCCCGCACTGACTTTTTTGTAGATCTTATTGAGATACATGTGTGTGTCAATTTTTGTGTCAATATGACAAAGCGTAAAGGCGTGACAGTCAATAGTGTGAATTTTCGCCTTAGGAGACAAGAAAAAATGGACTTTTTTCTCCTGCCATGGGGGGGCGCTCTTTTGGGGAGTAAAAATTCCTTCACAAATGTGTTGATGGCTGGACATTGCATCATCCTAGAAAACTTGGAGGCCAGTGAGGACAAAAATAAAAAGTTATACGACTTTTAAGAATGTGGATTTCTGGGTTATCTTTGGCGCCCCCTAGAACGTAAACCGTGGGATGCAGCGTCATGATTTGTACAACTTTTAATGGCCATGGGGTGTAGATTGGCCTGAGCAAATTTGGTGCCGGTGGAACGAAAGCCTTCGGAGGAGTTAGCGAAATTCCAATGTGTGCGGATCGGCAAAAAATGCGAAATAGCCCTTTAACCGTACATTTGACAGATACGCCCGCACTGACTTTTTTGTAGATCTTATTGAGATACACGTGTGTGTCAAATTTTGTGTCATTTTGACAAAGCGTACAGGCGTGACACTCAATCATGTGAATTTTTCACCTTAGGGGGCGCTATGGAGCCATTTTGCATTTGATTTTTTGGGCGACTTCAGAATATCGAATTTTTCACCAGGCCCGGTCGTCCTGCCAAATTTCATGACTTTTCACCAGTGGGAAGTGGGCCATTTTCCAGTTCAAAGGGGCAGAAAAATAACTAGGGCCCCGGTGGGGCACTGTCGGGCCCGAGCCGCGTCGCGCCGCCCCCAGCGCGACCGCCTCCCCCTCCCGATCGCGTCACACTCAAGGTCCAAAGATGGTGTGCGCACTTGTCTGTGGTCATTTCCCATTATAGTGAATGGGAGGCGCAGTTTCTACCAAAACACTCGCTGCAGACAAACTACATGTCCTATTTGAAAAAAGTCTGGACCATGAGTGAGGGCACAAACACAGCTAGGATATATCCAAACGGCAAGTTGCTCCTCGTTACGGTGTTGCCGGGAGAGCGATGCGATTGAGCCATTGAGTGATGGGAAGGAAAAACTTGACTTTTTCTCCTGCCATGGGGGATGTGGGATGGGGGATGGGGGGGGGGATGTGGATTCTTTTAAGAATGTGGATATTTGGGTCATCTTTGGTGCCCCCTTGAACGTAAACCGTGGGGTGCAGCGTCATGATTTTTACAACTTTGAATGGCCATGGGGTGTAGATTGGCCTGAGCAAATTTGGTGTCAGTGGGACGAAAGCCTTAGGAGGAGTTAGCCACATTCCAATGTGTGCGAATCGGCAAAAAATGCAAAATAGCCCTTTAACCGTACATTTTACAGATACGCGCGCAATGACTTTTTCGTACATCTTATTGAGATACATGTGTGTGTCAATTTTTGTGTCATTTTGACAAAGCGTACAGGCGTGACACTCAACAATGTGTATTTTCACCTTAGGGGACAAGAAAAAATGGACTTTTTTCTCCTGCCATGGGGGGCGCTCTTTTGGGGAGTAAAAATTCCTTCACAAATGTGTTGATGGCTGGACATTGCATCATCCTAGAAAACTTGGAGGCCAATGAGGACAAAAATAAAAAGTTATAAGATTTTTAAGAATGTGGATTTGTGGGTTATCTTTGGCGCCCCCTAGAACCTAAACCGTGGGGTGCAGCGTCATGATTTGTACAACTTTCAATGGCCATGGGGTGTAGATTGGCCTGAGCAAATGTAGTGCTGGTGGAACGAAAGCCTTCGGAGGAGTTAGCGAAATTCCAATGTGTGCGGAACGGCAAAAAATGCGAAATAACCCTTTAACCGTACATTTGACAGATACGCCCGCACTGACTTTTTTGTAGATCTTATTGAGATACATGTGTGTGTCAATTTTTGTGTCAATATGACAAAGCGTACAGGCGTGACAGTCAATAGTGTGAATTTTCACCTTTGGGGGCGCTATTGAGCCATTTTGCATTTCCTTGTTTGGGCGACTTCAGAATATCGAATTTTTCACCAGGCCCGGTCGTCCTGCCAAATTTCATGAGTTTTCGCCAGTGGGAAGTGGGCCATTTTCCAGTTTAAAGCGGAGGAAAAATAATACTAGGGCCCCGTTGGGGCACTGGCGGGCCCGAGCCGCGTTACGCCGCCCCCAGTGCGACCGCCTCCCCCTCCCGATCGCGTCACACTCAAGGTCCAAAGATGGTGTGCGCACTTGTCTGTGGTCATTTCCCATTATAATGAATGGGAGGCGCAGTTTCTACCAAAACACTCGCTGCAGACAAACTACATGTCCTATTTGAAAAAAGTCTGGACCATGAGTGAGGGCACAAACACAGCTAGGATATATCCAAACGGCAAGTTGCTCCTCGTTACGGTGTTGCCGGGAGAGTGATGCGATTGAGCCATTGAGTGATGGGCAGGAAAAACTTGACTTTTTCTCCTGCCATGGGGGATGGGGGATGGGGGATGGGGGATGGGGGGGGGGGGGGTGGAGTCTTTTAAGAATGTGGATATTTGGGTCATCTTTGGCGCCCTCTAGAACGTAAACCGTGGGGTGCAGCGTCATGATTTGTACAACTTTGAATGGCCATGGGGTGTAGATTGGCCTGAGCAAATTTGGTGTCAGTGGGACGAAAGCCTTAGGAGGAGTTAGCCACATTCCAATGTGTGCTAATCGGCAAAAAATGCAAAATAGCCCTTTAACCGTACATTTTACAGATACGCGCGCATTGACTTTTTCGTAGATCTTATTGAGATACATGTGTGTGTCAAATTTTGTGTCAATATGACAAAGCATACAGGTAAGACAGTCAACAATGTGTATTTTCACCTTATGGGACAAGAAAAAATGGACTTTTTTCTCCTGCCATGGGGGGCGCTCTTTTGGGGAGTAAAAATTCCTTCACAAATGTGTTGATGGCTGGACATTGCATCATCCTAGAAAACTTGGAGGCCAGAGAGGGCAAAAATAAAAAGTTATAAGACTTTTAAATATGTGGATTTTAGGGTTATCTTTGGCGCCCCCTAGAACCTAAACCGTGGGGTGCAGCGTCATGATTTGAATAACTTTTAATGGCCATGGGGTGTAGATTGGCCTGAGCAAATGTGGTGCCGGTGGAACGAAAGCCTTCGGAGGAGTTAGCGAAATTCCAATGTGTGCGGATCTGCAAAAAATGCGCAATAACCCTTTAACCGTACATTTGACAGATACGCCAGCACTGACTTTTTTGTAGATCTTATTGAGATACATGTGTGTGTCAATTTTTGTGTAATTTTGACAAAGCGTACAGGCGTGACAGTCAATAGTGTGAATTTTCACCTTATGGGACAAGAAAAAATGGACTTTTTTGTCCTGCCATGGGGGGGCGCTCTTTTGGGGAGTAAAAATTCCTTCACAAATGTGTTGATGGCTGGACATTGCATCATCCTAGAAAACTTGGAGGCCAGTGAGGACAAAAAAAAAAAATTATAAAACTTTTAAGACTGTGGATTTTTGGGTTATCTTTGGCGCCCCCTAGAACGTAAACCGTGGGGTGCAGCATCATGATTTGTACAACTTTTAATGGCCATGGGGTGTAGATTGGCCTCAGCAAATGTGGTGCCTTTGGAACGAAAGCCTTCGGAGGAGTTAGCGAAATTCCAATGTGTGCGGATCGGCAAAAAATGCGAAATAGCCCTTTCACCGTACATTTGACAGATACGCCCGCACTGACTTTTTTGTAGATCTTATTGAGATACATGTGTGTGTCAATTTTTGTGTCAATATGACAAAGCGTAAAGGCGTGACAGTCAATAGTGTGAATTTTCGCCTTAGGAGACAAGAAAAAATGGACTTTTTTCTCCTGCCATGGGGGGGCGCTCTTTTGGGGAGTAAAAATTCCTTCACAAATGTGTTGATGGCTGGACATTGCATCATCCTAGAAAACTTGGAGGCCAGTGAGGACAAAAATAAAAAGTTATACGACTTTTAAGAATGTGGATTTCTGGGTTATCTTTGGCGCCCCCTAGAACGTAAACCGTGGGATGCAGCGTCATGATTTGTACAACTTTTAATGGCCATGGGGTGTAGATTGGCCTGAGCAAATTTGGTGCCGGTGGAACGAAAGCCTTCGGAGGAGTTAGCGAAATTCCAATGTGTGCGGATCGGCAAAAAATGCGAAATAGCCCTTTAACCGTACATTTGACAGATACGCCCGCACTGACTTTTTTGTAGATCTTATTGAGATACACGTGTGTGTCAAATTTTGTGTCATTTTGACAAAGCGTACAGGCGTGACACTCAATCATGTGAATTTTTCACCTTAGGGGGCGCTATGGAGCCATTTTGCATTTGATTTTTGGGCGACTTCAGAATATCGAATTTTTCACCAGGCCCGGTCGTCCTGCCAAATTTCATGACTTTTCACCAGTGGGAAGTGGGCCATTTTCCAGTTCAAAGGGGCAGAAAAATAACTAGGGCCCCGGTGGGGCACTGTCGGGCCCGAGCCGCGTCGCGCCGCCCCCAGCGCGACCGCCTCCCCCTCCCGATCGCGTCACACTCAAGGTCCAAAGATGGTGTGCGCACTTGTCTGTGGTCATTTCCCATTATAGTGAATGGGAGGCGCAGTTTCTACCAAAACACTCGCTGCAGACAAACTACATGTCCTATTTGAAAAAAGTCTGGACCATGAGTGAGGGCACAAACACAGCTAGGATATATCCAAACGGCAAGTTGCTCCTCGTTACGGTGTTGCCGGGAGAGCGATGCGATTGAGCCATTGAGTGATGGGAAGGAAAAACTTGACTTTTTCTCCTGCCATGGGGGATGTGGGATGGGGGATGGGGGGGGGGGGATGTGGATTCTTTTAAGAATGTGGATATTTGGGTCATCTTTGGTGCCCCCTTGAACGTAAACCGTGGGGTGCAGCGTCATGATTTTTACAACTTTGAATGGCCATGGGGTGTAGATTGGCCTGAGCAAATTTGGTGTCAGTGGGACGAAAGCCTTAGGAGGAGTTAGCCACATTCCAATGTGTGCGAATCGGCAAAAAATGCAAAATAGCCCTTTAACCGTACATTTTACAGATACGCGCGCAATGACTTTTTCGTACATCTTATTGAGATACATGTGTGTGTCAATTTTTGTGTCATTTTGACAAAGCGTACAGGCGTGACACTCAACAATGTGTATTTTCACCTTAGGGGACAAGAAAAAATGGACTTTTTTCTCCTGCCATGGGGGGCGCTCTTTTGGGGAGTAAAAATTCCTTCACAAATGTGTTGATGGCTGGACATTGCATCATCCTAGAAAACTTGGAGGCCAATGAGGACAAAAATAAAAAGTTATAAGATTTTTAAGAATGTGGATTTGTGGGTTATCTTTGGCGCCCCCTAGAACCTAAACCGTGGGGTGCAGCGTCATGATTTGTACAACTTTCAATGGCCATGGGGTGTAGATTGGCCTGAGCAAATGTAGTGCTGGTGGAACGAAAGCCTTCGGAGGAGTTAGCGAAATTCCAATGTGTGCGGAACGGCAAAAAATGCGAAATAACCCTTTAACCGTACATTTGACAGATACGCCCGCACTGACTTTTTTGTAGATCTTATTGAGATACATGTGTGTGTCAATTTTTGTGTCAATATGACAAAGCGTACAGGCGTGACAGTCAATAGTGTGAATTTTCACCTTTGGGGGCGCTATTGAGCCATTTTGCATTTCCTTGTTTGGGCGACTTCAGAATATCGAATTTTTCACCAGGCCCGGTCGTCCTGCCAAATTTCATGAGTTTTCGCCAGTGGGAAGTGGGCCATTTTCCAGTTTAAAGCGGAGGAAAAATAATACTAGGGCCCCGTTGGGGCACTGGCGGGCCCGAGCCGCGTTACGCCGCCCCCAGTGCGACCGCCTCCCCCTCCCGATCGCGTCACACTCAAGGTCCAAAGATGGTGTGCGCACTTGTCTGTGGTCATTTCCCATTATAATGAATGGGAGGCGCAGTTTCTACCAAAACACTCGCTGCAGACAAACTACATGTCCTATTTGAAAAAAGTCTGGACCATGAGTGAGGGCACAAACACAGCTAGGATATATCCAAACGGCAAGTTGCTCCTCGTTACGGTGTTGCCGGGAGAGTGATGCGATTGAGCCATTGAGTGATGGGCAGGAAAAACTTGACTGTTTCTCCTGCCATGGGGGATGGGGGATGGGGGATGGGGGATGGGGGGGGGGGGGGGGGGGGGGGGTTTCTTTTAAGAATGTGGATATTTGGGTCATCTTTGGCGCCCTCTAGAACGTAAACCGTGGGGTGCAGCGTCATGATTTGTACAACTTTGAATGGCCATGGGGTGTAGATTGGCCTGAGCAAATTTGGTGTCAGTGGGACGAAAGCCTTAGGAGGAGTTAGCCACATTCCAATGTGTGCTAATCGGCAAAAAATGCAAAATAGCCCTTTAACCGTACATTTTACAGATTAGCGCGCATTGACTTTTTCGTAGATCTTATTGAGATACATGTGTGTGTCAAATTTTGTGTCAATATGACAAAGCATACAGGTAAGACAGTCAACAATGTGTATTTTCACCTTATGGGACAAGAAAAAATGGACTTTTTTCTCCTGCCATGGGGGGGCGCTCTTTTGGGGAGTAAAAATTCCTTCACAAATGTGTTGATGGCTGGACATTGCATCATCCTAGAAAACTTGGAGGCCAGAGAGGGCAAAAATAAAAAGTTATAAGACTTTTAAATATGTGGATTTTAGGGTTATCTTTGGCGCCCCCTAGAACCTAAACCGTGGGGTGCAGCGTCATGATTTGAATAACTTTTAATGGCCATGGGGTGTAGATTGGCCTGAGCAAATGTGGTGCCGGTGGAACGAAAGCCTTCGGAGGAGTTAGCGAAATTCCAATGTGTGCGGATCTGCAAAAAATGCGCAATAACCCTTTAACCGTACATTTGACAGATACGCCAGCACTGACTTTTTTGTAGATCTTATTGAGATACATGTGTGTGTCAATTTTTGTGTAATTTTGACAAAGCGTACAGGCGTGACAGTCAATAGTGTGAATTTTCACCTTATGGGACAAGAAAAAATGGACTTTTTTGTCCTGCCATGGGGGGGCGCTCTTTTGGGGAGTAAAAATTCCTTCACAAATGTGTTGATGGCTGGACATTGCATCATCCTAGAAAACTTGGAGGCCAGTGAGGACAAAAAAAAAAATTTATAAAACTTTTAAGAATGTGGATTTTTGGGTTATTTTTGGCGCCCCCTAGAACCTAAACCATGGGGTGCAGCATTATGATTTGTACAACTTTGAATGGCCATGGAGTGTAGATTGGCCTGAGCAAATGTGGTGCCGGTGGACCGAAAGCCTTCGGAGGAGTTAGCGAAATTCCAATGTGTGCGGATCTGCAAAAAATGCAAAATAACCCTTTAACCGTACATTTGACAGATACGCCCGCACTGACTTTTTTGTAGATCTTATTGAGATACATGTGTGTGTCAATTTTTGTGTCAATATGACAAAGCGTACAGGCGTGATAGTCAATAGTGTGAATTTTCACCTTAGGGGGCGCTATGGAGCCATTTTGCATTTTATTGTTTGGGCGACTTCAGAATATCGAATTTTTCACCAGGCCCGGTCGTCCTGCCAAATTTCCTGAGTTTTCGCCAGTGGGAAGTGGGCCATTTTCCAGTTTAAAGCGGAGGAAAAATAATAACTAGGGCCCCGTTGGGGCACTGGCGGGCCCGAGCTGTGTCGCCCCCCCCCCCCCCCCCACCAATGCGCTGCCTCCCCGTCCCATTCGCGTCCTCTGGCCATCGTCCTCTCTGGTAACGCCCATCACTGCAAAGACCCTTTTCCTTCATCGGCGTTTGCTGTTCTTCCTGCCAGTGCGTGTTGCTTTCACTTACACTTGCCACAGCCAGCCTCGTGAGTGCCTAGCCTATTGGATATCACTGTCACCTACACAGGACAGTCATTACCTTTCTATTAATACTTTGTTTTTTAATTTCACATTAATTTCCATATTGTATAAACGACTGGAAAAAACTTGAGCCCCTGCCCCTGTATAATCATGTGCACGTCCCTGTTCTCGCTCCAAGGTGAATCTTCACTGCTCATGTTCTCCTCAGAAGCACTCACCTCACTCCCCTCAGGTAACTGTACACATGCACCAACTGCCTGCTTCAGGTTTGGATGGAGCTTCATGGTTGTCTTTTGGAGAAATGACCAGTCAAGTTGTGTTTGAAATTTGATTTTTTTCAGGGGCAAAAGGAGCCTCTGCATTGTTGTCAAATATGTAAATAGCATGTTTTTGCAGGTGCTAAAAAACAGACTCTGAGTGTGTGTGTGTGTGTGTGTGTGTGTGTGTGTGTGTGTGTGTGTGTGTGTGTGTGTGTGTGTGTCTGTGTTTGTGTGTGTCTGTGTGTGTGTATCCTGCAGTACTCTGTACTCCTGCAGTGGCCAAAACGACTTTTAAGAATGTGGATATTTGGGTCATCTTTGGCGCCCCCTAGAACGTAAACCATGGGGTGCAGCGGCATGATTTTTACAACTTTGAATGGCCATGGGATGTAGATCGGCTTGAGCAAATTTGGTGTCGGTGGGAAGAAAGCCTTAGGAGGAGTTAGCCACATTCCAATGTGTGCGAATCTGCAAAAAATGCGAAATAGCCCTTTAACCGTACATTTTACAGATACGTGCCCATTGACTTTTTCGTAGATCTTATTGAGATACACGTGATTGTCAAATTTTGGGTCAATATGACAAAGCGTATAGGCGTGACACTCAACAATGTGTATTTTCACCTTAGGGGACAAGAAAAAATTGACTTTTTTCTCCTGCCATGTGGGGGCGCTCTTTTGGGGAGTAAAAATTCCTTCACAAATGTGTTGATGGCTGGACATTGCATCATCCTAGAGAACTTGGAGGCCAGTGAGGACAAAAATAAAAAGTTATAAGACTTTTAAGACTGTGGATTTTTGGGTTATCTTTGGCGCCCCCTAGAACGTAAACTGTGGGGTGCAGTGTCATGATTTGTACAACTTTTAATGGCCATGGGGTGTAGATTGGCCTGAGCAAATGTGGTGCCGGTGGAACGAATGCCTTCGGAGGAGTTAGCGAAATTCCAATGTGTGCAGATCGGCAAAAAATGCGAAATAACCCTCTAACTGTACATTTCACAGATGCGCCCGCGCTGACTTTTTCGTAGAACGTATTGAGATACACGTGTGTGTCAATTTTTGTGTCAATATGACAAAGCGTACAGGCGTGACAGTCAATAGTGTGAATTTTCGCCTTAGGGGGCGCTATGGAGCCATTTTGCATTTTATTGTTTGGGCGACTTCAGAATATCGAATTTTTCACCAGGCCCGGTCGTCCTGCCAAATTTCATGAGTTTTCGCCAGTGGGAAGTGGGCCATTTTCCAGTTTAAAGCGGAGGAAAAATAATAATAATAACAAAAGAAGAATCCATCAGGAACAAGAGGGCTCTCGCAGCTGCTTAGCAGCTACGCTCGGGCCCTAATAATAATAATAACAAAAGAAGAATCCATCAGGAACAAGAGGGCTCTCGCAGCTGCTTAGCAGCTACGCTCGGGCCCTAAATAATAAGATTCGGTTTCACTTCAAAAATGTTCGGCCATTTGAAAAGTTCCCCGACTTATCCGGTAGATGGCGCAGCGACCTCATGACAACCTTCATCCACTAACTACCTCACAGCACAGCAGAGTGACGGATCTGAAAACGTTTTTCTGGTCCGAGTTTGATCAGTCAGTCTTGCTGTCGGCGTGAAGAGCAGTAGCCTACAGTATATCTACAGTATACAGTATACTGTAGATATCTACAGTATATATGTATATTTTTTATAATTTTATAAAAAAAATTAAAAAATCGGCCGATTAATCGGTAATCAGACCCCCCCCCCTAATAATCTGTATCGGCATCTGCCCCAAAAAATCTGTATGAGTCGGGCCCTAATGTAAATTCTTTTTCAGCTTCACTGGTGTTGGTGATGCACAGAACAAAGTCAAGTTATCATCATATTAGGCTGCACCTGTATTCCTAACCAAACATGGTAGATCATTAATACAACTTGAGAATTTAAGTGGCCCCTGAGCAACTCTCTTGAAGAGCGCCCCAAGATACCTTTCTGCTGTCAGAAAAACTGCCCTTGAAAAACACCTGCTGTGTTCAGCCAGAGAGGTGACTCTTCATCTAAGCATGTGCTAAAGGTGGAAAAGCCACGACATCTGAGTTCAGCAATGAGAATATTAAGATCAGTGACATCAAAGGCTGCGTTAAAATCCAAGAGCACAGCTCCAGCTTATTTCCTACTGCTGCACCACTCTGGTCGATAGGCATGCTGTGCTGGTATAAGCAGTCCATTACCACCAAAGTGATTTAACGTTTGATTTAAAACATTCCTCTTAAGTTCATTATTAAACAAGGGGAATACACAAACAAGTTTACAACTGGAGACAGTAAAAGCACTCCCACTGTTTTTAGACTGCTACAAAAACTCTGGAAAGAGAGCGCGCTAAAACTGTCTAAGTTGTATAATCATTTGAGATTTTAATGGGCCAATAAAGTGCATATCTGATCAGCTTGACAAGGACAAAGGTTGTTCTATATGACCTTTATTTCCCTTTTTTGATTCATCATCAGAAAAGAAATCAAAAGTTTGTTTGACTTCATAGTCACTCTCTCTTTCTTTTGTCTCATCCTCAGAATGGAGCCAAGTTCAACGTGAAGGGCTTCCACAACCCACCACTGGTCAACAACCCTGTGCTGGCTAACCGCGGACACACACACACACACACTCACACTCACACACAGTACCACCGCAACACTTGGCGACGCAGAAAGAGGGACAGCCTACCAGTTAGCATCAGCAGATAGAAACCACTCTCCCTTTTTTTTTTTTTTTCCCTCCCTCTCCTCTCCTCTCTGGCTGCAAGACCCTGGCTCTATGTTCATCTTGAAGGAGGATGGACAGGCAGACAGGACCAGAGACCAGCAGTTTTCATTCTGGGGCTGCCACCACATGGATGAACAGCCCTGCATCTTTCTCCTACCAACTGACATTTCTTATTCAGCATGGCTTTCTTTCACTTTCTTCAGTATTATGTTACTTCCAGTGTTTCATCGCCCTCATCTTTGTTTCAGGTCAGCTCTTGTTGTGTTTTTGTTGGTTTTTATAGGACTTGGAGGAGAGGCCATTGCCAAGCTCACTTGACCTCGTCTTGACCCTTGCAGCCAAGCTGCCTGTGGTTCAGTATTACTTATTTTTCACAGTTTGTACACTTACGAGCAAACTTTTTTTTTTCATTATGTGCAATAATTTTATTTTGCTTATTTAATTTTTTTGTGTGTATATGTAAAGACATTTTTATACTGTTTTATTTTTGTAGAATTTTAAATTCTGTTTACGAACCTTTCCCCAGGCAGCATCTCTGGTGTATGTATGTGTGTGCGTGTGTCTATGTGCGCGTGTGTGTGTGTGTGACTGAGCAGCTGGATCAGAAAGGGACATGAAGCTTTTATCTTGATATTCCTTACATTTCTCAATCGCCTGTCTTTTGACAATAGACGAGTGAAACATGAAATTCCTCATGGAAGTTTTGTTCCTCAGTCCAGTTTGTCGAATTCAGGGATTGAAATTGCATCCAGGGATATCTTGGGATGTCCCAAAAAGAGCAGATAGAGCTTCAACAGTGATTGCAGAGTTGTTTGTATGTGTTTGACTCCCTTTGTATGTCAGTGTGCGAATGTGTCTGTGTCCCTTTTTGGGACAGTGCTGTTGCCATATTTTGTCAGTCAGGGGAAGGCTGGCGTCAGCCTGCTTGTTTTTTTTTTGTTTTGTTTTTTCCATACCAGCCATTTTCCCCCTTGAGGCGATTTTGAAAGAGAAGCCTTGAGACGGTGCAGGATTTTGGTCTGAGAAAGTCCTGTTCTGTTCAACATATATGCTGTTGTGTTTTCACTTTTGTTCTTGTCTATTTTTATAACATGTTGTAGGAAAGTTGAGGCCAAGAAGGCAACAGCTTATCTGACTTGAATTTGAAGATCGAGATATTAGGGTGGTGACAGAAAGCCACAGATTTCATGTCAGAGAGATCCTCGTCTATTAGAGGAACATGGTTTTGAAAGAGCTTGTCCCAGAGCTGAGTTTTACTCATGCTTAAGGCTGTCAAATGTGTTCAGAGCAACACTACAATGTTCAGTGAGAGGGATTTCTCCAGGAAAGCGGGTCGAGAGAGAGAGAGAGACTCCCTAAACCTAGGGCCCTAGCGAAAGGGAATTATATTTTGATTCCATTCAGGAATCTTGTGTACATTTGATTGCCAGGTACTTAACGCTAATTGTTTGCAATGCCTTTCTTTGTGTTTACTTGGAGTGTGTGTACGTTGTTTTCAGCGAGCGCACGGTGTCACACAAATACACACACTCACAGACAGGACTGTCGAGAGCTGTGACTCGCCCAGAACACTACACACGCTGGTGTTATTACTATGCAAGTGGATCATCAAAATTAATGTGTCATCCTTGTTGTCCTTCCAGTAATTCTTTTTTTAATGACAAACATCACTTGTTGGACAGTCAAGTCACTCGCTGTCTGACTTGCAAGCCAACTCATGTGAACTACACCCTATCCTGTGACAACCCCGCATTTGTACAAAGGTCCTGACATATTTCAAGATCTAGTTTTCTACATGTATCCATCAGATGTAAAGGCTGGAGGACATTAATGTCAGTGGTTGGGTCTGGGTCTGTGTAGTGTGTGACATAGTGAAACGTGTGTGAGAAAGTATAGAGACTCATGACACCACAGGCTTTTAATCAGACACCCGACATCTCATGAGACAGTGCACCCAGACTGCGACTTGCATTCTGCAGATGCACCTCAGTGGGGCCAAAGTGTCTACCAACAATCCTCTTCTCCTTTTTTTTATTTCAGCTTTTAAACTGATACTTTATTCACAACTGTTACACTATCAATGTTTACTTTTTCCTCAAAACCATGGCAACTCTGACCCCCGTTTAATGACATCTCGCACCAATTAAATCGAAGATGAAGGGTTTCTGGATTGACTGGTTGCTCACAAGCAATTCAGAATTATGAGCTTGTTATCATCTCCAAATCCAGAAAAATTCTTGCCGTTAATGATTTGACCAAAAACATTATGAATGCAGCAGACTGGCAGAAAGCAGTGTTGATTTTCTTTTTCTTTTTTGTTAGAGGTATGTTCAGGCATACTCATTTAACCATTTGCCCAAAGGATGTTCATACAATCCACACCTTGTATAAATTTGATGACAAATGATTGGATGTAGTAAACTAGCCTTTTAGGCCTTTTAATCTGCATCACTGCATCTGCTTTTAGAGAGACTAGAGCCAGCAATGATGGGAGGCCTAACATGAAATTGGTGATGGACGGTTGTTGACTGGGTTAGAGTTGTCTGCATCTTCACAACAAGGACTTGACATGCAGTATCCAAGCAAGTCTATGGATTTCAAATCTCTGTGCATCTCAGTGGTCCCACACAGTTGACTCTGTGCTCACTTTTTGTCAGTCCAGTATTCATGGAAATGAACGAGCAAAAGGTCTGGGGTTGTGTGCTGTAGCTTTGCCTTCACTTCTTCAGAAAAGTAGTGACTGACGGGGAAAAGGATAGAGTGATGAGGCCCACTGAGATTTTGGCGTACACATGTACATGTAGATGCAATGTAATCTAACCCCCCATTGGGATACAATGAGGGATTTTAAACTAGTGGCTGCTGTTATAAAGAAAGGTGGCAGCCCCTCTATGTCCTGGCTGGTTCATGTGAGCAGTGGACCTCTAAATGGACACCAGGCTTCTGGTATCCGGGGGAAACCACAGCCCAGCTTTTGTTTTTTGTTTTTCTTTACATTTTTATGTAAATATATTTTTTTCTATTTTATTTTTTAATAAACATTTTAAAACTGCCCACCACTGTGTGTGTGTGCTTTTTTTTTTTTGGCCTTATAACTGCATTAAACCCACTGAGCATTTTTGGTCTAAAAGAGGTCTAAATGTAAATGTCCAACACACCTGATTCAAATGATCAGCTCGTTATTAAGCCATTTCAGAGCTTGATAACGAGCTGATGATTTGAATCAGGTGTGTTGGAGCAGGGAAACATCCAAAACATGCAGGACAGTGGGCCTCGAGGACTGGACTTGAGAACCACTGGTCTAATATGAGGCTACCACACGTCTAAGAATGAATGTTTTTTAGACGTCTAAGTTTAGACTAAATCTAAATCTGGGCTATATCTATACTATCATAATTATTTTGGTTAAGTACTTGGAGATCAGTTATGAAACTCACAGTTGCTTTTTGAAATAAGTTGTTGAATCACGGGTTAAAGAGCAACATCCAAATTGCGTCTAAAAATATATAGAATCTAGACTGTTGAATTTAGGTCTAAAAAAACTAGACGTCTAATAGCTGTCTATTGCTCAGTGGGAAAGCAGTATTTGTGTGTGTATGTATAGAGGTGTAGTAGTGCTGTGTTTGCTCAGTGAGAGTAATATCGGGTTAAGAATATATTACTGACCTAACCAGCCACTGTGACTGCTGTTAACAAGAGAAACACTCGATATTTAGAGTTTAAAAACCGCATCAAACTACTTTAGGTGCAGGATGTAGATCCAAAATACTGAGTGATACTCTAATGCTCTGTAAGACTGAAGGAAACTGTAGTGTCTGTCAGTACAAAAAGGGTCCCTTTATATATGGCACACATTAATTTAACCCATTAACAATCATTTACAAATACTGGTGCAGCTTACACTTGCCATTTTAGAGTAATTTTATAAAGCGAGGTTTAACATGTGGTTCTTTTTATCAACACTGGGTGGTGCACATGCACTGTTGTTGGTACTGATGTGGAAGAATCTCACCTAAGACTGCTCTACATTTTGGTAAGCCCCTCTCTATCCCACAGTACATTTAATTCCTCAAACCAAATATAGAGGTGTTAACTCCATGTTGCCAGACTTTGTCCACAAGCTGTACATTTAGTCCCACCAAGGCTTCAGTAGATGTCAGGTGTTGATAGTGTGTGTGCTTTTGTTCTGGATTAGATGTTCTGTCTGTGCTGATGGCATGGCATCTTGTGTAACTCTTGAGCATCTGCCCAGGAATCTATTTGATGAAATGATCCACTTGTCTAAACCTCGCTGTTATTACCTCTGGACAGTAATAAAGCTTGAAGTGCAAGGGGAGCTTAAGGAGAAAGTTCTGAAGGTCAAAAAGCCAAACAGAACGAGCTGTATTTATGAAGGAGCGACCTGTTTAAATATGAGTCAGACAGATTGGGGTTTGAGTGAGGTTAGACCAAAAAAAAAGGAAATAGACCAGGAAGCTTCATGGAGTGTAACCATAATGTACAGAACACTTCTAGTTCTGTTTATGTGTTCAAATGACCACTCAATCGATCAGTCTTTATGTATAAGGCGCCAGTTCACAACAAGTGTTCTCACTATTGACAAGAACCCAATGTAAAGATGGGATGAGATTGAGCCCCAGCTCGTGAGATCAGACTGACAGACTGGGTTCAGTGAGGAGACAGGGAGATGCAGAAAGGGAGAGATGGACAGAGACAAGGCAAGTTTATTTGTATAGCAAATTCAGACACAAGGCAATTCAAAGTGCTTTACAGATTCAAGGAAATATGTAACGAATTGAAAAAGAGGAGAGATTAAAACAATCTAAAATCAAAGACATAAAATGATTTAATAACAATAGGAAAAACAGACAATTTGTTTTGTTTTTTCGTCTGTTCTATGTTTGCCCTGAACGCCATGAAAACCATTGTTTCCCAGAAAAATGAAAAAAGTCACACTTTCAGATCCAGTGCTCCCCAGATGGTAATAAGTTTGTTCTTCATCTATCTTGGCTCTCATGAGATTGAAAATTGGAGAGTCATGGTTTTCCAGACCCTCTGGTCATGGTTTTCTGGATCAGAGGTGTGACTGGTGCACATATGTTTGAAAAAGAATCATCTTTGCTTTGGACTTTGCTTAGCTACAAAAGTATATAACCACAATATAGTGTAAGCGGGGAAAATAGTTTAAAAATTGGAATAAAAGTTACATTTTTATGTCACCTAACTGCAGGTAGAGCTTGACAGTATACAATACCAAAAAAAGTCATTTTTTTTCGTAATGCCATCCTGTTGGTAATTTTCATTTCTTCTATTTTGTTCTCACAGAAAGAAGGATTATAGACTTTTGGAGGTTCTCATAGGCCTTTTCCTCCAGACTTTAGAGCTTTGATTTTCAAATAAAATTCACTTTTTGCTTTCATCCAAGAGGAGCATTTTGGACTATTGTACCAAATTCTAGTTATTTGTCATTTAAGCCCAGCTGAGACACATCTATCGCCTCTGGTTCAGGAGCGACTGTAGCCCATTTCCTGAAGATGTTTGTGCATGGTGGCTCTTACCAGTTCTCTCCTCGTGAAACTCTGCAAAGTTCTTGAATCGAGTAACTTGGCTCTCCACTTCAGCGGTACAGTCATCCCCTGATGCTTGTGTTTTTTTCACAACTCTCCTTCTTCTTCTTCTCAGTCAGCTTCCATTGAAATGCTTCAGACTTTTCAGCCATAATAACCTTCTTTGGTTACTCTGCAGAGGCTGTTGATGATTGTCTTCTGGACTGCTGCTAAATCAGCCGTCTTTACCATGATTGTGGTAGTGTATACTGAACTAGTAAGAAAGATGTATTTCTACTTTTTGAGCTGTAACTGTGCAATATTTTGAGATATTTTTAACCATATGCCATAATCATCAAATTAAAATAGAATAATGCTTGAAATATTTTAGTTTGCATAGATTGTTTCTCAAAAAAAATCACATTTTACTTTCATAGATTATGATTCAGAGACCTGTTTGGATATATCCTCATTTCCTAAGATGTATCTGTATATACTTTGTTTTGATTCACCCCTGAGGATCATTTCATTTCACCGTGGAAACTCTAAAACCCCAGTTTGCTCCTTCATCACCATCAAATAGTCATTAACAGCAACATCAGCAACTGGCTGCAAATCGTTTGGCAGCAGAAAGATAGGATTCATTTTTCTCAGGAAAAAGGAGAGTTACACTGACAGTAAACGCAAATTTTTCTTCCTTTGTAATTACAACTTCATCCTGTCACTTTGACATGATAAAACGATTCTTTAAAAGCTTGTGTATGCTGCTTCAAGTGGCAAAAAACATCAGCTTGAGCAAAATTGACAAGAGAGTTGTCCCACTCCTGGTAATTTCACTTGCTTCCTCTTGAATAAGGTGTACTCTTTTGTGTTGTTATAACAGCCTTAAAATAATGAGGTTAACATGACCCACAGATTTGTAAACACTGATTCAAATACTGTATTATAATGGAGAATCAGAGTTAATGTGGATAAGATCATCTGGATTTGACAGCCCTATTTGAATTGATTAATATTTGTGACATGGACCATTTATCTGAGAGCAGCCTGTTGAGGTGTTTATTCATTTGTAGTTAATTCTGCAGTATTTAACGGTGCGACTCCAGTGTTTATCCAGGGAGTCTTTCGACATAATGATCATTTATTGCTCAAGTCTTTATGCAGTGAAAAACAGAGCCAAACAGTATTTTAACAAGCCTTGTAAGAACACCCAGAACAATAGCAATCACGAGCAATGAAAAGCCTGATTAGTCGAGCATTTGTCGATTTTCAGATACTTCATGTGTGTTTCTCAAAAACAACATCTTTGTCTGGGGGTTTCATGTTAATATTCTGAGTTTACGCCTGGTTTAAACTACGCTGATTGAGAAAAAACATTAGGTTTCACACCTAATGAATCCTGCTGTATTTGTCTTAATGAGGACTCAGGAGTTCTGTGTGGGTGGAACCCCACCTACACACACACACACACACACACACACACACACACACAGATTCCCCCCCATCTCTCTCTTTCCCAGCCTCCCACCTTGATTGCTACTTATCTAGGTCATCTTGGTGTGTTTTAATCACTGCTTGGTTGAGAGAGACCCAGTTAGGTGATGAAGCCCACTTTTCACTCATCAAGGTGGGAAATCTGCTTAATTTCTAGCACATCAGCAGCCCTGCTGTAATTATCATTGTTCGTGCTAAGCTGCAGCTGGGATCACAGCCAATTCAATATTCACAGGATGTTTTAACCTGGATCGTTTCTGGCCCTCAATATCTTTGGCACCTTTATTTCAGACAGGGAAGAGAGGTGCTTGACCTTTTTAGAATGAGTGGTCTTCTTCAGTGAATCTATAATCTGCATTTCCTTAATTCCCATAAAGTAGGAAGTAGGATGTTTGACTCCAACCTGGCACCCAAAAAAGAACATCGAAGCTTAGCTGATTTCTGGCTGTCTTGGTGGGTGTATGACTTTGCTGTTAATGGTGCACTTCAAACAGAAACACATGGAGAAAAGCATGCCAGTGTCTAAATGTGATTCTTTAATTCTTCTCCAAATCTCATATCTGTTTGAAAAAGCTGCAGACATGCAGGTTTTTTCTCAGCAGGCCTGCCAACATCATGCATCCTAATTATCCAATTACTTTGCACATGGCGGCTGAATCAAACGGTTCTTGAGAATGGATTAGATGTCTTGGAACCACATGTGGAAAGGTAACTGTACTAGACACCTGCGCATTTCAGAAAAATACACAATGTCTGAAGAGCATCTATGAGGGTTGGATCTTGATATCACTTTGCACTTAGGCTAAAATGTTTCTCTTTGTGCTTTGTTTTTGAACAGGAAATATCATCATTTTGAGTTAAAGGTGGGACCGGCAGGAATCCGTTAAAGAAGCATCTTTTTGTGGTGTATGTACAAAACAGCTTTTAATATCAGTCAATAGCTATAGGTTATTGATGACATTTGGTAATATAACGATATCTCAATATAATCTACTGCTCTGGAGAGGAGGAGCTGAGGGGAAAACTGGTTGGGAGGGGTAGTGTTTACATTTCTCCCTAAAACTGGCACTTCCTCAGATCCTAACTACCCCACCTTTCATTTTATAATAGACTCTTTTTTGAGTCGTTTGTTTGATTATGTATGGGTGTATTCATTCTAAACACCAACACTGAATACTGTCAAGTCCCAAAGTAAATTCCTCTCTTAAATATTCAAAGTTAATTTTTTTTTGTTGTTGTTGCTTTTTTTGCCTTTATTAGACAGAACTTGGACCGCTGCAGTCAGGGCCGCAGCCTCTGAATGTGGGGCACAAAGACTGCGAGGTTATCAGCACACACCTCTAAATATTTACAATACTTTTATATCTGCATTAACCAATATTTCACTGGGACAGTGGGTTATTTAAATTCAGTGTAATGTTCAAGGTATCACTTGTACAGATACAAGACCTCTAATCTCTAATCTCCCCTTTGAGTCTTTAGACCATTTTGTTTAATTGGTTAGATTTCTGATCTGCTCTTTGAATCCTGCTAACCTGCTAAACAGACACATATGTTCCTTTGAAGGCAGTGGGGATAAAAAGATGGGTTAAAAAAAAAAAAAGAACAGAAAAGTTTGTATTTGTCCGCATAAAGCACATTGATTATTGTTGGATGTACTGTATATAAGAGGCAATGCTTAGCTGATAAGGTGATGCTGGTTTTTGAAGATAACAGTATCAAACTCTATCCAAGGTTGTTGTTAATGTATTGTTTTGACAGTTTATGCCTGGAATATCTATACAGCCTGTTGTTTCAATACTCACTGCAGTGTGCCCTGTAACAAAAATTTGGAATATAAGTAAAAAGCATCTAAATATAGGTTTAATTCTAAATATCTTAAGGACTAAGATAAGAAATTGTTTATGGTTTCAGATTTCTCAATTCCACTTTATTCTCGCCAGGTTTGGAAAAGCTCAGACATGAGATCTGTTCCACGTCATACCACGCTCAGTGCTAACCCTCAAAGAAGCATTTGTCCTCATGAATACACAGTGTTTCCCCGTCTGCTCATGTCTCCTCATCTTCCATCCTGACACTTTCCTTCTGTCTGTATGTGGGAGGGTGTTGATGCAGAATAAGTGTAAGGCCCCTTTTCTTTGTGCTCTCATTCTGTCATCGCCTTTAGCCTTGTGTGTGTATGTGTGTGTCTTCATGTGTGTGCATGTGTTGTTTTTTTGTGAGTGTATGTTCTTGGAGTGGGCAGCAGATGGTCAGCAAAACCACACCTGTTGTATTATGATGGAGTATAAGAACCTTTATAGTATGTCCCATTTATAGCACAGTGAACACACATACATGATGAAGAGGATGTTGTCTGACAACATGATGAAAACAGGCGTCAGAGTGGACAGTCCACAGCTGTGTGTGTGTGTGCTGCACACATTTGTTGGTGTGTATATGTGGATGTGTGTGTATTTAAGGTCATTCTTTGGGGTTTGTGATCCTTTATCTCATTTCCTCACATAGTAAGTTAAATTTCCCAGATTCATTTCACCACTGTGACATGTTTGTGTGTCGATTCTGGGTTGGGGTTGAAAAAGAGCACACCCTCCAAGAGTGGGTTTTCCTTAATTTGGCTTATTTTGCCCAGGGACACACACAAAAAAAACATTTATCACATTAAGCAAAGGGTAGGCAAAAAAAAAAGGGAAAACAACCCATTTCAGCTGAACAATTACAAACACATTAACGCCAAGGCGCAAGCATCCTAAACAGAGAGCTATGTGCCTATTTGTGTGTGTTTGTGTGTGTGTTTGTGTGTATTCTAGCAGGGAAGTGAGCTCAGTTCATTAATCTTGTCTTTGTTGTGTCAAGGCAGACCTAATTAGATTCCATTACACATGCTTATTTGAGGCAGCCAACAGTAAGTCTATAATATCTTGCGATTTGTTGTGAACACACACACAAGCAAATACACGGATAACGCAAACACTAAACACTACAAAGAGAGGACATTTGATTTTAATGATATACACATTTACACCAATTCAAGTGGGGTCACAAAGATGAGGTGTAGGAGTAGACAGACTGAGCATCAGGGACTGGCTGTAAATACATCACACTTACTGTGGAACAGCTATCAGCTCGACAAGGGGAATCTGGGTTATTACCACGCGTGACTCTTGGTGTCACTCATCCTCTCTATCTTTTCGCTGTTGTTTCTGTTACTAAAATAAATATTTGGCCTTCTGCTGTTCCAGAAGGCCTGATTTTTTTTTTCCCCCAGCATTGCCTTGCTTGACAGTTTGGAGGTTAATGACACAGAAAACTCAATCCTCTTTTAATGAACCTCTGGATCAGCTGGCTCTAAGATGTTAAGAGTAAAAGGACCTTCAATCATGGCCACAACATATACAGTATTATCACAACTGGAGCTTTGATACTTTCCTGTTTTTCACCCAGAACCAATAACTGAGGCGAGTGTTTGTGTAAAGCAGCACATTAAAAACAAAATAGGTACCAGTAGGGTGACCATACATCCTCCTTTACCCAGACATGTCCTCTTTTGGGGGGCTGTCTGACCTGTCTGAGGGGAGTTATTAAAATTCTTCAAAAGTCTGGGTTTCGCCAGTGAAATAAAAAAAATAAATAAACAAAGATAACATAAAATGTCATTTTTTTTTATTTTTTTTAAAGATGAAAAAAAAAAGATAGTATACCTCACTTTTTTTTTTCACTGGCGGAAACAGGCTTCCATAGTTTTTGAGTGTGTGTAGAGTGTACCTTATCTTCCCATCACAGACCATTGTATTTACCGTACACATTCAAGTGGAATATGCGTTTAACTTAGCGTGTAAAAAAACACTCGACCCAACCCGAAAAAAAATCCAAAATTTTGCGCACGCACAACTCTGCCACATGTGGTAGTGTCCTCTTTTTGGGGGATTAGAATATGGTCACCCTAGGTACCAGGCGTGTTACATAATCACATTTGGGTTTACTCTGTGCTTTGTGAGCGGGTGATTCAAGACATCATGTGGATTCATTTAATTTTAAATAAGAAAAAAAAAAACATTACTCTGATAACTGTAATCTCTTACAATCATTTAAAAATATCTATCCATAGCATTGCTCCAAAGTCTTTAAGTGTGTCCCTGGCTTAGTTCAGTGGGGATGTTAATGACGCATGTATCAGATGAGCGTTACAGCTCTCATTACCTCCTTATCAATAGAACACAGGTAGAGGGCAAACAAGTCTTCTTCAATGCCCAGCAGCAAAACACAAATAGCAGGAATAATTAACGAGTGAGTGAGTGAGTGAGTGAGTGAGTGAGTGAGGATAGTTGGACAGCAAGCCAGGTCCAGAGAGAGAAAAGGAGCTGAAAGGTAAATGTTGGCCTGCTGTCTCCTGAGGGCTTAAAGGTCATCTGTAGGGAAATCACTGTCGCTGCAATTTGGATGTTGAGAAGCTAAAGCCAATATTTTAGCTAGCAGTTCTACTTGTACATTTGTTTTTGTTTTTTATTGTAGGTGAAGTAAAGTGTCCGCTCGATGTTATTGTCATCCTGTTAAGTTTACTATAAGTTTTTTTGGGACTAGGTGGTTGTAATATCACTAAGAACATTGATGCGCAAAGTTATTTTTGACTCTCTGTCAATCCAGTGTGAAGAGATTTAATAGTTTTACACACTGTAGATCGGTCCCTGCACGTCTGTCAAAAAATAACACTTAGCTGGACATGATTATGTGGGTTGAATTATCATTATTATCACCGTTTTGTCATTGTGGAGTTCATTCTCAAAGATTTTCATTTCAAGTCCCTTTGTTTGATTTCTCTACTTACAGTTTGTGAGATTTGCAAACATTTTGGCTGCTTTCTTTCTCATATCTCACAAAGAATAGAGGAGGGATGGGCGATATGGGCTAAAAGATTTATCATGATATTGCCATTCTGGTGATAATGATAAAAGTCTTGATAAAAAACATTGTAATTTGAATTTTTGACTCATTTTGTCTTGAGAACACCAGTTGGAGTAGTCAAATGAGATACTTAAACACATGTTTAAGTGGTAGGTTATGGAGAAAACTAGTAACATTAGACAAGTCTCAAATGTGGAAACATTTTTAACATTTGTTGAAAACTCTTAGCGTACAGAGTGAACATAAGCAGATCCACTGTCCGATGTCAGGTATACCTGATTACTCTCGTCTAAACCCCAATCTTGAAGGAAATCCCTCATGTGGAGCCTCATTCAGTAACCAGCTGCCCAGAAACATCTTCTTTATTACCTGCGGCCATGTTTGTTTGTTATGCTGCTCTGTGTGGGCTACGGCTGCGAGTCCATCGCTTACGATTATGTCATCAACTTACATTTATCGTATTTATCGTGAGATGGCAAATATTTATCATGGAAGATTTTTATGATGATTTATCGTGAACGATAATTTATCGACCATCCCTAGGATCGAGCCACAGTTGCTTTGACCTCTGCACTCTTTTATATCTGCTTTTTTTATGTTGTGCTTTTGGTTGGAAAGATTAATTAAAACTGTAAAATTCAACACTCCTTCAACATTTATTTAGACATACAGGATATCTGATCTATACAGCACTTTTCCGAAATCATACTTAACACTGATCTTAGCCTGACTGACACGTTGAATGAGATGAAATAGAGGGTCCAGGTGCTGTAGTAATGATCTACTATTGACTTTTGGGGGGATGGGAGGTTGTTTAGGGTGTCTCAACAACAAATGCATGTATTGACATTTACATTGACACACATAATAAGCACTGAGTCTTCAGCCTTTGTGCTGCAGCTGCAGCTGCTCTGTTTTGATTCAATAGTTTGGCACGTTTGTTACCTCCTGCTTCGATCTCTTTTTTAAACAGCTATTTTTAGTTCTCTTAATGTTGCATGATATAGAGTTGCACACTTCATTTTGTTGTTCCTGGAGCAAAAAGGATATTCTATTTTTATAGTCATAGATTTTAGTGCAGCCATTCATATCCTGAGGGGCTACGTTTGTGTGGAGTTGTTCGATATCAATTCCTAAAAATTAAAGACAGGGTAATTTGAGCGCTTATAAATTTCTGGTTTGAGAATTTTCATATATTTCAGTAAAACTCGTTTTCTTTTGCTCTAGTTGAATTAATTGTCATATAATTTGTAGTTTCCATACTGTTGAGCAACAGTGTTAGATCGAGGTTTGGTTTGTGTGCAAGAAAACAGTCTGTTTCATAGCAGCAGGTTGACTGAAATCCAATCAGTGAACCAATCAGCTTTTATTGAACATCAATTAAGTGTTTCATCTTCTCTAGAAACATATGCGGCATGTTCGTGCAGACAAAAATCCAGTCCCAGATTTAGTCTTCTGACTCCACTGTGTTTGGAGCTGATAACCAGACTATAAACAACAGCCAGTAGACAGAAGTGGATATTTTATCTGACATGGCAGTTATTAATATAACTACTGGCTGCAGAAGAAAACACAAATCGTCAGTGAGCACCAGAGGCTAAAATCTGCTGTCAGACAGGAGCTGATGTCTCCCAAGAGTGCCTACTAAACAAAAGACTTGAAGCACTCTAGTTTTGATCATTTCAGCACACTGATGTCAAGTTTAGGTTGGTGTGCTTTGTCCCTATATATGTGAGAAAAGTGCCTCTACACTTGTTGTGTCCTTCAGTTCACAATGAGTGTAACCGGATTAACCCTGAATTGAGGGTTAATCCCTCAATTCCCTGAATGGTATGATCTTTCTTTGCCTATGGCTGCTTGTCATTTATGATGGACTAGAAACTGAAGCTGACTCTGAATAAGATCAACACTCACATATCTACAAGAAAGGATTAGGGCAACATGAAGAGAAAAAAAAAATAGTTACAAGAACACGATTAAAGTCAAAATTTTAAAGTTAAAGCCGAAACTTCAAGATTAAAGTTGAAATTATGAGATTAAAGTCGACATGAATAAAGTTGAAATTTCGTGAATTAAATTGAAATTTCAAGATTAAAGTTGAAAGTTGAAAGTTGAAATTCGAGATCGAAGTCAAATTTTCATCATTAAAGTGGAATTTTTGAGATTACAGTCAAAATTATGAGATTAAAGTTGACGCAAATAAAGACAAATTTTTTTTGATAAAGTCGTAATGTTGAGAATCATGATAATTAATCAACAGCTTTGTCACTTATCACTCGACAACATGTCCTCTGTAGAAGAGTCTGTAAAGCTTTACTTTAAAATTGGATTCAGTAAAAATGAAATCCTTGCTCTTTTATCACACAAACACATTGTGGTCATAAAGTATTCAGACTTTGAAAGACTGTGCCGAAGATTATGATGCAGATGCAGGGTTATCGATGCTTGCTATACAGCGAGGCGATGTTGTATCACAAGATACAATAAGACAACAAATTGATTAATCCTGAAGGCGTGGAGCACAGACGAGCCAGGCGTCTAAGGCACAGGCATTACAAAAGTCGAGGGCCCAATATGCTTTGGCACATGGATGGCAAATTTAAGCCATAAGGCATTTCATTTCGACTTTGTAAAATTTCAAATTTAATCTCGGAATTTCAACTTTAATCTCGAAATGTAAATTAAAAAATCTCCCCCCTGTAACTATTTTTTTCTCTCCTAGAGGCCATTATCCTCTCATGCACATATTCCCTCAGAATGTGAAGCCTCAAACCTAAAAATGTCCTCTTAGCTCTGTACATAAAAATGATCGGTCATAGATGAGTTGTACTGTATAGGCCCACTCTTTGTATACCCCTTCTCTCTCAGTCTGGCCAGCACACGAACGACACTGTGGATTTGACACATTGAGGTGGCCCGAGCCACTTTCACACTTGACAGAACATCACATGTAGCATGGATGGAGGGGAGAGAGGGAGGAAGAAAAGTTGAATGAGAGAGAAGTGAAAGCCTTGAAAAAGAGAGAAGTAGTTATATTACATCAGACTTTGTTTTACTCCCTCTGACACAGAGACACATACTTTCACCAGCAAACTTTCTCTCATTACCAGCTTTCTCCCTCCTCCTCCTCCCCCATTCCCCTGTTCAAAACACACCAGTCTCTCTTCTCTTCCTCCCACACTCTCTCTGTCTCCTGAGGTTTTTCCCCATCCTGACTTTGTTTCTTCCTCCTGTTTCTCTGAGTTTCATCTTTTTTCCTCACTCGTCCATCTTTCTGTTTCGTCAGCGGCTGCTTGATGGCATTTTATTCTCTCTCCTTCCCTCCACACTTTTTTGCTCTTCTTGGTTCTAGCACAGCTGTTACAACCCTTCTCACTCACCCACTTTGGTTTTTGCTTCACACACACATACGCACACACACACACACACACACACACACACACACACACACACACACACACACACACACACACACACACACACACACACACACACACTCACACAACACTTCTTCTTTCTCTCTTTACTTCTGCCAACTTCACACTGTTCTCTATTTTTCTCTTATATAAATTTCTCCTTTTTTTGGACCTTGCTAACACACTAACACACACACACACACACACACACACACACACACACACACACACACACACACACACACACACACACACACACACACACACACACACACACACACACACAGACTCTTGAGTCATGGACCAGTTTTCTCTACATTAGCTGATCACACATCAACATTCTCACATTTCCACCCTCTCTGATAGACACAAACACACACACTTTTACCCACAACCCCCCTTCACTCCACACATATTGGTACACACCCTCTCTGGTCTCGCGCTCTCTTCTCTCCCTCCCAGTCATACCCATTCTCACTCTCCCTCAGTCCTCAGCTGCACCTCAGCTCAGTAACATGCTGCCTCGCCGCAGCTCCAGCACCGAGCGCTGAGCAGAGGCGTCCAGCTCCTCTGTCTCACTGACCAAACATACAGAGCAAACAACAAGGAGCCAAGGAAGAAGGGTCATCTCTTCACTTTGATTTTTTTTTTGTCCCGCAGCTTTCTCTGAGATAAAAGGAAGCTGTGGAGGAGAAGGAAGAGGGAAGATTTTTACGCAGTTTGACTGAGGGGGGGACAGAGAAGGAAGTGGCAGCTGAGGATGCAAGGCTGGCCGGAGGAGGAGCAGGAAAGTTGAGTTGGACACCTGATGACCTGCTGCTGAACCATCCCAAACAAAGTTTTTTGAGGGAGGGGAGAAGAGGTGGTGCACTTTTGATGCTGTGGACTACAGGAGGTGAAAGCATCCCTCACCCTGGTCTGGTCACTGTTGTGTTTTTCCTGTTTGGTCTGTCAGATATCAAGACCAAATCCAGAGGCAGCTCCCCATGTGGCAGGAAGCTCTGTGGACCCGCGGACGCTACCTGCTGGAGAAGAACGATGGCGGCGAGTGTACCGAGGGGCCCGAGAGCTTGGCGGATGGGTGCCCGGGGTTCCAGAGTGAGGTGTACGTGGAGGTGGAGAAGCCGCAGGACTGGCTGTATGAGTCCTACTACAGAATGAGCCAACAGCATCCACTCATTGTGTTCCTGCTGCTGATTGTCATGGGAACGTGCCTCGCACTGCTGGCTGTGTTTTTTGCCTCAGGACTGGTGAGTTTGTTAAAGTGTGTGTCAGAGTGTGTGTGTGCATAGGTTAGTGTTAAGTGTTTTGGGGTGTGTGGCTAAAATCATTAGTGCAGAAAAAAGAGGATAGTTAAAGTTGAGATCTGGAACATCATCGTCTATAAACAGGAAGATGTTGTGGTGACAATCACAGTCCCGGATATTGTCATTTTTAAGAGATATTGTCTTGTTGTTCAAGGAAGTGAAGTTGATAAGAGCTGGATAATTCCTCCATTTTTAAGCTCCAGCTGACAGTTTGTAGATTGAAGCCTGATGAAAAGACTGAAAACAAGGTCATCTTCGCACAAAGACTGGAAATAAGGAGAGAAAAACCTGCCTGACTTTCAGAGAAGTAAACAGAGTCAGAATAGGAGACCCTCCAAAGTACTGAGTACCATGTTGCAGTTAGTTGGTAGGAATGCAATATAGCCTACTCAGTTCTGCTGGGTTCAAAATAAGTTGTTTTTCTCAACTTATAAATCAGAGAAACTGAAGTTAAATCATTAATTAATATCAGTCTTTTATTAAAATATCATAAAAGTAACACTAGATAACAGATTATCTGGTAGTAGTATTTATATAGTTAGTGAACTAGTGAGGATATTAATTACACAGTATACATTTATAGTCAGAATGTGTCAGTCTTTGAACTTGACTTGGACTCTTGAAGTTGAACAGCAGTGTATTTGTTAGGGTTGTAAATCTCCCTCCAACAAGACAATATGATCTGATATTAACATTAATCACTACCAATCAATTCCAGGAGGATTTATCAAAATAAAGAATGATTTGCTATGATTTGGTTCAGTTTAGTTTGATGCAAATTAGTGATCAAAGCCGAAATTTGTGCTTTCAACTATTATTATTATTATTTTTTAGAGATTTTCATTTTATTTCAAAAGAGACCGTAAAAAATGGAAAACATTAATGCTGCTGTTTGATGCATTGTACCAGAGTGATCTTAAAGCATATTTACATCTGCAGTCCATTAGTAAAATGTGACTGACTGAACCTATTGTATGAACTGATATAATGATTTATAAACTGAAGACTTTCTTTCACACTCTTACTGAGGTGTCTCAGGACAGATAATTAGGTAGAGAGATATAAAAAATAGCTTTAATTAACACAAATTAAACTTCTGCCTTCAATAGCTTTGCAAAGCCCTGCTAACACTTGACTGAAGTATTTATTCTTCTAAGTGACAAAAATTGGAACTAGTCAAACAGTCAAAGTATAAACAAGCTCTTCCTGGCGGTCTTTGTACCATGCTAAGCCGGAGGGAAATGCTGTTGTGTTGAATAAGAGACATTTTTTCTTCTTCTCTCAAACTTTCTCTGTGATTGTCACGCATGAGCTGTATATGACATTTACACGCTTAGAAGCCCTTTGATTGTATTAATTATTTCAGAGACATTTCTTTCACACTCTGTTTAATGCTACGCCACTAACAGCGTTGTAGCAAAGGTTACATCATGGATTCTTACTAGGTGAAACGGTCTTGCACCCAATTATTTTTCTACAACAGGTATAAACAGGCAAACTGTAGTCAAAATTTCTGTCCTTCACATCAAGTCTACAAGACCTGGTTTATTAAAACACAAACTGATTTTGGCTGTTGTTATTTCCTGACTTTGAGGGAATCAACTCTACCTAACCAGGCACCAAAGTTAACGTGACTCTTGTGAAAGGTTGCAGCATCACGAGACTTAAGATGCAGAGCCCAACATACAGATACAACACAGAGTCATATTAACAGATTACTGATACAGAATGGCGTGCATCTGCGTATGGAGGCTAACCTGTAGGGGTGGGAGAAAAAATCGATACAGCATAGTATCGCGATATTTTGTCCAGTGATATATTGTATCATCTCATTTACCAAGTATCGATTTTTCAAATTAATTGCTAGTATGAAGTTAAATCTATGATAATGGGAAAATAAAATCAACTGTTTGTCCAGTGAGGTTGGCAGAGGTGACATCATAGAGTAGGAGAAAGTTTGTACTACAAATATAAGGTTTGAAAGATGTACAACCTGAAAATTAAATACTGTGTAAATTAGACAAACAGAAAGGAAAGCCAAATGCTAAATTAGCTAAACAGTTGAAAAAAAATTATATAAATTGCAATATATTGTATTTATATATATATATTCACTGTATTGCAAAATGTTCAAAATCAGAATAATATCGTGTCGTGGCCAATTATATCGTATCATGGCCCAAGTATCGCGATAATATCGTATAGTGGGGCCACTGGTGATTACCACTCCTACTCACCTGTCATTGAGGTGAAAAATTATAATAGTTTTAAACATAAAGGTCAAAAAGTAAAGAGCAGTCTTAGCACCAGCCAGCAAAAATCATTTGAAGAGCAGCACAATATGGTCCATGTAAAGTACAAGAGGTTGAACCCCCTACTGTTGAAAAACAGAGACTATGATTCATAATTCTTCACACCAAAGAAACCAACAAGTGTCTTTACAGTTTGTTTTACTTTTAACAAAATGGAAACTAAAAATTGATAACAGTATGGCAACTGTTGAGTAACATGTGTTAGTGTGGTTAACAAAAAGTAAGCATGTTACCATAGAAATGCTGATATAACACTCTCATTTATCTGTCTTAGCATTATCCCTCTTCGATATCTCTCGGGGTAATCACAGTTGTCCTCATTAGTGGACTTCAACAAAGTAAAATGTGATTTTCCGTTAATAAAAACTCATTTGACATTGTTGAGGTACAGTGCATTTTTTCATGCTGTGAAATGCTTAAATTTCATCACAGCACTGTGAAAAATTGAAGTGGCTAAAGCTCTGCACTCCATTATCAAGCATCAGACACAGGATCACAGAGGGGCGTTGAAATACGAGTCGTGTTTTTTTTTTTCCAGCACAAAGCTGAATGAGACAGGGAGACCCCTGCGTGTGTGAATATGTGTCACAACATAAGAGACTGTGAAGCAGCACTTGAAATTGTAAAACTGGGTTTACAAAGTGGATCAAGAGCGGTATGAGAGTTTAGTTCGCAGCTGTGTGGGTGTTTGAGCTTTTGTCAAGTAAAAAGTGTTGTTTTGGCCACAAACACTCAACCACAAATACAAGCCATTGTTTCTCAAGTACTGCTTTTGTGTTTTATGAAGTAGCTGTACAAAAGGAAGCCCACTCATTTGCTTTGGTTGTTGTTGTTTCAAAATGATTGCTTTGCTCCCGTTAGTATTCTGAACAGCATGTAGATGCGTACTTTTCTATGCATGCTCATGTGTTTGCAATAGAAGCAAAACTTCAGTCTAATGGAAGCTCTTTAAAAATGATGTTGAACTCACGTACTGCACCCAAATCAACATGAACATCTTGTTTTTGCAGAGAGTTTGAAAGCATTTGATGATAGTTACGGTCAAAACCCCTCTCTTTTGTCACTTAAGTCCTATTACATTCAGCTGAACTCAATAACAGGCTTTTTTTGAGCGAGAATCTCCACCTAAATCGATCCCTCCTTTCTATTTAAGTAAAATCAATAGATGTTATTGCCCCAGCTGGTCCATTAAGTCCTCCAGGTTTTCCTCTTATTCTCTGGCTGTGGACATCATCGCAGGTTAAATAACAATCACTTCTAATAATTCCTCATCATTCTTGTTATCAATAGAAATCACTCTCTTTCCTTCATATCTGCTCCTATTAAATGAAAGACCAAACTGCCTGGAGTGAGTGTTCAGTGAGGCATGTGTATTTACATCTGCTGGATAAAGAAGAATGTCAGGAATAAATAGTGTGGGTTTGGAGCTGGGGGCTTAGAGGCGGAGGGGGAGAGGATGTTGTTTTAAGTGTTCTGGCTTTATCAGTGAGCCGGCAGAAACCCAACCAAAGCAGCACTAATGCTTCCAAAATTACTGCAGGCTTTTATCTTTCTACACAGATCAAGGCTGGAGTGAAAATGGTGTTTTTCGGTCACAGGATCCCCCACCCATTTCATACAGCATGTGTTTATCGGTGTGTTTATGTGCGCTAACATTTATGCGAATTTTGTGATTGGCATGCATGTTGTTTGGGTGTGTTTGTCACAGGAAGTTTCTCATTTCCTTTTAGGGCTTATCTGAAATATTTGGGGACATCATTTTCTCTTTCTTTCTTGTTACTTCCAAGTTTTATTGTTTGGCATATGTGTAGGTATGTCTGTGTGGGAGTGTACGTGTTTGTGTGTATTTGCATTCCAAGATGTGTGTTTGCCTCTGTGAAGACTCAGCAACTGCAGCATAGCACTGAAACAACATTTTAAGTAGAAATAAATATGATTAGTAGCAGGATGCTGGACATTACAAATCTCCTGTTACTTTCATGATTTATGACGTGCTTTATTGACCTCAGTCTTTATTTCAGGTTTGATTACTAGCAACATATCTTAAGTTTAAGCATTATGACCTTTTGCAGAGCGGAAAAGGCATTGTGTTTCTGAAATAATGGATCACTAGTGCATTAAGAGGCAGGAAGGTGAATGAATGAGGACAAAAAGAGGCTGTGACATCATGGACCGAGGTACAAAGCTCTAATATTCTGCTGTAATACAGGCCTTTAAACAGAATATGTTGGATTTGGCCTTGAAAGAAAGGATTGTTTGCACCTGTTGGTTACTTCTGTATTTGTTATAAAAGAGCCAACCAAAGCTGTAAAACACAGACCACTACATGCTTCTCTTTCCAAAAAACAAAAGGCCAGAGTGACTCTTTGGTTTGTGATATTAACAGAAAATACCTCTCTTCAACACTTCTTTAAGGTAACGCCATGGCGAAACAAGAGGTCACAACACTGTTTTTGAATGAAACGATTTGGTAAGATGAAGAACGGTTCTGTCCGTCTTTTGTAATTTTGATGCATTGAAGGGATATTCCGGCTTAAAATAATTTAGAGTCAAACACACTGTAACACCGGGTTAAACACCCCCCTCGAGAGATGAATGTTGCCGACCGCTTGCTTCTCTAGTTATACCAACTTAAGTAACGACTGCACATTAGCAATGCACAGCGGTCTGAGGAGCCATAAACAAACCTCAACCAAACCGCCACTCTATAGCCACTAATAATGCTCAGAACAGCACCTAACTTCATCAAAAGTACATATAGAGTCCCAGCCATAGCACTAGCCAACCAAACATCTTTTTAACTTTGCCTGATTTCTTTAGCAAAGAGACTAAACACAACTCACCTACTCTCTTCCAGCAGCCGCTTGTTTCTAGCAAGACCTCGTCCAGTCCATCATTGACTTGCAGTTCAAGGAAGAACATATTCATAAATTAACATTCAGGCTCAGATTATATACTGAATATAATTTTTTGTTTGGCTGGTGGAAATCTTAATTTGGAGGGATGTGTATCAAGCTGGTTTATCCAGCCAAGCAAAGCCACCTTATTGCTGCACATGCTGGCATCTTATGTATGATTGAAAACTGACCAATTTATATCATAGAGATGAAGTCCTTCACTAGGATGTGTTAAACTGATTCACAGTAAGATTACACAGACAGAGGAAGGGAGGGATTTGTGTCTCCCTGCCATAATACTACACAGCTCAGGGTCCCTTTTCAAGTATAGATAAGTGTGGAATTAAATTTGATTAATTTCCAGATCTTAAAAAGTATGGAAAATGAAAAATAAAGTATGGGAAGGTATTTATGTTTCCAGACTATTACCACAGTTCTAAACTTTGTTTTCTAAAATAGAAAAGTAGGTATTTCCAAAAATAACTCCAAAAAGTAGGGTATGGAAAAGTACAGAAATTCCAACTGTGTAGAAACCCTGACAGCTGAAATATTTAAGAATTCCAACTTGTTTTTTTATGTTTGGAAGTACATTATTTCAAGCTTTGTATTGTGCTTCAAACCAAATCATTTATTTCACAATCTTTTGGCTTAAACGTGGTATGCTCAGCAAGTTTTAGCAGGTGAACATTCCTCTGCACTGAACTAAAGCACTGTTAGATGGGTTGTTTTTTAGTTGATGACATTCAGAGCCGAGCAGAGAGGAGATTGTAGAAATTTGCCACAAATCAGTCTAAACATAAATAATATACCCAGACATGAGACGCACACATGCTGTTCATTAATGTTAGCATTGGCACACCCCGTACCCTTTCCCTTTCTGTCCTACATCGTGTATTTGTTGTAATGGTGCATTTCACAGCTGAATAATCAGATAACAGCAACTCTCCATCTCTCTCTGCTCCTGCTATACAGTAGCTCCATGCCCCAGTCCTCCCAGTATAATAGATGAAAAACCAGACTGGGCTAAAAAGGGAAAGAATTGTTCTAGACGACAATACAGTATATTATGGTTGGCAGACACAACTCCCTCCCTCTATGTTATGTTGGTGAAAATGTTTGTACAGGATTAGATGGCCTTCAATCAGAGATTACCTTTTTAAATTGTATCAAAAATACACAAAAGAAAACATTTCAATCTTGGTCGTACAACTCCTTCCTTGTGAATGTGACACTAACATTGGCACAGGTATCCCCTGCAGTGTTTGCACTCTTGCTTATATCCTTATTGAGATTCAGCCTGCGCCCAGAGCTGACTGTATAGCCGGTGTGGCGTCAGCAACCGGATCCCTTGGGATCTCTTTGCCAGACCCTGACTCATACCACCTCTGCTACATTGTGTTGCTACACTTATGCACAGCAAAATGCTCCCTCTCCAGTTTTTTTTTTTAACAGGCCAAATAGATTGTGCTTTTCTCAACAAGCAGTTTGACTCAATAAACTGTCAAATCAGCCACAAATTCAAGGATCGAGTCTGTGACACTTTTTCATTCTGTTACATAAAAGCTGCCTTGGCAAAATTGTATGTTGAGAGAATCAATCTCAAGTCTTTCCTTATTCCCACTCTGATGCTGGTTTGACTGCAAGTGCTGTGACATCCAATCAGAAAGTGACTTGCTAATTTAACATTTAACTCTAGTGGACCTGCCAGGGCAATCAGCACTTTGGAATACCTTAAAATACTTGATGTGGGCGTCGGGTAGGATCAAGCCTGTGAAAAGTAGGTTTGTTCAGTGTGTGAAAGCTTTCAGTCCTCTCCTCGAACAAATGATGGTGATTTTGCTGCCGTTTCATTTTACTTGGACCAAGAAGGAGAAAAAGACACAGAGGTTTCTCTGTTCCTACCACATTTTGTGAGTGCATGTTTTTGGACCTGGTTTTTGAATGACTGGAAAATCAGTAGAGGTACAGTTCTTTTGTCGTACCATGAATAATTAGGTAATTGCTTTGGGCTGTAGGCAGATGCAAAAGCCACAGACAGGTCAGAGGGATAAAAGTGCTGAATGAAGACATAAAGGTGAACCAAAAGGTGCTTCTGTCCGCTCCTGTTAACTTGAATAATAATAATAATAAAACTGACATACTTGATCTATACTTTTGCAGTCTGTTCTGAACTCAAGTAAAATGAAAGATCTAATCTTCAAGAACAGCATGTGTGCCATTTTCAAAAAGAGACTGTTTATGCTGTCCCTCTTCCTAAAATGTTGGTGTTAAAGAGGAAATCCGTGTGTGTGCGTATGTGTGAGCGTGTATGTGTGTGTTGACATCCTCTAAATGCTGACTTTGTCAATGCAAGCGTAGAAGTGATGCTGTAGCACATTCTCTGGGCTCAGACTGTCTATCTGCCGATCTGTTTGCCGTCTATCTGAGCGTGTTATGTTGAACTTGGTGTATGTACTGTATATGTGTATATCCATGTCTTGGATAGGACGCACACATAGGGGGGGAAAAGCGTTTCTATTAAAACATTTTTTTGGTTCATAGTAAGTTTCATGTTTTGGGGTTAAACTCACTCTTTGTAGCGTGGGCATTTATTCTTTTGTTTTTGTATTGCTGTATCTGCCTTTTTTCAGAAGAGGTTGTGTTTCTCTCAGAGAAAAAGAGGCTTGTTGGTACTGCTCCTTCCTTCAGTTTTATGTTGAAGTTTTCTCTCAACAGTGAGCCCTAAAGTCCCCACAAAGGAAAAGCTATTCAAATTATTGATTTTTAAAATCTTGATTAATTGAAGAATTTTAATACTTAATCACAATCAATTGTATTTCTTTCATGTTTTTAAAAAAAATCTTTTTTATGCTTTGTCATGCAGTAAAAGAGACATAAGGGTTATAATTAAATGTCATTATTGTGTTATTGATGACATATATCTATATTACCGTGTTTACGGGACTATAAGTCTCACTTTTTTCATAGTTTGGCTGGGTTTGGACTTATACTCAGGTGCAACTTATATATTAAAATATATAATTTTATATATAATTTGGTTTTGGATTTTGTAAAACAAATTTCTCCCCAAAAACGCGACTTACATCGGTATATGATTTTTCTTCTTCATTACGCATTTTTTGGCCGGTGCGACTTATACTCTGGAGCGACTTATAGTATGGAAAATACGGTATTACAATTATTCATAGTATGAATTGATAAAATGAATGAATCCATTAAAATTTTTGGACACGACTTCACACAAGGACGCCCTTACCCATGGTGCAAAAATATAGAGGCACTATGACTTTCCCCTTTTTCCCTCAGGGCAGTGACTTTTCTCATACACTTGACAGATCACAAAACAGCTCCATCAGTGCTATGCCATAATTTTTGTCACAAACAAGAATTTGACCATACGTCATCCTTCTCCACATGAAAACACCTGTCATTGCTTGCCAGGGCCGAGGCGTCTGCCTCCCACTTTTGTAGTGGGAGAAATCCCTTACTACGGTGAGAAACAAAATAACACATAATTAAAAAAGAATTTATGTGTTAATAACGAGCCTTTTCCCACTGCGATTGACACATTAACACTGACAACACCGGTATAAATAGTAATATAGTTCATTCATGGTGTGGGTCTTTGCATAGCAGCATCAGCAGTCATCACTGCTGATTAAGTTTTGTCATCATTACTATCCTTTTGTCTTGAGCAGATCTTTCAGAGGTAAACCATGAAAACAGGAGCACTGGGATCTATCAGTATTTGGAGACTCATCTGAATAAACCCAGTGGTCAGTCTAACTCTATAAACTCACTATCCTTCCCTCTCTGAATTTCTGCAGAATACAGAGGACCACCTGACGTTCCTGATCACAGTTCCTGCTGCCCTCTTCCTCTTCCTGTCCATTTTCATCCTTGTCTGCATTGAATCGGTCTTCAAGCGGATGCTCGGCCTGTTCTCTCTTCTTATATGGGCCTGTCTGGTCACCATGGGTTACTTGTTCATGTTCTCAGGAGGGATCCTCAGCCCCTGGGACCAGGTAGGAAAATCTATGGGTTTGATTTGTGCTTGCCTTGATGTGTTTCACTTACTTTTGCTAGGCCTGCTAAGGTATCTATTCTTATACTCCTGGTTCTTGTTTTTTGTTTTGGCGTAAGCAGGCTTACTTTTCTAGTGACCAAATTTTGCTGGCTAAGTTTATATTAGCTTCATTAAATCATGAATTAAACTGCATGGAATAACTCAAACTTTTTAAAGTTTGCAATTGATATGATACAACATGAGCACCACATTTATATCCCTAAAAGACTGAAGGTAAAGCTGTTTGTGTCACCAATAAAGCGTCATCTTGATCAATTAATAAGTAAGAAAAAAAAAAAGCAATATTTTGGTGAGAAAAGTAGATATTATTCTCAGCAATATAAAAGATAATCTGTATAGAAATTGCTAACTTCTTAGCATGGGCTCTAATGAGCTCAAAATACATAATCAAAAGAGGTTATGTGTGTAATTTTAACAGCAAATATTCATGTCATAAAAAGGTTCTTGCTGGTTTCGTCTTTAGACTAAGATATATATCAGAACTCTTGTGTTGAGTTATGGCTGCCATGATGCTGTGATGTCTGCACAATCACTGCTCATGGAAGAGACAAAAAGAAAAATTAAGATCTTCTGGGCTAAATGAGCAACTCAGCAGTCAGAAGATATGCACATATATTACATGCCACACCTTAGATCCCCATGAAGTAGGGAGAGTCAGACACGTGCATGTGTATCCATGAGTGTTTTTGTGATGTAGGAGTGTCTTTTGAGTACCCTCACCTATTAATTTGTCAGTGTTCTTACATTACATGATTGTGTGTGTGTGTGTGTATGTCTGAGTGTGTGTGTGTGTGTGTGTAAGATTTCCGGCATGAGCGAAGAATTAATTCTGCCGGTGACAAGTGTTAATGAGGCCTGATGAGAACTGGAGGTGAGCAGATCAGCAGACAGACACATTAGTTTTCAATGCCAGACACACTCTCTCTCTCTCTCTCTCTCTCTCTCTTTCTCTCTCTCTTTCTCTCTCTCTCTCTCGCTCTCTCTCTCTCTCTGTCTCAGAAATCCCATTTTCTCATGGTAGCACCCTGTCTCTCCCTATTCATCAAATCCCATATTTCTCTTTCCAGCTTCTCCACCTGCCTTCTTGTTAAGACGCCCCACCTTTTACTCTCGATCCCCATCTACCACTGCTTCACTCTGTCTATCCCTGCTCCAGGGTGGAGGTATTTTTACCATCAGCCACCTGTGAGACCATTATTGCTATGCATTATTAAATCTATCTATCTGTCTGTCTGTCTGTCTGTCTGTCTGTCTGTCTGTCTGGCCGTCTGGTTATCTATCTATCTATCTATCTATCTATCTATCTATCTATCTATCTATCTATCTATCTATCTATCTATCTATCTATCTATCTATCTATCTATCTGTCTGTCTGTCCGTTTGTTCGTCCATCCGTCTGTCCTTTAAACCATCTATCTATCTATCTATCTATCTATCTATCTATCTATCTATCTATCTATCTATCTATCTATCTATCTATCTATCTATCTATCTGTCTGTCCATCTGTCCTTTAATCCGTCTATCTATCTATCTATCTATCTATCTATCTATCTATCTATCTATCTATCTATCTATCTATCTATCTATTTGTCTGTCTGTCTGATCTAATCTATCTGTCGTTCTGTCTGATGAGTATAAAGCAAGAAAAAAAGAAAGACTAAAAGGCAAGAAAGAAAAATAACTCGAGCAGAAACCTGTTAGGAAAAAAGAGAACAGCTGGAAGTTCAGCCAGCTCTCAGCAGGTTGGATTGATTGTGATTACTGAGAGAACAGCATGTCTGATGGAGAGCACAGAGCTAATAACAGGAAAGCCCTGAAAAAGAGTGAGAGTTGGTTAGACAGAGGAGGGACGGGGAGAAGCCGCTGCAGTGTTTCATCATTTACTCTTATCCCATTCACATGACCTATGACATGCTGATATGATTAGTCTCTTCCTTTACACATGAAAGAAACATGGTTTGTACCTTTAAAAGAAAACTCTGATTGTATCCTGAAATGCTGCAGTTATACTACAGAAGTACTAAACAGAGCAAAGAGCCAAATATTTCCAATGTGTGTATTGGCGCATACTTGTCTGTGCATCTGGGTGCATCGAGGCAAGCAAGCTCATGCTGCTTTTGTCTGAAACACAGAGTAGTGAACGGGCAGAAAGAGGGGAAAAACACCCAGGAAGCTGAAGTGAGATGATAGCCACAGCTGCTATTTGGAGGCCTTTGAGAGTGTATTAGGATTCAGGCCAGGCTGTAGAAGAGATGGAGTGTGTCTGGCTGCTTGTGTGGCAGATAGGAGCAGGTCACACACCTGAAATTGGACTGCCATTTTTAATTTCCACAGACAAGAAGCTCATCCCAGCTCGCACTCGCTGTCAGGCGATACAAGACTTAGAAATGAAAGACAAAAGTATTTTTTATAACATAAGCACATATTTGGTCAGATAATACGACTCATCCAATCCAATCTAATCCGTTTTATTAATATAGCGCATTTTGAAAAACATTCAAGTTTACCAAAGTGCTGCACGGTAAAATTAAAAGAACAAACACGCAGAAAACATCAAGAGGAATTAAATAAAAACAGGTAAAAAAAAAATATTTAAAATAAAGTAAAATAAATGAAATAAAAATACAAAAGCATGAAATAATTAAAAGTGATAAAAAGGACCATAAAAGACGTTAAAGGACAGAGATCACACAACTCTCATGCCGCACTAAAAGCCAAGGAATGAAAATGAGTTTCAAGACGTAACTTAAAAGTACGGAGGGTGGAGGATGTTTTAATCTTGAGTGGCAATTTGTTTGACAATTTGAGAGCCACAGCCGAGAAAGCTTGGTCGCCACGGGTTTTTAAATGAGTTTTAGGGTCAACGAGTTGGAGCTGATTAGCAGACCTCATGCAACGTGGGGGGGTATAAACATTGACGAGGTCAGAGATGTCCTGTGGTGCTGATCTATTTAAAGATTTAAAAACAAACAATAACATTTTTAAATGAATACTTAAATGAACGGGAAGCCAATGGAGGGACACCAGAATTGGAGTGATGTGATCATGTTTTCATTTACCTGTTGAAAGACGAGCAACAGCATTTTGGACTAACTGATTATCCTGATTAACGCCAACGTAAAGAGCGTTACAGACGTCCAACCGTGTGGAAATAAAAACATGAATTACTCGCTCAAAATCATTAAAAGATACAAACGATTTAATCTTCGATAAAAGCCTCAGATGATAAAAACTGGATTCAACAACAACAGAGTTGATTTATTGATCCGATTTTTTAAATTATTGTCAACTTCTACACCAAGATTTAAAACTGTGGGTTTAAAATAAGGTAAAAGAGAGTCCAGCCCCCTGACCCATCGTGCTGTATAACCCCACAAGACGAACCTCCCTCAGCTCTTTTATGTGGCCAATCTGTTTCACTTCAAGCAGTAGATTCCTGTTTGCAAACCGACTCTTTGAACGTGAAAGGTAAAGGAAACAAACAGACAGGCAGGATGGTCAAAGTTCATCTTGTGTCTCAGTTCAAACTGGGACCTGGTCACTCTGGTCACCACCACAACAGGAAGGGGTGTACTGACAGCAGGGGAAGTGGATGGGGGACAAAGCAAGAGGTTAAGTCGCGTGGTATCTAACCCAATAGGAAGCACAACAGACAGAATGTCTACTGTCTCATTACAGTGAAGCAGGAAACATCATCATTTCTTATGCTCACTGCTCACAGTAACAGGATTTTGAGATTTTTCAAGCTGAATGAGCGGCCCACTCATCTTATCATTAATTACAGGAACAGCATTTTATCCTTGGAAGTCACAGATCCTAAATCTCTGTTGGGATTTCAGCCCAGACATTTGTCGTCATCTATGTTTGGATATTTTCTCGGTACTTTCTGGCATTACTGCTGTACTTGAATGAAAATCTGCCAGAGTTGGTGACTAATGTGATAACAGTCCACGATGACTGCAGTTTTGTAAAAATTGTTATTTTCTGAACATAGTGGTGTGAGGGGATTTTTTTCACTCTCATGAATAGTAGCTAATTATTTGATGTTATCTGTAAATGTAGAAGTATTACTGAAACTAAGGCTGGGCGATATGGGAAAAAGTTTATCACAATATATATTTTTTCATATCAGTCGATATCGATATAAATAATGAAATATAAAAAATGAAATTTAACAGTGCTTATTGGTAGCATGTCTTTTGCAGAACAATAATCCACTGCACCTGTGAGGTCTTTGTGTCTCTTCGACGTTTTGTCGCTAGAGAAAGCGGACTGAATGGTTGGCTGTTTTGGCTGCGCAGGCGCCATGGGCTCCTTGCTCCACTTGGGGTTTGTAACCTTTTGCATTACGCGTGCTCTTCTGGGTGGCACTGCTTCAGCTAGTGAAAAAGATTTGAGGTATTCCCCGACTTTGTGAGAACATGTACTCGACATAATTTGCAGTGCGACCAAAAACCAAAATGCCTCCACAACACTGCCGTTTTCATGCCAGTGTTGCGCTCATTTCCCTTTTTCCTCACCAACAGTGCTGCCAGCTTCACCTGTTAAAGTGCTATAGTTGCGTGTAGCTGCAGCCTGCTACTACACAGTTGTTTGCTACTTGGTTCTAATTCAGCACATGATTGGTTCAGCATGAAGCTGACCCGCAGCAACTCCCCTTTTCATTGGCTATTTGTATAGTCTACCAAAACATGGCAGAATGCAGACTCGTGAAAAGCATATTGACCATGTTTCATATCAATTTTTGATATATATTGTTTTATCGCCCAGCCCTAGCTCAAGCTAAAAAAGAGTTTAGCAGTATTTCTGTAAGAGAATTCAAAACATCAAGACTTCTGCATTGATCAGATTTGTTTTCTACAGATGAACCCCTTCACTGACATCAGTCTGTATCCTGTTTGCAGGTGTCCTTCTTCCTTTTTATTGTGTTTGTTGTGTACACCATGTTGCCTTTCTCTATGAGAGCGGCCATTATCGCCAGTGCCATCACCTGCTCCTCCCACACGGTCACCCTCAGCGTCTGTCTGGCCTTTACTGTCAAAGAACTGGAACCTCTGGTCTGGCAGGTAAGTCTGACAATTAACAATGTTGAATCTGTGATGTCCAAACTTTCATCGCTCAACAGGGAACTGTTGAAATCTGCACTTTACATCCTGCTGCTAATGTAGATTATTTCACTTTCAGCTTTCCTGTTATTTTTTGTTTTTTAACTCTTAAGCCTAGATAGTTACTTTACACCATTATGAGTAGCAGCACAAGGGTGAGTGCATCATTTTGGTCAGGCTGTTACATGCACAATTAGGAATGATGGGGTACAGTATCTTCGTAATAGGGTCTGAGCTTGAAAGCAGTAAACTTATCCTATACCACCAGGATACAGCACATTCAGCAAAGCCTCTAGAGTCAAATGAACTCAGGTTTAATACACTCAGGACACAGCTCTTCTAACAGAGGATCTAAATGGACTCACTCTTGTTGGAGTAGAACACTATAGTACCAGAACCAAAATCAACCTGATACAGCTTCTAAAAACAAACATAACTCATACATTTTAAAATGATGTATGTCTCAGTGACTCTCTCTGATTATTTATATCAGCAAACACAGTGATTTCGCTCAAATCCCTGTAGTTTCTCTTTTTCTTACTCTCTCTCTCTCACACACATGCACACTGGAATACTAAATCAGCAATAAACCACAGTGAAACATGGTCATTGCCCTTGTATATAGCAACAAGGCCAACCGATTAACACGTCAGTCTACGTTTTAAAGGGCCTAAGGTTGACAGAGTGGTGGAAAAGTGCGATCGAAGTGTGTGCTCTTGCTTTTACGAGGCGGTAATAATGTAGGCTTAAGGAAAAGGAGGCAGATAGCAGGAAAAGTACATGCTCAAACATGACTGGAACATGAGTCATCTCCTGATAGTAGCTGCCCTAATGTTGTGCTCTCTGTGTGTATTTGTCTACGTGGTGGTAGATCTTAGCGAATGTGATCATCTTTACCTGTGGAAACCTGGCTGGAGCGTACCACAAACACCTGATGGACCTCGCTCTGAAACAGACCTACCAAGATACATGCAACTGCATCAAGTCTCCCATCAAGCTTGAGTTTGAGAAGCATCAGCAGGTACCCACATACACACATGCTGCACAGCTTCAGTGTCACAACATGTTGAACTTTTACTGCATGCAAAAGTGTTTTTTTTCCAGTAGCAAAAAAACACCACTTCCTTATATCCATCTTTATTCTTTCACTTTAAGAAGTTTCAAAAGTTATGCAATTCATCCCTTTGTAAAATGATACCAACATTAAGCTTAACTGAGTAAAATATTTGGTGTATATACTCACATTTTTTTCATATCAACACAAATTTTAGTAACACTTTACAATAACCATGATTTATAAATGGCAAATAAATAGTTTATTAATGTAAGATAATAGTTACTTTACCATTAACAAGCAGTGAAATTATGATTTTTCATTAATTATTAATGGACTATTTATTAAAGGTTTATATAGGGTTTAAATATTGGTTATAAAACATCCAGATTGAAATGTGTGTCAGTAGCACTTTGTAAATGATTAATAAGTGGTTTATAAACCACCTATAAACATTACTTGAGGGTTATTGTAAAGTTAGGGTTAGGGTCAGGTTTTTAAAATTGCAAAATTTACAATTTATTAATGGTCTATATGCTATTTATAAATGATGATTAAACATTAATAAACTATCTGCTTACCATTTACAAATGGTCCATTTACCATTTATAAGTTATGGTTATTTTAAAGTGTTACCTAATTTTTATTTCAAATAAAACCAAGCAAAGATAAAGCTTTAAACACCACTCTTGTATTGGCTTTTGTTGCATAGTGGACGTATGCAGTGACCATTTGTGCTCAAGATTACTAAAAGGGTTTAACCATTACCACTATGAGTTTCTAAGGTAGGCTGAAGACGTTTCTAACCTGCTCTCAAAACCATAAAAAGCATCTAGGGGCTAAAATGAATTTGGACTTTAAAGTTAATTACCTTTTTTTTCACCACTTAGTTTGGTCTCAGATGAGGAATTAGCTAGTCCATTATGTCTAAAAAGGCACTATGTGTTGACATTAGCATATTTGCCTTGACATTAGTCCTGCTATCAGACTGTGAAAATGACAAATGAAATTAGTAGTTCACACCATTCCAAAGGGGTTTGCGATTAATATCAATGAAATTTTACATTTCATAGGATTTCCTTTTTTAAGAATAATGTACTCCTTATTACCAATATCTACTGTATGTGTGGGTTTGTGTGTGTGTGTGTGTGTGTCCTGTTTGTTAGAGAATGCATGCAAATGCCAGAACATGACTAATCAAATGCCAAATTTCATTCAAAAGCAGAGTATAATCACTAGTGCTCATTAATTAAACATGATGTTTAAAGCCAAATCTCCTCAGGCTATAACACCCTCACTCTCAGCGACAGCGAAGAGTGTCCATATTTCTTCCGTAATGAATAAGTAAATGAGCACGGTTGGTGTGGGTTTCTATTTTTAGTTTACCCCATCACACACACACACACACACACACACACACACACACACTGACAGACTTCTCTCCTAACCCCTCTCTCTCTGTCTAATTTGTTGTTACGTTTTAGGAAATGAGCTTGTGCTGTGTGAACACTGTAATAGCCCTCTCTGCTGTGTGATGCATTTATGAGTCACATCCCTTAGGCAGATGCTGTTCACTTTCTCCACTATGCACATACACACACATACGCACACACACATGCACACTAAAATCACCTTTAAACAACCATCCATCCAATGTGCATGGTGTCAGATCAAGGCAAAAAGCCCGTATTTTACATGGTTACATAAACAGCAGCTACAGGTGATCTTCCGTAGCTGGTAACTTTTTACACCTGTTCTGTTTAAATGGTGCACATGTTATGAAGTACTGAACTTTTTTGAGCTTTACAATCAGCTCTACTGGGCAGCTTAAACTTTGAGCAAAACGTAGTCTTCAGAGGCAATACTGACTTAGATTTCATCCGATTGTGGAAGGAAAGTGGTTGGGTCCTTTTTGAGTGAGTTCGATGTTCTTAGCATTAGTTGGATGTAGGGCTGGGTGATAAAACGATAACGATATATATCGAAAATTTATTTCCCTTAATATAGATATAAAACATGGTCGATATGCTTTTCGATAGTCATGTTTTGGTAGACTATACGAATAGCCAATGAAAAGGGGTCTGCTTCGCGCTGAATTAATCATGTGCTGAATTAATCATGTGCTGAATTAGAACCATGTAGCAAAAAACTGCGTAGTAGCAGGCAGCAGCTACACACAACCATAGCACTTTAACAGGTGAAGCCGACAGCACTGTCGGTGAGAAAAAAAGGAAATGAGTGCTCCCCCCAACAGAAATGGAGATGAAGGCTCAACATATAATGATATCATCTACAACACTGGCATGAAAGCGTCTGTAGGGTGGTATTTTGTTTTTTTTGAGGTCGGACATGAAACAGAGTAATCTGCACTGCAAATCATGTTGAGTACATGTTCTTGTAAAGTCGGGGAATACCTCAAATCTTTTCACCACCTGAAGCAACGCCACACGGCAGAGCACGTGCAATGCAAAAGGTTACAAACCCCGAGCCGAGCAAGGAGCCCATGGCGCCTGTGCAGCCAAAACAGCCGACCATTCAGTTTGCTTTCTCTAGTCCAACGCCTCACGACAAAACGTCAAAGAGACACAAAGACCTCACAGATGCATAAGCTTATTGTATTGCAAAAGACATGCTACCAATAAGCACTGTTACATTTCATTTTTATATTGTGATATACATCGATATCGACTGATATGCAAAAAATACATTGTGATTTTCCCATATCGTCAAGCCCTAGTTGGATGCTACCTTAGAAGAGTGGAACAGTCCTTGAAGTGGGTTGACCTGGTTCAACTCCCACCCTCAGTCCCTTGCCACATGTCATTCCTTGTTTCTAACCTTATCCACTATCCTGTCCTCTTATTTAAGGCAGAATAAATCCTACACAAAACAATGTATAAAAAAATAAAATCAGTGTTACCTGTATTCTGTTACTCATCTGATCTTCAGTCCTGTAACAAACTTCTCATATCCTGTCTTGGTTGCTTGACTTTGTCTGACCTTCATCCCTACCCACTCTTTGTCTCCAGGAGCGTTTGCTGTTATCCCTACTGCCAGCCCACATAGCCAGAGTGATGAAAGCTGAGATCATCCAGAGACTACAGGGACCAAACTTTGGTCGAACTGAGAGCGCCAACAACTTTCACAACCTCTATGTGCAACGGCACACAAATGTCAGGTCAGGTTCCTTTCTCCTGCATCTGTGCCTCCACATCTCAAAGGTTATAATTTTCTGCTCTCTTCTCAGCACTCCATTTCCCCTTTACCTCATCACCTCCGCCCAAGCCCTGTTCCAGTCTTCTGTTAATTTCCTTTTCTACTTACTCCCACATTTAGATGGCTCTATACTCACTCCTACCACCCTATATAAGCTACCTATATTTCTTATTTACCTCTTCTCCACCATCTTGATATTTCTTTTCATAGTCACAGCCAAATCTAATGCACAGTTAATCCACTTCCCTTATTCCTTGAGGTCACTTTGCCGAATGAAGAGGGATCTACCTATATCCTTTGTTGTAGATAACAACCTCTCGTATAGCCATCAGATTCAAAAAACAATTCCAGTTCAAGCATAAGAAGGAGCTACATCATATACTGAAGCTGTACAGGGCCACACTGTCACTATATTCCATTGAGAAGGGCCTTAGGTGTGCGTGTGTTTTTGTATTGACATGTTTGTATGCGCTGACACGGATCTGACTACTTTTTACAAAGAAGTCGGCTCAACTTATTAGCAAAATGCTAAAACCTGTGAATTGGTGCTCCTTTTTTTACCTGTTGGTTTAAAATATGCTTGAAAAGTTATATAATATTACTATTTTGCTTTGTTGTCTCTTGGCTTCCTCACCCTTTGTTTTATATAGCTATTTAAATCTTTTTATCGTGAATCACTTGGGTACCTTTTAACTTGAAATAAAGTTCATTGAAAAACAAACAAACTTAAGTTTTGTGGACCCAGATAGCAGCATTTCCTCAAACTAGCACTGTGTTGAAGTAAATACTTTGCTTTTTGTAGTAAATTTTTGAGATTTGTGACCTGCTATAATGCTCTTCTCACTACTGTGTTGATATGCTAAATCACTAGTAATGTAATATACCATAAACAATAAAACAACATAAAACCATAACAACATAAAAATACATCATAAACACAGTAGAGCCAGACAGATATGTACAACTTCTATAAACCTGAAAACTTACACTGAGATTTGTAAGCGGAAATGTTTATGTTTCTGTTAGGAATCAAAAAGGGGAACCTAAATCCACTTGTCTTTTTAAATCTTATTCCAGTCAGACACTTTGAACTGGTCTTTATTCGAGACTCAAGTGCTGTTTTTAAAAGTCTGCCAAACTACTTTTTTTCACAAGTAGCAGGTAACTTACATCGAGTGCAAAAATGCTAAACAGACTTGTAACTAAAAAGGCTTTTCTGGTCTTTCCTACCACTCAAAGTGCTTTTACACCACAGGCTACATTCACCCATTTATACCACATTCATATGCAGAGAGCCAGAGATACTAAAATACAGGACCATTGGTACCAACCAATCCCACTCATGAGGATTATGCCACCAGGAGTTATGTGGGGTTCAGTGCTTAAAGATACTTAAGCAAGTGGACTGTGGGAGCGGGGATCAAACTGTCAGCTCTCTGATGGAGAGGCGGCTGACTCTGCCACCTTATAACACATACTCCAGTGTAAAGACCATATTATGTACTGATAGAGTGGCCTCTACCTCTCTTTATGAAGTACAAATAAACTATAAGTGTGTAATTACTTGATGGTTGTATGATTAATAAATAACATTAATATTTAAATGATTTTTGTTTCTTCTGCAGCATTCTGTATGCTGACATTGTAGGCTTCACCAGGCTGGCCAGTGACTGCTCTCCAGGTGAACTTGTGCACATGTTGAATGAGCTCTTCGGCAAGTTTGACCAGATTGCAAAGGTAACTGAGTTATCAGCACATTTCATAGACCAGGACAAGACAAAAATCAGCCAAACTCTTTCATGCTTCTCCTGCAAAATGCAACTCAATGGTGCACCAGCATAAGATGCAGCTTTTTGTCCATAGCAGTCAAAAAGTGAAGACCAACACCTCAACCCACTTTCAGTTTCACTTCGATTCATTTTTACATTATCCTGTAAGGTCTCTGTGTTAAATGTTTTTTAATAATAGTTGAAGACAAAAATAGGTTTGTGCAGTAATATAATTTTCTCTTCTGTTTCCCTTCTTGACAAAAACACTTGTATCATATGTCACGGCACATTTAAACATAAGACCAACCAAACACCATCTACATTCAGATTTAGATCACTTTATTTATTTCACTTTAGGGGCAATTCAGTTTGCAATATATGGCATACACAGCAAAAGACAGGACATTTAACACATTCAGTCAACAATACAATACACAAGTCTGTCAATGTGCAGGACAGCTGAAGGGTCAGCTATAAAGTGCAGTAGTGGCAAGTGCAATAGTCACAGTAAATAAGTAAATAAATAATCAATTTAAAAGCCTAAAAAGGAAAAAAAATTAAAATAACAACCGTGTACACTATGCACTATCACTGGCATTTAAAAGCCTAATGGCTGAAGGAATAAAAGAGTTGCCATTTCTGTTTATTTCCCAGCTCGGAGTAAGATATCGCCTCCCAGAGGGCATCAAGGAAACACTAATCAGCCCAAACTAATCAAGATGTAAACAGATCGATCCTAAATCCCAAGTCTGCCCCAAACTAATAAATAAAGAGCTGAAGTTTGTAATTGTGTAAATGATCTAAGGGGGCAAAGTGGTGGAGTTAGCGATTCCTCAGATATTACTGTAGTGGGAAAAATATATAAAAATGATGCATTAAGTATACAGAGTACCTGTTTTGTTTTTAAGTAAAGCTCTTAGCAGATTTGACTGAATATTTCTTACAGTAAACCTATCTGAAAATTATGCATTTACTAAACAAATTCAGTCTTGTGCTGTCAATCATTCCTGGTGCGGCCTTGAAATGAATAACTTCTCTTTCCTGCAGCTAGTGCCAGCCTTGTTGTTGTACTTTCTCCGAGCTCTGTGTGAGCTTAGGGCTACAGGTGCTGCAGTGTGGGCTGGTCAGTGTATCTCGGGGTCTCATGGGCTCTCTGCTTTCGGGTCCAAACAGTTGAGTCAGGCTCCTCTCTGCTTTATCCAGCAGTTCTGTCCTTCTGCCTGATGAAACTGCCGTTATATAAACCTGGAGCAGTGATGAGCTGTTATACATCCCACATGTGGAATGAGAGCTAATAGGCTATGTGTGTGGGTGTATGATTTTGGACTTGATGGATGTGACTATGTGTGCATGTGTGTGAGGTTTGTGCTGAGGTGAAAAAGAATGTAGCATGTATAAAAGAAAAATTAAACCTTAACTTAAAGTATTAATCATTTTCAAACACATACTTGAGTTTGATTATTGCATATTATGCCCGTCAACATAATCCATGTTCGCTCTCTCTTCAAGGAAAACGAGTGTATGAGAATCAAGATCCTGGGAGATTGTTACTACTGTGTCTCTGGTCTGCCCGAGTCGCTGCCTCACCACGCCAGGAACTGTGTGAAGATGGGCTTGGATATGTGTGAGGCCATCAAGTAAAACACCAGATCTCTTTTCTTTCTCTTCCTCACAAACAGAAACACAAACAAACACACGCCTGTCAAACAGATAAACCAGAAGGAATGCCAGGCTTGATTACAGCTCTGTTTGAGCTCCGGAGTAAACATATCGTGAGCCCAATACGATAAGCCTCCCAACTGAACAAATATAAGTTCCAAACAAATAGTCCTTTTCACTTTCCCCCTCCTGCTCCATGTTTCTGTCTCCCAGTCATCCATGAACACATTTATGAGTTTTCTAGATTAGTATGTTTGCTTGATACCATTAACCCGTAGTCACTCTGATGAAAGATACCATTTGGCATCATTCATCAGTGGTATAACACCCCAGTGTCTGTATTTTAAATCAGCTCAGAGGAATTTGTCAACAAAACAGGAAGTTTATTCTGAGAAAATGCTGAATCATTTTGGCACCAGTCAGACAATGACGTAGTGGTTACTGCCAGCATGGGTCATGGCAGTCTATATACAGGTGATGTGATATAATACATATTTGTCACAAAATACTTGATGAAAATCATTTTTTTTATTTTTCTTTTGTGTTTCTGTACAAGCTGAAATATACGGTGGCCGAGAACCGCCACTGCTGCAAATAAAATGAATACAAAAAAAAAAAAAAAAAAAATGCCACAACGGAAGTTATTGATGAAAAAGAAAGAAACCGAGGCCTACTGCAAATTTTTTTTTAAAAAGTCACAACAGAAGTTAAGTTAGTGACACCAAAAAAAAGTTTCTTACTGCGAAAATATAAGGATGCAAATTTTAAAAAAGCCACAACGGAAGTGAGCTGCCGGGGACCAATAATGGAAAAAAAGCAAGGGGTCTGCGTACTTATTTCGATGAGTAAAGCAACCGAACCATAAAGCTAACAAACTTGATTCTCCTCTCGTGGGTGGTCTTTCGGGCCGTAGTGGGTTTCCCATGTTGGCCAAAGCTAACACTACACCAGCATCCTCCAGTTCAACTTCATATCGACTCAGGTGCAACATTTCCTTACGAAATGACACATTGAAAAGCACACAAAGCGAAATTAAACAATAAGTCGTATTCTGTGGTTAGATCGTAAAACACTGGTGCATAATCATTATGCATCCCTGGCAGCTCACTTCTATTGTGGCTTTTTTTTCGCAGTAAGCAACTATTTGTTTAATTTGCATTGCCACTTTTTTGTGTCTTTAACTTCCATTGTGGCTTTTTTTTTTATCTGCAACATTATTTTTTTGCATCGGTAACTTCTGTTGTGGCTTCTTTTTTGGCACTCTTCTTTTGTTCGCTGTAATTGGAAGTAAAAAGTATGCGTAACCTTTTCCCTTCCTCCTGGCTTTATGCTTACTCATCTAGCTTCATCCCAACTCCAGCTCTGTGTCTCATTATGCAGTGTAGAACACAAAAACCTGATAAAAAAAATGCATGCAAGTCATTTCTCCCAAATTCTGACAATTAATTTTCTGCTCTTGGCCCTCAAAAGGAAGGTTCGAGATGCCACTGGAGTTGATATCAACATGCGAGTTGGAGTTCATTCTGGAAACGTCCTCTGCGGGGTAATCGGCCTCAGGAAGTGGCAGTACGATGTGTGGTCACATGATGTAACACTAGCTAATCATATGGAGGCCGGAGGTGTCCCAGGGTAAGGTTTTATCAATACTTTGAAGATTTTAGCTGAATATGAACACTTTTTCCTTCATATCAGATCATGCATCTTCAGTCTTTGACCAACTTCAGGCCTGATCTTTGATGTTGCATGATTTAGTTTGTGTACCAAAGAGAGTGTGTTTGGGATTAGACTGACATTTCTCTCTCACGCTTCTTGAACTGGAGTTGTACTTTATTGAGTGAGTAAATTCCCATCTGCCTCATTTGCTCCTTCATGTGGCCTGAAGCTGGATGAGCAAGTCTCAGTGACCAGCAGCATTGTATCATTATCCAGTTCAAGTGGAGTGTTGTCTTCGGTTATTAAGTGGCTTTTTACCCTTGAAGGATAACACTCATTATTTTGTTTGTATCGCTTCCTGGGGCGTTAATATTACTAGATCACTTGTAAGCAGGAGAGAATAACATAGATCAGCCTCCACAAACTAACAAATATCTCATCAGTGTCAGGGCCTGCAGGAGGAAAACTATCCCTGTGCGCAGGTGTTGTGTGCATACATTTAAATAAACCATTAAGCATTCATTGGATCAAGACAACAATTCTGACCTAAAATACAATGTATATAATAATCATATAAATATTAGGTGTCAATATTACTTTTATATTACTATTTCAATGACATTCAGAAGTTAGGCGGAGGCTGTTGGTGGCTCAGCTCTTGCATACCACAATCTGAATAAATGAGTCTTTGTTAACTTGCTCAAGGAAGTTAGCTGAATATAAGGAGTGACATTTTTTTGCCAGATCTGTAAATAATCAGCTCCACTGGTGCTCCACTGGTAATGACTCTCCCCTGTCATTTAGCTCATCATAAATAGGGATAGGATCTAACACCGTCAGAAAGAGAGTGCACAGCACAGTTCTGGGCAGCAGAGTGTGGGACAAAAAAGTAACAAAAAAAAAACAAAAAAGTACTGAGAACTGCTCAGAACTAGAGAACTTTGTTGGGGGCTTGTACTTGAATATATCCGCAAGATTTGCTTTGTTATTTAGACCTTGGGATGGACAGGTGATGAGCATTTCATGGTGCATTTGTTTGCCAAAATCTATTCTTTTTAAATTTTCTCCTCAGTGGATTTTCACTGAGCTAAGATTGTTGTGTTTCAGCTGCCAGCTTCATCCACATTTAGCCAAACATAAGTGTACTACATAAAGAAAGTGCACCTCCTCTACATTACTTTAATCAAGAGCAGACTGACGTGCTGTTCAGTGTTCTTATTCCAACCTATTATAAATACTTAGGGTAATTTTAGTCCCCCGCTTTGACCAATCATCACTACATCAGTAAAATGGCCATTAGTCCAACCTTCCTGTAATGAACATGGGGAAAAAATAATTCAGGTGCTTATGTGTGTTTCTGAAAGTTGCAGCGTGTTTTCTCTCAGGGCTGCTAATGGTTTGTCTCCTCTTGCCTGCTGAAAGGTATCTGAAAAATATGCCCTCAGAAAATAAAAAAAATCACATTCTCATCCACTCTGCAAGAGTTGCAAACAAATCTGAAAATTGAAGGTGGAAAGAAAATGAATTGTCCGACGCTAGCTCTTGACCTCTCATCATCTGTCCTCTTATTACTCTCTGTCTCATCATCTCCAGGAGGGTTCACATCTCCTCAGTGACATTAGAGCATCTGAAGGGCTCTTATAAAGTGGAGCCTGGGAACGGGCAGAGCCGAGACTCATATTTGAAAGAACATGGAGTGGTCACCTACCTGGTCATCAACCCAAAGGTCAGATACCATTCACTTAAATTGTTTTCAATGCTTCACTGATAGGTGTTCTCTGACTTAAGAAAGAATGAAGGATTTGAGATGTTGTAGCATAACAGGTAAATCTAATATGCATTTCTTTGGCCATCCAGGTTCATCTGTTATTGTAATATTGTTATTCATAAGGTTAAAGGTAAAACACATAAATCCAGACTGGTGTACCGTATCTCAGTAGCCTGTTTAGCAGAATTTTTGTGCATATCTTCATAGTCCCCAGAATATGTGTTCGACTTACTTTTGGTCCACAGCCATGAATTTGATATTTGATGTTTTGAGAAAACTGCTTTGATAAATTATTAACAGGCTTGCACTCAAGTACCTCCATACACTTGTAACTTTATGACTCCTCAACCTAGATCTCTGTCTGTTGTCTTGTGGTGGGATTTTGTTTGTTTGTCTCGAAAACTTTACTTTACGACCTCCAAATCTCAGTCCAGTCATTGTTTATTCCCACAAGAGGACATCTTTGTTGGTGCTCATAACCAAGATGTTAGAATACTGAAAGCTGATTTCAGAGGAGGAACATATGGGATAAAAACAGTAGCGCTTTTACATATGGCACTTCAGTAAATCATAAGTATCTTTATTTTAAAGCTGTTGTTTTATACTTTTTCATACTTTCCTTTTTGAATTGTTCAACCCTCTTTAAAAAAGAATGAAGGATATGACTTGATGAAATGAGAGAATTCCCCCTTTTATAAGCAAGAAAGAAAATAAGTTATTTCCTAAAATAAGGTATCAGAGAGAAGCAAAAAGTTTGGTAACACTTAACTTGATGCCTATCTCTACAACGCAATATAAACATACATATAATGCATTGTAATCACATTATAGCACTGTATAACTATAGTTATAAACACTCATAAATGATCATAACACTTTATAGCAATAATCATAACACATTATAAAGCATTTTGTCATGACTTACAAGGTCAGGTATTATAATGTGTTATGCTTATTGTTATAAAGCCTTATGATAATTAACAAGTGTTTATAATGATAGTTATACAAGTTTATAAGCAAATTATAACACATCATAAATATATGTATAATGCATTATCTATGTGGGCATTGTCATTGAGTTGTTAACAGTTGTAACACATTATAATACCTGACCTTGAAAGTCATGATAAAATGCTTTATAATGTGTTATGATAATTGCTATAAAGCATTATGATCATTTATGAGTGTTTATAACTATAGTTATACAGTGCTATAACATGATTATAATGCATTATACATATATTTATAATGCGTTATAGAGATAGGCATCAAGGAAAGTGTTACCGAAAGTTTTTTTGGGACAACATTTACGTAATTCAGAATAAGTCACTAACTGGGATGGTGTTTGTCTATTTATACCCACAGAAGTTGTCGGTTTTCAGATTCAGTAACTGCTATGGCAGGTGTTTGAGGCCATGATGACATAATGAGCCCAAACACAGAACTGTAATGGTCTATTTTCAGCACTGCTGCTTTAGAAACGTTTCGATTTGCAGGTCAGGTTAGCACAAAAGATCCCACGCCACCTTCTCATCCTGCCAAGAGTATAGTAGGCAGCTAGACAATTTTTGACAATATCAAGTTTGGGAAAATAAGCAACAGAGAATGAAGCATTGCAAGTATTTCCTCAAATAAAGCACATCTTAAGAGTAAAATCTTGACTTGGATTCTGCCTTATGTAACTTTTTAGTTAGTGTGTGCATGTTGAAAATGTTTTTGTTAAACCAGGACATTCAAGGTTGTTGGAAGACTTACAGAGAGCTGCCTAATTTGTGAACGTAAAGCCAAGAATAGCTCTATGCAAAATTTGTTTCTGGAATTGAGACTCAACTCTTTCTCTATTGGCAAATTAAAGCCCATACTTTCTGGTCTTCTGCCTTCCTATACTACTTAGCCAAAATGCAACAACCCCCATTAGTACCCACATTAAGACCCCATTCTCCCCCCGCCAGGCATTTCGTGTTCATGAACTGCTTTTAAAATACCCTTTTGAGAGTCTTATTGCTTTTTCAAAACTCACATTAGCAACCACTAAAATCACTGACTCTTTGGGATGAATTTCCCCTGATGTGCTCCCCCTTTACATTTCCATCCTCTAATGTCTCATAGAGAAGCTTTGCAGTGAATGGATAATTTGTGTTTGAGTGATCCTATAACTCATAACCAACAATTTCCTCACTGCTTAAAAAGTATCTGCACAGGCGAGTGATTGAGGATGTTGTGTTTGATACTGCCATGTTTATCACTTATCAGAAATTCATGTGTCTCTCAGGACATCCTCTGTGTAGTCATTACTCTATAAGTTATATTTCACTTTTGAATTAGGAATCTTTTGGCAAAGATAAAAGCTACATCAGATAATTTCGTCGTCAGTACCACTCTCTGTATAACACCATGGGAGTAGAAGCCTAATTCACCTCCTGAATGTTTTTATCCACAAATTGACCTTACAGGAAATGTCCGCAAATTTGACAAGATGCTGCACTGTGTCCTCTGGGTGTTTGTGTAGCAGATAGTTTTGGATCAGATATTGAAAAAAAAGGCGTTGAGTGTTATGTGGCTTTTTGAAACAGCCATGAATGGATAAAGGCTGAAGCTGGAGCGTGGGCCGCAGGAGGTGTCGTCGCTGCTGTCATTGACATTGACTGTCACTGTCAGAGCTGTTCAGTACACCCGCAGGAAATGAACACCGACATTTTGGACATTGGTCTATTTCAGATCTCGAAGCCTTACATACCATGTTTGGTGAGTCACAACACCCATCTTTGTCAGCCACTGAAATAAATCACCAGAGGGAGGGAAACAGGAAAAATCATCCATCAGACACAGTTATTTGTTGTTGTTTTTTTTTTTTTTTTTACTGTGTTGGATAATCGACAAACTTTACTCTCTATGGCTCTTTTCCAAGCAGTGTTTTTGTCAGCAAGTAAAATGGTGCTGCGTTTGTCAGAGAGAAGCACTTAGCTTGGATAAAAAGAGCACAGCTTCATTCTCTATAAGTGTTTTAAGCAGCTAAAAACATTGGCAGGCCAGTAGCAGATGTCAAGAGCTGTCAATTGACCACTGTTCCCAAACAACAAAGTCCTTTCTACTTTGCATCCTCTCAATCACACACACACAAAGTATCACTTCAATAATATACGTACAATGATAATAAAATTTTTCATTTTATTTTATTGAACCTTTATTTTACCAGGAATGTCCCATTGAGATTAAATACCTCTTTTTCAAGGGAGTCCTGGTCAAAAAGCAGAAAGAAGTTACAGTTTCAACAGTGACATACAAATTAGATAAAACAGTAACAGGTTAAGGCAGTTGTCTCAAGTGCTCTCAGTCTGGATTTAAAGTCATTCAATGAGTTAAAAATCTATCTTTAATCTATATCTTTATATCTATCTATGATCTATCTTTCTTTCTATTGCTCTATCTGTCTGAACATAGCAATTTAGGTGTGGGGAACGCAACAAAAGTCATCTTTAAGCCTTTCTCTGGTACTACATCTTTGTTTAATCATGTTATTGTTACCTGTGACCCACGGCGTGTTTTCAGGGAAAACAAATATAGTCTTAATTTGTAAGACAGATCTCTTCCAAGTCACCAAGTACCATCGCTAACCACCTCTGCCCTTCTGTATGTTGTTTGTTTGTTTGTTTTTTTCAGACTGAGAGGCACAGTCCTTTGTTGGGCGTACGTTCCCGTCCCTCCTTGGATGGCGGGAAGATGAGGGCGTCAGTCAGAATGACACGGTATCTGGAGTCCTGGGGCGCAGCCAAGCCCTTTGCCAACCTCCACCATAGAGACAGTATGACTACAGACAATGGCAAGATCAATACAACTGTGAGTACAGTAGTTAATGTAAGTGGTCTGTGTTTATATGGCGCTTTTTAAGTACATTTACATTACACGCCACATCAACTTGTTCACAAAAAACTGAATCCTACTCACACACCGATGGGAACAACCAGCCAAGGCAGTTTTGGGTTAAATGTTGGGGGATGGAAACTAAACACTGAGAGATGACCGACTCTTCCACAAAGCCACAGACACCTCAGAGCAGCGTTTCCCGCCTTACTAACACAGATAGAGACTTCATGCTCTGAAGAATTGTCAATTTCTTGTTTCAGGATGTTCCTATGGGGCAGTACCACATCCAAAGGCGAGAACGGTGAGCTAGCAGAAACACTGCTTTGTGATCCTGATATATTTTATCAAATGTAAATTTGTCCCCCATCTTTTAAATCCCAGGTCCAAATCTCAACGGAGGAGGTTTGAGGAGGAACTCAACGAGAGAATGATTCGCACCATCGACGGCATCAACTCACAGAAGTATGCACTATGTTCCCCGCAGGTCTCATTTATACATCATTTTTATTTACTGTTACTTCAAATAAAGAGACTCTTAGTGCTAAATAAAAATACACATCACACTCTGAGTAATCATTTTTACTATGCTGTGATAATGGTGCATTTAACTCAACCTTAACAGCCTACAGAAACCCTTAAAATATAAATATTTTGTATATTTCAAATTAAATTTTTAATGCTTTTCAAGTGTTATATTGATAGCTCATAATAAAATTATATTGAGGGCTACTTTTGTTGTTCTGGGTATCTTACATCTCATTTATTCTGTGATGTAGCTTCAATTCTGATCAAGCCAATTGCACAGATGTCTAATGGAAGTTACAATGAAAGTTAAAAATTCCAGGTGTATGGTTGTTTAGAAACCTAAAAAAACAGATTTTTGCCTTACCACTTTGATAAAGTCCTTAGCTTTTGTATTGCAGTACATTATAAGTAAAACAGACTTAAAGTAGTTATATTTAGACACTTCATGAGAAAACATCAGGAGGGGAATATTAAAAAACAATATGTCACACAGCCAAGTCCTTTATGTGATATTGTTTGTGTCGTCAGGCAGTGGCTCAAGTCTGAGGATATCAAGAGGATCTCATTGTTCTTTCACAACAAAGCTCTTGAGAAGGAGGTAGGTAAACCACCGGCATTTATTGTTCACCAGGAAAACAAATCTGTTCAAATGTGAAGTAGAGTGAAACAAAAGTCAGCACAATCTCATAAGACACATACTACCCACTATATGATTTGCTCACTGTCTGTGGATGTAAGCTAAGCATGTTTTTCTTGTTGCTATGCGACTTATTTCCAGTTATTTTGCTTTTTCTCTCTTCTTAACAGTACAGATCGACAACATTACCTGCCTTCAAGTACTATGTCACCTGCGCCTGTCTCATATTCTGCTGTATATTCATAGTACAGGTCCTTGTCTTGCCCAAGTAAGTCTGCAGCTCATCACAGAATTCACACTGCATTTTCCCCCCTGTAGCATCAGCACACTCCAGCTGTGGCAGCAAGTTGATGTGAGAAAGCCATTAGACGCCAGCTGGCTCCTACTGAAATTGATGGGGGGAGTGAAGAGGGGAGGGAGAACGCTAAAAAAGCAGATTGAGATGAAAGGGCACCATGTCTGATAGTTAGCGTAGATCAGGGGAATCAAAGTGCATCATCTCTTTAATAACATGGAATCAGATTCACGGTCAGGCTAATTTACTGTCTGAGGTAGCCAAGGGAGTCATTTAGCTTTTGAGAGGTCAATGAATGTCTACTTCACCTTTGTCTTTCACTCCTTTTGTCTTTGCTTAATTTGCTGCTCTGATGTTACATTTAGATGTGACATTGTGTGCGTAATGGCAAGCTTCTTAAATCAGGAAGTCAGTATCCCCCTCTTGAAAAAAATTGAACATGAACATAAGTGATTACAAAGCACGCACAACATGGGACTACGCAATCCACCATTGTGCTTACTCAGGGTAAATGGACTGCAGGTCTGAGGTAGAATACATTAGAACCTTAATCACATTTATTGGCCTGGATGGCACTGCAGAGGGCCGAGAGGTGCCAACTGGGATTAATGTAATGTGTGTGTGTGTGTGTGTGTGTGTGTGTGTGTGTGTGTGTGTGTGTGTGTGTGTGTGTGTGTGTCTGTGTGTCTGTGTTGTAGAACTGCTGTGTTGGGGATCTCCTTTGGCCTGGCTTTCCTGCTGTTGGCTTTGATCCTGCTCCTTTGCTTTGCAGGTCACATTCTGGTAGGTTTGCCCAGTAAATACTGTGGATGAATACACACAAACACATTCACACATGCTAACCTTTACAGACGCTTCACTTTGTAAAGTATCATAAAAAAAACAAACATAGAAAGATGTATGAAGATCTCATGGATGGTAAAGCCCTCTATGTGCTGCTGACACCCTCATTTTTAATGCAGGATCCTGAATCTAAACTCTTTTTGGACTGACATTTGCTAAACATATGTGTGCAACTCCTTCATTTTCCCACAAATATAAACATACTCCATGGAAACTAAAAATGACATCCATCATCCATATCAATCAATCAATCAATCAATCAATCAGATTTTATTTATATAGCGCCAATTCACAACAGGCGTCATCCCAAGACGCTTTCCAACGAAAAAAAACAGGTCTAGTCCACAATCATTGTTTGATGAATTATCAAGACCCAACCTTAAGATGGGACAGATTTGACCCATCTCATCTAACATGAGTGACAGTGGCAAGGAAAAACTTCCCTTTAACAGGTAGAAACCTTGAGGAGGACCAGACTCATGCTAGACAGCCACCAGGCCACTGCTGAGTTGGGGAGAAAAACAGAGAGATAGGGAGGGAGAGAGAGAGAGAGGAGTAGGAGAGAGGACAGGGGGAGAGAAAGAGAACAAGATAGAGGTAAGGAGAGAGAGAATAGGTAAGGGAGAGAGAGAAACAAAAGCAACAACAACAACAGCTCATACAGAGTTGTGTTTGCAGAGCTAGTTCTGATTAAATAATATGAATTCAGTTTACAGGATCAGGTTATAAGTAATTATGGACTAAGTTAGATAAATTTGATATGATTACAGTCAGCAGGCCTAATAGTTGTATATTTTAGCTTTATTTTATTCATGTCGGTGAGGCTGATGTTCATGTCTGCAGCAACAGTCCAGAGGAACCAAAGAGAAGAAGGAGCTCAGGGCCTGAGGCGGACAATCATAGACGATGCAGCTGGAGTCAGGCAGGTCCACATATGAAGCCAAAAGTTCTGTGGCATATGTGTTTGAAGATGAACCCAAAATGCAACCAGACTAGGAAAAACAATGTTTAACAGGTGTATTCACAAGATAATAGCTGTGGTGAGGGAATCCAAGTGGGAGTGTTGGGCAGTGGGCTGCTGAGAAGCTCGGTGGGAGGCACTGGAAAAAAGGAAAGAAATCGAGGGTTAACAGGAATCCAAAACACACCAAAAATCCTAAATGAATATACTTAGTCCCCAGATGCTCAGGTGGCCACAGTACCACTGCATGTAGGGGATAATACTGTGACGCTAAGGCTTGTGTCAGCGGGGGTTTTAAGGCCAGCTGATTGCAGAGTAGGGACAGGTGGGTGCAATCAGCCTCTGTGCCGTGGGGGGAAGGGTGCAGCCTCTGAAACAGGTAAAGTGACAGCAAAGCCCACACAGTAAACAGACAAAACAAAAAACTGATAAACAAGTCTGTGGTCACCACATGTAAGTGACCATGAACAGTATTTATCTTCATCTCTGTCACATTTATTGTTGAATTCTCTCAGATATTTCTCGTCTTAAATATGAACCAGCCTGGACTGAAGTGTTAAACAACATAATGTCACTAACACTCTGCAAATCTCTAATGACTGTGTGAAACCACTGCTTCAATATATGACATAGCTGACAAAGTATCCTCTGGTTACACAGAAATGTACGATTACAAGATGGAAAAGTGACCTTTAAAGTAAAGTAAAGCCCTCAACTCTAAAGCAACCATAAAATAAGCAAAGGTTGAAGCTCCCCATTTTGCTTTGCTCATCCAATCTTTTTTTTTTTTTGTACTTTGTGGATGTACAATTTAAATCCCATTCATCTAAATCCTTATTATTAACTCGGAAGAAGTTGTTATGTCTTTCTATTTTGATTAGCTGTGTGTCTAAAGCCAGACATTTCCTTTTTTTATCTCTTCTGAAATCCATTTCCTCCACAAAGCTGTCTCAGGTACAAGCGAAGAGAAGAGAATTATTTACAAGCTGCCACAATTACCTTTGAGAAGTGGTTCATGGACAATCACTTTCTTCACATCTTGTTCCTGAAAGTAGTATTATAACCAAGAACATGAAGCTCATTCTCATTACTGAAGAGTTATAATTGAGCTTGTCTGACCAGATCCAAGTACTTGCCTTACACTCTGCTTGATAATGGATTTGCACTCACCATCAATTAAACACTGACCAAGTTGTCAGTACAGGCTACTCTTATTTCCAGCAAAAGAGAAGAGAGCTCCTAACAGCTAAGTCTTACAACTCTGGATTTGAATGCTTAAGCTCATGCTGGTTGTTTTTGTGTAACGATGATTGATGAGGCATATCGTATGGAAAGGAAGCACTCAGCTTATCCATGAATTGATGGTTTTACAAGTTGCTGTGATCAAATATGTTTAGAAATTTTTATTCTAAGGGCAGAGCACATTCATAAGCACAAAATAAGATGTCAAAGATTAATGTCCTTTAATACTTTGTTCAAGTTTTCACGAATATGTTCATCTGTGTTCAGGTTAATATAACCTGTTTGGTGTTAGCAACAAATCTAAAACCAAGTACTTAATGCAAGAGAAAAAAATTATTCTCTCATGAGTAAAAAAACACTATATATATGTATATAATGTTTTCTGTCCAGTTAATTTCCAATGAGGCACCATGCCTTTGGTGTGTAAATAAGAAATGTGGGTAACACTTCACTTGACGCCTATCACTATAACGCATTTTATATATATATATATATATGTATATATATATATGTTATAATCACGTTATAGCACTGTATAACTATAGTTATAAACACTCATAAATGATCTTAATGCTTTATAGCAATAATCATAACACATTATAAAGCATTTTATCATGACTTACCAGGTCAGGTATTGTAATGTCTTATGCTTATTGTTATAAAGCCTTATGATCATTAATGAGTGTTTATAATGATAGTCATACAAGTTTATAAGCAAATTCTGACACATCATAAGTCAGTGAGTTGTTAATAATTGTAACACATTATAATACCTGACCTTGTAAGTCACGATAAAATACTATTTGTGTTATGATTATTGCTATGAAGCATTATGATCATTTATGAGTGTTTATAACTATAGTTATACAGTGCTATAACGTGATTATAACACATTATACGTATATTTACGATGCCTTATAGAGATTGGTGTCAAGTAAAGTGTTACCGAAATGTGTATTCATGTTGTACTATGGGGCTTTGATGTCACAGACTGAACTACTCTGAGTTTTTAAAATCACAGATTTTATTCACACTTCCTCTTTCTTTGCATCCCCAGCAGGGAGGAAAGGGGTCACTCTGCTCTGTGACCTGGTTCCCCACTTCTTCACGCATCATTGTGACCAATAATCCTTGGCTACGATTGGTTTTCACCTTAACAACTACTGCTCTCATACTAGTGATGGCTGTCTTTAATATGGTAAGTAGTGTCCACAGGTAAGGATGATGTGAATAAAGGATTTTTGGACGGTGTAACTCATTGCAAAAGTACCATTGGGACACATCTGGCTATTTTTTGTTATTTGTATCATTTGCACTTGATTTAATGTAGGTCATAGTAAGGAGGAAGGTTTAGTTTTCATTCAGCGCTCTGTTTATTTTTGTTCACACTCAGAAAAAAAGAACTGATCCAAAACTAATTTTGCACACTGATATAATAATAGAAATTAAAATGACAGATCTGTCTCATATTCCACAGTTACACAGCAGAAGCTTCTAGTAAAATACAAGATATATACAGGGTCTCTGGCCTTTTTTGTGAACCAATCGTTTTGTTTTATCTGGTATGTGTCTCTTTACTTTTTTCTGTAGACATCAATCTATGAATAAGAGATCTCATCCTATGTGTCTGCAGTATAGATTTACATTTCCAACTGATGCGACTAAAGATATGTCTAAATCCTCAAGATCTTTTTTTTTAACTGCATATCTATATATACACACACGGCTGCATCCAGCTGTGCTCAGTTTTCCATCTTATAGAAGCTCAGTTCAGCAGTTTGTTGTCATAGACGGTCAAACTCAGCAGGTTGTCTTCTTTTCTTCCCTTTTTGATTTTAAAGCAGAGATATGACAGTCTTACTTCATGTAAGGGGCCCAACTTTAAGTACAACAAGCTTTCTTGTTTGTTTGTTTTTCTCAAAGTTTTTTGTGGAGGATCCGGGAGGATCTGTTGAGGAGGTCCAGACAACTCCTCCGCCTGTGAACCTAACTAATGAGACCCTGTTCGAAGACATGGAAGAAACTATCAGGGAAAACCAGTTTTACCTGCCAGTAAGTACAACATCGGTGGGAAAAATGCATCGGCTGGAGAGTTGTTTATGTATTGAGTATAAATGTATACTCATTCAACCATGTCTGAAGCATATGTTGTGGCATTCAAAGAAACTCTGTATAGTTGAACTTCACATGTATGAATCACATGGTGGTGTGAAAGCAGGATTGATTATCTGCTGTCAGGCGTCTGCTAAAGCTGAAACACTGATGTCATTTTTACTTTCAATGAAGAAAAGCCAAAGAGACAACCATGTCACTTTACTATGAAGGAAACTTTTGTACAAACAATATGGATTCAACTCTAAACTAGGGCCCCGTTGGGGCACTGGCGGGCCCGAGCCGTGTCACGCCGCCCCCAGCGCGACCTCCTCCCCCACCCAATCGCGTCACACTCAAGGTCCAAAGATGGTGTGCGCACTTGTTTGTGGTCATTTACCATTATAATGAACGGGAGGCGCAGTTTCTACCAAAACGCTCGCTGCAGAAAAACTCCATGTCCTATTTGAAAAAAGTCTGGACCATGAGTGAGGGCACAAACACAGCTAAGATATATCCAAATGGCAAGTTGCTCCTCCTTTCGCTTTTGCCGAGAGAGCAGTGCGTTTGAGCCATTGAATGATGAACAGGAAAAACTTGACTTTATTCTCCTGCCATGGGGGGGCGCTCTTTTAAAGAGAAAAAACTCCTTCACAAATGTGTTGATGGCTGGACATTGCATCATCCTAGAAAACATGGAGGCCAGTGAGGACAAAAATAAAAAGTTATAAGACTTTTAAATATGTGGATTTTAGGGTTATATTTGGCGCCCCCTAGAACCTAAACCGTGGGGTGCAGCGTCATGATTTGAATAACTTTTAATGGCCATGGGGTGTAGATTGGCCTGAGCAAATGTGGTGCCGGTGGAACGAAAGCCTTCGGAGGAATTAGCGAAATTCCAATGTGTGCGAATCTGCAAAAAATGCGAAATAACCCTTTAACTGTACATTTTACAGATACGTGGCCATTGACTTTTTCGAAGATCTTATTGAAATACACGTGTATGTAAAATTTTGTGTCAATACGACAAAACATACAGGCGTAGCACTCAACAATGTGTATTTTCACCTTAGTGGACAAGAAAAAATTGACTTTTTTCTCCTGCCATGGGGGGGCGCTCTTTTGCCGAGTAAAAATTCCTTCACAAATGTGTTGATGGCTGGACATTGCATCATCCTAGAAAACTTGGAGGCCAGTGGGGACAAAAATAAAAAGTTATAAGACTTTTAAATATGTGGATTTTAGGGTTATCTTTGGCGCCCCCTAGAACCTAAACCGTGGGGTGCAGCGTCATGATTTGAATAACTTTTAATGGCCATGGGGTGTAGATTGGCCTGAGCAAATGTGGTGCCGGTGGAACGAAAGCCTTCGGAGGAGTTAGCGAAATTCCAATGTGTGCGGATCAACAAAAAATGCGGAATAACCCTTTAACCGTACATTTGACAGATACGCGCGCATTGACTTTTTCGTAGATCTTATTGAGATACATGTGTGTGTCAATTTTTGTGTCATTTTGCCAAAGCGTACAGGTGTTACACTCAACAATGTGTATTTTCACCTTAGGGGACAAGAAAAAATGGACTTTTTTCTCCTGCCATGGGGGGCGCTCTTTTGGGGAGTAAAAATTCCTTCACAAATGTGTTGATGGCTGGACATTGCATCATCCTAGAAAACTTGGAGGCCAGTGAGGTCAAAAATAAAAAGTTATAAGACTTTTAAATATGTGGATCTTAGGGTTATCTTTGGCGCCCCCTAGAACCTAAACCGTGGGGTGCAGCGTCATGATTTGAATAACTTTTAATGGCCATGGGGTGTAGATTGGCCTGAGCAAATGTGGTGCCGGTGGAACGAAAGCCTTCGGAGGAGTTAGCGAAATTCCAATGTGTGCGGATCGGCAAAAAATGCGAAATAACCCTTTAACCGTACATTTGACAGATACGCCCGCACTGACTTTTTTGTAGATCTTATTGAGATACATGTGTGTGTCAATTTTTGTGTCATTTTGACAAAGCGTACAGGCGTGACAGTGAATAGTGTGAATTTTCACCTTAGGGGGCGCTATGGAGCCATTTTGCATTTTCTTGTTTGGGCGACTTCGGAATATCAAATTTTTCACCAGGCCCGGTCGTCCTGCCAAATTTCATGAGTTTTCACCAGTGGGAAGTGGGCCATTTTCCAGTTCAAAGGGGAGGAAAAATAATAATAATAACTAGGGCCCCGGTGGGGCACTGTCGGGCCCGAGCCGCGTCGCGCCGCCCCCAGCGCGACCGCCTCCCCCTCCCGATCGCTTCACACTCAAGGTCCAAAGATGGTGTGCGCACTTGTCTGTGGTCATTTCCCATTATAATGAATGGGAGGCGCAGTTTCTACCAAAACACTCGCTGCAGACAAACTACATGTCCTATTTGAAAAAAGTCTGGACCATGAGTGAGGGCACAAACACAGCTAGGATATATCCAAACAGCAAGTTGCTCCTCGTTACGGTGTTGCCGGGAGAGTGATGCGATTGAGCCATTGAGTGATGGGCAGGAAAAACTTGACTGTTTCTCCTGCCATGGGGGATGGGGGATGGGGGATGGGGGGGGATGTGGATTCTTTTAAGAATGTGGATATTTGGGTCATCTTTGGCGCCCCCTAGAACGTAAACGGTGGGGTGCAGCGTCATGATTTTTACAACTTTGAATGGCCATGGGGTGTAGATTGGCCTGAGCAAATTTGGTGTCAGTGGGACAAAAGCCTTAGGAGGAGTTAGCCACATTCCAATGTGTGTGAATCGGCAAAAAATGCAAAATAGCCCTTTAACCGTACATTTTACAGAAACGCACGCATTGACTTTTTCGTAGATCTTATTGAGATACATGTGATTGTCAAATTTTGTGTCAATATGACAAAGCGTACAGGTATGACAGTCAACAATGTGTTTTTTCACCTTATGGGACAAGAAAAAATGGAATTTTTTCTCCTGCCATGGGGGGGCGCTCTTTTGGGGAGTAAAAATTCCTTCACAAATGTGTTGATGGCTGGACATTGCATCATCCTAGAAAACTTGGAGGCCAGTGAGGACAAAAATAAAAAGTTATAAGACTTTGAAATATGTGGATTTTAGGGTTATCTTTGGCGCCCCCTAGAACCTAAACCGTAGGGTGCAGCGTCATGATTTGAATAACTTTTAATGGCCATGGGGTGTAGATTGGCCTGAGCAAATGTGGTGCCGGTGGAACGAAAGCCTTAGGAGGAGTTAGCCACATTCCAATGTGTGCGGATCGGCAAAAAATGTGGAATAACCCTTTAACCGTACATTTGACAGATACGCGCGCATTGACTTTTTCGTAGATCTTATTGAGTTACATGTGTGTGTCAATTTTTGTGTCATTTTGACAAAGCGTATAGGCGTGACACTCAACAATGTGTATTTTCACCTTAGGGGACAAGAAAAAATGGAATTTTTTCTCCTGCCATGGGGGGGCGCTCTTTTGGGGAGTAAAAATTCCTTCACAAATGTGTTGATGGCTGGACATTGCATCATCCTAGAAAACTTGGAGGCCAGTGAGGACAAAAATAAAAAGTTATAAGACTTTTAAATATGTGGATTTTAGTGTTATCTTTGGCGCCCCCTAGAACCTAAACCTTGGGGTGCAGCGTCATGATTTTGATAACTTTTAATGGCCACGGGGTGCAGATTGGCCTGAGCAAATGTGGTGCCGGTGGAACGAAAGCCTTCGGAGGAGTTAGCGAAATTCCAATGTGTGCGGATCGGCAAAAAATGCGAAATAACCCTTTAACCGTAATTTTCACAGATACGGCCGCACTGACTTTTTTGTAGATCTTATTGAGATACATATGTGTGTCAATTTTTGTGTCAATATGACAAGGCGTACAGGCGTGACAGTCAATAGTGTGAATTTCCACCTTAGGGGGCGCTATGGAGCCATTTTGCATTTTCTTGTTTGGGCGACTTCGGAATATCAAATTTTTCACCAGGCCCGGTCATCCTGCCAAATTTCATGAGTTTTCGCCAGTGGGAAGTGGGCCATTTTCCAGTTCAAAGGGGAGGAAAAAGAAGAAAGAAAGAAACAAAGAAAAACCCCTTGGGGAATAATAGGGCTCTCGCAGCTGCTTAGCAGCTACGCTCGGGCCCTAATAATAACAAAAGAAGGAAACTACAGGAACAAGAGGGCTCTCGCAGCTGCTTAGCAGCTACGCTCGGGCCCTAAAAAAGATCCAACCTAAATGAATGTTGACTGCAGTCAGCTGTGATGCCACGTTGTCTGACATGGGGATTTCCTGGAGCTCAAAGCTGTCATTGATCGTCTTCTTTATCTCCTGTCAGTTTGGTCAAGACCTCTGTTTTAAACTGTATGGAAGTAAAGTATTAAGAGAAGTGTGACCATGACAAGCTGTCTTAGGGTGTCGCATAAAACAAGTCATTGTAATATACAGTAAGGAACTCTAGGCCTGCTCTTGATATCTAGCTACATGGCGACTGTGCTGACCTTCTAACCCTTTCAGAGCAGCACACTACTCTTCACTCAACAAATATGTGTAGCTACGTGTCTTTATTGTCGCTTTTCCTTGTCAGTATAACTTCTGTTATCAACAAGATGTCAGGGTTATCTGTTGCTCAAGTCACGTTCAAAAACCTCCCGTTTCTTTATCCCTTTTCATCTACAGTACTTTATCTACTGCTGTATTCTGGGCTTGGTGTCATGCTCTGTATTCCTGAGGATCAACTATGAGCTGAAGATGGTGGTGATGCTGGTTGCCGTGGTGATCTATAACGTCATTATTCTTCAGACACATGCCTCCCTGTTGGATGGATTTAGCAAAGAACTATACCAAAAAACTACTCTGGATAGGTAGGTACCTAAAATCAACACTGTCTGCCTGAAACCTCCCGCTCTGGCTCTAAAATGACTAATGAGACTAAACCTCTAGTTTTAGGAGGAAAAGGTACGACTGTGGTGGAAAATCAGTCATGACTGTCACTCAAGTGTAACCCCCAGAGAGAGAGATGATGAGTGGCAGAATAAGCTACAGTAGTTTATCTCATGGAGCAGAATTCATTTTGCACATCTGACTGACAGCTGGAGTCTCACTGCTAGAAAATTCCATTAAGAAAAAAATAAGTTTTCAGAACAAAACTAAAGAGAGAAATACTTTATCCAAACCATATTTCCCTGTATGTCTCTGAGTGTCTCTTCGGCTTGACAAGTGTGAAGAGTACATTATTGTCGCCAAAGCACCAGGGAATCTAAGGAAGAACAGTCATGAGAGGCTAAACTGACTTTATACAGGACCACATCATTTAATAAAACAACAGAAGAAGTAATGAGCTAATTAATTAATAAGAAATCCCAGGTATGCAGATCTATCATTTGATCATTTATTGGAAGCATTGGCATTTTTTTCTGAATGAAGATAATCTCTGCTTCAGTGTTATCATATTTTCATCGTTTTTCATGTTAATGTCGTCCCTCTTTTACAATACTGAACCTTTTTAAAATCATTACAGACTGTCAGTGTTCTCAAAAAAACTGATAAATAAAACAAAAGTCTTTGAGTTTTAAAAAGATGATTGGAATAGTATCCAATAAATTTCAACTAGGATGGACACTGTCAATGAAACAGGAAGAATTAATGCGTTAGTCAGGCCACATGTACCACTGCAAATCCATACATATTTGTTCTTTCTTTCTTTCTTGATTTGTTTATATATTTATAATTACAAAATAGTACATATGTACACCAAACAACTGTGCATGTCAAAGATAAATTTACACAACATATGTATGTCAAAAACAAACAGTTTGAAAAGGAACAGAATGAAGCAAAGTATAAATACCTACATATTATACACAAAGATATCTGATCAACACTACTTGCGTTACTTATTGTAATTATTTTCAACACATTTGTTGGATAAGGCAAATGTATAATTTGGCGCAATAACACCACATGTTTGAACTCAGTAACTCAGATTTAGGCTGTGTCCGAAATGAATCACTCAATCCCTAACCCCCATATGGGGTTTCACTATACAGCTGACTTTGTAGTGAGCTCAATCACCAGAGGTTTTTGACACTACCGTTGTGACGTTGCTGCATGACGGGATGCCCACCACCGGTGAGTGACCATCGGATGGTCACTCCATTTTGCAATGCTCTATGGGGAATTTTGAGTCGCCTATACGGGGCATTTGAATTGATCACTCAGGTTTCGGACACCCCTCAAAATGGCGCCAACCCCCATATAGTCGACTATGTAGGGGTTAGGGATCCATTCCGGACACAGCCTCAAATGCTGTGCTGGTGTACAGTGGTCATGGTTGTTTCAGAAAATATAAGTCTCACCGATGCGCATACAGAAACATACCAAATCAGACTCTGACCCCACAGGTAGAGCACATTTTAAGTTTCAGTTTGGATAAGATTTGTTTATTTTCCATCATCAACAGACCTTGACATCAGATGTTTGTATCTTCTCTCTCTATCTGTCCAGACCAGGAGTGCTGAAGGATCTTAAGACCATGGGCTCTGTATCTCTTTTCATCTTTTTCATCACCCTGCTGGTGTTAGCAAGACAGGTCAGTAGTATAAAGGTTTCATTCAAAGTCATTTCCAGAAAAAAAATTTGGAGGCAACTGAACCGACATTGATGTGTGTTGAGCTGTTGCAGCAAGCCTCACAAACAGCCTCTCTCATCATCTCAGCTGCGTCAACTCTCCACCGAACACACACCCTTCAGATATGAGCTAAGCTTTGTTGAGACACATTTAGTGTCAGTGCTTCATCTTTTTGGCGTGTCATCCATTAGCTCTGACCCCAAAGCATCTGTTCTGGACAGAAAGACTCTCCCAGGAGGCTCTCACTCAAAACTGAGGCTCCTTGAGAGCTATATTTGGTCGAAGAAGCTCCACTCATTCTGGGTCACAATCAACGTAGAGCGGGGTGGGTTTCATTTGGGGTCACAGATAAACTCTGACATCATATCTCATTCTGGGCTGTTCTCTGGATTCTGTTTGTGTTTGAATTGATGCAAGTGTGGTGCCATCCAATGCTTTTGATAGAAACCTGCATGGATGCCCAGTAGGATAACACCAAGCTCAGGAACATTTTGGAGATTTTCAGCCCACTATTAACAAATTTGCCTTGCAAAAAAAAAAAAATTATCATCAATCCTAACGAGCCAATTTCTGGCAATTTAGTCAGAGGGAGGAGAAAGCAGGTTAGGAGAACAAGGCATCTGTAATTCATCTCTCAAGAACAGATGTGGGATGGAGCAAAGCTCATTTACAGGCTTGTTAGATTGTTTCTCAGCTGCATCTGAAATGAGCTCCAATTCTTCTGGCCTATTTTTCAGAGAACTTGAGGAGCTCGAGTTCCTCTCCTCCAAACTGAAGACACACATGTTCATGCACATGAATAGGTTTAGACTAACTTCCCTTAGAGGGTTATCGGCTAGTCATCATTTCTATTTCAGCCTCAGGCAATCAGCAGTATAGGACCAGATCTGAGCACAGAGCAGCTTGAGCCTACACTGCTGGAGCCATCTAAATTGGCACCATGCTTCAATCTCAAGGGAAGAAGAATTCAGTGCACACATACATCATCTCGACTGCTCACCATGCATCAAATCTATCTCGAGAGACTAAAACAGCTCTTATATACTGTTCTGTAAATCCATGCGCACAGTGAAGAACCAGTCCGAGAGACAGGTAGCCTTAAGCTTTCAAATATAGACGAGGGGTTCCTAGGGACCCCGTCTGATACACAAACACAAACTCCTGAGATTTTTTTGACCTTGATAGATAGCAAACTCCCTCAAGCTAACATAAGCGAAACACTGGAAAACAAATACAGTCGCTGTCTTTCATGCAAAACAGTTCTGCCTACTTACAATTTTCTTGAGCCATGAGAGGAAAGCTTCTGGCTGTTCATTATTGTCTTAATGGGATTTTCATTTCGGTGAAAACCAAGCAAGCCTTTCCATCTCAGTTACACATTACACTTTCTCAGAAATCCTATACAGTTTCAATTGAGTGCAAATGAGGAGATCTGAATGCAGGCAGCATGTCTTCACCGCTCAACCTGGTTAGTTACTTTTTTTTGATATTGGTTTGGGTTTAATCTGTGGTTTGAAGTTTCGGTGCAGAGTGCTGGGTGTGAATGACGCAGGTATCTCTTTACTCTGTGTCCTCCTGTAACAGAATGAATATTACTGTAGGTTGGACTTCCTGTGGAGGGATAAGTTCAAAAGGGAGTGCGAGGAGATCGAGACCATGGAGAACCTCAACAGAGTCCTGCTGGAGAATGTTTTACCTGCTCACGTCGCCGAGCATTTCCTGGGACGGAACTGGAAAAACGAGGTGAATGCCTATGAAATCCTTAAAGACACACAGTCTAAACTTAAATTAAATTAAATTTTTATATGTATTTCATTAACTATGTAATTCAAAGGATCATTCTGTCATAAGGAAATATTCTTAGTCCCTTTCATGGAGGAGTAATACAGCCAGAAAACCAGTCAAATTATCTGATTTTATTAAATTGCCTGGCCTTGTTTACTTCACCTTGAGGTTTCCAGGCTACCTGCAGACACTAGTGTGCCTGTATATAAATAACCCAGCTCTTAACCTCTTGTAACAGAGCAATTTATTTTTTCTCCTTAATTTGTGATGTGATTAAATGTTTCCCATGGTCATTTTTGTTCTCAGTCTGTTGCTGTTTTGATTTTGTTACACTTGAGCAAAAACAAGCTTGCTTTTCAGGGAAAGCTGAGCTAAATGGCATGATAGTTATAAACATGCTTTCTGTTCCTGTACTCTCCGTAATTTTTCTCCTCCCCAGAACATTTTTGATCACACTTTGTACCTTCATTTACTCCACTGTATTATATATTACTGCACTACGTCTCACTCTGTCCCTCCGATGATGATTAAAGTTAAAACTGTTGCAGCGTGGTTGTTCAGTGTTAGACTTTTAGCTCATGGATCTTCCCTTTGGTTTAGAGTCACTGAATGATGCTCATTCAAAACAACACATCAGAATGTAATCTCCTCTTGCTCATCTTTAGGATCTTTATCATCAGTCGTACGAGTCGGTGTGTGTGATGTTCGCCTCCATCCCAGACTTCAAAGAGTTTTATACTGAGTCTGATGTCAATAAGGAAGGACTGGAGTGCCTCCGTCTTCTCAACGAGATCATAGCCGACTTTGATGAGGTAAACACCTCTCAGATAAAAAACCCTGGTAGTCTGAAAGTATGAGAAAATGTCCAGGAATTGTGTCATTGTTTGGCAGACCTTATGTTTCTTTTTTTTTCCTTTTTCTATGTATTTTGTGTTGTATTCTCTCTGTATTCCTGTGTTCCCAGCTGCTGTCCAAACCCAAGTTCAGTGGCGTGGAGAAGATTAAGACAATTGGCAGCACCTACATGGCTGCAACTGGACTCAATGTGACACCAGGACCCGAGTGCACACAGGCACGCTAACACATGGACTTATTTTCACACACACAGATATATAGATGCAGTATACCTTTACAGAAACGGATCGTTGTTTGGTTTACCTTGATTGGAGGTCAAGCTCTGACCTGTCCAGCTTTTATCATATTTGATAAGTGGAGACAATAACAGGAGTTTTGTTTTTTTTTACATGCTAACCTCATTTCAGAGTGCCAGAGTAACCCTGACACCCTCTGATTATTTGTAACATACTCATAATTTTTCATTTGTGGTCGCACAACAGAATAAGGCCCAGGCATCAAAGTGTTCACTGCTGTCCGAATACATTTGGAGGCTTTGTGTAGGCTGCACTTTGAAAAATGTGCCACACGTAACATAAAAGCATCAGTGATTCATCACAACCTAATTTAAATACATCTGGGTAACCACTGCAACAAATGAGATCATGACACAAAATAGGGCAGCTCATAATTTTTATCAGTATCTCTGGATTTGAAATCAATTTTCCTGCTTTGAAGTCCTTTTAACCTCAAACTCAGTGTCACAAAAATTCATCATGATTGGTGACAGTGGCAGATTTTTTTACTCGATGTAAGTTTCCTAAGACAAATACATTGGTCCTTCTGCTTTACTGCTACCTAATGTTTTTGTGTTCGGTTAAAAGAAGCCTATTTTTTAAACCTGGTTAAGGAAGCTGATTTAACTTTTTTTTCTTTATCTCCCACAGGAACACGACCGACAGTACATGCACATTGGCACTATGGTGGAATTTGCCTTTGCTCTCGTGGGGAAGCTCGATGTTATCAACAAACACTCCTTTAACGACTTCAGACTAAGAATTGGTGAGAAAATGTTCACGTCAAAGTTATGATCCACTTGATCCCAGATTAGAAAAAATGTCTTTTAAGTCTCTAACTGGTTAATGACAGTCGTAATATAGCCAGGAGCTAGTCCAGGCATGAGGCTATTTATCAACGAGTCTACTTCAGCTAAATGTCTTGATCCATCAAGAAAGGATTTTGTTAGCTTGTGGTAGATTTATGTGTCTAAGGGGGAAACTTGGTCATGATTTGGGTCGATAATAGAAATTGATAGATGGATTGATTAAGGCCAAGACGTCAAGGAAAATACACACATACTCTTTAAACTAAATTGTTGATAGATGATTGCTTAAAGGTCTAAATATAAGTCACTGCAGAAAATGACATATTAAAAAAACAAATCCATGCTCAAAGGTAGACAAACAAACAAACAGGCATCAAGTTTAGATAAAGAAGAAGAGAAAAATGGTTCTTCCTTTCACTACATCAAGTCATAACTGCCTCTTCTAGGGATAAACCATGGGCCAGTTATTGCAGGTGTTATTGGAGCCCAGAAACCTCAGTACGACATTTGGGGAAACAGCGTAAATGTGGCCAGTAGGATGGAGACCACCGGGGTACTGGGTAAAATACAGGTGGGTCACCTGATAATGTGCAGATGCATGTCTGCAAGTATGATAGTTATCTTTGATCTTCACACTCATATTTGTTTGTGATATTTACACTTATATTTGTTTCTCTTTATACAGGTAACAGAGGAGACAAGTGGTATCTTATCAAATCTTGGATACATGTGTTCATGTCGGGGCATCATTAACGTGAAGGGCAAGGGAGACCTGAAGACTTACTTTGTTCTCTCAGAGATGACGCGATCTCTGTCACAAGGGACGGTGATGCCTTGAGCGTAACATACCGAAGAAGGCAACCAAACACGCAAAGTGGTTTTTTAGAATGATTTGTCATACTCTGTAACTAACACCCATTACAAAAGGAGAGCAGTACAATGAATAGAACTAGTTTTGTCCCTGGTAACACTATGTAGAGCAGAAGAGCTGAGGGGCATCGACATGGTCCTCCAGTGCTGCATTATGGATGCTACTCACAACTCAAGTGTAAACAAAGGACATTGCTCCGAGAAGTCTCCTCTCTGCCTAAAGGAGTCCCTGCTGTAAGAGAGGTTTGCTACAGCGGTGCAGCTATGACGGACCTCAGTCACTCGTTTGTACAGAAGTAGTGGTGTGGATCTAATTAGCCATGCCAGTGTTGCAGTGCTTTAAAGCCTTATACTTGAGCAAACTGAGCTGCCTGCCGAGCTGTGCTTTTTTGTATCCGCCTTGTTGGCACTGTGTGCCAGTTTGTTCAGTTTTATTTCAAATGGATGCTACATTAGTTTATTGTCATATAGAGCAGCTCTTGCCAGCAAGATGCCAGTGTGGTGGGTAGTTTGCCAAAACCTGTGAATTGTATTTATAGCTTCAGGGCTGCCTTTGTGTCCCACTGAAGAGGAGGAGGAGGACTCAGGCACTGGATCCAAGAGAAAGTAGAGGTTTCTTTTTTATAATTTATCTGGAAACAAACCAACAGCTATGAGTGTAAATGTTCACTGCCATCCTTTTGTTAATCATTAAACATTTGTATATAAATAACTTGGCGGCTGTCTGTGTGTGATTACTTTAGTGCATTAAACAGGAAAGAACTATGAAAGAATCAGAACAGTATAAACCATTGTTTGTTTTTTCATATAAGAGACCGTCAACAACAAAACTTTGAGATCATTGGTTTGAATCAGAGAAGACAAAACTGGTGAACCTTTTGTATATCTATTTATTCTTATCAATCATAACAAAAGTGGGTAAGAATACTGGTGTCTTTTGATAGAATAGTTATAGAACTGTATGTCAAATGCAAAGTATATCATACTCCCTAATTACTTCCTTTTCTCAAAACCAGTCATACCTGTGAACACAAGGCAGAAAAATTAAAGAATGAATCTGATAATTTAGGTGTAAATCTTTCTTTTTAGATCATCTTCATTTCAATTCAATCAGCAGTTAATCTTTGCTACAACACTTTGTGAATTTGCATTTAATCCTCCAAAGTAAACACACAAAAAAATCAGATACTACATAATTTTTAAAGACCTAAGTTCCTGTTTCTGACAGAGAACAAAGGCAGAAGGAAATGAGACCAAGCTTGAACGTGTGATCATGTTGAAGCTCGCTTTGAGTTGTGTGGATTCAGGCTTCACCCCTTTCAAAAACCTTCTTCATAAAAAAAGTCAAGAGAGATACGTAAAAACTTTTCATCATACACATGCGACTCAATCTGAAATGTATACAAGATACTGAACATAGACAAGACTTAGTGGCTCAGCCGATTGTGTGAATATATCAGCTCTCAGTGGTGGAGTGCCGAAGTGAAAAGCACAGTCCATCAAAAAGTTCACATTGTGCCGTCATACAGAACACCATTAAACAACTTCTCTATTGGAGAAAGCAATGCCAAAATCAGAACTCTGATTTTTAATGTAACTGAGCTTAATGAACTGGAAGAATTTTCATTTTAATTCATGGACTCTCTGACACAGTCTGACACAGACTGTCTGACACAGAAGGAATTAAATTGGAGTTGTAGAAAATGATATTCAGAAGCTTAATGAAGCTCCTATTTTTTTCTGATTTATTTTCGAGAATCTTTTGGTGGATTATATTTTACATAAAATAATGTTTGTCTTGCTGTCACTTGTATCTTTTGGTACATACTGAATTTCCCTTCTGGGGATCAATAAAATATAATCCTATCTTAAAATATAATCACATTTGATGGTTCTCGAAAATAATGTGTGCCAGATCTTTATGCAGGGGACCCACTTGGTCAATTGAAATGTGCACAGTACAACATTGCTTTATTATGGGCTGCTTCCACAGTGAGCAAACACTGGATCTCATGCAGTGAAACTTAAGGTTTTCAGGCAGGAGTCACTGATCCATATCCTTCCTCCACATCCCAGATGATGCCACTTTTTATGAAGAATTCAGCTTTGGACATCGCCACCCGTTTGTATTCCCCGCTTGTTTGTAAGAGGACATGAACAGGATGACGGCCATACTCTGCAGAGGACCGCAGAGGAACGGCTCTGGTTCTCTCCTTGGGTTGAGAGAGAGACAACAAGGCAGAATAATTCATGGCTATTCTAACAAAACATTCATATCTGAATTAGTTATAACTCATGTGAAAATGAGCTGACTACATTCACAGAGCATATATTGCTTGAGATAAAATGGGTACATCACAAAGTTTAAGCACCATTGTATGGTAATACTTGCAGAACTATCTGAATTTTCATGTAGCGATGTAAGAAACAGTGGTCTGCACTACAAACCAGGGAATCAATATTTTTATCAAACATTTTTCTCTAAAGCTTTTAAGTTCAGGAAATACATACCTTGGTGTGGTTGTTTTTGGTGCAAAACTGATGTTTATTTGTATATAACTTAATCACAGAGTAATATTGTGCTGATGTCAAAAACGGGACTAGTGAGAGCTGATTAATTTGCAAAGAAATGTTATATCAGTTAGAAAAAAAACAGTCACTGTTAACAAGTTTAAGTTTGTCTGAAACTCATGCACATTTATTCTCGTATAAGTTGTATCATTACACTGAAAATCTTTGCAGTGTAAAAAGTACAGCTGTCACTGCAACCATGACTGAAGCTTTTAACTGTTGATCAGTCTGTTTGAAACGATTTGTTTTGTCCAGAAAGTTCTATTTTTGTTTGCATAACTATTCAATTTGAGCAGTTAACATGGTCATGAGGATATGATTTATGAGGATATCATTATTATTATGATTGTAATGAAATTATTCATTATTGTTAAGTTTGGGATGTTTTGCCTTAATTGAAAGGGTAGCCTCAGAGAGAAAGGAAATGTTGGCAGTAGAGAGAAGGGGAAGGAAAGGGCAAACAACAAATGGCAGTGGCCCCTCAAGGCCTCTGTATGCATGCTGCCAGCGTCCTGCGTATGAATTAGTTTCATTAAGAACAAATTTTTCTTGTTTAGAGAGTGAGGGGTAGAGTGCAGTTTCAGGTTCCTCGTGTTATGACTGCACTATATGTGCTAGAGTTTTATTGTGAGATAAGATAACAACTTAATTCATCCTTGAGGAGAAATTCGATTGTCTGGGTTCTCATGTCGAAAGTTTTATGTCATCTATTATTTACAGCCAAGTTGTAGAGTCTGATTGCAGTGGGTACAAAAGATCTTCTGAATCTTTCAGTCCTGTATGGAAGTGAGAGAAGCCGTCCACCTCCATCAAGATGTTAAGAAGCCGATCATCTATGTTTTTCAGAATTTGGCAATAGTATAATTTTTCTTCCAACCAGAACATGACTCTAAAAGTCATAATAATAGCAGCTAAAAAGGTGCCTGCACCATGGTGTCACATGTTTTCTTTCGTCTTCTTTGCCGCAAGTTTCATTTCACCTCTTTGCTGCATCTATTATAGGTTGCAATAACAGAAGTGAAACTGGACGAGACATCTATTTACTACACTATAATTCTAAATATAAAGGAAAAGGCAGTAAATATGTTGCATGATAACTTTTGTGTCAACGTGAGCTTTTTCAAGAGAATATCTGACACTCGGTGGCGGTGCCTTTAACTCTAGGTAGGTCAGGTTCCTCTAAGCAGCGCAAAAAGACTCAGTTGTTCGGTCTATATTGGTATAAGCTTCAGAATTTTACAAACAATAATAACTCACTGCCACTAATTATCCTCTGAATAGTTAATAAAATAAATAAATTTTCATTCATATTCAAATATGAATCCCAGAACAGAAGGATCCTAACTCAGCAGGAGCTGTCAACGGTGCTGACGGCCAACCTCGCAACTCACTATAATTATACGCTCAGCAGTGTGAGTGGTTGCTTTGTTCACCACCCTCTCTGCTTTCAGTGACCCAGAAACTCGCTGTGAGCTAGTTTTCTTGACATGAATAATTACTCAATGGGGATGAAATAGATTCAAAAGCAGCCATTAAAAAAAAAAATCTTGGGGATCTAGAGTACATGTCAGCCACAACGTCATGAAAATGTTGAGAAACTTCTAAACATCGAACATCCTGTGAAACTTGCTTGTTTTGAACATGTTTTCATATTCCACTAACTTTCCAAAAGCTATTGTATCTATAAAATCTTAGAAATGAAGATGCTGTTTGCAGAAATAAGCAGGGCTTTCTCCTGATGTTCAGCAAACTGGGCAGAGTGCAAGTTCTTATGTTGTTCTGCTGTCTGTATAAAATGTGTTGGTGGTTAGTGCAATAAGGCAATATTCCCTGACATCTCTACAGGAAATATAATCAATATATTTAATGCAACGAATCATTACCTCTTCATATATGTTCAGTCCTCTTCCTTTGTCGTGTTTTCTGTCATCACGCCGCAGTCTCATGTCGTACCCCTCCGCCTGGTTGAACACCTGGTCATAAGTGGAGATTTCTGGGGCCTTGCAATGAACAAAAAACAAGCAGGTTACCTTCATTTAAAGCTTCTCCTCAAAGGGTTTAGTCCTATTTTGGGTCGATTTAAGTGATCAGTAAAACCCAAAGCAAATGTCCAAGCAGATTTGTTCAAGTCACACCAATATAAAAAGTATCACATTGATATTGAACTTATTTGGATAAAGAGTCTCTCTCAGAGTCAGTCATGTACAGTATCATCTACAACTGTTTATTCCATTACCTGAACATGTTTAAGCCTCATTAAGAGTCAAAGTTTCTAAGCTTAGAAAGTCACATTTTAACCCTACTAGACTCACAATTAATCAACAAATTTGTTTCTTTAAAATGTACACAAGTGTGAAAAAGTTGTAAATGAGCTCCAGTAAATCAAAGCAGACCCACTTATGTAATTTGACAGAGATGGGTAACATTACATTACAAGATAATCTCTAAGTTCCATTCAACTCCCTCTGAACCCTTATGTTAAACACAAACCTTCAAACATCAGGCTAATGGCTAATTAGCTTCATTACAGGTAAAGTTAGCTTATCATGGCTGACAACCGATTTTCCAACACTTTACCTTGGAGGCTCTATTAAAGTAAGACATTTCTTTGGATTCGTTTCGGCGTAGTGGGCTGTTACTAAACGCAGACACGGTGGAAAGGAGTCTGGTTTTCGCCTCGAGTGTTACGTCCACCTTTTCGTCCCCAAAGCGATCTTCAGAGGTGAAAAAAAAACAGATAAGACTCTCAAGACTTCACCTCCAAAGTTAAACCAGGCAGAGCGCTGGCGTCCCTGGTTGCTAGGATACAGATCCTCTGACGCTGCCTTCACAAAATCGTTGTTATCTACCTGCACATTTCACAGCTCAGTAGCTTAATGCTTAATGTGGATTTACGAGGAGCTAGGGCACGTCAATTCAAGGATTCTTCGTCCGAACTTCGTCTGTTATAACGTGAAAGATTTCCAACAGCCCCTCTGGAGGCCCGTGTCTCATTGAAATCCCCACTTTTATGAAATTTTGAGGTTAAATGGGATCTTACCTTCTTAAACCTAATTCCAACAGATAGGGGAGAGATTTGCAGGGATGCACAACATCTTGAAATATATGCAGATACACTAGTTCAAGACAAAACTATGCTTGCCTTGATATAGTGATCCGAAATATGAAAAATGGCTCATCTTACTCCACTCTCCCCTACAAATTATAACTTGTGAGGTGCTTCAAAACACCCCCACAACTTGTACCATTCGAATTTTGTTTTAACTTTCAGCTATTCTCCCATTATTTTTTAAAATCAAATAACAATCAATTACACAAATTGACTGAGCCTTTTCAAAGTACCCTGTAAATACAATACACATAATGTTTAACACTAGTTAAATACCCTAAAGCAGTGGTTCTCAACTGGTGGGTCCCGACCCAAAAGTGGGTCGCGGACACGTTCTGGATGGGTTGCAAACATCTGGTCAAAAAAGAAAATATTTAATGTGCATCTGATGTTTGACATGTCTTTTATTTTGAAAAATAGCTCGTTTTGTGCAATTTGATATTTATTTGATATTTCCTGTAAATGCAACTTCAGTAGTTGTCCTCAGTTCATGTGCTCTGAAATGCACTTTACTCAACAAAACGGGTGTATTTGTGTTAAAGATTTGAGTCTTTAAAGGTTTTTTTTTTTTTTGCTTGGTTTGAATTCTATAAAAGTGGGTCGTGAATTAAGGACAATGGGACAATGTGGGTCCGAGAGTGAGACCAGTTGAGAACCACTGCTCTAAAGTAAGTATCTGATAAATTATATGCAACTTCTAAGTTTTCTGGAGGTCAACAGTGTTAGCACAGCTATGTACAGTTCTACCAGTACCTTTGTTAATGCAGTGCTCGTCCCTTCAAGGTCCTTCAGAGGTCTCTCACTCCATCAGTTATGTAGCTCTGTATGCAGAATCAATTTATAACACTGGGCAGACGTTGCCTCAAGCAATGTCTGATTATATGGTGTTATATAAGTATAAATAACCTACCAATCCCTCAGCTGTATGTATAGATAAAGACAATGTACTTTCAGTTAAAGATGTCAATTTAGGTCAAATAAGGAAAGAATACATTGTGTTCATAAAGTTGTCCTCATGGAGAGTTATTTTTTTCTCCCTCAAGAATAAAATCTCCTCAATTGATAGCAATTTCCTATTTGTTTAAACAAACCAATGCTGCTACGTGAAGGAAACAGTCTATTTTGTTTGGCCTGAACACATTCAAAAGAACAAAAGAGGGAGAAAAAGGAACTCTTTGACAAGACAGCTGAAAAACTCTGTGTACCAAGTGAAGACAGATCCCATTGCTAACTTTTGACAAAAAAATACAGGCTACTTTTTAATACCCTGATCTACTGAATGAAGAGCACAGACAACAAAGTGGAGGAGAGAATTAGGAAGCTAATTTGAAAACATTGACCAAAGCAAGTGAGTGATTCATCTCAAAGACAAAGCTATGTCAGTTAGGAGCTGACTGCAGATTTATATTTGTCATTTGACAAGAGGGTGTAATGAATCTTCTGATCCAAGTTTTGATAAAAAATGAACAAATGCTATTAACCAGCTGTACCCCTTTCAACCCATGACAGTTTAACAAATTACCACATTCAAATCAGCACCACACTCCTTTTTCATTCGATGCTCAACATTTCATCTCAAGAAATCTGAGGTCTCCTTAACAACATACACAGCATAGCAATGTACAGTATGTATTACCCTCCTCCATTTTCCCCATCTACATGTTTGCAAACACACATATCTATTAATTCACATGGTTTATGTGTCCTTCTCAGAGACACTGCAAGGGGAAACTTACACATTTCAGACTAGTTAACCTCTTAGCTTTCCCACTGAACACATTATGGCTGTGACAAAACAACATACGCACATTTTTTGTGCATACAAATAAGTGTGTGTGTTCATGTGTGTTTGCCAGGTCTGGACTGAATCATGGTACATTAAGTGGTACCTTCCTATTGGCCAACCCCTGCTGCTTTGTCATAATCATGTGGAAGGCGAGAATAATAACAGCAGGTGGGAGTCCTGGATCTAGCTGTCACACACACACACACACACACACACACACACACACACACACACACACACACACACACACACACACACACACACACACACACACACATATATATATATATATGCTCTGCTCCATGGTTCAAGAGGTTTTCAACAACAAAGACAAAGAGGACAGAGGGAGACAGCCAAAGAGAGAGAGAGAGAGACAGCCAGAGTAAGAGAGACAAACATCATCACCGCCTGCTTTGTTTCATTTGAGAGGTTGTCTCAAGGTGCAGAAGTAATTACTGCTGACATTTAAAGGGATATATTGCTATTTGGCAGGTGATACCGTGGAAATGAAACCACCTGAAAGCAGGGGTCAGCTATTCAGTGGTCCAAAGTTATTAAGGAAAGGTACCTTTGCAACTGAGCGTTGTTCTTCTCTATATATTTTTCCACAGCCTCATTTGAGTTTTTATTAATGTAGTCCAAAAATTGAATTGTAAAATGTCAATCAATTCAGAATATTATTAAAGAGAAAAAGTGTCCATATTTCTGGTAAAGATTAAAAATCCTTAAATTTAGTTTGGTAGTTTCACTCTTTGTCTCCTCAACTACATTAGGCTTATTAAAGTTCCTGTAAAGAATGTTCTTTATGAGTCCACCACTGTGGACAAAGTGAAGCCCCATACCTGTGCTGATTTGTCTTGTACAGCATCTCAACATGCTGTCTTTTAATATTCTTACATATACCTTGTGAATATTTGCTGTGGAAGAATTATAGAAAGGGGCATTTTTCACTGTGCTGTTAGTTGCATCATTAGACTCCTACCCCTTCCCCCACCGCAGTTACAGGAATCAAAAATTTCAAAATAAAAGATGTCAGTCCCAAATCCATTGTGATCAAACTGCTTCAATACAAAGATAAGGAAGGAACCCCAAATCCTAAATCCTTGAAAAGGACCCATGTGCATGCATATGGGGACTTTTCTGATAATGTTCACATAAATCACAAAGAACTGCCCCTAAACTCAGAGAGAACAGAAAAAAAGGGGAACACTGACATTATGAAATTGTTCAAAATGGTTGGTGGATTACTTAAATGACAGAGAACTGTATGTACCTAGTACTGGACATCATTGATTAGAGCATAGCTAAGACACAGCGTATCTCAGGGTTCAATCCGTGGACCCCAAGATGCAAATGAACAGCTATCATCTATTTATGAATGGTTTTGGAGAAACAAACTGTCACTCAATATAAGTAAATCCAATTTCATGATATTCTGTGATGAAAACAAAATTATGCATCAGTTAAAGCCAAAGTATTTGTAGAAGTATCTCAAGTCCATTACATCAAATTTATCGGAGTGTTGAAAGTTATATTTGGAGAAGAGGGATAATATCTCATCCTTGTACCATCAATCATTACTTTCCCCTGTGAATGAAAGCCAGTTCATCATAAGGATTAGTCTCCCCCTGCTGGAGATAAATAGTAATACATCACAATGCACACAAACCTAATATTGCAGACATACTACCATAAATAGCACAGGGAATTTAACAAATTGTATTTATATGTTATACACAAAACTCTAGTATGGCTTGTCAAGCATATTGCAAATGAAAAATTTTATATGTTTCCTCAACTTCTATCTTTATTTTCCTTTTCAGTGCTGAGTCTTTTACTAAATACACACTGCAAACAAACCAATCTTTTGTGCACCCAGAGGAATCTTTGTTTAAGTTATGTGCAGTATATAAAAACGATTTTTCCACACGCATCTATCTGATGTGCTTCATTTTTAGATGGGCTAACACTGATTGCTGACACAAACTTATTACAATATATTTAAAGTTATTTGTGTTTGTATAGCTCCATGTCTGAGCACATTAACCCTAACCTATGAGAGACGTACAACAGGCCAAACATAATGAGTGCACAAATTTCCAGGCTCCTTATCAGACTCTAATCCAGCCTTTTCAAACATCTGATAATTCTTACATATTTGCCCTTAAAGTACAAGACAAAGCAGCATTCAAGAAAAAAACAAAAGATGGATCTCTGAACATGAGCAGTAAAACAGTTAAGATGCAACATCACAGAGAGAGAGGGAGTAGATGTAATGCTGATCTTCAGATGAGGTGCAGTTGTAGGATCAGTGAGCTGCTAAAGTGTTCTGTAATTCCTGTTTAATATGGAGGGATACAGACTATCCACTCTGGGCTTACTTAGTTGCATTGTTTATTTACATATTCTTAAACAGCAGGATATGGCTGACAGATAGCCTAGTTTACACCAGAGTGTTGTTCCAGTGTTTTTGTATCTCTTTTCAATCCAATTTCCAGCCAACAAGAACCCTTTTTTCAGCATTTTCAAACTAGCTGTGGCGTAATCTTGTGAGTACAAATCCTGAGTTTGGATTGAAGATCCCTACATAAAGGGGGCTCACATTTAATCATAAATCTTCTTAGTACCATGCATTTTATTGCTATTGTATTGGATTTAATTAAAAACAAAAAGTGTGTTTGGCTGTTAAGGTAATTCTGTGTGATAAAGGATAAATTTGGACAAATGAGAGCTTCTACAAAAGTCTGAATATACCTTGAGTTGAAGGTGCTGGCAGCTGTTTATGTATCCAGCAGGTGCATGAATGTTGCTGTTGGTTGAGAGAGTGGCTAAAGGTTACTGGCAGAGGCTACTGTTTTCATTTAGCTAAAGTCCAAGTTGGAGGCAATGGCTGTGGTTTTAATGATCTGTTGCAGATGGAATTAACTGCAGGTGAAAGACTTGGCGGGTGTCTTAGATGAACTCAAAAGTTGAAGAAAGAGCTCTGTACTCTCTGACAAAGGTTATAGGTCAGGCAGTAGTAGAACGTTGTTGGCTGAGGTTTGGGGTACTGCTATGTGCTGCAGCTATCAGCTCAAATTTTCAGGTGCAGTTCAAGTTTGATGCTGGCAGGTGCTGCAGCTCTATAGGCAAAAGAGGACAATAAGAAAGGTTAAAATTACAGGTTGAGGCTACTTTTGTAAAACAAAGGCTGCATTTGGAGGGAGCGTCAAAGCTGCAAGCCAGAGCTGAAGGTCACTGACAGAGGCCTACACTGGATAACTGGAGGCAATTCTCTTTTTTGTTTTAGCAGAGGGTGTGACTGACCCCGGCGGCATAGCCTTCGAGCTATTAGGGCAACAGCTGGTACATGGTTTTAGGAACTGATGGTAGCCATCTTTGATATGGACTGTAGTAAGTAGACCTGATGTTTTGTGGCAGCTGAGTTTAGGCAGCAGCTGAATTTTGTCGACTGAGGTTGGAGGTGGTGCTTTTTGCTGCTCCTGTCAACCCCAGTTTCCAGGTAAGGCTCAAGATGATGTACTTTTAGGGGACTTAACTTGGCTGCACTGGCTGCTAGTGTGTAGTAAAAACTATAGTCAAAGACATTGGCTATAGCTTTATGCCAAAAAATGAAGGTGAAGTTAAGGTAAGGACTGCATTTTGCTGAGAAAGACTTAATGGCAGCTGATGTTGATTGTTGGCAGGCCTCTGTTATTATGACTCAAGGCACCTGCTTTCATATTCCGCAGGAAAACTTTCTGGCTAAAGTTTTGTTTTATAGAAAAGTCTGACTTGAGGCATAGGTTACGATCTATAACAATTACTGCAAATGAAGATGGCTGCAGGTTCCTGGCAGAGACTTGTGCTGGTAGTGATTGTATGGCTGAGACTATCGTTGATCAATTTAACGTCATTCAGTAGAAGAGTATAAGCAGCTCCAACACACACCTAGCCATCTTTGAGCTGTAGAGCCGTGGAGGGCTGGAGATAAAGACTACAGAGGAGACCTTAGCTGTTACTGTTAACAAATAGTGCACTGATTATATATCATAATATTCAAACCAGGAGACTTTGCACCGTTTTCTGTTGAGCTTCATTTTTATGCTGGTTATTTTATCTAAAAAGACAAAATAAAAAATCACACACACACATTAAATATGTTTTAAGGCATCAATATCAGTCAACAATTCATAGAGAATTAGCAGGGTCAAGATTTGTAATTAAAAATGCATCTTTCACCCTTCATATTGATTTTTTTTCACTTAAAAGGGTTTCTTCAGGAAGCCCCCAACCCTGAAGACATTATTGATCTGGCAAGTTCTTGTCATGCTTTCACAGTTTGCATTATTTAAGCACATGCGCTTGTCCAGTCAGCCCACACTGACCTGGCTGCATACGACTGTTGTGCGTTTTTACAAAACATATTCAATGCAAATTACTGGCCATCTATATTAAAATGAAAAACAATTATAACTGGACTCTTGCAGAGTCTGTCAAGAGAAAACTTTTAGGGGTGAGCAGAGGCATAAGCAAACTAAGTGCCAGCTTAGGGCCCCGCAGCCAGTAGGGGACCCCAAGAGCAATCAATGTATTGCATGTATGAGTGATGCTTTCTTTATGACCAAATATATATTATTGTAAAATTAATTAAAGTAAAAAAATTGTAGTGTTGCTGCTGATGTAGGCCTATGATTCTTACTGACGATATGTCAAAGCTCTGCTACCGTTATGTGCCTCCTGCTGTGCAATGTGCACTGAGCATCCAAAGTGCAGGTAGTTGTGGTGCAAAATTGACATATCCTTCAGGAACAGAGAAAATAAAGAGGAAGAAGAGAAAAAAATGCCAAGATAAAGGTATATTTGCTTGTCAAGGAGTGTTAATCAAAGAGATTTGTGAAGGTGTGTGAATGATTAACAATCAATATTATTGACAGAAATAGAGGGCCCAAAAATTAGATCTGGCTTAGGGCCCCATTGAGGCTTGGGCCGGCTCTGGGGGTGAGACAGGGGGGCATCAGACTTCAGACCTCAAGCCCAACAACTCCCAGTAGTAGAAGAACCAGTTTATATTTAACCAGCAGATGGTGCTGGTGATACATCTAAGATCACAAAGGTTAAAACCTCAATCAAAACAGCTGACCTTCTCTGTTTGGATTGTATCCGGTAGACTTCATCACTCTCTGCTCCTCCCCTAATTTATGATAAACATTCACAAATGATAAGGTTACATTGTTTTTAAAAAAGTATGTAGATTAGATTAAGTATAATAGCTATGTTAAAGAAATCACTGTCTTTCCTTCACCAAAAGTGCTCTGCATAAATAGGTCACCCCAGGTTTCGCATAATATTTGGCATTCTGATAGTTCTGACATGCCATTAATGCCTTGTTTTTGTTCTCTATTAGTTTACATTACTCTTGGGTTGATCATACCTTCCGTTTTCACTGTGACTCGGTCCCACGCACACTCAGTGACTGCCGTCGTTCCTTGATGACCCACCGTCTGCTCATTTCCGAAAGCTTGCGGAGATTCAGCGACCCGGCCCCTCCCGCCCCTCCTCCCCGCTACAGCTACTCTTCCCCTCGGCTTCACTCCGAGGAGGAACCCGGTGCCCCCGGCTGATCGTTTCCAATTACGTTACCCCAAGATGGAGGTCTGCAGATGGCACTGCTAACGTCTACGAGTCACCGTTACCGTCCGTGTGTCTTTGATGACGCCGTTTTGGGGACATAAGTGATCTTGTTGCAGTCTTTGGACAATTCTGGGGGGGATCTAACGAAGGAGATACTGAGCGATAGGTTCGGGTTGAGGCAGCCATGAGCTCCGGGGAAGGAGCGGAGGAGACGACGAAGGACGCCGGCGACATCGCGGCGTTCTTCAAGACCGGTAAGCCCCGCAAATAGGGAAGAGGGGTCAGCTTTAGCTTGACTAAAAGCTGCTCTGCTTTGGGTCCAGGCACGCTGTTCCTATTTGTGTTGACTGTTTAAGGGACTCTGACAGTCGGAAACTGGGTTGGCTGAATCAGATCCATATCATGACCATTGTGTACAACGGATCAAGGTGGTCCGCAAGGTTATGGAAATATTCAGAATAAGGGTGTCCTATATGCATTTTTTTCTGAGCCAAAAATTCGGACTATCCGGACAGTAGCCTGGCAACGACAGCTAGAGTGCTAATCGTCCTGGTTCCATTTTCGGACACCTACTCTGGACTTAACTCGGCGTGGTTTGCCAGTTTTGCGTGTAGTCTGTAAAATACTCCAGTGTTTATTTTGTCCTACCAAATGCACTTATTAAGCTCATTTAGATAACAACTGGCTGTGATAAAGAATAAAAAAGCTGGTTTGACCCAGTAAACGCCATGACAAAGGAAAGTATGGGAGCCGTAGGGATGTATTTTTAAGTCCAGTCCCAGAACGACACAATTTATTCAAAACTACTTTTTAAAAACTGTTATAACTATTTAAAGATGTCAAATGTTTAACACATTTTAGACTAATTTTACGGTGTTGACGTGGGGGTTTGGCTTATAAAATGCAGGTCAGGGCTGTCCGATAATGGGTCTGGGTGTTCACTAGTTTGTAACATTAGCTTCAAATGTTAGCATGTAAGCTAGTGAATCCTGAATCTGATTTCGTGAATCCTGTCTGCTAACGGATGCTAGCTGCTTTAGCACTGCTAGCTTCCCTTTGAACTGACTTAGCTGGCGTGTATCTGAGCAGCTTTTTTGTCGGGTTAAATACACGAGTGCATGTTTTGTCACTGCCACAAACTCTAAGCCCCGTTAACATCAATTTTGTCATGTTTTATGCTGTAAAATAACAACACAGCTATGGGAGCAATGTAAACAATACATGGCGTGGCACATACAGGCTGGGTGTGCACTGTGCAAGATATGCTAGCTTTGCAACACAGCTATCAAGGCCAAAAAAACTGCCTGTTATCATTATCACTGTCTGTTTGTGATGAAACACTAATATCGGTGACACGGATCACTTCATTAAAAGCACCCAGATGCCCTTGTACTTGGGCATTTGGTTGTAACATCAGCTAACAGGGCTAATTAAGCAGCGAGTAGCTACTGTGAAGTCCTAACGCGGGCCTTACAGTGTTTTTCAGAGGTTGTAACAAAGGCTCATAAACTGTGAAGTTATGGGCTTTTAAGGTTCGATTGAATATGCGTTGAGGTTTGCTCTAGCCACCAGACTTTGCATAGTGAAGCCATGTGTAATGATGATTCATCTGTTGTTCATTTCTGTATTAAGAGTTTAGACATTTCTGTGATGGTTAAAAATATATTTTTAATGAACGCTTCCTGGGCTGCTCTAGAATAAAATGGGGATCTGTAGTCGAATGGTCGAATGTCTATTTTTGTTGGTCTTTGTTAGATAAAGCAGAGTAGCTTATGGGCTGCACTATGCACAAGCCAGATAACCCTCTAGCTATTTCACTGACTGCAAGCAGTGAATTAGATCCAGTGTCTGATGTCATGTCTGCTTGGGCTATCACTGACTCCACTGACTGTGCCAGCTTGCTGCTTTTATGTTTTTAAGGCAAGTTTCCTCTTGAACCAGTAGTTTTGTCCATCTCTATCTGCACTGGCTGAAGGGTAACATTGATGGTGTTCTCATATTTGCAGTGCTGAAATATTAAACTGTGGCATACAAGATTAATAGAACACTATGTGCCAATTGCCAGCTGTTCTAATACTCTGCCATGTGCACTTTTGTGGGAAACTGAGATTTTGAAATATGGTTTGAAGGGTGTAAACAAGGACAAGAATGTAGAGCATTGACATCAAGCCTTTGGCTCCTGTGGTTTTGTGTCTTGTGAGATAATAAGCACAGAGGGAAGTTCAGTATCTACTCTAAGTTGACTTGGTGGCTTTCTCCTGTAGAGAGGGACAAGATTCACTTTCAAGCATAATCTATATGTTTAGTTTTGTGTTTGGCACCTTTAGCCACCCTTCTTGATTGTTGAACAAACTGGATGCTTAAAATTATGATTATGACTATTTTTAGCCAATAGGGTACTCAAACCCTAACCCTGATGCGTTTTTGGAGCAGTAATATATCGTGATATCTAGAAGTCAGATTCTTGATTGAGATGCTCCCCATGTTCAACCCTCCTGTCAAGCAATTGTGGCCTTCAGAGATAGAAAGTTCCTAAGTTGAATAAGTATGCTCCTCCATTTTACTATCAAGTGTTTAACAGTTCAAATATTTTGCAACCACTCATCTCTGAACTTCTTAACATAGCTATGAGCACTGATTATGTAGTATGTGTTGTTATACTGTAGTCACACACAGCTTGTAGTCATGTACCATGTTTCTTGGTCAGCTGTTGTATTTTTCCCACAGTTTGATGCTGTTTATATTCTGTTGTACTCCTCTAATAATGCATGGCTCATTTGTTTACGTACTGATGTTCCTGAGTAGAGCACAGAGGTGATTGACCCCCTATGATAAGATATTACTATAATTACAGTGCAAAAATAGAGGACAGAGAAAAAGCTCTTTTCTGAGCAGAATGTTTGTTTCATGTTTGCACAATACTTTGTCATTCCTCATCTCTATCTGAAATGATAAGTTTCATTATTCGCCTAAAGTTCTTGCTAAAGGTCTTGTTTAGAATCTGACGTCTGTTGAAAGCAGTAGTGAAACCAATATATGTCATGGATAGGTTTTTTTTTGCTTTACCAAGCTGAAGTTGTAAGGCTTGAGTGTCACACATTAGGCTCCTCTCCTCTTTGTTTTCCTCATGAACTTCCTCCTTTCTGATGTAGGAATCTTGTTGTGACATGCACAGGTTTGAGTGTCTTGCCACAGGCTATGCTTTCCCCCCCTCTATCTCAGGCTCTTTCCCCATCTCTTTTTCCATCCTTTGGCATTTGGTATCCTTTGTCTCTTCCCTGTCCTCCCTCTTTGCTTTCTTCCCCCTGCTGTCTGATATTTACAGATGTCCTTCCCTCCTTCATTCTTGTTTTGCCATGTTGGGCCCCTCTGTCCTGATAGAAAATGACAACTTGTGAAAAAATGAGCTTACCCTGTCTCGTTCCTCTGTCTTCTAGACTGGAATTAATACCTACTCCTCAGAGCTCTGAAATGGGGAGTTTTGTTATGGCAGGTTGTCAGTCAAACTCCAAACATGTACTGGTATTTGGCTGCACTTATGAGTAAGATGCTGATTCAGTGTTGATTTCAGATTTCGTTATTTCTTGTAAGTAGTGAGTGACATTATTCATGCTGAGGGGAAAAAAACCCAACCACACGGCTGGGTCAACATGAATGGATGTTTAGATGCTGTTCACAAGGTAGGTCTGTATGTTTGAATGAGTGTGTACTTATGTGTGAGTGTGTGTGTGTATGCAAGACAGCGGAGTGAAACAGACAAGCAGGAGAGAGCAAAAGAAATCTGATCCAGAGCATGCATTTATGACTCAGACCCATTCACCCAGGATGAGGTTTGCGCATACACATACATGCAGTCTGAGACTAATGGATATTGATCCAGGAGATGGAGACTGATTGAGGTCCCTTAGTAAAGGTTTCCTGCAGGCTTAAACCTGCCAAGTCAGATACAGAGCAGATGCTGTAGTCAAATGCTGCACAAAGCAGATTTCTTTTATCATCCTGTGTTTATGGGTCGGATAGAAACAGAGGATTGGTGCATCATAGATCAATGCAGATGAAATATGAAAGGTGAGGTATGTTGCCATGTCGTACCCCATCATTTAGAGCCTGTTTTTGTGTCTTTTTTTCTCTCCTTGTGGTACTGATAAAAGAGTATCTTATCTTAAGTACTTGGCATGCTTTTCAGAAGCTTTAATTATTGACCCGTACTATGAAACAACTGCGCAGTACAATCCGGTTTGAGCTCAACTTGTGCTTTGGTATGACTCAACTCACTTGGAAGTTGCTGTTAGTAGGGGGCTCCATCATCACAAGCTGCAGAGAGTATCTGCTTTGTTTTTATGTATCATAAAAGTCAAGTTTTTTATGAAAGATATCAGCTTTTGAGCAAAAAAAAACGGTCACCCAGCACAACTCGATTTTAGAGTGGTCTTAAATTTAGTGACTTCACTATTACAAAAAGATATCCATCTTAGCAGGTTAAAGACATTTTCAGTGCTACAATTATGACACAACAGTCTTTTGCTGTGAAATGTTTAGGGGATATGATGTTTCTGCGTAAGGGAGGTCAACCAGTGCCTCCTCTGAATTGTGCAAGAAAATTCTGTAAGGACAGAATGTATATTGCCTCATAGTTTACATTTGTCATCTGAGATCAAGGATAAAAGCCAGATGCAAATAATTCAGAAGGAAAAAAAGGAGCAAAGTACTGGGAACAGAGCAGTAAAATCACTACATTTTAAGGACAAATTCTAGGAAGCCTATGCTGAGAATGACTATTTTACACTGGGGCATCATTTGGTTTGCAGTGCAAGGGTCTGTGTGTTCCCTCCCAGTTGCTTCTCACATTCACTCACACTGGCAGCCTCCCAGTTTACCGTCTCTACTGACCCTGTCTCTGTCTCTTCCATCTCGTCTTCTCCCCCGTCTCTGCGGCGGAGATCCCGGTGACATTCACAGTGATTGGCCTTATTTTTCTGAAGTTATAGAATATGAGGTACGTTTCTAAGTGACCGCGCTGTTGTGCAACAGAGACATAATGAATGGAACCCAGCTGGAGGCAAAGATGATGTTTATGCGATTTTAGCCTGTTATTGAACCTTGCAGAAAGCAAATGGATTGTTGGTAAAAAGCTTTTTAGAAAAGGCAGGAGATTAGGCTCAAACATGGGGATAAAAACACATCTTCTACTCGGACTGTTCCTTTTACTGTGGCATTAAAGTGTGATGTTTTGGTTGAAAAGGCATTTATCCCTGGAATAAAGCACTCATACATCAATACGCACATGTAAGACCAGCAACACAGGCACTTAGGAGCCATTAGTGGCAAAGACTATCATGTTCTGCATGACGAGTTCCCTCTGTCATACAGTCGTAATAATAGAAAAGTGGTGTGAATTGCTGGTAGTATCGGCAAGTAAAGAGGAAATCAATCAATTCCCTGTTTTCTATGAGTAGCAGTTGCGTAAACAAATGAGCTTTCTCATCCCTTATAACAGACGCAGGTATGTAAAATTTTAAAGGCAGATAAAAGCTGAGTCTGCCAAGCCCCTTCAGTCCACAGTAGTAGGGGTGTTATGATTCTACAAATCTTTGATTCGATTTAATTTTCGATTTTAGGGTCACGATTCGATTCTCGATTCTTTTTCTTACAGCACAGAGGCCTATGCCATTTTTAGGGCTAGTCTAGTCTACGATCATTGGTTTTATTCATTACATTTCGTACAGTAAATCTTATTCCAAAAGATGGGCTACATACAAGTGATGCAATTTCCTTTGTTCTTGTGTAATGTATCACATTAAGCACTAATGGTCAAATTTAAATAATTTATTGAACTATCTTGTTTTCAGTGAAGTGAAAAAAACAAAAACAAACATCATTACAAACAAAAATGAGAACTCACACAGGCTCGCGTCGGTTTTACACACCTCCCGGATGTGGAAGGAGAGGATTGATGAACGCCCCTCTGATTTTGATTGAGACATGACGTAATTTTGATAGATTTCGATAAAAGATTGATAACGTGACACCCCTATATGGTAGAAATGTAATTTTTCTTGGTTTGAACTATGAATTTGTTACTCTTTTATCAAGGTTGTAGCGTACCGTTTTTATTCAAACAGATTGTTTCAGGTCGTTCACTCAGTAACAGGATTAACATCGCACTGAAGAACTTGAATTTGTAGCCTGTGACATGTTCGATTAAGAATGAAGAAGAACATTGGCTCAAATGGGAGGAAGTATCCACAGCTCTGCTTGACAATCACCCTGTAAAAATTCTCTGTCACGGTATGTGGCAGAAACTATGACCTAATGGAGCTTAACTTCTGGAACCTGTCCCACTTTCAGACTAGAAGCAGCCAGGGCAATCGCAGTGCAGAGAAAGTAAAAGCTATTTATCTCAGGCAAATGAAAGTGAACTGGATTCATCGTAGATAGTTTTTAGCTTACCTTTTAATAAAGATATTAATTACATCAGTTTTAAATGCCATGCCATGTGTTGCCAAATGTTTTTTTATTAAAAAATGCAATAAAATAATTAATGAAACTAATGTAAAATTTTAACTACCATGGTAACGGGCAAGAAGAAAAAGAATAAATCATAAAGAAAGAGAGAAAAACATTTGACCTCACAGACTGGGGTCCAAAGTAGAAGTGGTTGGAAAATCCAGCCCACAGATGTCTGGCTCAACTAGACACTGTAATTTTTCAATCAGAACACTGCGAGCATAGCCATCAAAAAGCATAGAGTGAAGTGAACGGCAGCGGTGTCGTTGGTGGTAGCCTTGAGCATGCATGATGTCAGTGTGAACCCAAGGCGGTCCCACAGTAATACAACCCTTAACCCGAACAAAAAGCACCAGATTGCATTTCAGAGGGACTAGCGTTCACTTCCCCTGCTAGTCAGATGCTTGCAAACAAGTTTTGTCTCTCTGGATGTGTCCTACATGTAGTGTGAAGAGTGACCTGTAACTTTTCACCCATGAGGCCGGACAAGTTTGGGAGTGACTTGAAAAGTGACAGGAATATAACACTGACAGTTAATAAAACGTTACGCTGAAATAATGTTTAAAGAGTGTTAAGGAAATAGCTGAATTAATATGGCGTGGATGTACATGCTAGAGGCTAAATGCTGTAAGGATATAGTGAAGAATAAAATGTTAAAATGTTTTGATACCAGAAGGTTGATGTAATATAAATAATAGAGGAAGCAGATTGCTGTTCCTCTCACAGAGGGTATGGAGCATGTGAGATAACAGACTGGCCAAGAACTATTTGAACAACAAATCTGCTTCCTTAAACAGGAATATATATATGTATATATATATATATCTTTGTATATGTATGTGTGTGTGTTTGATAAATAAATAAATTAATATACTCATAGCAGAGCTCTGTGGCAGCACTACAAGTCTTTGTCTATGTGTGTGTGTGTGTGATGTGTCAGCTCTAATAGCATTAGGCGTGTTAGAGGTGAGAGTTCATTGGATTACAGACGCTGACCTAATCTAATCTGGTGTTTAGAGTCTGGGATTGCTCTGTGTGTGTGGTTTCAAGACGTTGACAGAGGGGTTTGGGACTATAAATTTCTTTGGTGTGCCAGTACACGTGGTTACACACATGCACATAAATAATAATAGTTGTAATATTGATTGTGATGCTCTTTAGGTTTTTGGATAGCAGCTGGCAGATTTTGGTTATTTTGAATACATCCAAGTAGAGTGTGTGTGTTAATTTTGAATTTAATGAAAATAGAGAGGTGAAGCAGATCAAGTCAGTTTCAAAACATTAATTTTAATTTCAAATCCTGTTTTTCAAATTCAATATAATTATCCAATTTCAGTTTCTAGTGACACAAATCTCAGCCCATACAGAACCTCCACCAGATGGTTAGGCAGTTCAGAGAAAGTGGATATTTCAACAGTAGTACAAGCTAGGGATGGGCGATATGGGCTAAAAACGTTATCATGATAAATTTTGCCACTCTGGCGATAATGATAAAAGTCACAACTAAAAAATATTATAATTCCAGTCTGGGTTTCTGTCTTGAGAACCCCACAATCATTTTTCTTGGATGGTACTTACCAGTTGGCATAGTCAAGTAAGATACCTAACAGGTCTGAAATGTGAAAACACTTTCAATATTTATTGCACAGAGTGAACAGCAGCAGCAGCAGATCCACTGTCCAGTGTCAGACATACCTGATTGCACTCGTTGAAGCCCCCATTTGAAAGGAAAGTTTATTGCATTTATTGTGGGATGGCAAGTATTCATTGTGGAGAATTTTTCTGACGATAAATTGTGAATGATTATTTATCGTCCAACCCTAGTCCAAGCGATATCAGTTGCAAAGGTAGCGCTCTGTATTTCAGGTTGTACCCTTTACTCATATCAACCAAACTCACCTGGCTTAGTAGTCTGTAACCATAGTTACAAAAATGACTGATGTTAAGTCTTTGCTAACAAGCCTATAAACCAAGTCAGCAGTAAAACGCTCACACAAACAGGTTTCTGCCCAGACAGGGACATAATAAGACCAAAGGCTGATAACAGATAATGGGTTTCTATGGTCCTGATATGAGCCACTTGGCAAAGGTGGATTGTTTTCTGCTTTAGGGTGCTTTAAAAACAAAGGTTTTCTTGTACAGCTCCAAACCAACCAAAGAGGAAGAACTTGATCATGGTTGAAAATAGCTGTCAATCAGTAAGGTGAGGCAGAGCAGAGTATAAAGTTAACAGAAGAAACCAGAAGTGGAAAGTTGCTTATGTGCAACAGTTGGCCACTCGGTTTCTGTGATGTTTGTTTTGTTTTTGCTGATGAATGTCATCTTTAAAAAAAATTAATAATGTCAAATATTGTCTGATAGTAAATGAAGATTGCAGATGCCTAAATAAAAGTTTTTGGCTCGCTTGAATTCTCATTTGGGAATGGCTGTAACTATGGCTGTCCTGATACGATATTGATATCGGATATCGTCCGATATCAGCCAAAAAACAAATATCAGACTATATCAGCACTCCGATACAAGCAGTCCATTCCAGACTCCACTCCGGCACCTCTAGCTAGCAGCGCCTGGATCTAGCATGCAGAGCCCACGTGATCACAACAACAGTGTGTACTAAGGTACTAACAAAGTAGCAAGGAGTAACAGCGATGTCGGCTGTGTGGCTGTATTTTTCGTTAAAGTCCGAAAAAGACATTGCAGCTGAGTGCAAAACTTGTCATGCACAAGTTTGTGCCAATATCGGATCAATATCAGTATTGGACGATATTGAAGGCTACAATATCAGTATCGTATCGGAAGTAAAAAGTTGCATCGGGACACCTCAGCTGTAACACGCATACAGCACAAACATACACTCTTGCACACACGCAAACCTCTTGCCTCTCTGTGTGTTTATAAAAGGAGCTTGTCCCACTTTCCCCTCTCATCTGCTGTGGTCTTGTTCGTTAATTTCTCTGGCGTGATTGCTAATTGGTGTGAGCTCAGAGAAAAAACTTTGCCTACCCACCGCTGTCTTCTTCGCACAAGCTGGAACTAGAGAGGAAGAAAAGTCGAGGGGGCACGGAGAAAAATGGAGAGAGGATGGAGAAGGAGGGGAAGATGGGAGGTAGGCTGCATGAGGAGCAGGGTGTTGCAATTGGCCGTGAGATCACGTGTGCAAGATAACCATTTTCTTTATGCATTCTTGCAACAGAAGCATAAACAAAAGACCTTGGAGTAAATGAATGATTTTATTGTCCTGTTCAAGAGAAATAAGGAAGTAGTCTATTCAGTTCTGGTGAAAGAGAGAAGAGAGAGTGTGAGACATGCAGTCCAAAGACAAAGTGAGAGAGAGACCTTGAAAGGATAATAAAGAGGAGAGAAATGTAGATGATTGCCAACTTGTACAAACAGAGTTTATTATATGTATTATCTATCTATCTATCGGTGTATTAAAGAGGCCAGATTAAGACGTGAATCAGCTTTCAATTGATTAGAATCCGTGTGAAAGATTTGCCAGAATGCCCTCTGCTCCTATTTTGAGAGTAGAAAGAGAGAGTGAACCAAACTAGGACAAGTCCTGAAAGACCATTGTACTCCTTTTTTTGGTCTCCAGTGAATTCAAAACTGCTATCTCACTGTTGCCCTCCCCTTCTTGCTCACTTTCTCTTTCTGTCTTTTCCTGTCTTCTCCTCTGACTACTTTTCACCCTGTCCCTTTTCTGATAAGAGCAGGTAACCGAGAGCAATTGATCCAGTGTAAACATCATGGTCAGTGGCCCTTTGTGTCTCTAAACGGAGGCCTGTGGACTGCTAAGGTCTTTTAGAGGTCCACTTAGGTCCAAGGTGCCTGCAGGCAAAATAAGGAACAGTTCAAAGTGGTGGAATTGGGGGCACAGACTCAGTTTTTCATCCAGTCTGTGGTGTGTAACATGGACAGTTCTTCACCTGGGATCCTGGTTGAGGGTAGATAACAGTTTTGGGGATGTCAAATTTGAGTTTTCAACTCCAGGACTGAAAAGCATTGGTTCTATGGACTGAAAAGTTTATTTATGTTCAACTGAACCCTGTCATCATGGTTGAGTTTTATGTAGAGATTGCAATGAGATTATCTACCCATTAAGGATTGTTATGATTTATGTGGCTGATTTGTGTTTCCTTTTCTTAACCCAAGTTTTACTTGTATTAATAGACAAAAATAATCATGCATGGCTAGGGCTTGGCAATAAACTGAAAATTTACAGATATGGAAATTTACAACAGTAACCAACGTCATGTTGCCCATTTCGGTATATATAGTGTCAAATAATTAAATAGATAAATAAAAGTTGGTTTCGGATGTGTGTAGGTAGGCTATTTGAGGCCATATCGCCCAGCCCTATGCATGACCCATATCTATTCAAAAGGTCTATCTGATTTTTCCAGTGGTGGTACAAATGCATTTTGTATGCATGCCAAGGAAAGAAGTTTTTTATTTATTCATTTCAGGCAGTAAAAAATAAAAAGTTAGAACCAGAATTTAATCTACAAAATCTGCCTTCATTCATCTGCCAGTTTTTGTCCAAATGATGAAGATAAACATCAAGTTCTGGAGTGAAAGAAAAAGGGGGCAGCAGAAAAGAAAGTCAACTTCATGACTGATAAAATTACATACGATCACAAAGTACTGCTCAATATCTGCATACTGCTTATTCCTGAGCATTCTGGCACATTTTTTTCAGTGTTTTTATTGTTGTGTTGCTATAATCTCAGGCAGCAGATAGAACTAGTAGGCATTGTCTCTTTATGTTAGCACTGAGTGAAAAACTACAGAATCCGAATCAGTGATCAGAAATAGCATATCAAGTTGGTTCATAGCTAACAATCGTTCCTCATTACCATGCCCTAAAAGTAAAATAAAAATACTATTTTAACCCATCTGACACAACCTTGAATAATTTGATGCCACTGATGTTCATAAGTTTGTCTGAGCTCTCGTGTCAAAGAAACTCACAGTGCCACACACTTCTTTCATCTCAGCTGGGTGCCTCCTTTCAGATGCTGGAGTGAATTAGTCTTGCTTCTACTGCTTTTAGTGGAGAGACAGACTTTAGTGAAACTTAGCTGCAGATGGTGGTTTGCTCCAGTTCAGACAGTGCAAACCAAAATACCTTCAGACAACTGAAGACAGAGCCTTTTTTTGGGAATGAGCATTTCAAATTTGCACAAGTGAATGTGCTGCCGTGTTTACTTTTATAACCTTTATCTCCCGAGAGAACTCTCTTACTCACTACAAACTGCAAGAGCACATCGAAGCAGTGGTAGCTCTGTGAAAATCAATGACTGTAAATTGTAAATCACTCTGAATTTCTCAAATATCACTGAGTATAAATTCAAACTCTGCTTGCAGATCTAACTGAAAACTACCAGACACAGAGGAAGTACACTGCATTTTGTGGTCCAGAGGGACTTTGATAAAGAATACTTCATATTATTGAATAGTATATCTGGTGATATCAAAATTAGGAGTACGCTAGATTAACAAGAGGATTTAACAGAGGTCGAGATTACAAGGACACAAAACATTCATCTTCTCTTGCAGCTCAGTGTTACTAACTGCTACTTTGACATCATGCAGTTTATTAGGGCTGGGAAGATTTGCTTTTCGCCTGATTCGATTCTTCTACGATTTTTTTGGATGCCGATTCGATCTAAATTGCGATTCTACGATATTGTCGATTTTCTCGATTTTTAGTCTGCATTTGTAGCACCAATGAAACAGTTGAATGATTATGATTGTCTACTGACTATTCCTGGAACTATATTTCCCCAAAAATTAAACATCACATATAAGTCAGTTTTTAAGATTTATTCTTACATTTGAAAAAAAAAAAATCGATTTAACAATTGTAAAGCAAAAACTTGCGATACCTATATGAATCGATTTTTTTCTACCACTCCTACAGTTTATAGTCCTCACTATGTATGTCAGTATCAGCACCTACTGCCCTGTGCTCAGTAACAAAATTGTCTCAGGTGAGTGACCTTAAAAGGGCTGGGTGATAAACCAAAATTTTACCAATACCCAAATTTATGACAATAACCAACATCATTTTACCCATGTCAATATATTCGGTGTCAAAAAAATAAATAAATCAAAGTTGGTTTGGATGTGTGTAGGTAGGCTATGGTCTCATGTCCCTTTAAGAACTGTCCTATGTCAGAGACGTGACTTCACCCCATCCAGTCTGTAACAAAGAGGGAAAGAAAGGAGATGGAGGACGGTTCAAAAGCTGTAGTGGCTGAAGTAGATAAAATTAATGTGGGAGGGGGTGAGCAGCAGCTCGTGGAGTAGTTATCGTCCATTTATCATTATCAAGGTGAACTGCTCAATATATCATGATATTGATATGGGGCCATATCGCCCAGCCCTATTTAAAGGTATTATATTGTCAAGTGTTCTGACCATGACTCTAAACTTTTAAATGTTAGTTAAATCCCTACAGCTTTTCTAAACATCCTTCGCTCCGCTTTCTAAGACATCTTTGACAGCAGGGCATTGCTCATTGTTTTTGTGCCTCACACCTCATTCTGGCCGGTATGAGCCAGACAATGGGTATTTTTAAATGAAAGGGGGTCTTTCCTCTTCATGTATGAGTCAAACGATGAGTGTGCCTGCCGAGAAGGGAAAGGCAGGGGCCCTCAGAGAGGGTGGCCTTGCGCTAATGTAGGCTCAGAGGCAGTGTGTGTTGGGACAAGAGAGAGCTGTCTGTGGAAGGGAGCTGAGTTTAGGATACAGTATAGCCAGTGTTGAGCCGCGTTCGCTGAGGTCTGTGTGAGTTCACTGTGTATGACTGTTTGCATGTTAAAGAGAAGAAGGGAGTTCTGAGGTTTTATGGGAATGGCTCCATCGCAGTTTTTAGATTTCTCACTTCCTCACCAGTCTAGATGTTTGTGAGTGTGTGTGATCTGTTTAACTCTGTCCAAATGGCCTTGTTAACATTTTGGCAGTGTGTATGTGCAGGGTTGTGTGCCTCAACAAACCCAGAGGAAAAGCCTCTATCATAACTGCATGTGTGTATAACTTTGTCTCCCTTGCTCTGTGCACGTATGTGTGTTTTCTCTTTTTTTCTGTTCTATCTGTGTTTGACTCCTGGCTGGTGGACAACTCTTTTTGTTTAGATTGTGATAAAATGTGGGCAACCACTACTGTAGTCTGGTATTACATTGTTGCACACTGTGGCTTAAGTGGACATCTTTGGCATTGCAAATATGTGAAGTATGTGGATGTTTGGTTTTTCTCTTGCCTTCCTTTATTCCCCTGTCTCTCCCCCTCCTTACGCCATTCACTCTCTGTTAAGTTCTCCCAGGTACACAGCTTTGGAGGAGATTCCCTTGAGATCCATATGCTCTCTCTCTCTCTCTCTCTCTCTTTCTCTCTCTCTCTCTCTGCGCTGCCCAGCACTGTTTTCCTGTGCTGCGTTTGTGTGTGAGCTTCCCATGAACACAAGTCCCTTTAGCTTTGACACTTGATACCAGCAAGTTTGCTCACGCACTTCCAAAAAAAACTGCCCTTAGCAACATTTAGCTTAATTATCACTGTCTGTCACTGTTGCAGCTTCTGCAGAAGAAAACCAGTTTTATATAGAGGACTATTGTTTCATAAAAACCAGAGTGTCTGAGTGGCAGGCTGCTTTCAATGATATTGGTTCTTTAGATGTGTGTCTCTCACCTCTGATTCGTAGACATCAAGACCCGTACGTAAGAAGCACATAATTCCTAGTAACATGCTATTAGCTTCTGTGGTTAATTTTTTCCAAGTAAAGTCAGAAATTCCTCTTTGACAGCTGAGCTATCCTGCTTCAGGACACACCTATGTCCAAAGGCGACAGACCTGATTGGAGGCATTAGGGTTGTCTTACATTGTCCATTCATCTGTGTCCTAGTCTTGTGATTGTGATGAATCCAAAAGACCCGAAGGGACGAGTTTAAAATTGGTACAAATATCTTCGACCCAAAGATGAACTGGCAAGCATGTTAGTGATTAAGGGTCAAGACCACTGGGACTCTGCAAACTGTTCTAACCCATAGTTAAAAAAGGATGCACTCATATTTTGCACTCATAACTTGCAGTTTATAGTCATCCATCCATTTACTACGGTGGCCCTGAGGTGCAAAACACAACGGAAAATCAGAAAACACAACAACAAAAGAGAAACAGAAAACACATGAACCATTGTTTTCTCTTTTTGTGTTGTTTTCTGTTTTGTTTTTTCTCTTTATGTGTTGTATTTCCTGTTTTGCCTTTGTGTTTTCTCTGTTTGTGTTTTGTTTTCTGATTTTCTGTTATTTTTTCTCTTTTTTTGTTGTGTTTTTTGATTTGCCATTGTGTTTTCTCTGTTTGTGTTCTGTTTTCTCTTTTGTGTTGTGTTTTTTGATTTTCCATTGTGTTTTCTGATTTGCTGTTGTGTTTTGCAACTCAGGGCCACCAAAGTATATGGATGGATGACTGTAAACTGCAAGTTGAGGGTTTGATGGATGCGCACAGTCACACAGAAGTAATTCTGGTCTGAGGCAAAACTAAAGAGAAGGCTCTATAATTGCTTTAGCTGAATATGCTTGACTTCTATAGATATAACTCCAGCAGTGACTTTAATCCCCAACTATTTCTGCTCAACTATCTAAAAGTTGTTGAGGGTGGGAGGGACTGAGATAAAAGTTCCAGTCCAAAAACTCACTGCAGCGATGTTTGGGGGAAATCCATCACTGGTGCTTTCCTGGTACGGGAATTTTTGTGGTTAATTTTAAAAGTTGGTCAGTAGTGTTTTAATATATGTGGTGTATTGAAACTCATTGAAATCATCTTTGTAGTTTCAGTGGATTGTAAGTCTTACATCACAATATCAAGGGATACCGTGTGTATATATAAAAAGTGTCACTTGTACAGTCCATGTCAAAAAACCATGTCTTGTGTTAAATACCACAAAACTCTAACTCAGTCTGCTCCATCAGACACAGTAGAGATCCTATACACTGCAAACCCACAAGCTCCTTCTGTTTCACTGCAGCTCTCTGTAATGTTAAACAGGAGGAAGAAGCCTGAGTCAGAACAGAGGGAGCATGTGTGATTGAGTCAGCCAGTGGAGCGTCCAGCAGCCTGTTTACATGTTGACGGCACATGACACTGACTGTATCCTCCCCTCAGTCACAGCAGCAGCCGCTCTCACACATGGGCTATAAGGGCAGGATCAATGGGCTGATTGTTGTATCGGCTGAGAAACCAGTACGCCTCGGTCATGGGGTATAGGGGGATTAGAGGATGATTCCTGCATGCTCCAATCAAGTGTTAGAAGAACATTATTGTTGACAACATGGAATATTTTCACGTACTATTTCGTCTTTTTGTTTTTCATTCTGTGTGACATTCGAACTTCTTTTTCATACTCCAAGGCTATGTTAGAGGAGAGTTTAAAAACACCTTTCAACCAATGCAGGAAACTAATTCTGCTTGTCTCAGAACACGTTTTACCCAACAAAACATGGTACAGACTGCTCGATGACGCTACTTGTTACCACAGCAACACCATTGGTAGTGTCACCCTGACCCGCTGTTGTTTTTTATAGATGAAATGACATGTTTGCAAGTTAAAATATCGCAGAAACGTTTACAGTCCATGTGAGGTTGGTATCAGATTCTAAGCAAATGGCCACTGCTTCATAACAATAATCAGAAGACAACTATTGGGTTGTTGCGTATTTCTTTAAACCCTTTACCATAAAACTTGATGCTGTTATAGCTCAGAACAACAAACAAAGTTGTTTCTTTTTCTGTGTTGGTTAAAAACTTTTTTTTTCTGTGTACCTGCAGATGGATCCCTCCCAAAAGAGCCAAAAGGAGATGTTTCGAGCCAGATTGCAGGTAAAACAAACACAACCCAATTGTGAATTTGGGGTGGGTATTGGCAAGGACCTCATGTTACGATATGTATCATGATATATGTGTCACGATTCGATGCAATACGATACAATATGGCTGTATATTTGCAAGGACCTTGTGATACGATACATATCACAATACGTGTGTCACGATTCAATACGATATGATTTGATACGATTCAATACGATACGGCTGTATATTTGCATGGACCTCACAATATGATACATATCATGATACATGTGTCACAATTCGATTCGATACAATACGATATGATTTGATCAATACAGCTGTATATTTGCAAGGGCCTCATGATACAAGACATATCACAATATAGTAATAATATATCATGGTGTTAATCCGTCAAAAACACATGTTGCTGTGAATGAGGATACTGGTCCAAGGACAAACTGAGTCAAAACTCTGTTTCAAACAACAAATACGATTTTATTTGACTGCACAAGTGCCACTTATGCTGATTTGAAAAAATCGAAACTTGTTAAATGTGACGATACGATACATCACCAGACAAAATATCGCGATAAAATGCTGTATCAATTTTTTCTCCCACCCCTATTGTGCATACAGTCTGGGGCTGAACAATATATCATTTGTACATCACAATAAAGATGTCAGTATACATGTATACCAACAGCTTCAAATAGTGATTTCCACGTGTCCTTGAAAACCTGGAAAAAAACTAACCAGTTTTATTCTTCAAAATTTGCCATTCTCTGATCCTCTGTTGGCTTTTCTTTTGAATCATATGTGATCTTCTGTTCTAATTCGGCAATATAGGCCAAGGCAGATACGTGTGATATGATGGGCAGCTGCAAGCCAAATATTTTCTGCCCCTGATATGACATTTTGTGGAGACTTCTGTCTACTTGGTATGGAAAATTTAAGGCCCTCTAGTTGAAAGGATAATGCAAAAACAAATGATTGACTTTTATTAAAAATGATCCGCAGTGTCCGCCTTTAAAAATCTCTAGCCTCGAACCCTAGATACAAAGGAGGACAGTGATTTGGCAGGTTGCTCTACAGCCCGAGGGCTCCGAGGGAGACAGCTCAAGTGCCTGCAGGAAAGGTGATAAAATAAACATGAATGCAATTATATGTAGACAATACTTGGCCTCATTGTTACTGGTTGGCCTGTCTGCAAAACACTGTTAGGGCAGTGATCCCTGCCTAGTTTCTGAGAAAGGAGGATTCATTTTGTCCATCTGCTGGCCTGGGTCTGTTGGTCACTGGTCTAACTGGGCAGCTGAAGAGTTGTTGCGACGGGAGAGGGGCCAGTGCGGTTATGTAATCATGTTAATACCATTAGACCTAGACAGATGTGCTGAAGAGCACTTTGCAAGAAGGGAATTATGTGGGTTTGTGGGTATGTGTATTTCCATCGCAGCCTTTTTTTTGCCACCCTTTCCCTCCTGGCAGTCGAGTCAAAATATAAAGCTGCTCTGAAATAAGGAAAATAAACTTATGTAGATCTTTAGCAATCAACTGCATAATGCAAGCTAAAAATGGACTTCTTAGACACCTGCAGATGGCGTATTTGTGCAGCTTGACAGCAGGCGGAGCTGCAACTGGCTGCATGAACTAGAGCAAAATGACAACACAGTAGCATCAAGCTGTTCTCTTTGTTTGGCACTAAAGCTGTGAAAACATGAATACATGAGAGGATAGGATGTTGGTTTTCTTACTCTTGCTAACAAAGATGTATCAGATATTAAGCATAGCATTGCTAACAGAGTTTTTTTGTTTCTGTCTCGTCATGGTTTGTCAGAATGAGATCAGTTGGCATCAAAAGGCCCAGGCGAATGATCTCCTGGCAATAAAACAAGCTGTCTTTTCTTTCCCCTCTCTGTAACTCCCCCACCCCTTCTCTGCTGCTGTGTTTGGGTCGCTGGGGTAACCCTGGCCCGTTGCTCGCTCGGTTAGCCTACCCTGCTATTAGAGGTCTGGACGGATGGAGAGAACAGAAAGAGGCAGAGGTAAAGGAAAGAGAGAGCGCCGTCTCTCCAGGCCCGAAACTCGGATTTGGGGACAAAAAAAGAGGAAAACAGGGCAGAAATGGAGAGTGTGAGCAAAGTGGACTGGAAACAAACACCCAGGCTTTGCTGTGTAATCATTTGCTCTGTCATCTCAGTGTTTCAAGATAATAATACCCCCATTTTCACAGAAAGACAGACAGACAGGCCAGATCTTCAGTGGAGCATGAAATAAGTGCTCACACATATCTTCTAACTGCACCTTTAAGCCCACGATGCCTCTCTCAGATCAGATCAGGCAGCTTGAGATGGGATCATTCCAGTCGAGTTGAAGGGGATTTTACTCAACAAGCTTAAAGCAGTCAAACTGTAAAACAGGAAGTGAAGCCCGCCTGTGTTTGACTCATTGTCTCATCAATGTAATGGTATCATTTAAGGAGAAACATTTTTTTGTAATTAACAGATAGCAGGAGATGAGAACATATTGTTTAATTACCAGATGCTACACTAGGCTGTAATTACATTTTAAGTCTTGGTAATTCGGAAACTGTTTGTTTGTGTGTCTACAATGGTGACGCTAATGCAAACTGTATTCACACAGTAGGTTCATTGTTGAACTAATGCAGCTGTGTCTGATTGCGACAGCCAATAGGATCAGATGTTTTATTCCTGGTAAGTGGGACAACTCCCCTCCTGTGCGCTGCAGCACCCAATGAAAGGCTGCTGTGCTATGGGAGGTGGGGTAGACCACAGACAGAGATAATGTTAATAGAGGGCAAGACCATAGACTGTATACACTATGTTCAACTTGGGTCTGCCTTCCACCAGTATACAGATTTGAAGCCAAAAAGCTCTCGGTATTCCTGTTTTTTTCTCCATTTCCTGAAACCAACATTGCGCAGTAGCATTTACGCATTTGGTGGGAGAGTCGCCAAGAGTTGCTGTGATGACGCTCGGCTCAAACAGCGTATCCCTTGGTCAGCTACACATTCTTCGTACGCCTATAGGCTGCATCAAGTTTCAATCATAGAGAACATGAACCCCCTAATAACTTTTAAAAACTGAGCTGTACAGAAAAAAGAGGACTTGAGCACAAACCAGTCTTACTATAACTACATGTCAACATCACAACCAGGAGGGGAGAAAAATTCATATTCTGTGTAATAAATCTCCAAAGGTTGTCTACAGCTCCATAGGGATTGATGGAAGAGGCGGGATTTATGACCTATACTGCAGCCCGTCATCAGAGGGTGCTGTTCTCGGGGTGGCTTCACCCAGTGAGGAGGCAGTATAGGTCAATTTTATATACAGTAAGGAAGTAAAGCAGGGAATGTGCAAGAAAACAATCAAGAGACAGAGGGAGGAATTTTACTCAATGAATTCGACCAAACTGATTTAATGAAGGGGTTAACTTTTGACCATGTGTTTTGGTTGTTTTTCATGGCAGAGTTGTCTTTGAATGACTGGTTACTTAACTTTTAGACCATGGGAAAGTGAGAAACATCCATGCATAGTTGAGTCAAATCAATATCAAGTGTCAAAATCCGATTAATTCCATTGAAGAGTTTCCCACAGTGAATCATTCATAAAAAACGAGCATGAAGTCCAACCAAACTGCACATGTTTGTATCATTCAGAGTATCTATGATCAGGATTCAGGTTAGCCGTCCAGGTCATGGAGGGTATATTCCTGTCCATTCCCTCATTCAGTAGGAATCCTTGCCATTCCCACACATCCTTCAGGAAGGAATTCCTGGCATGCTGCAAATGTGGGAAGTCCATAGTTATGCAGGGATGCACACGCATATGTAAGGTTCTGGTTTCCTTTGACCCACAACAGCTGGTTCAGAACCGATGCGTCCAAGTCAGCTGCCAGGGAGCCATCAAGAAACTACTCCTGGTTCTAACCAGCCGTAGAAGATGCTGTGAGTGTGTGCGCTCATTTTGTGGTATGAATGCAACTTCTCCCCTCCCTTCCCTGGCTGACTGTGCCACCCGTCCCATCTGCTCTGGTCCAGACAGCTGTTGCATTCTCTCTGCCTTTTTTTTTCTAATCACAGAAACACACAGATTTCGACCCCTCCCTGAGCTATTTGTCTCAGTCTGTCTAGGGCTCTCTTGTAGAGGTAGTGTTGAGTAAACTGCTTTGTTGCAACAGCCAGCCTAATGCCCACTTGACCTCTCAGAGGCCCACAGAAGTCCTAAGCCTCTGAGGTGCATTACAGAGCGTTGACATGATATGACACAGACACACGACCCAGTATCAGTCTTGACCTGGAATGATGGCCTGACTCTGTTGTTTCCACGCTGCAAAGGGTGATGAACATTCTTGGCGTATCGCTCGCATCCTGTGCCCCTCTTCATCTGAGGGTGTAGCTTTAGCATTGGTCACAGCATTTATCACCACCCACTACACAGAGACCCAGTGATACAGGAAATATTGGGATAGTTTACTACCAGCAAATGATGCTTGGGAGGATATACTCAGGTTGTTGGATTTTGGATGCGAAATCACGACTTCATCAACTCGGTAATAACCTCTTAAATTGTAGATTTTAAATGTTTTGCGGATTCCAGCTGTTTGTCACTAACAGGGAGGGTTACCTGATGTTTGCTTGACTTGCTGTAATTTCAGTTTTAGTATCAGAAATGCCAGGATAATCAAACATATCAGTATACAGGTTTCCTATGCAAGTATGGAAAAGTATGGAAGTAATTTGATCAATTTCCAGGTCTTAAAAAGTATGGAAAATGAAAAATAAAGAAAAAATATTTATGTTTCCAGACTATTACCACAGTCATAAAATTCTGTTTTCTGAAATAGCAAAGTAGGTATTTCCAGAAATAATTCTGAGAAGTAGGGTATGGAAAAGTATGGAAATTCCAACTGTGTAGGAACCCTGAGTATATCTTAAGGTCTTCAATAAGTCAGTTGCTTTGTAGGTGCCCAGCAGCGTTACAAGTGTAGAAAACTCCTTTTATTACTTTATTTTAATTTACCCTGATTGGCTTGGTCTTGTCTTATACTTAGGAAAGTGGCTTCAGTTGAAGATGCAGTTTTACATCTTTATTTAAATATCAGGAATTATTTCAATGAAATGCATTTTTCAAATCATCGTCAACAACTTCAGCTTCTCCAAACTTCTCTTATAATCAGACTACAGGTCCTTTCACACCAGGACCGTTTTTGTCGTGCAATTATTTCGGACTTCAGTATCTTTTTTCGAACCCATATACCGTCAATACAAGCGTTCACATCAGCGACGTTTTCCCGTTCTGCGATATTGCGGCATTTATTTTTTCTGATCATGGTCGATTTTTCTAAAGTTTCACATACTGTGTGTCCACTTCTGACCAATCAGATTTCATGTTGTTACGACGTCAGATTCACCGGTATATCCAACATGGCCGACTGGCTGATTGTTTATGATCGTTTACACAAACATTACAAAGATAACGATCTGAAGGACAATTTGTGGAGAGTCATACCGTTAGATATCTGATATGACGTTAGTTTGTGTGCTTTAACAGTTTGCTAAACGTCTTTGTTTTAACTTTCATCTGTGCTAACGTAAGCTAACGGTTGTTACCACAGTTTCATGTGCTTACCTGGTACTGGCCCTGTAGCTCTGTAGGTGAAGTCACGTATTCACACAGATAATTTTTTTTTTTTTAAACCTTCAGATAAATTCTAGGGAATTCTTATTATCATTTATTCTCAGATACACAGTGATGTTTTTCACACCTGGAAGCGTCCCAGCATGACCACAGTCTAATAGGGTTGATTACGAACAGGCTGCAGACAGTGGAGTGACAGCAGGAGCAGACTGTGGTTTGTATTCGGTGTTATATCTAAGCCCGTCTTGCACTGTAAGGGTTTTCCTGATCAATATCAAGTCTTCTGAAGCTAAGCAGCTTCCCTCAGTGAATAAACGCAGTGCAGGCACATTATAATTACTGCCCCTCCCACACATTAAGGATTAAGTCCAGGAATCTGCCCCTCCGAAGACAGATAGATTAGCGGCTCACCTAATGCCACATGAGATGTCGATTGACTGCAAGCATCTACAGTGAAGACGGTTCGCTCTAAAGCAGTTTACAGTCATTGCTACATTTGGAAATATTTGTACCAGCTTTTCCATGCGGGTATGTAGACGACACCAAAATGGGCGGTTTTGGTCGTCTGCTGGATTGGAATATCTCCCCTCAGGAATCCCAGGATAAGCTTCAGTTACTCACATCCTGCCCACAGTGGACTGGGATCCCTTCAGCACATCAGCCCTTCACTCTGTCATTAGCTGTCGGCAGCAGTGGACTACATTTCCCATTAGGAAACAAAGCCCCCTCCACAGCAATTAATGGATTTTTAAAGAATTCTTGGAAGAACTTTTAAGCATGATTTGCTGGGCAACCAATCACAGTTGGCGGTATGCCCAGGCAGGCTCCTCCCTCATTCATCTGACAGGTACATCGCTGCTTATGGTGCTGTAAAGTGCTGTGGAAATTACATCGTCTATCTACCATGAAATCATCTCCCTTCCTCCTCTTAACCTCACCATCAGTTTTTATAATAGGCATGTCTACGTCACACGCTAGTGATTCAGATAAAACAACAGGGAAAGATAACACTGATTAATCTGTGCTGCTTTTTCTGGCTCTGCACACTCATACATACATATGTGCTGAGAATGAAGAGCAGAGAGATGACTTTGGTTAAACCACCTGGTCATGGATTACAAATGTGCACAAATGTAAAGTTAAAATTAATTTGAGCTAAATTATATTTTTAGAAGAGAAAAATAAAGAACAGAAGGGTGGAGGAGGAAAATAAGACATTTGAAAGAAGAAGCATGCTGAGGGAGTCTTTTGGGAACTCATCAGTTTATTAGCTTTATTGTCAGACAAATGACCTTATCTTTTTAGTTTAACTTTGTTTGCTTGGGTCCACATGACCCTCTTCTCGCAACCTTATTAACTGGGTCGCAGATGTCTTAGCCTAATATAACATTGGCACAAAAGAGTTCGTTTTTTTTTTTTCTTTTTAAATTTATTAGAGATTTAATACTGAAAGTTTTTTGTTGCTCAGAACCAAAAAGAACTGACATCAAGTGTCTTTTTCAGTCCATCTCAGAAATTCAAAACCAATTCAAAGTTGGAACCAGAGCTGATTTCTTAGTGGCTGATCTGTGGTCTGTTCTTACCACTTTCCTGCTTGTTTAGTTCTTCTCACTCAAACCCATCTGCTTTCTTTTTCATCACTCATGCTCACTTTTATCTCTCACCCCCATCCTGTCCCCTCAATCCCACCAAACACTGGACGTAAAGAGACGTGCAGATCAAGTCATTATTGGGTCGGTCCGTCAAAGACCACATTTAGACGTCAGTGCGACGTGCAAATTAGTTTAGAAATTCCGACGTCCAAATTGGACCTCTTTAAGACGTCGCTCTGACGTTAAGAATTGGACGTCATCTGAAGACCAAATCTAGACGTCGGCACAACATGCAAAATGGATCCAAGATTTAGACGTCACTATTGGACTTCTTTTAGACGTTGAAATGACGTCCACATTTGTACCTCATTGTCAAAAAAATATGTTAAATAGGTGTCATTTCGACGTCGCATTGCGCAGTGGGATTCTTCAGTCACACTTCCTTTTCAGTCCTATCAGAGCAAGTTTTGTAACACAATTTTTTGTTTTTTCTTGTTCTTGTCCCCATTTTGTTTCTTGCTGATCATATATCCAAAAAAAACCAAAAACTTCCACATACGTGCGTGTGCACATCAGAGAGAGAGAAAGAGAAAGCGAGAGAGAGAGAGAGAGAGGGAGTGACCTGGCTACTTTATATTTAGCAGCTGTGCCATTTTCCAGCGCCCAAGTACTGCAGAGCACAGGGGACATGATGTGTCTGTGCAGCTAAACTTGCAGTTTGACAAAAGAAGTCAAACACTTGCTGTCAGGTAAGACTTGCACTGGAGGTTGTACTGTCATGTACAGTTTCATTGTCAGTCTTTTCATAAAAAGTATGTCAGCTTCTTCAGATATTCACAGTCCAATGTCATTTAGACGAAGAAAATAATTCACTGAACTAGATATTGGGCTGATCATTGAGAAATGCGCACTAGTTTTATGTAAGCAAAGTGATAGTGTGACTGCAGTCCTTCCCATATCTTTCTCTACTTCTACACATACTAGTACACATATGTAGGGGTTTCCTGTGAGTCATTACGCCCATATTTGTTGTAGTCTTTTTCTTTGACCTTTGGTTATCTTGTTGCTTGGTGACTGCCAGCCAACCAGACTGTGAGTTTGTGGCTAACATTAAAAAGACGGTTCAAGCCTCAGACTTATGCTTTTTCACTGACAAAAGGGTATATTTGAGAAATATTAACATGTATTTTGTACAATCATGAGGTGTTGGAAATCAACATCCCCTTCAAGGCCGAGACCACCAGTAATAACACCCACATAACTCAAGTTTTTTCATCAGTGTAAAACTGCAATCACAATCGAGACATACAAAACAAAAAGTACCTGATGCTCACTCGCTGCATTTCCTACGGCTGGTTTAAAAAAAGGAGTAATTTCTAGACTGCTTCCTGGCATCAATTCCCACTCAGTGATCTTAATATTTGTACTTCAAATGTGAATAAGAATATTTGCAAGAGTTTGTGCTGTTCCCATAAACCAGCTACACCAAGTTTTCTGTTTCAGCCGTTGCCTAAGGTTTACACACATCATCTAAAACATTTGGAGACAGTGTCCAGTAAACCAAACACAGCCTACACACAACTTAATCTTCATTTTCTAGTTCAAAACAGCGTCAAACTGTGCGGTGTTTAGAAATGTCATTGATTACTTTTGCTTGTTTACAGCCAGATAGGAGAGCTTTGTAGCATCATAGTATTCAACAGTAACCAGAGTTAAGGCCCCAGCTGCTGGTGAACGCCTGCTACAGCTTAAACACAACATTCGCACAAAAACAAATTCAGTAAGATTCAACTGCAACATATTATTTGAATGGTTTGAAAAGCTACAAAATATTTACAGCTTCTAGGGATTCCTCAGGGTGTGTTGTACCAGTTTCCCTATCTCGTTTTTTGTTATTCGCTGTTTGTAATACTTAGTGTACAATACATCAACCAGTGATGACTGAAAAAATGACTGTCAATAGTGATTTGATTTCCTTCTTTCTCTTACATAAAGAGTGAAATCTGGTCCATGAGTGGGTCCCAGAAATAGTGAAAACAAAAGAGCCTCCGTCTGAACCAACCGTCTATCGTGCATCATCTTTTAAAGAACCACGAGCTCACTGTCCTCAGGAGCACAGCGGGGGGAATGTAGTCGATCATGTTAATTTGTATTTTGTGGCACCCTGAGGAAAGTTGGGAGACAAATGAGAGAAGGATAGAGGAGTAAAAATAGAGACAGGTCCTGATTCTCATCCATCTTCTCTGGTCGCGAAGAAGAATTAGCATCCTCATTAGCATACACTCATAAAGACGACAACATGCTGAGATCAGAGAGTGATAATACACTCCATGTGCCTGAAATGTGTGTGTGTGTGTGTGTGTGCATCATAATAATAGTACATGGTCTACCAAGAGAGAGACTGCACACTCCTCTCTACTCATTATGTAATATGCGCTAACAGTTGTGTGAGTGTGAGGATGTGTGTGTGTGTGTGTTTCTTTCTCTACAGTAGTGAGCAGGTTGGAGCAGACTGAACAGAGAGTGTGCAGGACTTGAATATCAAGCTAAAACAAGATTCTTACTCTCATTACATAAGATTTAAGAAATCAGTAATATTATTCTGAATATTGATCTGTAATTTATTGTGATGAAAATTGTTTCATTTTTTTTCCGTTGATGATTGTCCATAGCAACAATAACCTGTGTAGCCCTCTTAAAATGAGCTTAACCAGCTGTTACTCATGGTGGGATGGACAATGTGAGATGTGTTGTGATGTTGGATATAGAGGAACCAGGAATGGATAATCTTATGTAACAAAGAGCACATGATTTTCATGCACATACTTATTTTGAGATGAACAAGTCGTGGTCTGATTAGAGTTCAGAGGTCGTTACAGTTAATTATGTTCTTTCAGTTTTCATGCATACAACAAAGCCTGCTGACTTGTGATTGGTCAACAAACATACTACGAACAAAAATGAGGATTCTTCCCATGTTGAAAATCCACACCCCTAAGGACAGAGTACAGGGTGACACATTTTCAAAGACTCAGACCAGAAAAAAACAGACCTCTGTTCACTAAAACCAGAGCTCTGCTCGCCTGAAGGATAAACTCTTTTTCCATTTATCCTCCTGTGCGAGCCGAGGTTGAGCTGCAAGTTTAATCAATTTGGGGAATTATGTGTCTATACAGGCTTGTTTGAACAGGTTCTTACTCAGTGAATGTCCCCTGATAGTCATCCATTTACTTCTGAACAAAATATTAGCAGCACATCAGGGGCATATTTGGCACAATCACACCCACAAGATGTAGCTTGACATTTATAGGCTGCCAATTTATACTTAAGATTATTGCTACGGAGCTCCGTTGGTGCGGGAATTCTCTTGCTAGCCATTAAGTGCTTTATTCATTTATTCCAGACAAACCAGTCCAACACATCAGACCTTGAGTACAGTAGAAGAGAATTATTTTTTTCATCAAGACAGAGTTACAGTCATTAGCAAGCTGGCTTAAAGTCCCACTTCGATTGCTTTTTTTTTTTTTACTACTTGAAGTGTACTCAGTGGTCCTTAAATTGTGATTATGAATTTTTTTTAGCCAAAATCACGTTAGTTATTTCATTTTCAAGAGCTTTTCTTCTGCAGAGCTCCAGTAGCTCATTAGCAATTCGCCTCTTTGTCATGGGCGGAGACAGCGCTACTCTGCACACTCCTCTTCATGCTAACTTAACAGAGCTGGTGCAGCAGAAGTGTCAGGTAACATAGGATCTATTAAGTTCTCAGACACTATTGTCTTCTGGACATGATGAAAGCTAATATCATCATATCACACAGTTGTTCTTTGATCGTCGGAGGCGGAGCTTGCATTTGTGACATAGGAAATCCCACAGTGTCTGAACCTGCTGTTTGGGTCTGTGAGGGGTTCACAGCGATTTGAATGCAGAAATACTCAGAAATGCACTCAGTTTCTTTTATGATATGTCCTGTAGCATCAGAAAAATGCTGTATGAACATATAAAAACATAATTTTTTATTGGAGTGGGTCTTTAAGGTAATGTCAAGCTGCTCACTTTAATTTGGTTTATGCCTGAGAGGTACAAGCACTTATAGACCGTGATTTGAAGGGGAGTGCCAGCGTTGGTTTGACTGAAAGATACCAAAGTAAGTCAAACTGGGTGAAGAAGACTCTACTGTATATTTGTTTTCCTTTTTCCTCAACCAGCAGCTTGTTAGTCTCCTGGATAGTGACAATGAGAATTTTTTTTTTTTGCAAAAGCTGAAGAAAAGAGGAAATTGAGATTTGACCTATCTCAATTTCACTACTATATACTTGTGGTGAAACAGGGAGATAATTCCACTGTTTGTGTGGTAAGAGAACCAATTATTAATGGGTCAGTTGTTCATTGTTTACAAATGTAAGTGACACTATTTAGCCGTGTTAGTGTTTTGTTTTTCTGCTGGTGCTTACAGTGTCTCTGTGTGTGGCAGAATGTCTTCAACTATTTGATCTGTTTACTTAAAGCTTCATAAAGACATTTGCGATGCCCAGAAGAGGAATTCTTACAAGATTAGTTATCCCGTGTCATTATCAGGTGTTGCTTTTATTCCTAACGTTTAGTCCTTCAGTTTAGTGTCACTTCCATCTCCTGTGTTCGTTATAATAATTAGCCAGTGTCGTGCTGCTACGATTAAAAAAACTACACCTGCTCATTATTGATGTGAGTGTGTAATCAAACTGACACTGCTTTATGTTTTCCAACTATTAAAACCTACTGGTAGTTGTGAAAAATCACTAGCTATGTTTTTGCTTTAACTGAGCTGATGAGAACTGAAGTGGCCTGTGGCATTTGATGTTGCTTTACCCTGTTTCACCTCTGCTACAGCGAGAGCGACAACAGCTTTTGGTTTCCCTTTAACCTCCCCTCACTTTGGCCTCCCCACTTTGGTCTCTCCAATCACAGCTGCTACACTTCCTCTTGTTCTGTGTATTCTTTATTGGTTGGTGAGCGGGTGGCTTATTGATGTTAACTCATGACGCATGACCCATCTAAAACAAGAGTCAAAAATGTGCTCGTCTCTGGAGTGGAAGGTGACAAAATCTGCCCTCGACATTTTCTCTCACATGGGGTAAAGAGTCGGGAGATGAACTCTTGTTATTCTTTCATTTTAACCTTTTTTTCTTCTTTTAATCCTCACAGGTTTCAGAAGAAATGAGGAGATGAGAGCAATGGAGGTTCTTCCCATCCTTAAAGAAAAAGTTGCCTTTTTGTCAGGTAAGATAATTTATGTGTCTAGTTTTATAAGTCTGTGAAACTCAGCTGTCTAATCATGGCAGACGAGACTAATGGGACATGAAGTAGAAACCTCGCTTTGCATATCTGCACAGCTTGCAGGTATTCTGCACACATTAAGCTTAGTCTGTTTTGTAGCTCTTTCTTGCTTCCTCTCTGTTACACATACACACACACACTAACACACCCCCAATGGATATAATTACAAGCGTGTACTCTGCCGGAAAAATCTCAAGGGGTCAAACTCAGGGCCCAGACACTCAACTCTTCGTACTTCTCCGCATTTGTACATGGACCGCTCAGATATCTGAATCTGCTGCAGGAGCACAGAGTATGAGACAGTGCAGTGATTTTTTTTTTCCCTTCCAAGGAAAGTAAAGCTGCTTCTGACACACGCAGACACACACACAGACACAGACATGTGCAGACACACTCACACAAACTCAAGAGCCCTGCAAGGGGGGACTCACAGGGGGTCAAGCAGGGGATAAGGAGAGCCAAGAACATCTAGCAGGATTATTCCTAAAACCCACCAAACATTATTCAGCACATGCATGTGTGTGTGTATGTGTGCGTGCATGTGTGTGTGTATGTGTGATAAAGTGTGTATTATCTTCATATGCATTTATGTGCTGATTGACCAGTAGATGACAGCAGAATCAGATGGGTTAACAAAATAAAATGTGTATCCTGTGTGTATTTATGTGCAAAAAGAGTGTGATAACAACACACTCTTTTTGGCCTCCTTGTGTGTGTGTGTATGTGTGTGTGTGTGTGTGTGTGTGTGTGTGTGTGTGCGCAAAGGTCATCGGCAGTAACACTGATAAGAACTGTGACTCAGACAAACACTAAAATTCTCAGAGAGAGAGAGAGCGGCGGAGAGGGAGTAAAAAGAGAGAGGAAGGCAGGGCGACGTTGCCATGGAGATGACTTACTCTCTGCCACTGCATCCCATAGTAGTCGCTTGAGGAATAATTGGCTTTGAAATGAAGAAAGGAGGACGGTAGAGGACGGGCTGATGGTGGAGAAAAAAAAAAAAGAGGGTAAATGAGCTAAGCCTATTACCCTGAATCTGGCCCCTTGATAAATTGCCCATATTTGCCCTCACTCATGTTTGCCTGTTTGCCACGTGAACGTTTGATTTCCTCCTCTGAGCGGCTGGGCCCACAGGCACACAGCAGCCTGACTGAACTTACTAATTTGAGTGCCGAGTGCAGCCGTTCTGTGTTTACAGCTAGCACGTGAGGGGAGCAGCTCGCTGCTTCCGGAGCTGGTCAGGAATTAAAGCACGAAAAAAATGTCTCTATCATGACACCAGATAATCATTATTCAGTGTGTTTATTTCATAAAAACAGCAAATGCCACCTAACTAGTAATTAAAATGACAAAATAATATTCTAAGATACAAGGCTCATCGAGGCAGAAATCCTGTTGAAATAAAGATAGCAGATAGAGGAGGGAGCAGATGGAAGAGAGAGACTGAATAAAGCACAGTCCATTTGTCTGTGGCTGTATGTCTCTGAAACTTGTGCAAAGGTTTTGATTTGCTTTAATTCTTATTGCAAAGCACACATGGGTCAGAGCTACTGATGTAGATTTTTCTTGGACAGAAACACATTATATAATACTATGTTAGGCTTTGTCAAGGCTCTGTCTGGACTGAACGTGTCCTTGTCTCTAGATGTCATCTTTTTACTGTTTAAAGTCCCACTCTTATCATTTTTTTTCTACTTTAAGTGTTCTCAGTAGTTTTTAAGTTGTGACTATGAAGTTTTTAGCCAAAATCACATTATCTATGTCATTATCCTGTCATCTGTCAGGGCTTTTCTTCTGCAGAGCTCCAGTAGATCATTAGCAATTTGCCTCATAGTCGTGGGCGGAGACATTGCTGCTCTGCACACTCCTCTTAATGCTAGCTTGTAGTCTTACATTGCTGGTGTCGTAGAAGTAGCAGGTAACGTAGTAGCTATTCTTTACGCTAGCTTGCAGCCTAGCATTCGGTGTAGTCGAAGTAGCAGGTAACATTGAGCTATTCAGCTCTCGGACACTAATGTCTTTAGGGGCATGGTGAAGGTTAATATCATAATTAGCTTTCTTACAAACATTGCAATCCGCTAACGCACAGGCTTGTTCCGTAGGATGAAATGGGGAAGTCCACGCCCCCAACCCGTTTGATTGGTTCCTACACAATCTCTCACTTCTACCTCAAATGCGCCCCCTCCTGTTTTAAATTTCACTGCAGTTACATCGTCACCATGAAACCTTACCCTTACCCCAACCCTAATCCTAACCTTTACTAACCTCACCCCTAACCCCTACTATAGCTTATAACTCTCCCCCTTTCCTATCAGAGGATGAAAAACAACAGGCGAGAAAAGAAGAGATGCTGTAGGAGCCAGTCAAATGTGTTGGGAGTGTGGATTTCCCGATTTCATCTTACAGAAAAAAATTTAGCGTCCTGCGATTGTCCGCTCTATTTCTCTTAAACTGGCCAGCATAGCAGCGCTCTGGGGGCGGAGCTTGGATTTGTGACATAGGAAATCTCACTCAATCTGAGCCTGCCGTTTCTCATGATGTGTCTTGTAGGGTCAGAAAAATGCCATATGAACAAGTAGACAACAAAAAAAACATGATTTTTATCCGAGTGGGTCTTTAAGCTTTTTTAAGCATCCTCTTTTCCAGTTTAGTGGTGTCTGCCTTGTGTTCTTTGATAGGAGATATTAATTCAAATCAATTGTTGCCAGCCTGTTTAATTTCGCAGCTCAACGTCTCATATTTAACAAGCCAGTCCATCATTTGCTGGATTACTTTATGCGTTACAAAAACGAACGTCTCAGTCCAGTCATATTTTTGTGGATAAAGTGACATTTTTATTGATTTAAGAAAATATGCTGGTTTAAAAAAAAAATTTTGATTGTTGTTGCGGTTTTGTGAATTTTGTGAAGCAAACAAAATGGATGTACATTTAATTTGACATGATCAGTCTTGTTCTCGCTCTCATTTGACTGTGTGTGTATTATTTTGCCTCAGGTGGCAGAGACCGACGCGGAGGTCCGGTGTTAACGTTTCCATCACGCAGCAACCACGACAGAATACGAACTGATGACCTCAGGAGACTGATAGCCTACCTCGCAGGCATCCCCAGGTAGCACAATTTTTCATTTCATCTGAGAGAGTATGCATGCATGTCATTTATCTAAAGACAAGGAGAACCAATGACACAAAACCAAGCCAATGCTCGTAGCAAGTGGACGAGGCTCTGCAAGACACGTGAGAGAGCAGAACGGAGCATGTGAGGGGGTGAGGGAGAAATGCAGAGAGAAATTATTCAAGACCAGTTTGCTTGCCGCAGCTTCTCTGCTGCCAAAACCCAGTCCTAGTGCCATGGTAAGATGCTGAGGTAGAGAGGGGAAGCCAGAGCTAAGAGAGGGATGTAATACAGCAAACAAATGAGGGGAGGAGGAAGGGAGAGAAAGCAGTGTGAAGAGGGAGAAGTGGAGAGGGGGGGTTAAAACTGACAGGGAAGGAGAGCGCATGCGTGAGGAGGTGTGTGCGAGCGAGCGAGGGAGCGAGCGAGCAAGTGTGCGTGTGTGAAAGCAAAACAAAGTGTCGCAGTAGCTGAGGCAGTGCAGCAGCAGTAGTTTCTGTGGACGAGTAGCTCCTCGCCTCACAGGTAAAAAGAAACATTTCTCCACTCTAGATTTCTGTGAATTCATCTGTCTCTTTAAGCTGGTGTATGTCTCATCCCTCCATCTGTCCTAATCCATCGATCCTGTCTCTGTCAACACTCATCTCCATTTCAGTCACTGTTCCGTCTCCGTGTGGTTTCAAATCAATCGATTCACTTTTAATTATAGCCAAACATTTTCTTTTTTCACTGTTTAACCGCTTCAGGCATTCATAACATCACTGCCATCATGTCACGTTTTTGATATCTTGTCATCAGTGTTGATTTTTGATGGCCAGAGGTGTTCTATTTTGGGAGAGGCAACATCTGCAGGCAGCTGCACACTGGCTTTTGACTAACAGCCTGTTAGAGAGTGAGAGGGAGATGTCGCTAAAAAGTATGGAGTTTTTTTTAAGAGGTGCAAGATTAATAAATGTGTGTTGCTAATATTTATATTGTCAGTTGAAGAGATCTAAAATGCTTCAAACCACTGAAGAGAAAAGGAGCAGTCTGAGGTTGTGAGAGAAGTGTAAGAAACATTTTTCATTCTTATATTCCATAAATAACATTTTTTTTTTTCTTGCCGTGTCTGATGTCATTCTGTAATTCTTGCAGATTTGGGGTCAGGTGTGTGCAGCAGATGTGGTTTATTTCTGCGTGCACGGTTATGGGATAATAATGTCGACCCCATAGGGAATTCATGCTGCTGATGCACAAATGTGCTGATTTATATTTTTATACTTCTGCACACATTTGTGAGTCATTTGTCACAGGTTTGTGTGTGGGTGTGTGTGTGTGTGTGTGTGGGTGGTTGTGGGGGATGCGTGTTTGCTGCGTAGGCTAGTTCTCACAGTATAGAAAATGCGTCATCACACTGTTTGTTTTGATTCCCTCCGTTCTTTCCCTCTTTTTCAATCTGTGTCCCTCTTCTCTTATCATCTTTCTCCTTCCCCTTCATCCCTCTCTCATCCTTTCCCACGCCTGTCATCTGTCTCTTCTCTCTCTCACTGTCTCTGGATTATGCTCTCTACAATCCCTCTCTGCCCCTCCCTCACATCCTCCCTCCTTCTCCTCTTTTTAATTCCTCCCACTCTTGTCGACCTCCATCCATTCCAGCGAGGAGGTGTGTAAACATGGCTTCACGGTCATCGTTGATATGCGCGGCTCCAAATGGGATAGCATCAAGCCTCTGCTGAAGATCCTGCAGGAGTCCTTTCCATCCTGCATCCACGTCGCCCTCATCATCAAACCGGACAACTTCTGGCAGAAGCAGAGAACCAATTTCGGCAGCTCCAAGTTTGAATTTGAGGTAAAGAAATCAAGACTTAAGTTGTTTTGCGTTAGAGTGAAGCATTTGGGGGAATAGTGCGCAATTTGATTATCTGGTTAGTAAGTTGCTTGCACATTTGTTTTTAACCCACTTACACTCTTCACAACACTTCTACTGTTATTTAGATTTAAAAGAAACAAAGCGTGTTTCATTTTAAATGCTGTACAATGAGGCATGCACAACAAACTGTTGCAGTCCTGATGTGAGGCTCATAGTCAAAGCTTCATGGCGCTGGTGTGATTATTTACCGAGGCAAAGAGCTTAACTTTTGTTTTTGATTTGACGTTTAAAAATTGTGATTCAGGAGAACGAACGCCTCAATTTTCCTGTTTGCTGTATTAAAGCAGCAGATTAAAAATGTAGAACAAAAGTCAACCTGATTCCCCCTGATTTGCTGTCAGCTGAGCTGTGATCACGACTGCAGCAGCAAGCCGAGCTGCTCATCGTCAGCACATTTCATTATTTTTCTCCCCACTGTTTCTCCAGCCAGCTGTCTACCAGAGGAAACAAATCATCAAATTCAAACCCTCAAACAAGCACAAAGCAGATCATGAGCACCGGCATATGTAATGCTGACTGTCAGAGCACATTATCACCGCTTATTCAGTGATGAATTCTATTTTCAAGCGAGGACTTTTTCTTATTTGGGATTTATTTCAGTGGCTCGACCTGGTACATAACTGAAAAAGGACTGCAGGGGTTTATCAGTGATGTGTTTTTTTTTTGCTGTTGAGGCTGTAAAGATGCTGCTGTGTGATGTGGAGTAAATGCTCTGTAATGAGGACCAGATAACAACTTTCAGCCCTCAATTTGGTCTGCCTTTAAAGAGCACCCCTCACTGCGATAATGAGGAGCCTTTTGAAGAGACGTATGTACATTGATACAAACCCATGTACGATTCTGTTTCTCTGTACAGTATGTACTTCGATGCCCGTCAAGTGTGTTTCTGAGGCAGTCATGTGGAAGCAGCACTAATTGCTCACATGGCTTTGCTCACAGGTCCGCTGTGGTCTGATGATATCATATTGATTCTTTGAGAGAGAGGAATAGGCAGATGCCACAGGGCAGGTTACAATTACCCACAAGCTGTCCTGACGGACCACAAGGGACAAAGTGTTCAGCGGATCCACTGCATGTGTTCCTGTCTTTATATATCACCCTCTGACTGCATACCTCACATGTATTTTAGAGATTTATGTAAAACTGAACATCTGAGCAAACAGGTTTTTCTTTTTCAGTATTTTCAGCTGATCAACTCTAAGCACACATGTTATTGATTGTTACCGGAGCAGGCATGTGTCTCAGTGTGCGCACAAATGATTCTCTCTCTCCTGTGGGCAAAGAAGAGAAAAAACGCAGAGGATGTTGCAGAATCAAAAGACGACAACCTTGACTTTTAGTGTTGATGAATTGTTGGGTTCTGTATGGGGTGAAAACTACACCCAATAACCCTGACAACTCCCCCTCTCTCCATTCAAGAGTACAAATCAATTAACTTGGACAACAATAGCAAACATAGCAGTAACAGTCCTTTCCCCTGTTAAGAGCCACTGTGCTTTTTTACCCAAGGACAACAATTTGTTTCTACATTGTTTGGCCTACACAGCTATCTAGCTATCGTTCCGTCTCCATCCATCTCTGGCCATGTGTGTGGGGGTGTTGTGCGGAGGTGGCTGAGCAGAAACACAGAGGCACTGAGACCAAGCAGGGAGACGTTTCCTTACTGTTTTCTCTGAAATTGATATTGTAATGTAGAGTGGTTATGTGGAAAGGATTGGATTCTACATTTGAGAGAGCCAAAGGGGAGGGAAAGGGTTTTCTTGTGATTGATTTTTGACATTAGGAGTCATATTTACAATATGTCCTGAGAGTGTATGCAATCATGTTTGGAACAAGCAGATTCTGTAAAAGGTTGTTTTCCTCCACTGTAAATTTGTACGTGATGCAGGGAGGCTGTAGGGTGACAGTAGGAAAAGACTGAGGTGTGCTTAAGCAGGGCTTGACACTCACTTTTTTCACAAGGAGCGTATGCGCTCTTAAGTTAAAAAGTAAGGAGCACACAAAAAACTTTAGGGGCACATTAGAAATTGATCGAATAATGTGTGTCTTATCTGTCGACTTAAATACTATTATTTGAAATCAATTTTAGGTCACAATTGGTCACATGACATGGAAGCTATTGAAGGAAAACAGCCATTTTTGAGAGCATCAACTGGTAATTTATTGATGGTCCCTTATTCGACACCCAACGTTGACAGCGAGGATGCAGAGTAGATTTAACCGCGCTGCTGTTGCTATTCCCGGTTATATAGAGTGAGAAGACACCGGTAGATCCGTAGTGAATGTCCATCGAATATCCAACCTAAAACTCACTTCACCGCTGTATTTACATGAAAACAACATTTGTTGCCTCGGCTGATTTTTTGTCGTGCGCACATGTGCCCCTAAAAACATTTTACAATTCGCACACATCTATTTTAAGTCGCAAATGTGAAAGTGAAACGGTCGCACTGTCAAGCCCTGTTAAGCCAAAAGTCGATTTACTTGATTTTCTATTCTATTTCTCATCTATTTCACTCACCTTTGCTCCTCAGACCACCATGGTGTCACTAGAGGGCCTTACCAAGGTTGTCGACCCCTCCCAACTCACGGCGGACTTCGACGGCAGCCTGGACTACAATCATGAAGAATGGATAGAGGTGGGATCAACACTCTCACCCTTGCTCTCGAGCTAAACAGATTGGAGCATCTATTCTGACATCCATAAAATCCTCAATCTATTAAAATGCAAAGATGCTCTGTTGTGTTGTGTGTGCAGAGAACAGGGCAAGAAACCAAACGGATTAAATGTGTATTCAATCTAAGAGTTGCAGGCAGTGTTGTGTTTGCAGCAGAAGCAATAGCAAAGCTAAATGAAGCCCTTTCATGTGTCAGATCTGCCACTTAGTTCGGAGCATTTTCCTAAACACAGTCGCCTCCTTGCTCAGATGTTTTGCTTTGTTCTTCTACAGGTGCGTGTAGCATTCGAGGAGTTTTCCGGTCATGCCACCCAGATGTTGGCTCGACTTGAAGAGATGCAAGAAACTGTGTCCAGGAAAGACTTTCCCCAAGATCTGGAAGGAGCACGGCGGATGATAGAGGAGCATGCTACACTGAAGAAGAAGGTCATAAAAGCTCCAATAGAGGAGCTGGACACTGAAGGACAGAGGTAAGACATCCTCTTTTTCCCTTGGGACAAAGGTAAAACCTGTTTTCGCCTCTAGTAATAGTTCATGTGGGGCAGGCTGTAGCGCAGTGGTAGAGTCAGATCCTCTCTTAATTGGAAGGCCAGGGGTTCAACCCCAGGTCCCACTGCCCACATATTGTGTGTCCTGGGGAAGACACTTGACCCCAAACTGACCCTGCTGGCTGGGTGCAATGTTGTGTGAATGGGAATAGTCAAAACTGATCATTACTGAGCAGGCTCTGCCATCTTTGTATGAATGTGGTGTAGATGGGTGAGTGAAACATGTGATACCTTGAGCAGCCAGAAGACTAGAGAAAACACGACATAAACACAGTTTATTCAGCATTTGACTGTTGACTTTATTGTTGGAATTAGAGATGTGAATGTTTGGTCAATTAATGATAAAACATCACCGCACCCATAAGTTAAATGAGTTTATGTTTTGTAGTATTGTACGCCAAAATGCACATCACATGTTGTGTCTGAGCTCTAGCATAATAAACCTATTAATGTAAATCGTGCTCAATTCAGGCTGTTTTTTTCTAGAATTTTTTCATCATCTTAAAAACTAGTTAGCTGGTTATATTTGAAATACCTTTTTAAAAAACAAAGAAAATGATCACTTGAGTACATCTAGGGTGACCGTACGTCCTTTTTTACCCGGACATGTCCTCTTTTTGGGGGGCTGTAAGGTCTTGTCTGGGGGAGTCCGTTTTTTGTATGAAAGTTTTGAGTTTGTGTCGCATGGACTTACTGAGTTAGAAGCGCATTAAAAATCCTCGACCCGAAAAACTCGCAAAATTTAGTATGCACGACTCTGTGACTCTGACCCACATAGTCGTGTCCTCTTTTTGGGGATTCAGAATATGGCCACCCTAGTACATCCCTAGTTGTTATTTTCTAAAAACATTCTTAAAAAACTCTATAAAAGGTTGAATTATTATATTGAGTCATTCTGTAATAATTTGTCACATTCAGATGTTATCATAATAAAGATAAATCATTTAAAAGAATTAAGTTATCAGATATTTTGTCTTGATTTTTCAAAATTTATTCTTATTTATTCATTCACTTTTACTTTTTTAAGGAGATATTGGAAGACTGATGGGCTGAGGGTTGATGCGTAATCTGTGGCTGACCGCTTCTGTATTCGGGGCCTATTCTCTGAACACTGAGCCCAATTAGGGTCCCTTATGTGCACTCATGCCAGCAGATGCATTATGGAAAGAGAGACATTCTCAATATAATCAGAGAAAAAAAAAACATTTGCATCCAGCAAATGAGCTGTGACCTCCTTCATCGATAAACTAGCGGGGCCAGCAAATTGGCCTCCATTAAACCATTTGTCTATCAAGGTTGATAAAAGACACCCAAACCCTTACTTAAGTGCTTAATACACTTACTGTCCTGCTTGAACAGAAGTATAACATCAGCAGTTTCATAACAGCTTGAACAAATCTCATCCTTGTGAATACAGAATGATTATTTATCTACAGTTGATGTGATATTTAACACATTAAGAGAGAAAAAAGCATCACACACAAACACAGTTTCTCTCAGGAAAACAAACACAGGCATGAGTAATTCAACCTCGTCATTTAACTACATATTAAACCTCATCTTCAGGTTGCTGCAGCGGATCCAGAGCAGCGAGTCCTTCTCAAACCGCAACGGCAGCAGTGGCGGCAGCGGTGGCAGCAGCAGTAGTAGCAGCGGGATGTGTAACGCCGACACCCAGGGTCTGGTGCCAAGGATCACCCAGCTGTTAGAAAAACTGCACTCCACCAGACAGCACCTCCACCAGGCCTGGCATGTCCGGAAGCTCCAGCTGGATCAGTGCTTCCAGCTCCGCTTGTTCGAACAGGATGCAGAAAAGGTTGGTTGGTAGCCGGTTTCAGGGTCATTCAGCATGAGCAGTGATATAGTGGTAATCTATAAGCGCAGTTGGTGATCACTGCAGGGCATATGACTGCCAATATAAACAATAACTTCATTACAAGCAGAGAGAAGTATTGATTAATGCTCATGGACTTGTTTCCTTTTTGTCCATCGGATTGAACAAAAGGTTTCTCTCCCGACCACCTCCAGGTACAGGAAACAAGAGACAGAGGATAATAGAGTTTCTGCAGGCGCAAGGCCACCTACCCTGCCGCCAGCCTGACAGCTCAGGCGATGACAGCTGTGGCAGAAAGTGGAAAGAGACAGGGAGAGAAATTCAGGGATCCATGTTTGAGCGACGAGAATAAAATAGCAGGTTGCAGCAATAGGGAGAGAGCTGCAGTCTTGGATACACTGCAGTAGTAGGAGCTTGTTGCTAGGACACCATAGGCCATGAGTTGTTCTCTTGGAGAGCCTAAGAGGATACTCTTAATAGAGGCAGTCCATTTCTCTGTATACTGGCCTGGAAAGATGACAAGTATCTGCTCCCTGCAGCAGTACACAAACACACTCAGGGCCTCTCCACACAGCCAAGTGCCAGCTGTTTGTTTTTAACCTGCCTTTGCAACGATCTGTGAAACTCATCACTGAACCATTTACTTGTGTGTATATGTTTTTATTTTTGGCTCGCTCATTTCTCTTTTTTTTTTTCTCCTCTGTGTGTCATTTCTGTCATCCTCCTTGCATCAGATGTTTGACTGGATCATGCACAACAAGGGTTTGTTCCTGGCAGGCTACACAGAGATCGGCAACAACCACCCCCACGCTGTTGAGCTGCAAACCCAGCACAACCACTTCGCAATGAACTGCATGGTAAGACACACACAAATACATCCATACGCACTCCCTCACAGCGGGTGGTAGCACTTGTCTGCCCATTTGGACCATTAGGTCCACGTCCTGCGATGTACAGTCAAATAATTAATGGTCTTGTGTTTGTTTGGAGCAGCCTCTGCTTGTGTACGCTTGCACATTTCTGCGTGTTAGCAGCGGCACAATCAGGTATTGAATAATCGTATTCTCTATCCACAGTAGGTCTTATGTAACCATTATAAAACTGTTGAGCGGAGGAATCAATCTAGTTGCTAGAACACTCAGATGGAAAACAATAGCGCTCTTCAGTAGCCCTCACTTCAGACTTGGTCCCTTTTTTACTCTATCAGCACTTTCCTCTCGCCTTTCTTGCGTCTTTCTACTTTTATTTTGATCTAAGTCTCTTTTCTTATCCTTTATTCTCAGTCAGTGTTAAATGTGTAATTTGCCCACTATTCTTTTTCAATAATTCTTCCATTTTCTCTCCCCTGCGCAGAATGTCTATGTGAATATTAACCGCATCATGTCAGTGGGCAACCGGCTGTTGGAGTCAGGTCACTACGCCTCCCAGCAGATCAAGCAGATCTCAGGTCAGCTGGAGAAGGAGTGGAAGGCCTTCGCCGCTGCGCTGGATGAACGCAGCACACTGTTGGAGATGTCGGCCAGCTTTCATCAGAAATGTGACCAGGTGGGTAAAAACAACAACAAAAAAAAGTAGAGCTTAAACTAAAGAGAAATCACAACCCCAGACTGTCTTAAAAACAGGGTTAGTTTTAGGGCTGGTGTACGACAGAGTATTAGGGCCACATTAAGAAAACGATGAATTAAGTCTCGTCATTACTAATGAGAATAAAGTCATAATGAAGTAACGACTTACGAGAATAGTCATAATAAAATCATTACTTACGAGAATTAAGTCGTAGTAAAGTGATCACTTACGAGAGTAAAGTCAGATTAAAGTCCTCATATTCTAACCTGTTGTTTAAGATGACAGTTGTTGAAATATGAGCCATGGAGCATTTCGTGAAAATGTACCTCAATATAGGTTTCTTTAACAAGGAGCTACTTAATCTTTTGGCACATCAACACCACATTATCGTAAGTATCATTATGATTTTATTACGACTTTATTCTCGTAAGTAATGATTTAAATACAACTTTACTCTCGCAAGTAATTACATTATTACAACTTTATTTTCGTAAGTTATGATTTAATTACGACTTTATTGTCGTTAGTATTGACTTTATTCTTGTCGGAGAACACCTACATGCCAAGCTTTAGTTCCTGTTATACAGCTGTACCTCCCACAGCTCTACACATTGTGATCGTGCACAATGTATATCATCTCTACGTTGCTGGGAAAAGAGCAAGTGAGGTGCATGAAGTGTAAACTTACTCTAGACTTCATCTCCAAGTCTAAATTCATTTTTTGGTGTGGTGTGAAATGAACAGACCCATTCAGGAACTGTTTGATTCATTTCCAAATATTATCTGTCAGTGGATCTTCTTATCCCTCTATTGGCACAGATCTATTCTTTTTGAGTGAGGCTCAAAAGGACCCAGATTTGGTGAAACTGCATTTAATATAAATCAGAAACTAGATGAGATGCTGACCCGTATGTTGCCCAGCACAGAAAAGTACAGTATATGCACGCACTGGGCTGGTGTAAAATGCCCATTTGGCCTTATTAAGTCCATAAAGCCTAAATTATGCATGCATGGTATTAACATATAGCTACTTATATTCACACATGAAAAATGTAAGTCATGTGTTGGTGATGCCTGTTATGTCTGTCTGAGCTCATTAGTCGTACCGTTGTGGAGTAATTCATGACCCTAAAAAGCAGAAGGGATGATCTGAACTTTCCAACCTGGACTAGTGCTGTCATCAAAGTAGTCTTTCATGTTTGTGAGCTTGAGCAGACTCAGCTTTATTCTCAGAGGTTTCCCCCCAACCTGTCCTGACCCATATAGAAAATAAAAAAGCTCGTTTCAATTCTTTGTTCTATTTCTGTGCGCGATTCCATTTATCATGGGAGATACATCGGAAACAGAATAATGAGATCATTTCACCCCTCTGAAGTTTCCTGAAGGGTACCCTTGTTTACAGGTTTGTTTTCCTACCTCCCACAGTTGGGTACAGGAAGTTTAAGAAGTCATAAAACTGCACACTCAACGTAAGAGAACCAATGACAATTCATTTGGACATTTCTGGGTGTTTCAGTTTAGTAAATCGGGAAAATAGATCTTCCTGAGGTTGTTTTGCTGCACTCGAGTGTGTCTGACATTTGACTTGTGTACACCACTGCCATGGCATGTGAAATGCCTTACATCTGAGTGTGATTGTCTTCCCCTGCAGTACATGAGTAATGTGGACTCCTGGTGTAAGGCATGCGGCGAGGTGGATTTGCCCTCTGAACTCCAAGACCTCGAAGATGCCATCCATCACCACCAAGGCCTCTATGAACACATTACTGCTTCTTATTCTGAGGTAAGAAAACACTTCATCTATCGATTTGACTCGCAAAAACATAAGCCAACAAACAGTCCAAATCAAAAGGGTCAAAGGAATCTCAACGAAAACTTCACTCAAACAATAAATCAGTCCTCAAAATAGCTGCTGACAATTATTTCCAGAGTTTACTCAGTTGTTTGTGGCTGTGGCTCAGAGGAAGAGTTGTTTGTCTCTTAATCAGAAGATCAGGGGTTTCATCCCAGGTCCCTCTGTCCACACGCTACAGTGTCCCTGGACAGGGTACATAACCCCTACCCGCCAGTGTGTGTAAATGAATCACTTAAAACTGGTGGGCGCTTTACATAGCAGCCTCTGCCATCAGTGTGTTAATGTGGTGTAAGTGGGTGAATGTGTTTTTTAATGTAAAAGTGCTTTGAGTGGTCAGAGAACTAGAGAGAGCGCCACATAAACACAGTCCATTGAAGTCCATCCATTAGTTTTTTTTAATGCAGCTCTAGTCACAGTTTGGTTTTCTGCTCTAAGAGCCTAATTCATATCAAGTAACCATGGAAGCCATTCTCTGTTTTTAACCTTTTAAATTAAGTTGACTTTTTTTTTTTAAACCCAAAGTCATCTTCTAATTTTGAATGTTGTCTCTATTTAAATAAGAATTTTTGTAGACGTCTCCTGTAATTTGAAACATTGGTCTTCACATCAATTTGAAAAGTCCCCTTTTTTTTCTGGGCATGAGAACTTCCCCAAAAATGAATCTCAGTGGAACTCCTTCCTTCCTCTTGGCTTTTTCATTTATAATTTATCATAGTTTCAGTATCTTGGTATAAAACGAAAAGTGCAGCTGTCCATGACAATCATTCACGCAGCTGTTCACACATATCAGCATCTGCATGATTTTTATTCATGTTACATAATCAAACAGTATTATCCTATGTCTTCATATTGGTGTTATGTAAATATAATTACACAACATTTTGTTTCTGTTCTATAGGTTAGCCAAGATGGCAAAGCCTTGTTGGACAAGCTGCAAAGACCTTTGACCCCAGGCAGCGCCGATTCACTGACAGCATCAGCAAACTACTCCAAGGCGGTGCACCATGTCCTTGATATCATCCACGAGGTGCTGCATCACCAGAGACAGCTGGAGAACATCTGGCAACACCGCAAAGTTCGGCTGCACCAGCGTCTGCAGCTCTGTGTATTTCAACAGGATGTCCAGCAGGTAAAAACGCACAAAGCGAACAAACTTTACATATATTTTTTGTTTACATACATGCACTTGATGCTTTGCACTCATGGTTTTTCGAGAACTTAACCTCAATTGCCAGGTTTTTTTATTAGGGGGGTGTACTGAGCAAAGACAGTAATTTGAAAATAGCTAGGTACCATACTGGTGAAGAGAATTCTACTCTTAATAAGGGGTTTGATCTCAGCAGCAGCAGCAGCAGCCATGTGTCCTATCAAAATATACTTGAGTCTGGAATCTTCTGGAGAAATGCTGTGAGTGTAAACGTTACCTGCCTGCAGGATGTCATAATCAAGTGGTCTCATGATATTATCACTGCATGGTGTACAAAAAATCTCAGACATTCCTGAGTGTGGTGACATGGCAGCTGTTTCCATGGCAACTGAATTAGGTCATCTGTCCATGCAGATGCGGTTCATCTTTTAACACTTTGAGGGACAGAGCGCAGGGTGATGAGTGTGAACAGAAAAAAAGCTCAGTGATAAATCGATCCGTGTTTTTGTCATTCCTCTCTTTTAACACACTCTTGGGTTAATTATCAACACTTCAGGCTTATCTACCACCTCACAGCGCCCCCTTGTGGTCAAGCCTATTGTGAAGGTACTGCCTCACTGTGTGCAATGTGTGGTTTCTGTGCACAGGTGCTGGACTGGATAGAAAACCATGGCGAGGCCTTCCTCAGCAAACACACAGGTGTGGGGAAGTCCCTCCACCGAGCCCGAGCTCTGCAGAAGAGACATGAAGACTTTGAGGAAGTTGCACAGGTCTGTCTCTCAATGTCCTTTCATCTAATAAATCACTGTGTTGATTGAGATGTTGTGTCTTTAAGAGCAGTGACAGCCACCATCAATACTGTTCTGTTTGTGTTGTGTTTTCTTTATCAATCCAGTATTAACTTTAGTTAGAGCATCATTCTTGCTCTTTAGAGGTTGAATTATTCAGCAAATATTCCCTTGGTCTATTATTGGTATAAATCTATCATCATACACTAAGCATTAACTAGCCAGTTTATTGGATGAGACTATCTCCTTTATTGTTGCTTCTGTTTTTTATAACTTGTCAATCGTGGTGACAGAAATCCTGTTCACAGCTGATAACTCACAGTCTGTCAGATTTAGTGCAACTGTTACCGCTAAATTTGCTAACCTAATGTTACATCTGTGTATGTAGCATCTTTCTTTCTGTTCCTCTTCGTTTCAGTGTCAAACACTTTCAGTCTGTACTTCCTCTCAGCAGTTATCGCCGTGCTCCTCTGCTATCATTGGCTGAAATCATTCTATTAGTCTTCTTGCACATCCTGTTTTTCTGTGTCTCTACTCTTTTTTTCTCCTCTCATGTCCTGACAGTATGCTTTAGTTTCATTGCATTGTCCCTCTGGGTTAATCCATCCCTCTGTCTCTCTATTGCCTCTGTGCAGAATACATACACCAATGCCGACAAGCTGCTGGAGGCAGCGGAGCAGCTGGCCCAGACCGGAGAGTGTGACCCAGAAGAGATCTACCAGGCCGCTCACCAGCTCGAAGACAGAATCCAAGACTTTGTCCGCCGTGTGGAGCAGCGCAAAGTCCTGCTGGACATGTCTGTTGCCTTCCACACGCACGTCAAAGAGGTAGGCGGCATAGATGGCATAATGTTGAAGTGGCTGGTGGGTTGAATGTGTTTGTGTGGTAATCATGTCTCTCTTGCACTCTGAGCAAAAGAGATGTTTTTTTTTTTCAAAGGTCACACAATTTTTTTTAACTTCAATGTTATATTTTTTAAACATAAGAATATTCTGGAAATCTCACTTTATAAAGGATAGTTAAAAGATTAAGTAAGTACTAGGATGAGTTCCGGTTGCTTATTTTGGAGTAGATGGTAGTTACTGATCTGTCTTTAACAAAAGAGAATTAGAGCCACAAGAAAAGAAAAAAATTATTATAGGAGGGAGATTTTCTTAATTTTTATTTTGAGATAAAAAATTTTCATTTTGAGATTATTGTCTTAATTTAAAAAGTCTGAATGAGAAAAAAAATGAAATTTTAACATTAAAGTCAAAATTTTCAGATTAGAAAAATCGAAATTACATGAATAAAGTCGGAATTTTGACTTTACTCTCAAAAATAAAAATTTTTTAATTTCAATTTTTTAAATAATTTATGACATTTGGACATTTTGTAATCAAAAAATTTTGACCTAAATCTCAAAATTTTAATTTTTAATCTCGAAATGTCCATGTTTTGACATATTTTTTTTTTATTCTCGAGATTTTGACTGTAATCGCAAAATTTTGACTTTTATCTCCTTCCTGTAATTATTTTTTTTCTCTTCATGTGGCCCTAATCCTCTTTCGTCGTCTTTCGTGATGGTCCTTGTCTTTTGTTTTTTTGTTGTTGTTTTGTTTTTTTGTGAATTTAAGAGCAAACTCTTATTCAAGACTCAATATTTGTCTTGAAACTTATCTGAAAAGACGGGGCGTATAAGACCACTCTGTGCTCTCTATATCATTCTCATAAATGTCTTGTAGCTGTGGACATGGCTGGAGGAGCTCCAGAAAGAGCTGCTGGACGATGTTTATGCAGAGTCGGTGGAAGCCGTCCAGGATCTGATCAAACGCTTTGGACAGCAGCAGCAAACAACACTGCAGGTCACAGTCAATGTCATCAAGGAGGGAGAGGATCTCATCCAGCAGCTCAGGTAAAGATGACTCATTCTGACTAAAACTTAAACCCGGCGCTGAGTATTAAAGACAAAATAAACGATACATCAAGATGTTTCGTTTGAAAGATATGAGGAGACATCTACTCATCTTAAACTTTTGATCAAGCTTCTGACGTCAGTATTTGTTGAAATGGTACTACGTGGCAGTTCTTGTGTCGTTATCTTAGCGAATGTGTCTTTAATCTTGGTAACAGTCATTTTTTGACTGTAACAAAACTTTTGAAATTATAATGCGTGGTAAGCAAACAAAACTTTTAAAAAAATCCCCCCTTGTTACAGGGTTCCTACACAAGTATGGAAAGTATGGAAAAAGTATAGAAAAAAATGTGATCAATTTCCAGGTCTTAAAAAGTATGGAAAATTAAAAATAAAGTATGGAAAAATATTTATGTTTTCAGACTATTCTTACAGTTCTAAAATACTGTTTTCTAAAAGAGAAAAGTAGGTATTTCCAAAAAGTAATTCTAAAAAGTAAGATATGGAAAAGTATGAAAATTCCAACTGTGTAGGAACCCTGTTGTTACTATGATCAAGCCCCCCTAGTGTGAATCAGGCTAATGCTGGACTGCGAAGTAAAACCAATATACTTGAAGCCTATGATCAAACTCCTTGTTCAGCAATAATTCAGCAGCAACAAAGAAAACTCATTTACAGTACACCTTCTCAACAAATGATGCAGCTCTCCACTGAGCTCATTAGTACAATAAAAACAAAGCAAAAGCATGTTTAGGCCCACTTACATAATGGCCCCATTCTGATCTTGGCAGGGTAATTTACACATGGGCTAATTTGGCACTGTTTTTGTTGTAAATATGTAAATGCGCGCAGTAACAACTTGGATTGTGTAATATTCAAAAAAGATGTATAAACACTAAAATAGAAAGCTGAGAGGACAGGAGGTGTTGGAGAGCTGGATGCGGTTAGCTGTCATTGTCCAACTCTATATTTATTCAGAGGATGTTCCAGTCCCTCTCTTTCTTTCCTCTTCATCCTCCCCCCTTTGTTCTCCCTTTTTCTCTCAGTTTCCACCGTTCCCTTCATTCCTCTCTCTCTCTCTCTCTCTCTCTCTCTCTCGCTCTCTCTCTCTCTCTCTCTCTCTCTCACTCTCTCTGGTGTGTTGGCTAAAAAGTGAATCCTTACGTAATTCTGATTTTGTAATGGAGTGTATAATTGTGCGGCAGTCTCCCCAAGAGACAGCTGAAACTCCATACACCTTTTGCCCGTGTTCGTGTGACTGTGTGCACACATGCGATCATGGATGTGCATTTGAGTGTAGGTTGTTGTGTAGATGTCAAACTGTGAACATCAGCTGAAGGCAAATCAGAATCCACCGTCTCAGCTTTTTCATACACTGCCAATAGATCATTTGTGCCTGTGTTAATTCATCTTGGGTGCATGTGTCAGATCTATACTAACAGCTTTAACTTGACACTCATCAGTATTTTCTTTTTTTTTCCTTTTTTTTCTTAAACACTTTATTTGTAATTTGCAGTTAGTATAAAAAACAGTTAGTATAAAAAAAAGTCATAATCTCTAACTTTAACAAACAGTCCTGACAATAGACAGAGACAGATCAAACCCAAAATCCATGTGACAAACTAGTCATAGACAATAGACATGCAAAGACAAGAGGAAAAAACAAACAAATAGACAAAAAAAAATAAAAACAAAAACATAAAACAAGTGCATTTAATTACATACTTCTTATTACGGATTTTGTTCAAGGGCAGATGTAATGATTCGAAGTTCCTACACTCCTTATTATTTTCAACTGCTACTGACTTTTTTGCTAGAATCTAGATATTAGACATTCTGGGTAATGCATTCCCAGTATAAGTTTTTTGGTCCCAAAGTGTTCTGGATCAATCTAACTCAAAGGACAAGGAGACAAAAGGAGAGAACAAAACTGAGCAGAGTGAATACCTTGAAAAAATTGATGGAATACAAATTCTTGTGCTACAAAAACTAAACAAAATGAGAGCTTTAAATGGAAGTTTTGGGAGACTTGACAAGACAAAATATCATATTTTATCTTGTCAAATAACCTTAAAAGTGTTGCTGAAATTAAGTCTTTAGATTTCTGTATGAATCCATTCTATTGTCTTTCCACAATTTTAATAAAACCACCAGCTCTCTTGTTTAAAATCCTCCACTTCTCTATTATTAGCTGAATATGCTTCTACAGGCAACAGTTTTTGACTAGTTTTCTTGGCACCGCACGCAGCTGTGTCTCTTCATAGCTGTTTTCTAAAGTGCGCAGCGTTGTCTTTCGCTGCTTGGCGCTAAATTTTGTGTTTCTGTTCCAGGGACTCAGCCATCTCCAGCAACAAAACACCCCACAACAGCTCTATCAACCACATAGAGAGTGTCCTGCAGCAGCTGGATGAAGCCCAAGCCCAGATGGAGGAGCTTTTCCAGGAGAGGAAGATCAAATTGGAGCTCTTCCTGCAGCTCCGCATCTTCGAAAGGGATGCCATTGATGTGAGTCTGTTTGGGAGGAGGCCATGTCTGTTCAGCACGGTTGGTGAATAGTCTCTATTTGATGTCTGAAATATGGATTCTTCTTGTCCTTTTTTAGATTATCTCCGACTTGGAGTCTTGGAACGAGGAGCTGACGGGTCAGATGAATGATTTCGACACTGAGGATTTGACGGTAGCCGAGCAGAGGTTGCAGCACCACGCTGACAAGGCCCTGACCATGAACAACCTCACCTTCGATGTCATTCACCAGGGACAGGAGCTGCTGCAGTATGTCAACGAAGTCCAGGCGTCTGGTGAGTCCATCTCCCAAAGATTGATGTACTGTTTGTACATCACTCTACCGACCACAGGAGCCGCCTGTTGGTCTCTGAAGAATAGAGTCGTGAAAATTCAAGTCTGTAAACATAATCAGCTCTGCTATGTTTATTACTTTTACACATCACTTTGCTTTGGAGTCTTCATTTATCTCCCCCCTCCCTTTCTCCTCACTTTCATTAGCCTGTAAATTTTCCTTAAGCTGCTCTAAGGCACTAAAAGGTCTACAGTAGACTGTTGAATTCTACTTAAATGTGGCTGTTAAATATCTATTCTTCTTTGATCCCGCAAAAACAAATTGTACCTCAGATACCGTGAAGTAGAAGCGAAGAGATGCTCAGCTGTCAGTTGGCTAGCACATCAGACATAAGTCAACATTGAGCAGAGTCAAAGCTGAGTACAGCTCCCCGTTTACTGCTGCCGCACAGATTTTTGTGTTGACTACATTAGTCTAATATTGATACTGTGTAGGTGTCGCAGGTCAGATTCGGTCAGCGTTTGTGATAAGAGGCACCCACTCACAAACCATAATAACTCACCTGTGATCTCACATGCTAATAGGTGCTCTCTAAAGCTGCACAAAGACTTGTTACATCACGACACGTGTACAGACATACAGATATTGCGGCTATAGAATGGAGGCATTTGAAAGACAAATATGAATGTGAGCATTATTAAACAAACACAGGATAGAATTATGACAGGAGGGAAATATTTGAAGCTAAAGGAACAACAATTAAGTCTGCTAAATTAAGTCATACACTCATCTTTAGTATATTGTTGTGTCAACAGCTGGTAGAACATCAGTAGCTGTATTTACATGGGCACTTATGCTGCGTTCGAGTTACCTCGGTAGTCAGATGTCCTACCTGGGAATGACGTCACACCCCAATTACTAGTGACTAAGTTGGAAAAAAGCAAAATTGGAGGTGCAAACAAGATGGCTACATCTATGAAAGGGGATGCTAAAATAACTTAAATTAACTAAAATAACAAGTGCTAAGATGACTTTTGTAGACGTAGCCATCTTGTTTCTGCCTCCAATTTTGCTTTTATCCGACTTCCCAGCTCGGACATCTGACTTCCCAGGTAACTCGAACGCAGCCTAATAATCGGAACAAAGGCCCAGTCGAAATAGAAAAGTGTCATGTAAACATGTTGATCAGAAAATTCGATGAATCAAATTCAGCTCAATCAGCAAGTAACTGTATTTCGGAATGAGAGGGGTGGTGCTTCTAATCTGAGTAAAGCTTGATGCAGGTATACACAAGTAATGATCAGATTATTTGATTTTGCACCCATTTAAACAGTGGATTCAGATTTTCCAATCCCTAAATTTTTTAATCAGATCAAGAAATTTTGCACATGTAAATCATCCCTAGCCAGACTAGCTCCAGTGTTGGGAAGAAGGATAAGGCCAGACTGCATCTATTCAAGGTTAACCTTAGTTTGTGTCTTGCCTCCAGGTGTGGAGCTGCTTTGTGACCGAGACGTTGACATGGCTACACGGGTTCAGGACCTGCTGGAATTTCTCCATGAGAAGCAGCAAGAGCTAGACCTCGCAGCCGAGCAGCACCGCAGGCACCTAGAGCAATGTGTCCAGCTGAGACACCTGCAGGCTGAAGTCAAACAGGTACAACACTAAGCTGTCAGAGGCGCCATCTGCAGACTAAAATGCGGTTTTGCAACAAGAGTAAAGGACAACCTAGAGTGAAAGATTCGATGGATTGGTAACATTTGATCCAACTCTTCCTGTTTTTTTTTCAGGTTCTGGGTTGGATTCGTAATGGTGAGTCTATGCTGAATGCTGGTCTGATAACAGCCAGCTCCTTGCAGGAAGCTGAACAACTGCAGAGAGAACACGAACAGTTCCAACATGCCATCGAGGTGAGAAAGTGCTCGACTAGTCCATCAAATATGATTTCTGCTCCGAGTCCAAGTCTGAAACTGCACTAAAAAAAGTGGCAAAGTATTTTGGTCGTTCCAAACCTGATCGACTCTCCATCTCTCTCCACTCACTCTGCAGAAAACTCACCAGAATGCCCTGCAGGTTCAGCAGAAGGCAGAGGCTCTGCTCCAGGCAAACCACTATGACATGGACCTGATCAGGGACTGTGCAGAGAGTGTGGCTTCCCACTGGCAGCAGCTTATGCTGAAAATGGAGGATCGACTCAAACTTGTCAATGCCTCAGTAGCCTTCTACAAAACCTCCGAACAGGTAAGCCAAATCATACACTTCAACAATTTTGATGTCCAGTGATCTCCTTCGATGACAAACCGAGTGTTTATGTCCCAACAGGTTTGCAGTGTTTTGGAGAGCCTGGAGCAGGAGTATAAGAGAGAAGAGGACTGGTGTGGAGGAGCTGACAAACTTGGACCCAACTGTGAATCTGACCATGTTACCCCCATGATCAGTAAACATCTGGAGCAGAAAGAAGCCTTCCTTAAGGTAGTATACACAAAAAAAAATCAAACCAAATCCCACCTATTATTTGGAGTATTATCTCTGATCTCACCGTGTGTGTTGTGATACTTCTTTAAGGCATGCACTTTGGCCAGGAGAAACGCAGATGTCTTCCTCAAATACATGCACAGGAACAGTGTCAACATGCCTGGGATGCTGAGCCACGTCAAAGCACCAGAACAGCAGGTTAAAAGTAAGTTCAGAGGAGTAACACTTTGATTCTGTATCTCGTCCAGGGAGAGAGCAGACTCAAAAAAACAATATGTATCTAACAGACATATCCTGGTTCTCATTATAGCGACCACGCTGCTTTGAGAAATCATTTGTTTGTCGTTTGGTGCTTAATGGGCTGATTTATGTGTGTTTTGTAAAGACATCCTCAACGAGCTGCTGCAGAGAGAAAACCGTGTTCTCCATTTCTGGACCATGAGGAAACGAAGGCTGGACCAGTGTCAGCAGTATGTGGTGTTTGAGCGCAGTGCTAAACAGGTATATGGAACACACACACACACACACACACACACAAACAGAGTTGAATTTGGGGGGAAAAAGACGGACAATATATTTCTGCATCTGGAGATATAAAGTTAAATACAGCAATACATATATCATGTGTGTTTGTACGTTCTCAGGCTCTAGAGTGGATTCACGACACTGGAGAGTTTTACCTGTCCACACACACCTCCACTGGCTCCACCATCCATCACACACAGGAACTGCTGAAGGAGCACGAAGACTTCCACATCACAGCCAAGGTTGGTCTCACACACTAAGCACACGCACACAAACAAGCATGTCACTTAGAGTTGAATGTGTGCGCATGTTTAACACCCCCTTCCCACTCTCCCGCAGCAAACTAAGGAGCGTGTGAAGCTGCTGATCCAACTGGCTGATGGCTTCTGTGAGAAAGGCCACAGTCACGCCGGGGAGATTAAAAAATGGGTGACTGCTGTGGACAAACGCTATCGAGACTTCTCCTTGCGCATGGACAAGTACCGCTGCAGCCTGGAGAAAGCTCTGGGCATCTCCTCCGACTCGAACAAAGCTGTACGTGTTTTTTTTTTGTCGTTGTTTCAGGTGTAAAAAAAGAAGAATCACCAAATTTATACCTTCAGTGTCTCCGTCTTTATCTTTAAATCTCTCGTTTTGTGTTTCCTGTCTTTGGCAGAGTAAAGATCTCCAGTTGGATATCATCCCAGCAACAGCCCCTGGGTCAGAGGTCAAGCTGCGTGATGCTGCCCATGAGTTAAATGAGGAGAAACGGAAGTCAGCGCGCAGAAAGGAGTATGCAACCTCTTTCTGTTACAGTTGTACTTTGAATTATAAAGCGCAGTTTCTATCTCAGGCAAAGAGCAACTGTTAATATCAAGTATACAAAATATTAATAGCACACTGGGTTTTGCCAATCAAATATGTTTGCTTGGCTTTATTAGTTTGACTCTGTCTACAAACTTAATAATTAGAAGTTTTTTGTCAGCACTTTCACTTAATGTCCTCCACTGTTTGAAAAATGTTTTATTGGCCCCACAGCATAGGCAATTACAAAATTGGCACAGTGTCTTAAACTGCAGAGTAAAGCAGCGAGTGACTTTTTAGATGGTCTGTTGAAAGGAGGAGGTCACAAGTTTGGATAGAAGTAACCCATCTTGTTTACTGTCTAAGATCCAAAAAGGGTGCTCATTCATTTTTGTTTGTCACATAAAGGAGGCTGCATTATTTTTATGAGCAGGTTTTTAGTCTTAAGCCCCTTTTAGACATGCACACAGGTCCTGAAGATTCCTCTAAATTTTTCATTAAACAACCTGGGTTAGCCGTATGTGTGAAGAAGACCTGATGTCGCCCATCTCTGGTATTCTCCTTTCACTTTTCTCCTGATACCATGAAAATGCTCAGTCAGTCGTCTCATTGGTACAAACACACAAAAAAGCTTAAAAGTATCCCCATTTGTCCCGGACTTGTAAGGAAACAAACTTGGTTGCCATCACTGACAATGACACATTTCAGAAAAGAACAAAATATGAAATCAGTTAAAGCATATGGGAGAGTAAAGTGAAAGGATGAGCAATTTGAATCTTGGTTCTAGTGATTTTTCTAAGCATGTTATATAAGCCGGTGTTCTTTTATTGTTCACCGGATTACATGGATGAAGCAAACAGCTGAAACTATGAACTTAGCAACTGATGAGTCTGTAAATGAAGACAGTATGATTATTGCTAATTTTGTGCTTGTCTCTGTGTGAGTCTAGGTTCATCATGGCCGAGCTGATTCAGACAGAAAAAACCTACGTGCGAGACCTGCGGGAGTGCATGGATGTAAGTCCAACTTTCCAGCCCACCAGTGTTAACCTGTTCCATGCCAGAGTCGTGCTTCAACTTTCACACAAAATTTGAAAATGTACTCAGAGCTTGTTTGAGGATTTCATTTTCTGTTATATCCTTTTTTTTTCTCTCTCCATGCAGACTTATCTTTGGGAGATGACAAGCGGGGTGGAGGAGATTCCTCCAGGAATCATCAACAAGGAGCATATCATCTTCGGAAACATGCAGGACCTCTATGAATTCCACCATAAGTAAGAAACAGTCTCTACAGTATGAACGCCTTCTTGTCATTTGTTGTATTTAAAGTCGAATTGTAGGCAGGAATGAAAAGGTCAGAGCAGCCTGATGCAATTCATTAAAATGAGGGAATTCTGGATGCTTTATGCAGAGTTCCTCTTGTAGCTATAATATCATGATTTCAGGTTTGATTTTATATCATGTTTTTTGACTTTGTGCTTTTGCTGAGGTTAACATTTAAATTACTCATCCTTTTGTTTTGTCAGCATCTTCCTTAAAGAGTTGGAGAAATACGAACAGCTACCAGAGGACGTGGGTCATTGCTTCGTCACATGGGTACGTATTGTTGAACAGCTTTGGCTGCGCCACAGTCCAATAAGTATGAATCATCATGAAATGTTTAGATGGATTTTTTTTTTCCAATCATATTTGTATTGTTTTTATCCAACTTAAAACAAAAACACAAACAAAAAGTAGCTCGGACCTTTTACAAAGGACACAATACTAGGAAATAAAAGATATACAGTTAGACAGTTTAGATGGACTTTTTTGATATTTCATAACAATGTTTACATATTAGTTTAAGTCGTGACTGTTTGCCTTGTTTCTTTCTAACATCATCCTGAATCTCTATCACTGTCAACTTTTATCATCCTCTGAAGTCGTAATGACTTTTATTCTTACAATTTGTTCTCGTTGTCAAGGCTGATAAGTTCCAGATGTATGTGAACTACTGTAAGAACAAACCTGACTCCACCCAGCTCATCCTGGAGCATGCTGGGAACTACTTTGATGTGAGTATTGCCAATGGCAGATGGTGAAATCTATACTTGCTTAGTCTTGTTTGTTTACGTGTGATCATATGACTGTTCTTCTCTTTGCAGGAAATCCAACAAAGGCACCGACTGGCCAACTCTATTTCTTCATATCTGATTAAACCTGTGCAAAGAATAACCAAGTATCAGCTGCTGCTTAAGGTATCTCCTGAAAGCAAACGTCACTGCTGCGGTGGTCATCTGTGGACTTTCTCGTTGACATTGTTTTTGTGTGTGTGTTTGTGCAGGAACTGCTGACATGTTGTGAAGAAGGTAAAGGTGAAATCAAAGACGGCCTGGAGGTGATGCTTAGTGTTCCCAAGAGAGCCAATGATGCCATGCACCTCTCGATGCTTGAAGGTGAAGAACATACTGCGTGGCTTCAATGTTGCTGTGACGCTCCACCTCTTCTTCTTGGATAATATGGAATCAAGTTTTATACTTCTATTTCCAGGTTTCGATGAAAACATTGAGTCCCAGGGTGAGCTCATACTTCAGGAGTCGTTCCAGGTCTGGGATCCCAAGACTCTTATCCGCAAGGGTCGAGAGCGCCACCTCTTCCTCTTTGAGATGTCTCTTGTTTTCAGCAAGGAGGTCAAGGACTCGAACGGAAGAAGCAAATACATCTACAAGAGCAAACTCTTTGTGAGTAGAATACTTTGAAAAGTGTTTTGAGGAGTAGTGTTTGGGGACCAGAATGAAGAACAGCTGTTTTTATGGAGTCATGCAGAGCCCAAAGTTAAGAAAAAAGTACATTTACTAAAAGAAGAAAGGAAAAGGTACAAAAACTGAACTTTTTCAGTATGTTGTAATTTGAGGGGATGTAAATCAACACTTCAATCGATTCAAGTGTAAGTTATCTGAGTCAGTCACATTTATACGCAGTTAGTATATTTCCTAATCGTATCTTCTCACCCTGCTTTTCTGGCCTCTTAGACGTCAGAGCTGGGGGTGACGGAGCACGTTGAAGGAGACCCCTGTAAGTTTGCTCTATGGGTGGGACGCACTCCGACTTCTGACAACAAGATTGTGCTTAAGGTAAATACACTTCCACGCTTTGAATGTCTCTCATATCTGATTTAGGGTTGGACCAATATAGGTTTTCAGGAGCAGACACTTGAATTTCTAAAAAGGAAATGTTATGAAACCTCAGATGGAAACAACAAATGTTGAGTTATTTTAGGTAACAAGAAATTTCATTTTGAAATGTCTGTATTTGCACATTGGATGCTCCATGGATTTGGATCTAATTGGTGAAATAAGATAATGTGTGAGAAAATCTTTATATTGGTCCAACCTAGCTTTCTTCTTCCTCCTTTTATATTGAACCCTTCTCTACCTTTCTTCTTTGACTACTGTCTCTCTGATCTCTCGTTTGATTGCATGAGCAAACTTCAAGGAGGCCAAAAACCTTCCTGTCGTCTCAAACAGCTCCCCTTTCTCCCTGTTTTCTTTCTTCTTTCTCAGTCTTCTGTTGGTCCCTCTCTCTCTCTATCCCTCTCTCTGCCAGCCTCTGTTTTCTGCTTTGTTCCATCTGTTAACAAACACAGGCACATTTGTATATCTGGGGCTGTGTTTTTTTTGTGGATGTTTGTATCTCTAATTCTCTCTGTGGGCTGACATGCTTCCACCAACGCTGCTGACACTGACTCAACCCCTTAACGCCTACAATCTCCGGTACTGGCTCTCTGCCACTTTACAGAAGTGACGAGAAGCCATCTTTTCTGTCAGATAAATAAACTTTTTCATTGGTTTGAACTCTTTTGTAGCAGGAGTGTATCTGTTTAGCCCCCATTTTCAAACATCCTTTGTTTTCTGTCTGTTGAATATTGTCACAGATGGATGAAAATTTGGGTCAGCAGTTGGAACAGCATGAAATCTAACACGTTCAACTCTGAGCATTACAATCCTATAACACATGTTGACTGCTAAACTAGCTGCTGAGAGGCAGTCATCTGGTATTTGTTCTGTTACTGAAGTGTGTCTCATTATCATTGCTAACTACACATGTTCTCTCTTTCACACGAACACACACACACACTGTTCATTACAATATACTCCATATTTAATTGGCCTACAGTCAGCTGTTACAGCTAAGTGTCAGTGTTGTTCGTTTCTATCATGTCAAACCGTTTTGTCAGCATAAAAACTGTCATGTGCCTCTTCTCAAACCAAACAAGTGAAATTCTCTATTTTATATTTTAAATTCAAAGCTAAGTCAGGGATCCAAACACGGAGCGATGGTGAGTACAAACTATCCTGCAACACAGCCCTCAGCCACTTCACACAAGTCTGAAAACTCAACTTCGAGCACTTCTTATCCTCTCTTTTCATCCTCAGCTCTAGCTTGAGAACTTTGTGCATTGGCAAAAGCCCTACGTGTGCTCCAAAGCAAAAATCCAATTTCATCCAGCGCCAAAGCTGGAAAGCTAAAAAAAATGATAGTGTGAACTTTTCTCGGGCAGTGATTTCCAAAGAGCTGTCCTAACAGCTGCCAAAGAAATAAGTGGAAAACAGCAATTCATCACTGAGGTGGTTTCAAAAGTGTTGGATGTCACACCTGAAGACTTTGCGGTACAATTATAGTTTGTGGAAACTGATTAGCAACTGAGAGGAGATCTTAATGGCAAGTTTAACTAACAGTTGCAGATATAGACAGGTGAACTTAAGAAATTTCCTGAAAAGTAACAGATAGTGAGCCAAGGCTGCTTAATATGTTCATAATATATAAATAAGTTAAAAAAAAAAAAAAGCTAAGTAAATGCTAAGAAGTAAAACTACGTTCCATTTACCTCGAAAGTCCGGTGTCGGAGCTGGGAATGACGTTACACTCAAGTTGACAGCGTTCCAGTAAACAAGTCAGAAAACCAAGATGGACGCCTACTGGTAGCCGTTTTTAGCTATTTTTTACAATTGTCAGTTGATGTTAGCCGTTGTTAGCTATATCAGTTGTAAACAACACATCACACGGTATTTTACTCTTACAAACATCATAGCACCGTGTTCACAGTTAGACGTTGGGCAGTACAACATACACCACTAATTTAACTTCACAAAAACAAAACAGAAGTGCTAATAGATAATACAGTACGAGAGCTTTCAATGTTAGTCTTTACTGTTGATGCACTGTGCTGCCATCTTGGATTATGACGTAATCCAACTTCAGAGGGGGGCGTTCCAGATGAATTTCCGACTCGGAGCTCAGAAATCGCTACTTTAGAGCACAACTGGAACGCAGCATGATATATTGTGTGAATCAGTAGCTGTTAGTGAAATCAATTTTAAAAAGCAGAAATAGTAAGTGAAGATATGTGATGTTCTCATAGTTCAAACAGACCAGAGTAGAGTTTGATAACACTCACGCAATGATAAGATCAACTCATAATACAACTTAAGTCAAGTTTTCAAGACTCTGCTCCAATTGATATGAGTTAAATGCAAATTTGCCAAACTAAATCAAACACTGATGGTTGATATACTGGAGGAGGTAATACTTGAGTTCATCTGACAGGGCTAAGGGGCAGCAGCTGATAAACAGGTTGGAAACCACTGTTTTTACTGGACTTGTCTATACAAGATTGAATGAATCAGAAAAATACCCTCAGCTGATCAGAGATGATAAGAAGTGAACTCAGACTTGCGTGAAACACACAGAGTGAAACAAGAATTTCAAAAGAAGTCTGTTTCCCCACAACTTTTAACTTCTTGAACTTCCCTTTCATTGTTGATCAATAACAGGCTTCAAGCATAGAGAACAAGCAAGACTGGATCAAGCACATCAGGGAGGTGATTCAGGAGCGCACCATTCACCTGAGAGGTGCACTGAAGGAGCCCATTCATATTCCCAAAGCAACTACAGCCAAACACCACAAGGGGCGAAGGTAAATGTGACCACGACTAACGAAAGATAACCCCAAGAGATCCTAGTATGTGGCTCATGAGGAAGAGATGAGTTTGAACTAAACTTCAACCCTTTATTGGTCGTGTGTGTCACTATCAGGGATGGAGAGGACTTGGACAGCCAGGGTGAAGGCAGCAGCCAACCAGACACCATCTCTCTGGCCTCCAGGACTTCACAGAACACTCTGGACAGCGACAAGGTCAGGAAACACACATTCACACACTTGCGCACACAAACATTATTCTTCCAGTTGGAAGTATGATCAAAGTTGACCAATCACATCAAGCATCTTTTCTTTCTCAGCTCTCTGGTGGCTGTGAGTTGACTGTGGTGATCCATGACTTCATGGCCAGCAACAGCAACGAGCTAACAGTACGACGTGGTCAGACTGTGGAGGTTCTGGAGCGCTGCCACGACAAGCCGGACTGGTGCTTGGTCAGGACCACAGACCGCTCCCCCGCTATGGAGGGCCTGGTGCCCTGCTCCATGCTCTGTATTGCCCATTCGAGGTCATCTATGGAGATGGAGGGCATCTTCAACCACAAAGGTCCATCCTTTGGTGTCTTCAGTCACAGCTGGAAATCTTCTATGCTTTTTCTTCTTTTTGATAAGTCTGCATCATAAAGTCAATTTGTAACCTTAAAGTCCTTTTCTCTTCACAGACACTCTGTCAGTGTGCAGCAATGACTCCATTATGCCGGGGTCATCTGCAACGCTTCAGCCTGGTCATGGCCTCAGCTCCCACACCTCCCCGGGGCCGAAACGACCAGGTAAAGACACCTAAACCATACTCTCTGTTGAATGTGCTCCCTGACGTCCCACTAGAACTCAAAGAAGCAAGTTTTATCTGGATATTTTTGTTAGTGTCCAAATAATTTTTGATTTAATATGAAGTCCTTTGACAGGACATGCTACTTTTGCTCTTAGATTACACCGTGGCACCAACACCTGTAAATTATGTTCCTTTCTGTATTGATAAAGACCAACCAGGCATAATCTCTGAAGGGAGGTTAACAGAGGTGGACTTTATCTCTGTTATTTTACTTTATGCTTTAAACTCCTATATTTGTCAGGGTTCCTACACAGTTGGAATTTCCATACCCTACTTTTTAGAATTATTTTTGCAAAATTCTACTTTTCTATTTTGGAAAACAGTTTTTTATAACTGTGGTAATATAGTCTGTTTGTTTAAATATTTTTCCATACTTTATTTTCATTTTCCATACTTTTAAGACTTGGAAATTTATCAAATTACTTCCATACTTTTCATACTTGCGTAGGATCCCTGTGGGTCGCAGTAGCTCAGGAGGTAGAGCAGTTGTCCAATAACCGGAAGGTTGGCGCTTCGATTCCCCCCCTATCCCTAGTCTGTCTGTTGTGTCCTTGGGGCAAGACACTTAACCCACCTTGCTCCCAGTGTGTGTCCTCCACTGGTGTATGATTGTGAGTGTTGTGTGGTGGTGGTCAGAGACTGGCAGCCACGTTTCCATCTGTCTGTCCCAGGGCAGCTGTGACTACGACCATCAGGGTGTGACTGTCTGAGCAAATGAATGTTGCATCCAATATAATGCGCTTTGAGGGTCTCTGATAAAGCGCATTATAAAATCCGATGCATTATCATTATTTATACAGAGGCAAACTGAGTTTGGTATGTTTGCTCGGTTTCCAAGGTAACACCTTGCGGAAATGGCTCACCAGTCCAGTGCGGAGGCTAAGCAGCGGTAAGGCAGACGGCCACGTGAAGAAACTAGCCCACAAGCACAAGAAGAGCCGTGACATTAGGAAGAGCGGGGAAATGACAATGGGCTCCCAGAAAGACTCAGACGACAGCGCCGCTACACCTCAGGACGAGACTGTGGAGGAGGTGGACAGATTTACAAAAAAAACACATTTTTTAAAATATATATGCCCTGTCCAAGCAGAATTTCTGATCTCAACTTCTCCACCCATGTGTGTGTTTTCACAGAGGGTTCGTAATGAGGGCTTGTCCAGCGGCACACTGTCCAAGTCCAGTTCTTCGGGGATGCAGAGCTGTGGAGAGGAGGAGGGAGAAGAAGGCGCTGACTCAGTGCCTCTGCCTCCACCTATGGCCATCCAGCAGCACAGCCTGCTGCAGCCAGACTCACAGGATGACAAGGTGAGGAGAGAGGGAGGAGGTAGCGGTGAGGACACAAGAGGGAGTCAGAGAAATGGGACAGTAGAGGAGACAGGAAAAGATGATAAGCAGGATAGAAGTCAGAGGAGAAATGAGAAGTGACAGAGAGTGACTTAGAAGAGAGTTTTTTTTTTATTAATTATTTAAGATCTAATGGAGAAAAAAGTGACATCTTTCTGTTCGGATTTTGCCGAGAAAAACCTGGAGATAGTGAGAAGCATGAACACAACAACACAAAATACAGTTTTTTGTGTGTATTTAGAATTGAAGTAATAGGACTTTAAACCCTCCAGCTGTTTTATTCCATTGTATTTTACTCTGAAGGTCAATAGTATAAGGCTTTATATGGAGAAACAGTTCCAGCTTTAGGTAGTCACTGGTACCTACACAGGAAGTAGAACTTTTATTTTATAAAGCGACATGACGCCAATCAACAGGTTTGAAGAGTTTAGACAGTTAAGGGTTCATTGAAGGTCAGACCAGATCTCCAAGTTGGATGAAACCTTCTGTACTTGTTCTCTTCTTTTTCATCTCTGTTCTGCTTTTTTAGTTCTTGTTAGGCTACTTTTCTATCATCCCAGTCCCCAACTTTTCTCAAAAAAGTGCATTTCTTGACATAGTTTAAGTGACTCTTAAGTTTCTGTTGTGCATAACATTTTATCTTGGCATGTTGCATCAAATTTTTTTCTTCTGTTCTAAATCAGATTAGCTTTGACACATTTCAGAAGCACACCGAGTCTCCTCAGCGGTTAAAGCGGAGACTCCTCTGACACTAATTTCTGTTTCTCTTTTGTTTTGTTTCCTGATTGTATCGTTTACTGTTTGCCATGCTGTAGCATTACCTTGATTTATGTCCTGTCTTTGCTTTGTCTCAGTTTCCATACCTCTCCATTTGAAAATGCCCTGTTTTCCCCCTGTCTTGTACCTCAGTCAATTCTTCAAACCTCTCTTTTTTTCCCCCTCTCTTCAGCTTTAAATGCTTCTTGCTAAGGGCCTTTTCTTTGGTTTCTTTATCAATTCATAGGTTAGATACGTATTCGATTAGCAGCCTTAGACCTAAGTTTCTTCTTTTGAAAATACACCTTACTTTGCAGTCTACAAGTCCCTTTTCCTAACTTTTATATTCTTTCTGAACTCTTAGTTAACCTTCTCTAGAACTGAACTTTTTTCCTCCTTTTTTCTTAGTTCCACTAATTTTGACTTGGGATTCCTACCCTGTCCGTAACGAAGCAGTGTTATGCAGAGTCTCATGGCAAATCACTAAAGGCCATACGGATAACGTAGAAAAAGAAGAGAAGTGTTCACGTAGCTCTTTAGTCTGAATGAAGTGAAATATTAAGGTGCTCTCTGCCAGTGTAAGTGCAGAACAGATTTCTAAAATAACTGACTTACATTCACTTTTGTATTTTATAATGCCTTGAGCCTGTCGGAGAAACACAGGGCTGCAGTATTTTTTATCAGTCAGAGAACGAGAAGAAGTTTATGCGACATGACGTTGAAAAAAAGTGCCAAAACAGAAACAAACAGTCGAGTTTATTAGAGCCTGTATCAGCTGAATGGGCATCTTCCCTGGATAGTAATCTAAACCTGAGACCATATAGAGGTGAAAATTCAAAAGCCCCTTTGTTCCCATCATCCTCCAACCCCTCCTTCACCTGCCCTGCTCGCTCGTCCTCATCTCCCTTTTACCCTCTGTGCGTTAACCTCATTAACCATGCGAGTAATTGGCATCTCTAAATGCTGGCGAGGCCAGAAGGGCACACAGCCTCACCCAGATTCCTAATTGGGGAAAGTCTTGAAGCACAGCACAGCAAGGGTGAGAGTCTCCTCGATTGTATATACATGCATTCATTGACCTCTCTCTCTTTATTTTATTTATTTTTTTGATCTGTTGGCCTCCTTTTCTTTATTTGAAAGGCTGTTCACCATCACCTCAGAGAGCGACGGAAACACCCTCCATTCAGTTACTCTTCCCCCCACACCTTCATCTCCATCAACTTTTCTGACTCCTTTTTTAACATTTGGTCACCACACTTTCAAGTTTTTGGTTTCATTTTAAAAAAAAATAAGTTTCATTGACTTTACCTTTTCATTTCCTTTTAGCCTTTAGATTAAACACCCTTGAACAGGGTTTGTTTATTTGTTTTTTTATTTTTCTGGGAACATCTTTTTGGATCTTGCTTCAAATTAAGTACAGCATTGGGCATCGAACACTTCACAAAGTCATTACACACTCCGAGAATAACAATAAAACATTAATCTATGCCATACTAATAAAGCTGCAAGCTTCTTAAAAGCTGACTTTGGGATTCATCCTAACCAGAACATAGGCATGGACTTTAACCATAAACTAATATTTAGCAGTACTTTGATGCATTTTCTGAACATGTTGCATGTCGGTTCACGCCGTTGACTTTTAATGTCAAATAGTTAACATATTTGTTTTTTGAAGAGATAATAAAATTCTGTTCAATCAAAGATATTTTTAAAACAAGCGCTTCTTTAAATATATCCTCCGTCTGAATACTTGTGAAGCATTTATTTCCAACATTAGATGGAATATCTATGGGATTGTATCCACTATCAGCCTCTAATGCTCTTTCTCTCCTCTCAACCCTCTACTCTCCATTATTGTCCAGACCTCCTCTCGTCTGTCGGTTCGTCCCTCCAGTTCAGAGACACCCAGTGCTGCTGAGTTGGTGAGCGCCATTGAGGAGCTGGTCAAAAGCAAGATGGTAAGAGGAAACTTAACTTAACTTAACTAAATGTTAAAGATTTAAGCAATAATGGGAAAGCTTTTGAATGTTTCAGCTAAGAATGCTAGAAAGTGAGCAGCTTCATGGTTGTTTAGACAGAGATTCTAATTCCAACCAACCACCTACTCTGAAGGAGGTCATGAAATACTAAGAAAACAGTCAGCACTAAGCACAGTTTATTTGAACAAATGATAATCTGGTGCCAATCAGGATCATGAAGATATCCAATAGCTGCGTTTACATGGGCACAAATAATCTAAATAAATGCCAGATCAGAATAAAACTGCGTCATGTAAACATGTCGATCGGAAGATTCTGATCAAATGTTACTCAATCGAAAAGAAACATGTCCATGTCAACACTTATCCTGATGGTGACTCTCTTACCTGACTCGATCTTCACTCTCTATTTATTGAAGCCAGTACAGGAGGTTACATTATTAACACTCTCGGCATAAAACACAACCACAAATGCGGTTTCTGCTCCTCCGATAATATAACAGGGCGTATATACAGCGTAATGATGTCATATCTGCATGCACAGTGCAACCTTTGACGGAACAGTGAAATAAGTACGCAAGGGTGCCATCTAGTGACAATATTTAATCGAGGGGAAAATCCTGAATTGGATGGAAACACTATCGCGTTTGTTGCGAGCACAAGTATAAATACAACTCTTCTTCTGCGGTTAGACAACTCTGCGCATGTCCAAATGCTTCTAATGTGAATAAAGCTTGGTGCATGTATACGCACGTCATGATCGGATTATTTCATTTTGTACCCATATAAACAGTGGATTCAGATTATCCGATCCCTCATTTTGCCCATGTAAACCTGGCTAGTGATTGGGTCGACTGTATTCTATCCTTACCTCCAACAGTGCTCTTATTTCAACTTCAACTCTTTTATTATCATCCCCTGGGAAATTTGGTTTACAGCAGGCATCAGCACAATAGTACATGATAAACATAAAAACAAAGAGCATACAGGCAGAGGTAAAAATCCTGTCATGAAGCGCTGCAGATAATTAACATTTCTGATGAATGGACAAGGTACTGTAGAAAAGAGATTAAACAAATAATCAAGGATAATAATTCCAAGTCAATCTTAACCATCATCATATCCACCCTATGCCTAAAGTATAAACAAGGAAGCAAAGGAGGCAGGTTCAGGCCAATTAATTAAAATAGTCATAAGATTATGAGTTATTACCTGACCCTTTTTAAGCTGCTTTAAACACACATTTTGAGAAATAGTTAACTGCAGAATTAAGCTTGTTGTTTTCCCTCTTTTTAGACGGACACACGTTTATATTTTGTATTTCTTTGGGACAGGCTTTGGAGGACAGACCAAGCTCCCTGTCAGTGGAGCAAGGGGACAGCAGCTCTCCTTCCTTCAACCCATCTGACAACTCCCTCCTCTCCTCCTCCTCCCCGATGGAAGAGCTGGACGAGCGCAGGACCAGCATTCTCAAGAAAAGACAGTATGTCAGCTTCCAGTTCAGGAGAGTCACAAGAACATATCTTGATCTTCAGGGGTTTCATGATTGTCTGTTTCTCTTGTCGTAGCTACATTCTGCTCGAGTTGGTGGAGACAGAGAGAGATTATGTTAGAGACCTGGGCCTGGTGGTGGAGGTGAGTTGATGTTTTATCAGCTGTTGATGTACCGTCTGGGGGATCTGTAAACATGATCTGTGTGAAGGCATTTACTGAAACTTCCTGCTGTAAATGTGTGTTAATTTGTGTGTCTTTCTCCAACACAAGGGCTACATGAGCCGCATGAAGGAAGAGGGTGTCCCTGATGACATGAAAGGAAAGGACAAAATCGTTTTTGGAAACATTCACCAGATTTACGACTGGCATAAAGAGTATGTGCCGAATACAAGAATACAAGAGTACAGAGCTACCTAGTTACTCTTCACTGGTGCACTCGCTTACTTTCTCCTCTGCTGTTTCTGTCTTCTTTAGTTTCTTTCTCGGGGAGTTGGAGAAATGTTTGGAGGACCCTGATAGACTTGGACCACTCTTTCTCAAACAGGTTCATCCATCCTTGACGTCTAGTTTTGCCTTATTTGTATATCTTTTTATCACTCTGCTCTTCTGTGCAGGAATTGATTGTATTTTCTCATACCTAGGAACGGAGACTAAACATGTACGTGGTGTACTGTCAAAACAAGCCAAAGTCAGAGCACATTGTCTCTGAGTATATTGACACATATTTTGAGGTATGAAGCTACAATCTTTGAGATTTCACTCACTTAGATTTGTCACACCAAGTACCGCAAACCTGAACTCTAAACTTTGACGTTGTAGGACCTAAAGCAGCGGCTGGGACACAGACTTCAGATCACAGACCTGCTCATCAAGCCAGTCCAGAGGATCATGAAGTACCAGCTGCTTCTTAAGGTTGGTCTACGCCAAAGACAGCAGAGGGCGCTAGAGTTTCTACTTTCCCTTTGTCTAGTTTAGCCATCTTATCATCCAGTCACTCATACTGGTCTCTCTGCTGACAAACAAATAGAGAAAATCCTTCTATTGATGAGTTTTTCCGGTCTAGGATTTCCTGAAACACTCCAAAAAGGCTGGGCTGGAGTCTATGGAGTTGGAGGTAAGATCACGGTTAAGTACTTTTACATTTTTGAAAAACAGATCCAGAACTTGCCCATAAACCGTCAGTCATTCTGGATTTTCACAGAAAGCAGTGGAGGTCATGTGCATCGTGCCAAAAAGGTGTAATGATATGATGAATGTCGGACGGCTTCAGGGATTTGAAGTAAGTCAGAGATCCTTAACACATCCTTCACAGCATGTTGTGATTAAAGTCCCACTCCGAAACTCTCTCTCAGCATTTTAACTTTTTCCTTCACCTTATTTGTCCATTTTCATCTCATTTTCCCTCCCCTTTAGGGGAAGATCGTGGCTCAGGGCCGCCTTTTGTTGCAAGACACGTTCATGGTGTCTGACCCTGAGGGCAGCCTCATCGGCAGGATGAAAGAGAGGAGAGTCTTTCTGTTCGAGCAGCTGGTCATCTTTAGTGAACCCCTTGACAAGAAGAAAGGCTTCTCCTTGCCGGGCTTCCTCTACAAGAACAGCATCAAGGTAATTAATGCACAGACGATAAGAGGCAGTAGGGGGCACTACTGAGTTATGAGTGAAAATAAGGGTGCGTGAACAGCTCTCATAGAAACAGTCTGTAGCTACCTCTGGTGGAGAAACTGAAGCCAGTGATATATGAACTAGTTTTGAGTGTGATAACTCATGTCTGAAATGAGATTAAAGAGATAGTAAGAGATTTTTTAACTTTACTGAGAATGAGATTTTAATAAATTACAAAATATAGATAAACTGCAACTTATAAGTTAAGGACCGCAATAACAATGGAGAGATTAATACACGGTTAAGCAGATCAATGAAGGCTTGGATCCTCTCTAAAGCAGCGAAGTATCAAAGATGATCCCCGTCCTTTTTTTTTGTCTTCACAAAGGTGAGCTGTTTGGGTCTGGAGGAGAACGTGGAAGGAGATCCCTGCAAGTTCATTCTGACTTCTCGGTCAACAAACGGCACCATGGAGACCTTCGTGCTTCACTCCTCACACCCAGGGGTCCGTGAGGTGTGGACTCTTCAAATAGGCCAGATGCTGGAGAGCCAGCGCAATTTCCTCAATGGTAGGGTCGTTTTCAGACACACACACACACACACACACACACACACACACAGATTAAGTCTCAAGTTTTGTGGTAGAAATGACTTGCAACATGGACACCCTCGTTTTTTTGTGTCTTGTTTTTTTTTGGTACCTTATCACAGCTCTAACCTCACCAATAGAGTATCAGAGGAACCATGTGGGGGCCAGTGGTGGGGCGTGTGTGCCCGGCCTTGGTGCCCCTGGTGGAGGCAGCAGTGGTTCTAGTGCACCCCTTGGAGTCGGAAGCGGAAGCTCCCAAAGTAGTGCTGTTCCCTCAGGGCCCCAGGGTGGGTCTCGTCGTCCCTCCAGGATCCCCCAGCCTTCCCGTCTGCCCCAGCCCCTACGTCACCACCCTGGGGCCGATCCAGATGGCCCCAGCAAAATGTCAGGTATGGAGCATGGATTAAAATTGTTTTACATTAGCTGTGGAATGCAAAAATTAAATGTGAGACTGAGGTGTGAGTTTTACCCACTTATGATCTAGGTCCGTCCCCTTGTCCGGTCCCTCCTCCCTCACTGCCTCCAGGGAGTAGCCCACAGGGCAAGCGAACTATCCAGACCCCAGAGGACCAAGCACAAGCCCCCACTGCTGCCAGCGCTGTAGCCCCTATCCCCCGAGCCACAGTTGGGCCCCTGCCCTCTACACCCACTTCCAAACCACGGCCAGGAGCCGTGTCCCCAATGGTGGCCCCCGTTGCCACACCTGCCTTTGGCAAGGATGGCCTTCCTCCTCCCCCTCCCAGTCCAGGCCAGAAGTCTGGATCTGGTTTCTGGAGCTCCATGCCAGGCTCTCCAGCCAGCCGGCCTGGCTCATTCACCTTCCCAGGGGAAGCAGGAGAGACTCCGGTCCGTCAGAACTCAAACCAGATCCAGACTGGCTCTGGATCTGGGAGTCAATCCCACAGACACTCCACACACAGCAAGGAAGCAGACCGCATGAGTACGTGCTCATCGGCCAGTGAGCAGTCCATCCAGTCCACCCAGAGTAACGGGGTAAGACTACTACCTGCTGCCAAGTGTAGCACCGACTAACACCGAGGCAGAGGGAGGCCTGGTCTGTCCTGTCTGCCTGCTGTCTCCTGTCCTGCTGCAGCCAGCTCTACTAATCTGTCCCCTTCTCCGCATCTCTGACAACCTTACCTGCTCTTCAACATCATCTTCTCTAGCTTTAGATCGTTTTTGAGGACAATCTCTCGCAAATATTTCCCTCAGTCATCATGTTTTCAGACCTAAAACCCCACTAGTGGACCAAAATCAGCTCTTCAGCGACTCCCTTTCAAGGCTGTTTTCTACATTTCTGACTCCGACAAAGCTTATACTAACATGTGACCTCCTCTTGGCCGCCTTTCACTTCCTGCTGTCTCCATGGTGTGTTACCCAAATGTACTTTTCTGCCACTAACCTCTAACGTTTGTGATTCACCCACAAACATACCTGGTCAAGAACCTCTCATTCAAGCTAACATTTCTGCTCCTGTCTTTGCCTGGAGCTGCAGAGCAAAGATGAGTGTAAAGGAGATCTTCATCTTTTCCTCCCTCTCTCTCTCTCCAGTTCTTCGTTTGTGTTTTCAAGGAGAAATTAATTGACTTTGGTGTTTAATTCTTTCTAGTTCTTAAATCCTTTCTTAGGATTTTATTAAATGAAGCAGTAATTAAACATCTCTTAAATGTTTGTTTCAACTTTGACCTGATTCTTGAGTGTAACTCCAGAAAACTGCGTGCATTTGTACTTACCCGCTCTCTGTGTCTGTAATCTGTCCCTGTGATGCAGAGTGAAAGTAGCAGCAGCAGTAGCGTATCCACCATGTTGGTGACCCAGGACTATATGGCTGTGAAGGAGGATGAAATCAGCGTTGTACAGGGCGAGGTGGTTCAGATCTTGGCCAGCAATCAACAAAACATGTTCCTGGTGTTCAGAGCGGCCACTGAGCAGGGCCCCGCCGCCGAGGGCTGGATCCCCGGTTTTGTGCTCGGACACACCTCAGCCATTGTTTCAGATTGTCCTGAAGGAACCATCAAGTAAGAGCTCCAAGACTTATTAGGGGATAAATCTGGCTGTTTACTTTCAATGAGGTACAATGTAGAATTAGAGTTGGATATACAGTAGGGGTGGGACAAAAAATCGAAACAGCATAGTATTGCGATATTTTGTCTGGTGAGATATCATATTATTTCATTTTTCAAGTATCGATTTTTTCAAATGAATTGCTAATATGAAGTCAAATCTGTGATAGTGGAAAAATAAAATCAACTGTTTGTCCAGTGAGATTGGTAGAGGTGACATCAAAGAGCAGGAGAAAGTTAGTATAACAAATATAGCAGCACCTGGGAAAGACATTAGGAATGCAAGAAGAGCAAAAATGAGATGTAGCTGAAACATAAGGTTTGCAAGATGTGCAACATGAAAGTAAAATACTGCGTAAATAAGACAAACGCAAAGGAAAGACAAACGCTAAATTAGCTAAACAGCTGAAAAAACTGTATGAATCGCAGTGTATGGTATCGTAATACTCACTGTATTACAAATCGTTAAAAATCGCAATTATCGTATCATGGCCCAAGTATCGTGATAATATTGTATTGTGGCCCAAGTATCGGTATAATATCGTATTGTGTTATCACTGGTGATTCCCACCCTTGATATACAGTTTGTTTTATTCGACAAAAACACAGCAGCAGTGGTCTCTTCCTGTTTTAGATATTCTGTAGTTCCCAGGTCCCAAGTATTTGTAGAAATGTAGAAATCTAATGTTTGTTTACATAAGAGTATAATTACCTGAATATACAGACAGGTTAAAAACAAAATGCACTCCAAAACTTACGCCTTTTAAAAGAATATGGAAACCATTTCTTGGCTATAGTGACGAGAGCATTGGTATTTCCTTTTTTTTTTTTCCTTTTTTCTATTTGTTTAGCTTTTACTGTATTTCACTCTAAGTTGCGTAATGTACCTGTTACATCGACCCAAAACATATCTGTTTGGGTTTTTGTGTTGATATTCCCAGCTTGTTGTAGTTGTACTCATTGTGTGGTTTTGCTGTTTTGTCTGGTCCTGTCTTTTGTATGTTTATTTATGAGGAAAATTAATAAACACATCCCAAAAAAAAAAAAAAAACACCATTTTGTATGACTCAACAAAATGGTGAGTCATATTTAAAAAGCATCAGAGGAGCCTCTTGTCCCCAAAAGGTCACTGCCAGTTAACCAGGAGAGCATCTGAGTGGACTGCTAGATATCATCAATATTCCCATGTCAGCACACTGTACCTTTAACTCCTATAAGAGGAGAAAATACTCAGATTATTGGGCTCTTTCTTGGCTGCCTACTGTTATCAGTCCAAGAGCTTCAATGGAAACAGTGACATACAACAACAAATTCATTATAAAGATTTAGTCTTAAGTAAGAAGTTATGGATTTTTTTCCCAATCAAACCAAAATATTCACAAACACAATGTAATAGTAGGATTTTGTACTTATATCCCAGTATTTACCCAGGTGTACCACTTCACTGTAAAACCGTTTGATTTGAATTTGCACCTTTCGTTGTCTCAGTAGGAAGTCTTCATCCTGGCACACATCCCTACGCATCCGTAAAAAATCTGAGAAAAAAGAGAAGGAGGCAAAGAAAGAGACCAAACTGGAAAACGGTTACAGGAAGTCCAGAGAGGGTCTGGCAAATAAGGTTTCTGTAAAGGTGAGTCAAAGATTGAAAGAAATCGCACATTCCTCACGTTGTGTTTTCCACTCTAATGCTCTGTTTTTCTTCTCCTCAGCTTCTAAATCCAAATTACATCTATGATGGTAAGTGAAACTTGATCAAGATTGTTAAACATTGTGAACCAAACCTTTAAAAAACAGCTGGGTGTTATTTTTCATAGAGGATTGTTACACAGCTTTGAATGGTTTGGTAACCGTTGAAAACATTTGACAGGACTTTAACTCTGATGCTTTTATTCCTCTGTTTTTCAGTTCCCCCTGAGTTCCTTGTGCCTCTGAGTGACGTGACATGTGACAACGGAGAGACCGTCACTCTTAGGTGTAAAGTTTGTGGTCGACCCCGGGCAGCTGTCACCTGGAAGGGGCCCAACCAGAGCAACCTCACCAACAACGGGCACTTCAGTATCACCTACAGGTAAGAAGACATGTTTAGCTTTCACCTACAGTAAAGAAAAAAGTGCAATGTGGGGAATGTTGCTGTCTAATGTTTGCTTTAGCACAGTTTTATCAATGTAAGAGGCAGGAATCGTCAAGGAATCAGTTCAAGTATCATGTGTCTGTTCATTTCAGTGATACAGGCGAAGCCACGCTGCGGATTAACGGCGTAGCCTCTGAGGATGATGGTGTTTACACTTGTGTTGCCACGAATGAGCTCGGCAGTGTAGCATCATCAGCCAGCCTCAGAGTGTTAGGTAAGAAAGCAGGCAGAAAACACTAAACAGTGCTGGTGCTCAATGTTGACCTCAACTGAACATCTGTCTTCTTTGTCACAGTCATGTCCAGTGACGGGATCAGAGTGAGCTGGAAGGACAACTTTGAGTCTCACTTTGCTGAGGTGGTTGAACTGGGCAGGTAATAAACCCACCTTACTACTGAATGAGAGACTATTTTAAGTGTATTTCTCACTGCTATTAGAGAGGGTAGTCGGAGAACAAGTGGACTGGTCAAGACAGATTTACTCAACAGTCACATTTCTGGTTTCTGTATTCTTGACTGTCTTTCTTTCACCAGGGGTCGTTTCTCCGTTGTCAAGTGTTATGACCTGCGGGGCACTAAGCGTACGCTGGCGGTCAAACACGTGAACAAGAAACTGATGAGGAGGGACAAGGTGACTCAGGAACTCAATGTGCATCAGAGAATCCAACATCCCCATATAGTCTGTCTGGTTGACACATATGAAACCCCCTACAGCTACGCTCTCGTCATGGAGATGTGAGTTTTGAAATCGAAATCTTCACATCGATTAGTAATTAGCTTAAAAATAATGATCATCCATCATGATGTATTTGTGATTGTGTTGTTTTAGGGCTGACCAAGGGCGTCTGCTGGACTACATTGTTAGCTGGGGGAATCTGACCGAGGAGAAAGTGGCCTGTTACCTACGGGACATTTTAGAAGCTTTACACTACCTGCACAACCGCAGGATAGTACATTTGGATGTAAAGGTAAGCGTTTTATTAATAACATCCATCCATGTAGATATAGATATATACCTTTATCTGTCAAGTGCTGAAGCACATTGACAAACTTTACTTACAGGCATCAATTCAAAAACTTGGCATTAGATTGTTGTAATATTTTCATGAGACAACTAGGGATGACAATTGTTAATAATGTACGATTCCGTTATCGATACTCATTGAGTGAGAAATAATAGCAGATACCAGAAAATACGCAGCAAATTAACCTACCAGAATTCAGAAGCATCTACGTTGGCAAAAGGATGTAACCCTTTGACCACAAATCTGCTCGGTGACATTCGTTTATCTTCACCTCTGTCATTTTACTCTTCCCTGCCTCGATGAAAGTGGCTGCCAAAGGTCTGCGAGAGCTACATACCGGCTGCAGCCTCTGAGCTAGCATGACTCTGGCAGTCATCGTCATCTAAATGTGATTCAAGGAAATGAAGAGTATTTATTTAGCAAAAGGGGGTTAACATGGTGCTAACATGTACACAACAGACAGGACCTGGAGGAGTTAAACGTTACCTTCAGGATTTAGACGCCGAGACGTTAACTCCGCTCCTGCTTTTGCTTGTATCAGCCTCGCCTTTGCTAAGTAGCGTATCAAACACGTTACACTTACACTGGGTGGACAAATGTTTCTGCATATTGGAGGTATTTTCCCCCCTTCGACAAAATTAAAGATTTGGAAGCGTTGCGAGTTGCATCATCTTTTAGAGTGAAATACAGCCAAAACTGGAGTGCTTTTTCCTCAACACCACGCTGAAAAGTTCTAGACCAAAACTTCTCATTTCTCACTCTTTTCACATACTTCGTCATCACGCATAGAGACATAAGAGGAACCGATAATCAGAATCGTCAAGGAGGCAGACAAACAATTCTTAGGAATCGAATCACTGGGAACCAGTTCTGAAAGAGAACCAGTTATCGATCCTCATCCCTAAAGAAAACTCTAATGGTTATTCTGTGATTCCCTCCTAGCCTGAGAACCTGCTCGTGGCCAGCTACAACAGCCAGCCAAGGGTCAAACTCTCAGACTTTGGTGATGCCGTCCAGCTCAACAGTGCCCACTACGTTCATCCTCTGCTGGGCAGCCCCGAGTTTGCCTCCCCAGAGCTGGTCCTAGGAGAGCCTGTGTCAGTAACCTCTGACCTTTGGAGTCTGGGAGTGGTGACCTACGTGCTGCTGAGCGGTGCCTCCCCTTTCCTCGATGAGAGCGCAGAGGAGACCTGCCTAAACATCTGCCGGCTAGACTTCAGCTTCCCCAGGGATTATTTCCAGGGGGTCAGCCAGGCAGCTCGGGACTTCATCTGTCTGCTCCTGAGGACCGACCCAGGACAGAGGCCGCTGGCTGGGCTTTGCCTCCAGGAGCCATGGCTGCAGGTCAGTATGGCTGATGGAAGAGCTAGAGCAGAAAGCTGCCTGGACACCTCTCGCCTCATCTCGTTCATAGACAGGAGGAAACATCAGACTGATGCCCGGGCCATGGGAGGAGTCAGGAGCTTCATCCAAAGTCGCCTTCAGACCCAAATTTAAAGGATAGTAAAACACAAGTCCAACTCAAACTTCAATTCCTACTGCCCACCATCAATCAAAGTAGACGAAAGGCGGAGAAACAGGATGACCCTCTCATTGTGTCGTCCTACACTGGGGCTGTAGGGATTGTAGGTTCTTCTGGAATTGAGCAACTTGCTGGTTTAGATGAAAACAATGAATGTTGATCTCATCCTCTTTCACAGAATGCTGATTTAATACAGTCCAGTAGTCCTTTCACCAACTAAACTGTGACCCGCTGAGGTCCGAAGCCATTCAGAGCCCTGGAGAACAGAGTTCTCACAAATCACAAATTATTGGATGCCCTTGTCTACTGCTGCTTGCTGGTTTTGACTCATTAAAAAAAATTTTGTAGTGAAGTGAACAAAAATATATATATATTAAAAAAAGAAAAAACACGATGAAGTAATTTATTTTCTTTGCAAGAGTGAAAGCTGATCACGAAGAGCCGGTTGATCGAGCCTTGACACTTGCACAGAAGCAGAGTTTTTAGGAGAAAGTGATGCCAACAATGCTAGTGAGAGGACAGAGAGCAGATCGTTGCCCTCTCTCTCTCTCTCTCTCTCTCTCTCTCTCTCTCTCTCTCTCTCTCTCTCGTCGCCAGAGAGAAACAGATCGACATGTTTGCTCTTTTACACTTAAACTGTAACTCAAAGACTTTTGAGGAGCAGCCCTTTCTTATAGAGAACAATGTTAACAAAGAAAAAGTCTGTCTCTATGTTTCCAAGAAAAAAAAATAACTGTAGAAAATGCTCATCAAGTTGAAAGTTGCTGTGCCACTTTGGACTCTATAGACACCTGGAAAACAGTAACTTTATTGAGACATTTGTATGTCTGAACAGAGCTTTTTGATGGCAGCGCTTATATAATGTACCTTATCTAAGATACCATGATGATGATGATGATGACCATGTTGTGAGTAACAATTCTGCACTGTCCATTCAGCGAAGAAACAATAGACATCCATGGTTTGCTTTTTCTAGAACAAAACTTGTGTTGCGCAGATTTGAGATGTTTAAGCCTTACCTTGTATATAGACTTCTGTCTTCTTCCTCTGACATTCACTTTGAACTCCTGCTTTTGAATCGCAGGACATCAGACTGTCCCAGTCTCGGCGGCAGCGGTAACTGCCAAATATATGGGAGTGGATTCAGAGAGAGGGGAAGACAAATTACTGTAAATGCACTCATTGTATGTTATGTTTGATTATCATGTGCAATGTTGCGGCTTTAACATTTTATGCAACTATTTATGAAGACATCTGTTGTATCTGTAATAAATCTAGAGAAAAGCATGTACTTGGTACTGCAAGCACTGCTGGTAGTTTGTGTTTATTTGCTCTTGGAGTATTTTGACTTCCAGGCCAGGCCAGGTAAAAGGTCACGATCTACAATCATTATGGGTTGATCAAATTGATTTAACACTTTTGTACTGTTTGCCTTTGTAGTATTGGTTCACCAAAGTTGCGCTAGCTTAATAGTACTTAATAAAAAACTGTGTTGTCGTGGTAACGGTTCGCCTGAGTTAGATAATCTATGACCATGTGATATGATTGTTTACATTAGTTCAACTCAATATTGGAGGAAAATTCATTGAGATTGTTGTGGTCTTTATTATAAGGAAAGGGCTTTAAAGAAAGTTTTATTTGATTAACAGATGAGAGATTTTTCAAACATCATTTATTGAATGGTGTTGTAATTTTATGTAAAGACACGCGGTGCCAAAATATCTACAATTCCTTATCCTCATAAAAAAACTACCCTGATACGCCAGCTAACCAAGGGCTTTCATTCTGATTAGTTTCCTTTCAGTGACTTAATAAACAAAAAAAGGCAAAGATAGCAACATTCGAACATTCAGCTCTACGTAAATCCAATACGAGACTTTGACGTGCTGCATTCAAACTGGTTCTGCTAGTAACAGAGGACCTGGTCCTCTGATATCTTTTTATTTATTTAAAAGGTGTGAACAGGCCATGATAACAAGGAAACTTGGACTGGATACCTCAGTTTAGGGTTTTTTTTATCATTGTTGTTCATCTTTTGTCATGTTTCCAGTTTAATTTGTTTCATGTTTGATATTTGTTTTTATCTGTTTTTTTATTTGCATGTACAGTATATTTCTTTGTACAGATCATACACATTTTCTCTTGTAAATAATCTCATTTTGCCATCTACTATCTGAGAATTAAACACAATGAAATCATTTACCCTGTTTAATATTTTTTTTGTTTGTTTTGATTTTTTTTTTATTTGATTTAAGTTTGGTTTGACTAAGTAAAATATGAGTAAGTACCATATTTAGTACCATAAAATCTTTAAAAATGGATTACTTATACGTTTGTGCTTAAAGACCACTTTGTTCGTCAACACTGCAGTTTAGGAAAGAGGAGATTCTTGGTTTTGTTTTGTTTTGATACTGGCAATTTTGTGACTTATTCTGCAAAGTCAGTCTGGTTCAGGACCAGGTTATGTTCAGCTTTTTGTTATCCATGAAGTTTAGTGCTTTAATTATTTCTTGACTATGTTCTCAGCAAGCAATATAGATCTACTTCAGCTGAGGTAACATGTTATCAGTATAATCCAGCATTTGAATCAAAAGGCCCTGCTTTGTCCCAGTCTCGGCGGCAGCGGTATCAAACATGAAACAAACCTCCCAGTCGTAGCAGCTCCACTTTTGTTATCGGTATTGTATGAGTGGCTTTCAGTGTTTTACTTCTATTTGCTGTATAACAACATATGACATAAAAAAAAATCTTTTCATACAGCAAATCCAGGATACAAATGCTCTAAGTGGGGCCTCGGGCTCCATTTATCCAGCTCACATAAAAGAAGGCTTTAGCTGGATTGGGAGCCCAAATCTCCCCCAAGAGGAGATTTGTCCAAACTTCACTCTGTAGCATCCTTAAACCTAATCCATCCAGAAAGACGAGATTCAGCGGAGTCGGTTTCCATTCATAGTATATTGTGTTTTTTCTTTAATTTGGTTGCATCTGGAGCATGTATGTGATGATGAGTGCATGGTGAGATTGTTACTTATTACTATCTTTCAGTCAAATTAGATGTGCTATCGCCCGCTTCTGAGATGAGAGTGTTTGACTGTGTTGCTTTGGTAAACAGGTTTGTAAAAATGAACTTGTTTATAAGTCATGATGTTTTAAGTGTGCTGTCCTATACTATGCTATTTATCTGGTCTACTCGGTAAGTTGGGGTCAGTGAGTAATTCGTTCACTGAACGTTTAGAAGAATTCACACCGAACATGCACCGTTCCCTCACAAACCTCTGCAATGACAGGATGCTGCTGGTTTAATGCACTATTGTTACATGCTGTGTCCTATTGTATGAAAGTTGTTGTGGTGGCAATTTAGCAGTAAAAAAAAAGGTAGTTTTGTCCGACAAAAATGATTTCAGAGAGTGTAGCTCAATGTGTGATTCGTTCACCAGGTGATTCAGGTGTTGGTGCATGTGGTCCCTCGTTCGCCTGAATCACTGGCCTGGCAACGCTGTTTCTCACTTCAGCTCAACTGAAGTGAGAAACGAACAAATCATGCAAGGAAGTGATTTGGTTCAGTATGTTCACTTAAAAGATTAGGTTCTTTTGAAAGAATCGTTCGTGAATGACACAACACTAATTCTTGTTTTTTGGTTCTTGAGGAATAGTTTGTTTTCTTTGGGATATTCTTTAAAAGCACTTCATGTCTCAGGATGGTCAACAGCTATTTCAACATCTGTTGGGGAACAGAAATTCATAAACTATAGTTGAAATTGACTTATTTTGATAAGCAAGTGAATCTGTCCACACCCCGTAAATGTTCTTTTATATGAAATTTGTCATTATTGTTCAAACACATTTCTCTTCATTCCCCTTTTCCCTTGGTTCCCTTGTTAGCCAACCACTCAACATCTGTACACTAGAGATAGAAAACTAGAAACTGTTTCCAAGTTTTTCTAAACTGAAAAGTAACATTGCAAGGTGGCAGCAAACAATGTTGATATGGTTTTACTGCCTCAGTATTTGAAAATCTATCTTGGAGTAAACCCAGTCATAGGTCTCACAAACATCACTTTATTTTCAGTTAAGTCAAAAAACAGTGAAATACTTGATAAAAGAAAGGTAAGAAAAAAAATCAGGACAGTCAAGATTGTACACAAGATGATCCAGCCGCATGCTCTGGCTGAGACTGTACAAAACTCCAACAGAACAGAACAGCACCAGGCCAGCCGTTTTTGGTTTATAGCAATGTCGTCTTTTATTCTAATTTCCAATAAACAGAGAATATATCAGTCCCTTATTTGTACAAAAATACCTGAACAGGATACAATGTAGATCCAGGAGCCGTGCAGACAGAATGAAGCAAAAGCACAATGGGGCTATCTGAAAAATGAAAACGGTTCATTTTCTCTTTTTGTCTTTTTCCCTGAAAAGATTTTTATTTTCAGCTTATGATGACTTTAACCAAAATAAAACCCCAAACACTGAACACCTGTACCTACACTGTGAGTCATCAATATTGATGGGTACATGATGTTTACCCGATATTACTATTTAGTTCCAGTAGGATTGTTTCACAGTTACAGCTCTTACTGTACATGAATGCAGTGAGTGGACGGATGGCAACTGAGGACATGATACAATTCCCAAACAAGAGGCACCTGCTGCGAGAATAGGCTTAGGTAAGGTAAAGGAGTAAAAAACAAGTTATGCACCTTTAAATCCGAGTAAATGGACATAATGAAAAGCACAACCCTTCTGAGCTACAGCATATAATTGTACTACTTGCAGTGAAAGGTGTACAAAAGCTGCTATGACTATCCCCGTAAATGAAGCGTTGGTTGTGTGAGTGCTCTTAATGAGAAACCACTGGCATGTGTGAGTAAGTATAATAATCAAACAGTTACTGAAAGTAAATGAGTGGGTGATCAGATGTGAGGAAGAAGAGTTTTTCAAAAGATGTAGTTTTAAAACAAAACCGCACCAGAATTGGACAATGGCAGAGTTCGAGACCGCCAGCCTGTCAGCTTATATGCACAACTGATGTTCAGAAATTTGACATATGCCGAAAATCCAGTTTGATTTTTTTTTTTAAGTAAAAAAAAAAAAAAAACTTAATTTAATACTGTATATAATGTGGTATATTCTTTTTCTATATATATTTAATATATTTATAAAAGGTCATTTTGTGGCAAACCAAAGAAAATACACTATAATGTCAATATACACAATCAAATAATGAAAAAGGACAAAATAAATCATTCTTCATTTTTACATGGAGTTATGAGCAAAAGCCCCATACATAGTGATCTGTGACCTAGGTACAGTGTTACATCTACATCCTCTCCATAGCTTCACATACTTAACAAACATATGATACTGTATACTGGTATATTCATATACTTAGGCTTGTGTATAGGATTGCATTGTAACACAGTGATTAAAAATAGAGGAAAGAGAAGACGGTGATTTGTCCCTACTATCCCAAAAATGATATGGTCTTGTGTTCCTCTCTGTCAGACAGGAAAGAACCTCAACAAGTGAATCCAGCCAAAAACCTGTCTCCTTAAAAGTCCAAACATAACTTTTCCAATCCAACCTTTTTGTTTTATGGGGTAGGCAAATTGTAATCACCGGCAGACTTAGCAATCCTGAATGAAGCAGTCAGGCCATCCACACAAACAAATTCACCATGGGGTCGTAGCTTACAGGCTGGACACAAACGGGGAAAGGGGCGGGGGTTCAAGCATTATCCAGTCCCTGGGGTGAGTCTGCCCTTACTGAATAGAAAGTCCTGATTGGTGGAGCACAGTTTGTTAGTCGTTTGATTTGGTCAACGGGTGGCAGCAGTGGCGTGAGGGTCAGTGACGTTACTCAAAGAGAATTCAGTCAGCCTGGAAGGTAGTCTGTGAGCCTCCTGCTCGCCCTGTTCGCTAGGATTCTGGCACAAGAGGGAGAGGGTGGAGGTGCAGGTGAGGGCATGTACAAATTGTGAGGGGGAAGGGGTCAAAGCAGCTGTTTTATCACATTTCTTTACAATAAATCTGCCACATGACAGCATAAGGTGACAGAGAAGGACCAAACTTTCTTTAGTGTATGATCCAAACACTTGACGGGAAAAACACAGGGTTGTTATGGATGTTTCTATGTCTTGACTTTGAGACTGATTTGTTTTGTGGTAATGTCACAGTCCTCATTATTGCCAAGTCTATTCAAATTGATCTAAATAACAGTCACAGACATCTCTATGTAGTTTGTATCAAAATGTAGGTTCATAAACTGAGCAAGCGAGCTGAAAACCTCAAAAGGCTGAAACCAATGGTTGTTGATTGTTATATCAGTTTTACGGGTTAATTAATTAATCAATCAATAATTCTAAAATGTTATAAACTTGTAAAAATGTCCGAGGTATGACGGTGACCAATTTATCTGACGTCTTTGTCCAGCCAACAGCCCAAAATACAAACATCCATGAACATTTTTTTATGTAAGATGAGTGAAATCAGAATTTTTGAGCCATTTATTTTCTGCCTTCATTTGATTGGAAAGCAGAAGAGAGACAAAGTTGTATGCAAAGCAGGGAGCGGAGGGAGGCATGCAGCAAACAGCCTCTGTACAAGGGGAACACGCCTCAAACTACCAAACTAAACGCCCCTAAAAACAGATCATTTGGAGAGAAACCTATTTTAATTACCTTCATCGCTGCTAAGTAGTTCTCAGTTGAATACTCGATTGATCGTTAGGGCTTTGAAACTCGACCAAAACAACAGTGTAGTCCTTTTTGGACGGATGCCTTGTGCGAGGCATTCTGGTCTACTGAGGCAACTGTTGGTGTAGACATGATTGAATATCTACGAGGGTGATATTTGTGTGATGGCTTTGAAGAAATAAGTTCATCATGATGTGTGATTGTGACTGAAATGTCAAGTGGGATATGGGTGTATGCTGTCATGCCAACAGTTTGATGAGAAGATTGATACTACTTTTCTGACTGATATATCTAATAATAATAAAATTAATATTAATTATATATGTATTTAGTCCAACAAGTCTTATAAAGCCAGCAGCCGTTTAGCTTAGCTGATGAAGTCATTGCAACAGATAACCGCTGATAAAACCACAAATATCAAAAACAGAGCCAAGCTGACTGTTTCCATGTTCCCGATATAACACATAGTCGAGATAATAGCTACTGTCAAATGATTGTGGCTTTGTATTTGTTATAAATACACTAGACTAGTATCAATGTTCCCATCTAACTCTCAACAGGAAAGTTAATTAAAATATTCTGAAGACATTAAACTACCAATTAAACATAATCGTCACTATTTTGATGTTATTCCACCCTACTGTCATCTGAAATGGGTTACCTTATGTGCATTTCAAACAGCTTCGATTACATAAACACACAAGGCTCCAAATTGTCACTTAAGGCGCGTGACCTCGATCAACCGTGCTCGGCTGCACGGTCAAACTGAGTTCACATTTCAAGTCATTCATTCATTTTACATATTTGAAACAAAAGAAAACATCGTTGGAGTGCTTTTTGTTGATTTGTCTTTTTTGTTGTGTTGAAAAAAAAAAGTGGTCAGGATCCAAACATGACAGCTCCAACCCGTCGATATTAAACCGAGATCTCGAAAATGTGCAAGCAGTGAGCTCAGAACAGACTTAGGAAAAGAAAATGACATTCACAGACAAATTCACCCTTTCACTTTAGGAAAACGACTATTTTAGTAGAATTCATGGGGTTGATACGCTTTTGAAGGAGTCTACTTAGCAGTTATCCTCCTCTTCCTCCCGGTCTTCACACGCTGCTGGTAGTTCATGAGCACATTCATTTTTACCGAAAGCATGATCACGTTGGTTCGAGCCACACAGAGGTCCAAGATGTTCCCAAACCTGTCTGAAAGGCACTGCATAAATCAGTCGTGGCTCTCTTTGCTCCCATGCCACCGTATTCCAATCAGAACTCAAGGGATATTCACATGCACGCTTCTCAGAAGTGGAAAGGGTCGGCGGCGGGGGGGTTGTTGGAGAAAGACGAACAGAGAGCAGGCAGCTTCATTTAGCTAGAGAGAACAGCTGTTGTCTGTCCGCTTAGGAGTGCAAAACTAGTTCTGCATTGGATCAACAGTAATAAAACAGCATTAAAATGACATCAAGTAATCAGCTCTACAAGAGAGGCTCATTACAGCCCTCCTGATTATAACATTCCTCTGTCCTTTCAGCAAACCCTCACCACTGCTCTGCGTATCTCGCCTTTAGCTACATGTCTTTCTCTCCAAACTTTTCTCTGAGCTTCTGTGGAGGGGGAGAAGTGGGATTAGGGTTAGACCAGCGGGACTGTGGGACAGGACACAGCAGAGTGGCAGCATCAAAGTCCATTTGGGAAGGCTAGGGTGGGGAAAAGGGGGCAGGGTGTCAGCTTATCCAGACTGGACTGCACAGGTTGAGAATACCCCTGGGTCAGGTTTTGATAAGAACCAGAGAAGTTCTCGTCCATCCCTGATAATCGATGAGGAAGTCAGAGGGTGGTGCCCCCATGACCAAGGGTGGGGTGGGCACCACAGCTTATCAGGCCTGTAGGATAGGAGGCATTTGGGGATTGAAGTGTTCGGGACTCTGAGGAAGGGAAACCAGCAGCAGTCCTGCTTAAAAAAAAATCTTAGCTGTTTTGTGTTTTCACAACATATGGTCCTTTTTAGGGTCAAAACAGCAACAACATGGTCCAAGCGCCAACGACAATGACAGGAGTCTGGATGATTGCTAGGTCCACCATCTGCAACGCTTCAGCTGTCCAAATGCTTCCTGTTCAAACATCTCAACAGCGATAATGCTGAGAAAGCATGAGCGCAGTGGGACACCAAACTTCCAACGGTTCTTGCTGAGTAGTTCAAATACCCCCAAACTTGACTGAACTTTTCTCTATCTCCTCGTCCTCATCGTGTTGGTAAGGGAGGGCCAGATGGGGGGCTAGGGATCTCTTGGAGTGAGAGGTGTGCAAAAAAGGGGGTGACGGTGAAGGTGGAGTATCACAAGGCCACAGTGGTGCAGGGGTGTTTGAGCTTGCAGGGCAGCACTCCTCTGTTCAGCTGGTAAAACTCCACCAGGTGGATCAGGTCGGTGAACTTTGTGGTGCCGTCATCGAGGCTGAAGAACACCTGGCCGTCTTCCTCACACTTTGGGCCAGAGCGAGAGGGTTTGAGAGAGGACAATTAAAACCACCACACCACAACAAGGACGACTAAACGAACACTAACAATGTTTACAAAGGTTACAAACACATAAAAACATTCATCTGTCAGCAACATCTGTTTCCAAAGGGGGTGTGGGGGTGTTGTAAACACAAGGTTATGTTTAAACCAGGGCTCGACAATTTGACTCACATTTGCAACTAAAAATAGATGTGTGCGAATTGTAAAATGTATTTAGGGGCACATGTGCACATGAAAAAAATCAGCCGAGGCAACAAATGTTTTTTTCATGTGAATACCACAGTGAAGTTAGTTTTAGGTTGGATATTTGACGCACATTCACTGCAGATCTACCGGTGTCTTCTCACTCTCCATAACCGGGACTAACAACAGCAGCAGCGCGGTTAAATCTACTCAGCACCCTCGCTGTCAACGTCGAGTGTTGAATAAGGGACCATCAATAAATTACCGGTTTATGTTCTCAGAAAAGGCTGTTTACCTTCAATAGCTTCCATGTCATGTGACCAATTGATCTAAAATTGATTTTAAATAACAATATTTATGTCGACCAATAAGACACACCTCTTTATTTCCCTGATTTGTCCTCTAAAAATCTTTGTGTTAAATTTTAAAGGCAAATTTTGAACATTTTCTTCAGTAGCTTCCATGTCATGTGACCAAAAGACCTAAAATTGATCTCAAATAATAGTATTTATGTCGACCAATAAGACACACAATATTTGATCAATTTTCACTGTGCCCCTAAAGTTTGGTGGTTTAAACTGTTAGTTCTGTGTGCTTTCTTAGATAAAGGAACCTCATTTTAGGTCGCTCTTTTTACTGGCATCTGATATACCGAATATTTTGATTTCAGCATTGACTGATTTCTGTAGTAACATATGAGAAAGAACATGTCTGTTACTATTTAGGTGAACTTCCCCTTTGAGCCATTTCAAGCTGATCTCTGCAGTGGATCAAAATGAACACAAACAGATGTCTGCCTGGGAGGAAAGAAAAATGGATGCTGAAATCTTGAAGCTTGGTTTGCTTTGGAAAATACTGGGTCGTGATGTAACTTAGTGTAGGAGGCTTAAGGGACAGATGGAGGTTTTAACATTTAAAGGGGAAGATCAGCTGGAAAGTAGCAGGGAAACATAGAAAGTGAAGTTTAATTATTGGGTAAATGCGCAAAACGCAACAATTGGTCGGCATATCATTGTGATTGAAACAGTTTTTCAGGAGAAGTTTGAGTCGTGTAATTTTCCAAGAATGACAGTATGAGAGTGGATTGTGTAATGAGACTGACCGGTAGGATCTGGAAGTGCTTGATCTTCTGGTGGTGGCACAAGGTGAGCACAAACGCCTTTGGATTACTCTGACTGTCCCGTAACAGGAATAACCTAAAACCAAAGTGAGCAAAGATTGAACTGCTGAAATGTCATGAAAGCATGACACAAAACACACATTACATCTGTCCAACAGACCAGTATGAGACCAACTGAGATATCATGCCAAACAAAATTGAAAAAAAGAGACTTTAAACCGTTTCTAAACAGGCGACTATTCTTACCCGTCTACTTGGCCTTGTTGGATGATCATTTTGTGAGCTTCCTCTCTCATAATGCGACCATGAAACCAGACCTGTGTCCTGTGGATCACTGACAAACAGACCTTCTTCTGTTAGTATTTGTGCTTACGTGAACACTTTTTCCATTCTGACTGAAAAAAAACCCTCCTTTAAACATTTCTGAGCAGCCTGTTTGCCCACAGTTGGACTTCATTCCATAAAATGTGTAGAGTTATCCTTACATTGCCAGATCCATTTGGCAGCACTTGTTCATTTTCACTGGCAGATGTGTCAGGAACAGTATCATTGTAAACAATTTTACCCAAATTTACTGACTCATTCACAGATCTTTATTTAAAAGTGAGGTGCACCATACTGTAGTATATTCTTAAACAACCAAGATGGCAGCTTCCCCTGCCAGAAGGTCCACTGAAGCCAATGTTGATGATGTATTTCATTACAGATGAACAAATGATTTGACATACAGTATTCATTTGTAAGAAAAGTGTGTTTTTTTGTTGCTATGCCCTACATCATTTGTTAAGTTTATCTGACAGAGGCACTTAAACTCCTCCTGAAAGATTAAATAAATTTATCAGTCCCAGACCTGGAATATAATGTCTCTATAAGCTCAAGATCATGATTATTGGCTTCTGTAAACACAAATGAATTCAGCTTTTTTTCTTTGGTTCGTGTTTGATCAGTGGAGGATCTGTGTCCCTTTAGTCTGAGTCTCTGCCCTTAATAAATCAACAGCATTACACGATGTTCTGTACATCTCCAATAATATACATATGTCAAACTGGAGGGCATGTATGCTGCCAGTAAGTAATCAGGTTACACAGTTGACATGGTACAACTTCAATCCCATAATTGTAAGATGTGGATAAGAGCAGAGTTTCATAGTTTTCAAATCATTTACAGACTTTATTGGCTTGACTACAGTAGAAAGACACAATCAAAATGTTGAAACTACAGTTTCAATAATTGGCAAACCATCAGATTCGTATTTTAAACATGATTTTGCACACCATCCCAACTCTTGAAGTGGAGTTATACACTCACCGGCCACTTTATTAGGTACACCTGTCCAACTGCTCGTTAACACTTAATTTCTAATCAGCTAATCACATGGCGGCAACTTAGTGCATTTAGGCATGTAGACATGGTCAAGACAATCTCCTGCAGTTCAAACCGAGCATCAGTATGGGGAAGAAAGGTGATTTGAGTGACTTTGAACGTGGCATGGTTGTTGGTGCCAGAAGGGCTGGTCTGAGTATTTCAGAAACTGCTGATCTACTGGGATTTTCACGCACAACCATCTCTAGGGTTTACAGAGAATGGTCCGAAAAAGAAAAAATATCCAGTGAGCGGCAGTTCTGTGGGCGGAAATGCCTTGTTGATGCCAGAGGTCAGAGGAGAATGACCAGACTGGTTCGAGCTGATAGAAAGGCAACAGTGACTCAAATAACCACCCGTTACAACCAAGGCAGGCAGAAGAGCATCTCTGAACGCACAGTACGTCGAACTTTGAGGCAGATGGGCTACAGCAGCAGAAGACCACGCCGGGTGCCACTCCTTTCAGCTAAGAACAGGAAACTGAGGCTACAATTTGCACAAGCTCATCGAAATTGGACAATAGAAGATTGGAAAAACGTTGCCTGGTCTGATGAGTCTCGATTTCTGCTGCGACATTCGGATGGTAGGGTCAGAATTTGGCGTCAACAACATGAAAGCATGGATCCATCCTGCCTTGTATCAACGGTTCAGGCTGGTGGTGGTGGTGTCATGGTGTGGGGAATATTTTCTTGGCACTCTTTGGGCCCCTTGGTACCAATTGAGCATCGTTGCAACGCCACAGCCTACCTGAGTATTGTTGCTGACCATGTCCATCCCTTTATGACCACAATGTACCCAACTTCTGATGGCTACTTTCAGCAGGATAATGCGCCATGTCATAAAGCTGGAATCATCTCAGACTGGTTTCTTGAACATGACAATGAGTTCACTGTACTCAAATGGCCTCCACAGTCACCAGATCTCAATCCAATAGAGCATCTTTGGGATGTGGTGGAACGGGAGATTCGCATCATGGATGTGCAGCCGACAAATCTGCGGCAACTGTGTGATGCCATCATGTCAATATGGACCAAGCTCTCTGAGGAATGCTTCCAGCACCTTGTTGAATCTATGCCACGAAGAATTGAGGCAGTTCTGAAGGCAAAAGGGGGTCCAACCCGTTACTAGCATGGTGTACCTAATAAAGTGGCCGGTGAGTGTATATCTTCATCTTTGTTTCTGGTAATCTCTTTTAATCTTGCTTGGTCCCGTCTTGGTGACTAAGGCATAAATCAGTACACCCCTATTAAAAGTGATGTATTACTCAATATCTAGATGTACAATTTCCAAAGTTTTGACAAAGTTGAGTTTAACATAACATTTTATTTACCATAAGATGAAATTAAGGGTGATATGGTAACTTAAATTTGGCTTTGCTCCCAGAACTTTGACTGGGGTGTACTCATTTTTGCATCCTGATTTTGAATTGAAAAAAATACTTTTGGTATGCAACTTCAAAAATCTTGTTTGCAATCAATGGCCTTCATTAGGGTGACACAGAGAATGTTAATTTTGAAAGGAAACTAAAGGTTTTCTGAGAAACTCTGAAGGGGTGTACTCCTTTATGCTGAGCACTGTAACTATACATTACATTTGAGCTCTAAAAAATAAAAGCCTGATAACAAAACCCATCTGATTGAATAAGTCATACAGTCTAGTGAGTTGTTTTAGTCTTATCTCTTTTGCATCGTAGACGTAAGTAGTTTGATGTGACAGTACCTGTGCTCAGAGAGGATGGATGCAGCGGGCTGGGACTGCCCAGGACATTCATACGCTGGCTCCTTTTCTATGTGGAAGAAAGGGAACATAACAAATCAATAAATAAGCAGCCTGAATGACTGTGAAATATGCCTAAAGAACAGCTTGAACTGAAACACAGATCATTTGAATTTTGGTAAGAACTCTCAAAATTTATTCATTTATCCCAAAATAGAGAGCAACTTGTATCTGCTTTGTTAGAGAGCTTTGACCATGAACTTTGATCTTTCTCACTAATGGGTAGGCTGCTGCATTATGAAAAAGAAAATCTGATCAAAAAAGAGTTGTATCAGTAAAAAAAACAAAAAAGGATAATAGGGCTTATAATAAAACTGTCTTTTGTAATTTTGACATCAATTAGCCACGGCTTAAAGGGTTTACATACAGACTTCTTAATCCTTACCCTCCATGTCTGCCCTTCCTCGACAGCAGCACTCTGAGCCTCCACAGGGTTGTCGATGACGCGACCTGTTCTTCCGGAGAAGTCCATTGCGACCAGGGAGTTCTCGGATACACTCCTCTGTTGAGACGTGGCAGGGCGGGTTGATAGATGGAGGGTGGTAGAGGGTTAGGAGTAAGGGGGGGAGGGGGCACACGAGGATGGGGGATGGGGTAGACAAGGGTGAGAGGTCAAACAAGCCAGACACACTCACTGGGGCATGACAAATCCTGTCTGCACACAGACCCACTTCAGTTACTTCACAAATGTCCCTCTAAGGAAAGCACAAGCAAGCCGACTGAGTAACTTGTTTTCTTAAATCACTGTGACATTTCAGAGTAGGAACCATGTTTTATTAGTGGAAAAATGAAAAAGGGTTTGGGCGAGGATGAACACGTTTTGCTTGAACTGACTGGTTATTCTTTAAAGAATACTTCTAAAGCTCTCGACTTAAGAAAGAAACTATTACAACATTAAAGCATCGTGCTCTTTATGTGGCTACTTCTCATATTAAATGTTAGCATTGGCTTTGTGCCGTCATCAATGATTTGACTATCATGCTTGACAGTGAAATTAATTATATGACTATTGGTTCTCAAATCAAGCTCCATTCACAAATCTGTAACGTTCATAAGTTTGAGAGCACATTTGCCCTGTACTGTGCAGTGGATGTGTGCTGGAGCCTTCTGTAAAAACAAAGTACTTAAGGGATATTCTGGCGTAAAATTAATTTAGGGTCAAACACACCGTAACACCGAGTTAGACAGCCTGTCAAGAGATGACTGTTGCCAACCGCTTGCTTCTCTAGTTATACCAACTTTAGTAACGACAGCGGTCTGAGGAGCCACGCACTCAACCAAAAAGCCACTCTATAGCCACAAATAATGCTCAGAACAGCACCTAACTTCATCAACAGTACATATAGGGTCCCAGCCACAGCACTAGCCATCAAACATCTTTTTAACTTTGCCTAATTTCTTTAGCAAAGAGACTAAACACAACTCACCTACTCTCTTCCAGCAGCCGCTTGTTTGTAGTGAGATCTCAGGCCAGTCCATTACGGACTACAGCGGGGTGACACAGCTCAAGGAAGAACATTATGATATTTCTTCATGAAAATGCAATCAGAACGAGACGCTAAGGCAGAAGAACTACCGCGTCTGCAGTGCAAAATGATTAATATGATGATTATTACGTCAAGGAAATGATAAAGAAATGATCATAAATGTTCTTCCTTGAACTGTGTCACCCCGCTGTAGTCTGTAATGGACTGGCCTGAGTGTGTATTGCTATCCTGCGGTCGTTACTAAAGTTGGTATAACTAGAGAAGCAAGCAACATTCATCTCTCGAGGGGGTGTCTAACTCTGTGTTAATTTTACGCCGGAATATCCCTTTAAATAACTCTGAGATAACATGTTATGTGTAATATTTTTGTTGAACCGACCACGCAGCACTACTTTCCCCTCATTAATAAACGTCAATAACAGCAGAAATTCATCTTAGCGATCCCTCTTGTGCAAAACAGAAAAGGTAATCTACTCCATGTTTGCGTGATTCTTCTTAGGAAGTCACAAGGTGGCCACAAAGTGAACTAGTGTCTAATTAACCGTCAGCTAATTAATGGATCAATCTGGATTGGTCTTGGCTGCGTGGGGGCATTAGAGCAGGGATGTAAGAAGGTGATGTCAGAGGGCAGATCCTTACCACAGGTGCTGTGAAAGGCGGGAGGTTGGACTTTCTCTGGTGGGGGATGTTGTAGCTCTGATATAGTATTATCCCATACTGTGAGAAGACAAGAGAAGAAAGATGGCATCATCTTGAGTATATTCATGATGGTTTGACTGATTAATTCATGTGAACAATATATAAAAGTAAAAAAGAAGTACTTTGAGTAGTCTGAAGGCAGTCATCCAGCATGTCCTGCTCTGTTCATCCTCAGCACACAGCATCTTCAGCTCCTTACAGTCACTCGTCACTTTACTGGGCTGTCGACCACAGAGAAGACACAGTAACACGTTAGATCAATGACATCCACATCCTGTTATCGAACATGAAACCCTCGTATGTGACACGGCAGGGAAAGGCAACAGGACTGTTCTGGTGAGTTTACAAAGTCCTGACCTAAAACTTGTGTTGGTGAGTGATACATTACATGCAAATAAATCAGATCAGCAATATAAGAGTATGTAAGACAATGGCTAACTGAGACGGTCAACAGTGAGAGATAAAAAACAGTGAAACAAGTTTGCCATAAAACTTCTAAACATATAATTGCTTGGTATTGTTGTTAATAGATATTTTATGAAGCTATGATTTGCAGCCAATTGATTAGATTAGATACAATTCGACATTTATCCTATTTGGGAAGGTTCCCTCAAGGAAATTAAAAACTCCAGTAACATTATCATGTACAGAAAAGAAAAAAGAAAGATCAAATATACAATATATATAAATAATATAATAGAAGCTCAATATAATTTAAGTATTTGTATGTAAAAAAAAAAAAGTAGGATTTAAAGCTCTGGACTTCTGAACATAACTGTTACAACAACTACCACTGCTGCTGCTCCTTCCCATCCTCTGTCCTCCAGTTACTTGTCATGACAGATCGAGCAAGCTGCTAAACCTCTTAACAGTGTACTGAATTAATTAAGAGTGTATTAATTGTTGAAGTACTAAGTATTGTAACAGTAAAAAAGAGAATTTGTTGTCTAATTGTTGCAGTGCCTTGTCTCAAAAAGGCCTTTTGCAAGCTGACAGTAAACATTTAAATATGATGACACCAAATCAAACAATCTGTCTTCCAGTCAGCGATAAGACCGCCTCACTGTTTGGTTTAACAGGCAGTGAACAATGCTAAGAATAAATAAGAATAAAAAAATGTAATTTCTTGATTTGATGCTAAACTATATTCAACATGCCCTCTCACGACAGTATCTGCTTCATCAGCACCACAGCACATACTTTCTCCATCAGTAACAAGGACAGACGTCTCCTTAAATGCAACCCCTCTGGTAAATTAATTCACATCACCATAGCAACAATCCAGCCACCCCCTTTAGCCAAGTGCAATCCCTTACCAAATCCTGCACTGTCACCCCCGCTGACAGCATCTGACATGCCGGCCGTGTTGTGTGCATGTGTGTGTGTGTGTGTGTGCCTGTATGTTAGTGTGTATGTAACACAGAGAGGTGAGGGGGTTAGCAGAGCCAGATCCCCTGTACCATCCTGGCTTATCCCACTGGGCTTATCCCAGATCAGCAGGTGACCCACCACAGATAACTCCTAGAGTGGGACACACAGTGCTGAGGATGTGTATGAAACCCTGCTGGGCTGTTTAACCCTTGACACACACGCACACACACGCATACACACACACACGCACACACACGCATACACATACACACACACACACAGCTGAATATAAAAACGAAGTTGTCCCTCTATAAGCTTTAAAACTGCTAAACTTGACCTTGTTTATTTAACTATTTGTCCATATCACTAGTCAATGTTTTTAGATTGTGTTACCTTAATGCACAACTGGTAGTCTGTGGGAGCATTGTGGGGTTTTCTTCCTGTTATGATGGTAAAGATGTTACTGTCCTCCAGATCTGACAGCAGCTGCAGGTGTCGGGGCTCCTGTTCAGTCGTGGAGGAGGCAAGAGAAACAGATGTAAACGACGACAACAGAAAGTTAAAAATAATAAAGTCTTTTTATTGGTTTTGAAAACAGAAAGAGTTTCCATAGCTGACATTTTAACGGGTCAAGAATAAAAAACTGAAAAATAAAACTGTTATGTAAAACGCTTTATGAAAATAACAACTTGCAAAGGTTTGTCAGTCATTAAATGTTAGGGATGCCCATGAAAAGTAAAATAACACTTTGAGGCTTAAGTGTCTGAATCCTCCGTAAGTAATTGCTCACCTTGGACGTTCCTTTGGTTGAAAAGTAGAGCCCGGAGCGACGCAGGAACATGTAGAGCTTCTTCCAGGATTTGCGTCCAGGCTCCTTCAAGTACAGATAGCCCTGAATCTCTGGACAGCTGCTTGAGTTCAGGAAGTTCTGCAACACAAAGCACAGTAACGATCACAAACACTGGTGCAGAGGAACTGAACGTATTTCCCTACAAATGCTTGTGATGCTGCCTATAATGTCCCAAATACAAGGAGCAGTGTGAGTGCAGGCAAACTGCTAAACTACAAGATGTCCTCTTGCTTCTTCACTGTGTGACCGCCTCACCTGTAAGAGTTGTGACGGAGGAATTGAGCCATCAGACTCCTGACACCAAGCCACCATCTGCTCTGGGAAGAAGTTCTGGATGGGAAAACACACACACAGAGAGAGAGAGAGAGAGAGAGAGAAAGACTGTCAATGACTGAAAGAACAAGAGAGAGAGGGAGGTACTAGAAACCACTTAGCGCATATGCAAGCTCTGAGTGGGGTAGTGTTCCTTTATGCAAGATACATTTCACGTTCTGTGTGTGTGTGAGTGAGTGAGTGAGTGTGTGTGTGTCTGATGAGCACAAGGACTCTAAGATAAAGTGTTAGGGCCAAGAGAGGTAGGGAGAGAGAGAGAGAGAGAGAAAGGGAGAGAGAGAGAGGGCACTCCAGCTTTAGAGTAGATGCAGTATGATCTCACCCCGCTGATGTAATCCCCTTTAGCCAGCAGCGCTACTCTTAGCTTGATTGACAGGCCTTGGCCAGCATTCTGGTGTTTTACTGTGCTCATTACCACAGAGCTGAGGTCACCTGCTGGCTCTGACACACACCTAAATCACCACAGCAATAATGTCATCGCAGACCGGGCCAGCAGAGCCCCACGCTGAGTTAAGGACAGCAGAAGATTGCGCGCTAACCGGCTAACGTGACTTCCTGGTTGTCAGATGCAGGACTGTGAATTGACAGCCTTTCATATACCTCCAACTGGGATCCAAAGATGCTTAAACTGGGTACAAATAATATCTTTATGTACAAAATTAAATCTTTATGTTCTGTGATGAACAAAAACTGCAAAATGCATCACCAACCTTTACAGCTTTTGTGCTAATCAGCAAATGTTCGCATATTAATGAACAAAGATCAGTGTATTTGCATTGTTACTGGGCATGTTTGCAGGCATACAGCTTTGAGTGCTGCTGACACATAGGCTACCACGGCCTTATATGGCTGATAGAGATTCCACTAAATGTGATGCTAAACAACTTCAGTCACTCCTTTTTAATTGGATGATGAGTTTAAATCTACAGAAAGCAATTGAGCTGACAAGTGTCGCAAAAGACAGAAAGAAAGAAAGAAAGAAAGAAAGAAAGAAAGAAAGAAAGAAAGAAAGAAACGGGGGCTGAAAATCCAGTTATTTCCATGGTTTTACTGTGATGTAGCACTTGATATGAATACATAAAATGCTGATGCTAACTCACAGTAAAATTGCTGATTGGAAAATGTTGAACGAATGCTGCAACTAAAGTGATTAACATGATATTTGTCAAACATCAGCATGTTGTCAGTTCAACATTGTTGTTGTTGAGCAATTTACCATGATGACGTTAGCATTTAATGCACTGCAAAACAGGAATTTCAAGAAAGGAAAACAACCTAGTATTAAGGAAATAAGTCTTGTTTTTTCGTACAAAAAGAATATTAATCTTGTCAAGCATGTTTTTAGAAAAATTATCTAATTTTAAGAGAAAATGGCGAACTTTTTCTTGATGAGATATTCCAGCTAATTTTGAGACAGAATGAACAAGAAATAGAGTCGAAAAATGTTTCACAATAAAATCCAGCAGAGCCACAAGATCATTCATCTCATTTTAAGAGCAAGACATATGTACAACTTCTCAATTTAAGATTGTATTGAAACAAGAACAGTTGATTTTTGATTGCAGGTCATCTGAACCTGACAGAATCTGCTGCCTCATACATGATCTATAAAGATGTCAGTAGGCTAGTCTGTACAACAGACAACATAATACAACGACCAGATGAAAACTGCAAAACAGCAAAGAACAACAAAGAGCATGTTTGCTTTCCACATTCTTGCTTGTGGAATAACAAAAATATATTTAATGAGAATGTTTTGGTATCTTGATTTAAGACAACATCACTTATATTTGCTGTGCTGTTTTAAGAAATTATGTCTTATTTGAACTACTGTCATGCTCATTAATAATCCCAGATTAAGGTGGATTTTCTCAAAGTTCATTTATTCAAGAGACTAAAATTCTAATTTTAAGTAACTTCATCTTCATTTTTCATTGCTTGCTGTAGGAAAAAATAGATTAATATAAGATTTTCTGTCTAGTTTCAAGTTTCATTCGAGTCTGTCAGGGCCGAGAAATTTGTTCTTATTTTGAGAATTCTTGTCAAGCAAAAAAAGCTGACCCCCATTGGCAGATTTTTTTGCTTGATACAGGATTATTCGATTAATTATAAGAATATTTTGCATCTTTCTAGAAAGGATGTTTTTGCAGAGTGAGAAGTTAAATGGAGATGTTATCCTGACTGAACGTTTTCAATAGTTGTGGAGATTTTGGGTAAAGCCTCACATATTACAATCAGCAGATTTTAATCTCTATTTAGGAATATATTCTGTTGAAAAAAACATGCCTGGTTTATTTGGCTACAAACCATTAGACAGAAATTTCTTTTAAATAGCATCATGAAATTCCAGCTTTGAGCAAATCTTTCCTAAAAGTATCAAATATGAACATGTCTCATTTGTGTTGTGTATGTGAGATGAATGTGAGCTAGAAATATGCGCATGGGGTGTGTGTATACATGAGAAATCAGCTCTTTGGGATGCTAATAACTCACCAGGGGGTTCCTGAAGAATTCATATTTGGCATAGTTCTTCCTGAAGAGGAATTTGCTGTCGCTGCTCATGGAAGCTTGGACCTGAACCACGAGCTCATGGTCCTCCAGACATCTCTCTGTATAAGAAGAAGAAAATAAGACCGACAGTATGAGTAACAGTGAGCATGTTTGGATTGTCCTGCTGGATGTGTCTGGATACTGATCAGGGTGCACTGCTTCGAGGTTAAAATCTGACTTTATTTAGACTAAAATATCAATTACTAGTGATGTTGGTCTTAAGCATTTTCCTTCTATTATTAATATATATTATGTCTTCTTTTTTATACGGAAAAATGTCCCTGTCAGGAAGGACTTTATTTGATGTAAACAGATTTGAACTGTGTTTTCTTGCAGCAGGAAACACAACACCTTAATGTCCCACAACATATTTAAATAGACATCAGATTCATGAAAACGGCAAAAAAAATTCTCCGGCTCATTAAACTTTATGATGTTAACTCATGTGCACTCATAAACAGCAATGCATGCCCCCATAATATTTTATATAGTATCCAAGTTTCAGAGCATGACCTGTAATGATTATTCTTTACGAACACTGGCTTTTCTAACAATATCTTTAAAAATGATCACAAACTGAATGTCATACTTAACCAATCTATCTCTATTTTTTTGCAACATCACCAGTTAAATTATTGTGTACAACACCACAGCAAGAAAACAATCCCATGATAGTGAGAGACAACCTTAAGGTGAAATGAGGGGGAGCTCTGGAAAGAGGCAGCAGAAGATGACTTAAAGGTCAAGGATCAAGGATATCTTTATTATCCCCAAAGGGCCAGCAGTATCATACAAATAATTCAGACACACAGAAAAAAAAACGACGACAAAATTTACCTTGAACTATTTTAAAAGACTAGTGGCAGTCAGGATAAAATAATTTTTGAATCTGTTTGTTTGTTTTACGTGGTGGAAGCAAGTATCTACGCCCAGAAGGGAGCAGCATGAGATGCTGAAAGGGAAGGAGGTGGAAGAAGAGGAGCTGGTGGTGTTACGGGGGGGCATTTTAGGAGGGTGATGTCATGTATTTAGTCTGATTGCAGAGTGTGGCAAAGCTGAAAGTAAAGTACAAGCCACAGACAAACACACAACCACACATTAAGAGCTCACACAGGCCTAACCTGCTCATTCTGCATCACCTATATACATTTGTACTTGTGTAGGGGGGGTTGAATGTGTGTGTGTGTGTGTGTGTGTGTGTGTGTAAGAGAGAGAGAGAGAGAGAGATCCTCTTACTTGAAGTAGAGGCCATACGATCTCAGAGTGAGGCTGATTAGAAATTGATAGTGACAGGATGTTCCAAATCGGCATGAACGTTTACTCACACACGTGAAATGATAGCAGCCAGGACTTAGCACTAATTCTCTCTTTGAGATTAACTCCCAAAGTCATGTTTGATTAAAACAGACACACAAACACATACAAACGCACGCATACACACACGGCTTTGTACACACACTACAAAAAAATAAAAAAAGGTGGAACTTTGGTGGCTTTGCTCGCTTAGAAAAATACTCTGGACAGAGTCAAGGGGTGAATATGTCTGAGCTCTTTTTAGCATGAAAGTTGCGTGTGTGTGTGTGTGTGTGTGCGTGTGTGTGTGTGTGTTTCAAAGTGTGTGCATGCTGGCTGCAAGCTGGGGAATTTCCTGTGGAGGGTTAAGAAAAGATTGATTGGTTAGAAAGGCTAGGGGCTCGTCCAACGGAGATCCATGATTGGTTCCTTGAAGCTCTGGTATGACGCTTTAGTCCGAGCCTCTCCGCCCCTCCCCCCCTCAATCTTTCCCTCTCTCTCTCTCTACCCGACTTTCTTTCTCCCTTCATCTTTCGCCCTTTCTTTCTCCCTTCTTTTCCTCACCTCACATTCTGTCCCTTCGGTGCATTTTTTTTGCAGAATCACAGATCAAGAACAAACAAAGCAATCCTTTGACTCTAAAAATAAACTTTGGGGGGAAAGTCTAACTGAGGACAAAGGCAGAGTCACTGAAGGAAAAATATATAAATATATAAAACTTCACACCAATAAGGTAAAGAAGCAAAGCAAAGGTTTTGTAGGTTTTTGCCCATTTAAACATATTATTGGAAGGGAACAGGCATGCGGGCAGACCATCGAAAAAGCCTAATCCTACGTCCACCGCACCTCCTTCCCTGAGCTGTATGGAAGTAACACAAGCACTTGTGCCATGCCCAAGTGAACATACACAGAGGGCACACACAAGAGAGTATCCACACCCATGCAAAGACGCACAAAAGAGGTAAAGACACAGACTCACACAGACAAGACCGGAACACACCTCAGGGTAGACGCATACTTCTAAAACACACACAGAGAAACAGGCAGGGATGCTAATAACCTATTTGATGGCTCTCTTATTAAGCAGTTTGCCATTTTCACGTGTTTTCAAGGAACTTTGAGAACTTTTTGGTTGATGATGTATTTTCCTGCTTATTTGTTAAACTAATCTGAAAACGCTTGTTGCTGAAAAGAAACAGATTAAAATTTTGTAAATAAATGCTCTTTGTGAAAGGATAACTAACAATCAAATGTGGCTTTTAATTTGGGTTGTAAGACTTCTTGGAAGTCATGGTGCTACTAAACCTTTTTTTGACAAGCCCCCATAACACTGCATGTAACAACTGCGCATGATAAAGGAGCACAACGAAGAAAAGAAATCAATATTTTTGCCAAAATTCTTGTAGTTAAGGCAAAAATTTGCAAACTCATGCCTGGGTGTAACACATTCACCCAGTATAATAGACATATTCGCAAACATCCTTACCAAGGCCAAGACCAGGGTGGTGCTCCACTAGTGTCCAGGCGTTGTCGTCCAGACAGTGGCTTTTGTAGACCAGAAGTTGACAGACGTCTCTTGCTGTCATGTCTGCTGGGATCTCCACCACTTTACCGGCCCCATCCTCACTCCACACCTTCACTATCTGAAAACACATGGAGAGAAATTATGGGAATTCTTTAGAGAGAAGCTTCGGCTTTTAATACGCTGTAAAAAAAAAAAAAAAAAGGACTAAGAGAAGACAAAAGGTTTGATGTGGTCATGAACTACTTTCAGGAAATTAAAACTGCGGAAGAAAAAGACTGTCGGAGATCGTAGGCAACGATTACTGTACCTCCATAGCCAAGTCTGTTGCCAAGCCCACTCATCAAAAGTCCTGTTCACATCTTTCTACAACAACTCCAACATGAGATCACAAAAAGAAGAATGATCTCCAGGAAAGGTCTGCCAGACCCAGTGCTCACAGCTCACCCCTTTTGTCCACACTTCAACCAAACTTGCTCACACACACACACACACACATCCGTGAATACACATGTACCTGCTTGTGCACACACTTCAGTGACACATTTCCTGTCACATGAAAAAAAAAGTGACTACATTGGACGAGTATAGTGGGTACGCATATTTGCATTTCATCAAGAGGTGAATTTTCTAAAGCTGTTCCTAAAATGTCACGACTTTGAGCTCGTGCTGCGTGCTCTTTAGAGCCACGGTGCCTCCCATGTTTGCACCGTTTGGTACTGCTTCAGAAAAGAGCCCAAAGCGACATTTAAACTGGGTGCAGTTCTGGTTTAGGTAGTTGCAGAGATAAGCGAAGACAATTTGCTTCAAACCACTGTATGAGCAGATTCACAAACACGCACACACACCAAAAAGAGCATGTCCAAATGCAGCGCAACACAAAAACACAAATATGAACTGATTTGCAAAAGAAAAGCAGCTAAAACCACAGAAATATCTGATTTCACACAATGTATCCGGAAAAATTTATCATGAGCGTGTGTTTTTGTGCGTATCCTCGCACACTCCTGTGCACAGCGGGGATCACTTATCGAAATCGCCAGGGAACAACTGTTGAAAATCACGTGAAACAAGACAGATAGTTGGAGATGTGCAAGGGCCAGATGGAGCTCGAAGGTTTCAAACAATTTGATCGAACAATTATATGAAAACAACGACAACAGCGATGGCCTGGAAATGACACAAAACACCACAAGCACTGGAAGAGCTATGCAAAAAAAAAAAAAAGAGAGACTAAATGTAACCACGAACAACGTCACAGCACGCTCTGCAAAGCCAGAAGACTCCCTCCTTTCTTCTCACACACCCACATGAAAAAGAAGAAAAGTAATTTCATGACGCAGGACTTTTGTGTGAGAAAAGTTCCCGAAACATCAAGAAGAGGGGAAAACAGAAAGATCTGATAACAGCTAACACACACCTACTCGTATGTACACTAACGCACACGATGAACATCCAGGAAAAAAAAAGAAACGCACACACACGCACGCACACACACACACACACACACACAAAAGTCTCTTACCTCCACAGCCTGAAAGAGGCAACAGTCTGGAGAGCAGGATGGCATTTTCACACTGAGACGCTCTCCAGTGACACAGAGAGACAGAGAGAGAGACAGAGAGAGAGAGGGAGAGAGGGAGGCAAAGGGAGGGGAGGAGGACGAGGAGGAGGAGGACAGGAGAGAGAGGGAAGGAAGTCAGGAAGAGAGAGGGAGGGACAGATTGGCAAGGAGAATGCGAGAGAGGTAAGAGGAAAGAGGGGGGTAGGAGGGAGGAAGTGACAGAGGAAGGACGAGAGTGAGAGAGAGAAAGAGAGAGAGAGAGAGAAAGAGAGAGAGAGAGAGAAAGACAGCGTGCCTCTTCTTTTCGTGCTGGGCAGCATAAAGGCTGAGCTGCGAGGAGTGGTATGAGCACCCCCCCCACCCCCCCCACCCCCACCCTCAACCCCTCCACTGGATTAACCCAGTGTGGATTTTTAAACGGTGAGCTGCTACCTGTCACGTATTCTCCGCTCTTATCGTCAGAGCTGCCGTCTAATCCGCAACTCCCCCCCCCCAAAAAGAACACTGTCAGCTCCTTTTACTGATGGCGCCACACCAAAAGTAACAGTCTTTCTCCCTAAACACGCCCACAACTCCCCCCCCCCCCAACCCACATACGCACACACACACACACACACACTCATGTACATGTATAGGAAGAAGAAATTACAACTACTGAACACACACACACACATACACACACCCTTATTCTCATTCTCATTTACAGACATTTTCTCTGACGGTTTTGATTTCCACCCCTCCTCCTCCTTCTTATCCCCCCTCATCTTCCTCTTCCTCCTCTTACTCCTGCTCCTCAGCTGTATGTGAAATACTGTTCAAGAGTGTTAGGACCAGAGCAACATGTGTAACGAACAGTGACGATTGAGGTTTGCAGAGAGGGCAGTTGAAAGAAAAACGGTGGGGTGATTCAATCTGAAGCTGTACGGATCACGTGTCGGGCGTTTGGGCTTTGCTGAGGGGGTCAAGGGAGGGGTAGCGAGGGAGGGAGGGAGCAGCAGTGAGAGGGGGGGGAGGAGGAGGTTGCTCAGCAAATCTGCCGAGCCTCTGGAGAGAGAGAGAGAGAGAGAGAGAGAGAGAGAGAGAGAGAGAGAGAGAGAAAAAAGATTGAGAGAGGAGGAGAGGGAAGAAGAGAAGAGGGGGAGATGAAGAAAAAAGGGAGGAAGAGAAACAGCAAAAGACGAGAAAAAAGAATAGAGGGAAAATAAAAAAAGAAAAGAAAAGGAGCTATGAGGAATGTCAGTAATGCAATACTGAGTCATAATCAGGCTCATGTGTAGAGCGCAGGCCAACCCAGCTGGCCCCTAAATACAGTGTGCATGAGAACTTTGAGCCCAACATACACACACTCTCTCTAACGCACACACACACACACACACACACACACACAAACGGGTTTTATAAGGTAGAAGACAAAATATAAACTATTAGTTTGTTTGTTTTATGTAATACTTGACTTTTTTATCATACAGTGCGTGATTATGTTTATGTTTGTGATCAGCACAAGACAGATTTACACTTTCTGCATTAATTCGTCCTCCTTTTTCTTCCCTTTTCACTTCTACTACTAGACTTCTTCTCTCTTTATCCTGAGATGCTCATCCCTGTGTCCTCTTCAAGGTTTTATCTTTACATGATGAAATTCAACACACCTTTGGCTCGTTCCTCCCTCCTCTGCTTTCCCTCCCCCCACTTCCTTCTTCTTCTTCTTCTCTCCACCAAAGGAGGGTGAGGGGTACAGATGTACAGAGGTTATTGTTCTCCTATGCTGCTTATAGCAACATGAATGAACACACACACACATGCACACACATGGACACACACAAGAGTAAATAGAGGCTTGGAATCACACCAGATTGGATTGAAGGGTCATGGACAGACACCTGCATGCCTATAAAAAAAAGACACACATACACATAAGCACAGTATGTATGGGGTCAGAGGTCAAACACAATAATCTGTGCTTGGGTCAGGCGCACTTGACCAAGAGGTTTATGGGCCCCTAAACCTATCAGGGCACACACAACAAACACTCACACACTGTACACACATCCACACAAGTGATCTGGTTGTTATGAGGCAGAGCAGATCCATTCCAGGGTAACACGACCCACTGATTGTAAAAGCAATTTTGATCCATTCAGAGTGGAGAGGAGGGGGGAGAAGCAGAGATGACTGCTCTCTTGTTTTATACCGGCTTCTACATTTTAGCAGTCAGCTGATTGACCGATGAGCCGTGGATGCACTACAAGCGAATTTAACACCAGATTAAAAAACATAAATAAACTGTTGTAAAGAGTTGTATGGATACATAGTGTTACAAGTTGAACATTTCTTTAAGCAATATGTTGCCAAATTTTGCTACCCAAAAATCAGCCTGCAATCAAAACTGAAGTTTCCAACAACACAAACCAGAGCTGAACTGAACAACACTAAAAAATACCACAAGCTGATGAGTCAGGAAATAACCCGACTCTTTTGGCCTTTGTTTGACATGATTCTTGATTTATCATCCATTGAGTTCTGTCTGTTCCTGTCTTTGTTTTATCTGTTCAAGCACTTTGTAAATGTCTGTTTTTAAAGGTGCTACGTAGACAAAGTTATCATCATGAATAATATAACTAATGTTGTTATTTTTCCCAGTAGTTAAACTGGGAATACCACAGGCTGAATAACATGGACATCATTTTGGTGATGTCACCCATTGGTTTCTGAGGAGCCTTTATGAAGCTCAAAGATGCCACCACATTGGAAACGCAATCAATCATCATTTATATAGCACCAATTCCAGTTGCTTCATAAAAAAAGGTTGCACACACAATGACATGGTCCATATGCTTTTCGATAGTTGAAATTCTGCCATGTTTTGGTAGACTCTGCAAATAGCCAATGAAAAGGGGAGTTGTTCTGGGTCGTATCGCGCTGAACCAATCGTGCTGAATCAGAACCAAGTAGCAAACAACTGCGTAGTAGCGGGCTGCAGCAATACGCGACCATAGCACGCAACATGTGAAGCCAACAGCACTGATGAAGTACATGTTAAACTTCATCGAAGAGTAACAGGTAACATTTAAGATTGACAAGAGACTTTTTTCATATCGTGATACATATTGATATCGACTGATATGAAAAAAATATAATGTGATAAAATTTTTCCCATATCACCCAGCCCCATTGTTACAACTACAATCACCAAAACCAGAAACCTCTAGTGCACTAGCATTGAAACCACGGCCTAGCCGCCTGTCCAACAGCTTTAACATGTCCACCTGTCAGTTTAATCAGCCATGCTCCTAATAATGCTCAATTATGCATGAACTTTGGTCTGTCATATACTGCTGGCACAGGGCAAACAACATTCGGGCAGCAGGACCTGGGATCAACACCGTCTGACAGAGAGATGATCGACTCTTCTGCTGAGCCTTAGAGGCCCCAAATGGGTTGTAAAATTAGAAAATTAACTCTAATAACAACCAGAAAGACATGAAGTACAGAGTGCAAAATAGCTCAGTGTATTTACACAGTTAAGCACTGACCAATTTTGCATCCAACTAAAGGCCCACTCCGATGAAAATCACGTTTTTCTTGTTTTTTTTTATATGTTCCAATGACATTTTTCTGATGCTACAGGACATATCATGAGGAAACTAAATCGCGAAATTGCTTTTTCTGAGTATTTCTTCATTCAAATCTCTGTGAAACTCTGGCAGACCAAAACAGCAGGTTAAGAAGCAGTGAGAATTCATAAAGCCCTTGGAAATGATTCAGGTAACGTGATTTTGGCAAAAAAAGCTTCATAATTACAATTTAAAGACCACTGAGAACACTTTAAGTAGTAAAAAACAAACGATTGGAGAGGGACTTTAAAAGCAATTTCATGCCCCTCTGCTGACAGTGGTTAGTAGCTTGTAGTTCTAGTCTCCACTGTGCTTGAGTTTGATGTTCTCACACTCAGAGCTGAAGACTATAAACACCAGTCAAAATTTACAACCAATTCCTGCGTTCCAAAGTGAAATCTAAATATGAGGAAACAGAAAACAGTCGGCAAGCCCTTTTATGGGAACCTTTACATGGATTTGTTAGATGGCCAACGACAGATAAATCACTAGCAGCGCTTGTATTCATATCATAGTTTTATCACCTGTTGGTCCAAAATCTTATCCACAGTATCACAATTTGGCTTCCATTGAAAATGAACACACCCATTACTAATGTCAGCATTTGAATGCTGGTTGGGGATGACTTCCTGCCCTTTCCTATTACATCACCAGTCGCTTTCATGTCTGTAAGTGGTCGGGTTTCAAGCCAGACAGAGCTGATTAGCTCTGCAGACAGGCCAAACTCAATTTCACCTCACTGGAGTGCCACCACAAAGCCTCACTGAGTGGCTCACCTCCCCACCTCCCAACACTGACACGGCACTGTCTCACAACACACACATGCGCACACACATACACACATACAAACACACACTGATAGACATCTACCACTGAGTTCTTGGAATCCGTTTGCATGTAACTATTACCTGAAAGTTTCACTGAATAAAGTCATGTGGGTGTGGATGAGATCAACTCATTAAAACAGAAAACAAACTCAATTTGAACTTGGCAGATTTTAATATTAAAAAACAACAAGCTGGAGTCGATAAGGCAGAAAAGTTTACACGCGGATTTATTTTTCTGTGCAAGGATCCCATCCACACCTTATCTTTCATCTAGTTCTCCAGCGCAGAAAACACTGAGCTCTTTATCCGTGAACCCTCAGCCAAATGAATGCCTCCTTCATATTTGGCCATGTAGAGGATATCATTGATCTTCTCCTAGGAAAAAAAATTATATAAACTCCCTTCTCAGTAATCGAAATTTGATCATGTTTGTCAATTTTAGATGTTTTCTTTTTTTTTATGATTCCTTGAGATGACTTTGAGAACTCCTGCTTCCTAAAACTTGGAGTAAATTACATCTAACATGAGATCTTCCGGGACATTGTGCATACGAAGCATACCTGTGAGGTCTTTTAAATCATCTGGTTGCATTTTAATGGTTTCCTCGGGTAAACCTAAACCAGGATCAAGTTCTAGTATGACAGTAATGATAAATGTTAGTCTACGCACATTTATTTGTGTATCATAGACACACATGTTCTCTGAGATGTAATAAGGTAATGTGATCACAATGTTATAGCATAAGCAGAAACTCAAGTGTGCTTTAAATCTTGACTACACATGTACACAAGAGACATACTACGACTGAGACATACCCTGAATATAACCGGCTACCTTAGAGTTACCACAGCACATCTTTGCTTTTGCTGAAAACTTAACAATCCATGTGACCAATTGCCTATTTATATCAATCCAGTCTATATACTGGTGTCATTATTATCTTAGTCTGTTGAACAGACTCTCCCTGTCATCTTCACACACACACAGACACACACACATGCACCTGATCTGATTGCGGCGGGTCAGCAGACCATTGCGTGCAGAAGTACATCAGCTGACCACAGACACAGAGGGAGGTAGGAGTCCTAAACGCAGAGAGAGTGTGGCTCAGAGATTCAGTCTTCCATTGGTTTCACAGACTGAGAAACAGTTTCTAATTGGCATGCTGACACGAAACTGTCTGCTCATAACTTTTCAGATAAAGAAACTGAATTCATGATATAATTAACATAAATGTTCGAAGAAATATACGACCATCTTACAAGACAACAAAGAACCCTTTTGTGAGGCTTTGCTTGTTCTCAGCTAAAAGCTAACATCAGTATACTAACAATACCAACTATCCCTCTGATAACCCGGGTAAAATAGACTGTAGTTCAGCATTAATCAGAGTTAAACCGATTCAGAATCAGCACCTCCTAGACCCACTACAGAGAGTCATATGTGATTTACATTGCAATGGAGATTACACGTGTTTCTGAAACTGGATAGAAATGCAGTGTCATATCCATTAAAGCCGGCCTGGTCATGATATCTTAAGAACTAATCCATTTATGTCATCAAAGACAATTCAGGCTTTAAACCCTTCATGTCACGCACATACGCCGTCTTACTGACTCATAATATAAGCTCTGAAAAAGACCGGAGCTTCGTGAAGAATGTTCAGATTCCAACTGCAGCTGGAGGGAGAGATTCATCTCTCATGAAATCCTGCCAATGCAAATACAATGCAACTATCTCTGCAGACCAATGCATGGCGCGTCTTAGAGTCCTGTCTACGAGCCATTCTTAGAGCTGTTTAGGCGACAACACTAGACTGGCCGGGACACACTTCCTGCACACATACGTTACATAAATGTATAAGCACAGCCCTCAATCCCTACAGCTAAGAGAAGTTCTGTAGAAACACTGGAGCTAAAGGCCACATCTCGGCAAGTCTGCTGCTGCTTATCTCGCTGAACTGAAGTTATCTGATCAGTGAAGGTTTCACTTAATCAGCCAAAGACCAGTCACGGCTCATCTTAAGCATTAGAGCGGGTTGAAGTATCCACGGTTCCACACGCACGGAAGGAGCTGGAGCTAACTCTGTCAAAAAAACAATGCAAACATATCCAACAGGGAATGTTATGTAAACAAGGGTACATTTTTATCTTTTAAGTTGATAAGACCAGGAGGTGTTATTGGCTCTGAATGGAATACTAAGTGAATTCTGAACAGAGAAGATACCGGTGATAACTTTCGAAAACTCTGGGCCGACCTTTCAATTGCAGTTGAAATAACAAAGACATGCCCCCCAAATAAAGAAGCATCAGTTACTCCATGTATCTCAAATGATTAATAATCAACTAACCTTGAAAGTTACTTCTCAACAATAGCGACGTTTATGTCAAGCAGAATTATGGGATAATGGAAGTGAATCTCCTGTGTGTGTTATTTATTCTCCTTCCAACACAGACTTTGCCACTATTCGTGCTGGCAGGGTACAAGCATCTTCCTGTTTTCGTGCTTTAAGCGCTCTTGGAGAATTTCCTGTCGACTTTCAGCTGGAGGCATGCCATGCAAACAGAAGTGAAAAATAGGCAAAAAAAAAATTCCCAACATCACAGCCATAACCTGTTTTTAAAATATAGCTTTAGGAAAATCTTGGAAAAACACAACGCAGTTAAACCGTCCTAATACATTAGATAACACGACACATAGGCATTTCTTCTCAATGACAAGAATTCAGTGATTATTTTCCTCTTTGGATACACAGAACACTGGTTAAATGAACATAACTTGATTAAATACCGATTTTCTGGGGGCAAGAGATGATGCAACATCGAGTCAGCTCTCTGAGGCTCAAACAGACAAAGGAGTCTTTGTACAAACTGCAAACTTGCTCCCTGACTCCAGACCTTGTGAGGTGATGTCAGCGGTGTATAGAAAATAATTCTTTGCCTTATCACAACTACATGTGAGTGTGAGGTAGAAGAACACCACCTGCACATCTAGAAGACAAGACAGGGTGAGAATCTAAAATAACTTTCATGTCAAGGTCGAGCATCCTGGAAACATCTCTGAGAGGAATGGAACATTCCTGGGACAGGAGGTTTACCGGGAAGGGAAGGGCAAGGCTATGACACACACTCACACACACACATACACACACACATACATATAAAAAAGCCAGGGTTGTAGCGTGTGAACCGGAAATGAGTGCCTGTCTTGCTGGGGCCAGCAGACGGATTCAGAAGGTTCAGAGAGATCCGACCTGTAGACGTTCCCAGCCCCTTTCCCAGATCTGCCGAGGAAGTCTGCACTCCGTCTGCAGCATCCTGGAGACATTGCTCACCTCCTTCCACAGCAAAACATGTCCGTCAGTAAGTTACTGACTGTGTGTGTGTGTGTGTGCGCACATGTGATAATGAGGCTTCAACAATAACACACATACAGTCAGATAACCCAGGGTGAGCTGTTGCATAACGGAAGAAAAGGCTTTCTCCAGCCAAAGTCAACATGTTGCTCTGATCTGCACATAACAGGCCAGTCAGCGAGTTTCAATACACATTCGCGCACTACTTGGTTACTCATGTGTCAAGTAAAGTACAAGGAAAGGTGTAGACACAGGAAAAACAGTAAATAACAGTGTTGATATCTTTTCAACAGCTATTTCCTCTTTATTTTACCTGTACCAGCACTGAGAGACAACCATTTCCTTATATATCAATATTTCAGCCCACCTGTTGAGCTCAGGGGTTTAACTGCACAGGCCTTGTTGTAAGGATGCCTAGCTCCACCACCCTAAATGCTGACATGACTGATTATAGAAGTTCCTCCTATCACTTGTGAAGCTTTAGTTTCTGTAGTGGTCAGCTCAGGTTTGTGCCGACCTTTTGCACTTGCGCATCCCAAGTCATCCCTCATCTCTCTATCCACAGTTTCATTGTTTGTTGTAGTCCTTTCGTCTGAATATGGGCACAATAGCCAAAAATGTATCTTAAATAATAATAATAATAAAAGAAAAAAACAACTGCATGCAAGCTAGCCTCATACAGTCAGTTGCACAACCCCAATTCCATAAAGGTTGGGTGGATTTGTAAAATGTTGGGAAAAAAAAAGTTATCATGGAAATGAGGCAAAAGAACATATCAAGTGTACAAACTGACCATTTTTGGTCATTCTCTGAAAATATACGCTATTTTTTGTTTGTTACCAGCAAAATATTTCAAAACAGTAGTGAGAGGGTAAAAAACACTGATAAAGTTTTGTTATGCTACAAAAAAAACACCTGGAAAAAAAATCTTAATTTATTTGAATACTTTGCAACGGGTTAGTAACATGACTGACCATACATAAACATGATACAGAAATGCAGGCCAGTTCTTTGGACCTGAGCCCAATTAAATCAGCTGAGGCAAGGTGGAGACCCACCCCCCCAGTGGTCCAACAAATAAAGATTAGTCAATTTGTTTGGAAATCATGGACATTACATCTACTTCTTCAAAGAGGGGAGGGACCACCTGCCAACACAGGTGATGCATGATATATATTTTCATAAAGAAATCAGATTTTCACATGTTTTATTTGCACTCTTTTGATTACCATAAAGTTTTTACATTTTCAAACCATGATTTCTTTTTCTTTTTTCAATGTTTTATACAATTTGAGAATAGGAGTTGTATTATCTTAGAGCGTTTAAGTGTAGGAGGAGATGATACGGGCACACTTACGTAGTTTTCAGCGATTTGTATGGGGCTGAGTATAGGAGAGCCTGTTGGGCTGCAGAGCTCAGGAAAAGGGTTGGGGATAGCCGGCAGAGACGCTGGACGCTTATGATGCTCTTCCTTCAGGCACCTGCAGAGGGAGACACACACTCTCATGTCACCAACCAATAGAGTGGTAATAATGTGATGGGGGTATCAGGAGTTGGTTGAAAAGTTGTATAACATCTTAAGCAACTGATGCAAACACATCAACAAAAGTATGCAGATAGAATTAAACACAAAAGTGTTCTTTCTTTGGGGGATCTGATTTGTTCAACATTTTCATTCATTACTTATCCAGTCAAATGCAGGGAGCAGCCACTGATTGTCTACCTGATGGCCTGAATGTGCATGGGTTGGGAGTGCCGCAGTCTCTCTCTTGAGGGAGAGATCGGGGGCAGGGGCGGAGTGTGACGGCGCTGGGCCTGGCCATGTCCCGGGTAAGAAGGGTGCACATGTTGGGGGTGGTGGTGGTGGTGGTGGTGATGCGCATGGCCATTATTCAGGAGCAGCGCCGTGTCTGCCTGTGTAGAGTACACACTCTCCATGGAGGAGTTCATGTCATTCACCAGCTGCTCCAGGTCCACATCATCATCTGTGGAAGCAGGTCAGAGAGAGTGAATAACAGTGACACTGTGGTTTACAGACTTGGAAAGGTTATTCAAAAACCCATCTTCAAGCTTCTAATACTTATAAAAAAATATAATATCTATAGACTGTCGAGGTAACTTAATCTACAAATGAGATTAGACACAAGTGAATCCGCCCTGTTGAAACATGATACAGAGTTTTACAGTAAAACCACATTACTCATGACTTGATCCAAGGGTCTCTGTGATTGATATAAAATGTTCAACAGAGGAGGAGAGAATATGAACTCTGGTTAGAAGAATTTCTAGGCTGCATTTTTATTCTCGCACTGAAAGTCAGATAGTGAATCCTGATGAAACCAGCTAAATCCTGTCGGGTGTGAAAGGTTTGCTTTATGGTGCATAGAGACTGAACATGCCTAACTTATGGCTGTGCTTGTGTATCACTTCATACATGCATCCAAACATGTAATAATGCTTTGTGAAGGGCCCATCAGTATCAAATAATGTCATTCATGTGCTGCTTGCTTTGCCACTTGGTAGCTATTTGGGTTTGAGTGTCTTGCCCAGAACACTTCAACATTAGGTTCACAAGAGGGGGTATCGAACCTGTAACCTTCCCACTGAGAAAGCCCCACTCTGCTACTAACTAAGTCACAGCCACTTTTTTTAAGTAGGGTGACCATATTCTGACTTCCCAAAAAGAAAATGCAATTACTCGGGGGCGGAGTCACGGAGTCGCACAAAGTTAATTTTGAGAGTTTTTTGGGTCGGATCGAGTGTCTTTTACGTGCTTCTAACTCAGTAAGTCCATGTGACACAAAATCAAAACTTCTGTACAAAACCGCGAACATTTGAAGGGTTTTATAGACTTCCCTGGACAAAGTCGGAAAAACCCGAACAGCCTGGACATGTCCGGGTAAAAGAGGACGTATGGTCACCCTATTTTAAGCTCCTCCCTGACTGTTGATACTGACACTTTGCAAGAAGTCCTGAGCCACGGCCGTTATTAGCTTATATTTTACATGGCTGACAGTAAAAACACTGTTGACTAAGTCCAGAACTGGTTACGTCTTTTGTATGATTCAAGAAACATCTCAAGTATTTGTTTCTAAGTCCACTTGTCTTTTGGATTAAACTTTGACTTCACCATGAACTAGATGACTGAGAACTCTCAGTCAAGTGAAATATTACAAGAAGCATGAGCGACATAAAAGATCATTCAGAGGGAGAGAATACACAGCCTTGTTTCACATTTTGCTTCTCCTGGTGTTGAATTTCTGATGCTTCATTTTCAACAATTGGCTACGGCACACTAACTCACTATCTTTCAGTTTGCCATGTTACATTATACATGTCATTCAAAAGCCTGTTCTTTTCTGGTAGCAGTGAAAGGGGGCTCCAACAATCCCCAACAGAGTGACCAAGCAACCAAGTCGAAGCTTTTTAGTCCGTATGTGGGCAACATTAACTTCTTTACTGACCTTTTCATTCACACCATTTTTGACTCACAGGAAAGAGATCTCTCTCAAAATGTTTGAATTAAGGGAAGGACAAAATGAGAGTACAACTCTGAAAGTAGGTTTGTTGAACCTCCTCACAGCGCAGTATGTGTTGCTGTCTTTCTGTATATGTGTGTATGTGCATGTCCAAAGCCCTTTGGACCTATGTGCGTTCCACCCCGACACCACACACAGAATTCCTGACATTCCCGCAGGAAGAAATTACAGCACTCTGGGAACGTTCACCAGCCTGTTCATGGCATATGGTGGCCAAATGATCAGAGCAAAGTAGGATAACACACGCGTGCAAACAGACAGGAGAAACCTAGGACACTGTGTACGCTATGCAGGGCTGATGAGCACATGCGTTTAATCATACTGTAACACAAGAGAACATTGCACTGGACATACTGCTCTAAAATCACTGAACAGCAGGAGCTGGCCTCTTAAATCACAAAGAGGTATGCATGACACATATACACATGCACACATAAAGGACAGTCTGGGATACAAGGTCATGTGATGCTGGAGTTCATGAGTAGGGCATGGGTTGGAGTGACAGAGAGAGGGAGCATGCATAGTTGGAAGAGACAGAGGGAGCACATGGGGACAGCCAGAGACTGTTCTTATGTAAGCAGCAATATTCATTAGGCCTCCTCACAGCAGGCATGCTGACTTGGCATCAAAATGGGCACATTGTACATTGGGCTCCTACAAACTGATATCCACAGGAGGAATAAAAATACATTTAACTTTACAAAATGTCCAGTATTTGAAGTCTTGTATATTCAACTTGCTTTTAGCACTGGATTCAAATCCAAACCTTCAGCTGTTCCAGAAAAGACAAAAGAGTAATAGATAAAACCAGATTCAGCAAATGTGAATAGAAAAGCCAATGCAGGGAGAGCAGCAGCAAAGACCACTGGAGTACAGAACAGAGTAGACATTGTTGACAATTCATATGATGTTGAGAAAATTGCGTGAAAAGAAGGAGGTAGGGTGGGCGGCTGTACAACTAATGACATTAGAAGACATTACCACTCTCAATGCACAGACAAGACTTCTCACAAGTCTTCTCTCAAGGCCAAAAATATCCTCGATCTTCTTAATTTGGGGAATAGACGACAGCTTTTCACCCTCGCAGCATCACTTGTTGATTAAGGCTGATAAAGAAACCATCACTTTATATTCAAAAAGTAGCCTAGAGCAAAAGAGGATGATGATGATTGGAATTCGTCTCCCTCCTGCTATTGCTGGCTTAGCCTACGCTGCACTGTTGGCGTCAGGCTTATAATGTGGTCCTGCTTTTCTTTTATCAACCGCATATGAGCTGACACAGTATTATTCAGGCCGACAATGAAAACCTACAACACAACTACGCTAATTAATTCCTGCAGAATCCCAGACTGAGTTACTTTCTCTGCTGCTGGTCATGAAAACCTACAACCACCAAACTCCAGCAGAAGATTGGAGGTCCCAGAATCAGCTGAAAGGTTAATTTTTGTGTAAGTGTAAAGTGTAGTTAATTTTCTTTGTTTGCAACAAAAATAATCTACAAAAGTGAATTTCTGATGTGTTCTCAGTTTTGTCCTGTAGATGTTTGAAGACAGTTTGTAGGAAGTAAAGGTTTTTAAAAAGCAAGGTTTCACTTACTTATATCATAACATGTAAAATCTGTGTTTGCTGTGATCATGTCATAGTCATCGCCTCCCCATAACAACCATTACTGATGTACAAGTCATACTTAGCAGCTCAATAAATAAACTGTGAACAAGTGTGGAAGACACCACACGAAACAAAGTGGTTGTCACAGACAAGAACATGAAAACATATTAAATCTGGTTAATAAAAATATAAACATTTTAACATTTAATTGGTTTTCATTGATTTTGTATGTTTTAAAGAGCTCAGAGTGTTGATGTTTTATAAGTATAAAAGTTTTGTAAATGCATCTCATGTTATGTCAATAAATCAGTAAATGTGTTCAACACCTGCGATCTCAGTTTTAATAAAAATAATCATGATGATGATTTTTTGCCACAAGTTTTTAGTTTTCATTCAGACATTGAGCCTGCAGGATGTGAGATTTATATGTGATGCACTATTACATCAATAAATATTGCTTTAATAATATGAATACTCAAAAAGCAAATTGTGCATATAAACTATAAATCACAGTTTCCATGTCTATCTGGAGTTTTCATGTGTCAACAAGGCGATGTTTGCTTTATATCCTAAATCAGAAGTCAATCCTAAAGCAGTTTTAACCCTAAATTGACATCAATTAAAGGGATATTCCGGCATAAAATTAATTTAGGGTCAAACACACCGTAACACCGAGTTAGACACCCTGTTGAGAGATGAATGTTGCTGACCGCTTGTTTCTCTAGTTATACCAACTTTAGTAACGACCGCACGATAGCAATACACAGCAGTCTGAGGAGCCATAAACAAACCTCAACCAAAAAGCCACTCTATAGCCACAAATAATGCTCAGAACAGCACCTAACTTCATCAACAGTACATATAGGGTCCCAGCCACAGCACTAGCCACCAAACATCTGTTTAACTTTACCTAATTTCTTTAGCAAAGAGACTAAACACAACTCACCTACTCTCTTCCAGCAGCCGCTTGTTTCTAGCAAGACCTCGGGCCAGTCCATTACGGACTGCTGCGGGGTGAGGCAGCTCAAAGGAGAACACATGCTGAGTGAGATGGCATTGCTTGTTGAATTACAATAAACATAAGTATTGTGATAAATTCAGTCTTTACCTGTGTTTATTGTGAATATCTGTAACGCTAATATCACTATAGCAGTGAAACTAACCTGACTGAACAGATTTGGGGAGAGAGAAAAACACAACTTTGATGTTATGTCCTGCAAGCTTTGATAAACTTCTATCAAAAACAGCCTTAACATGACCCTAAAATTGCTACCTGGAGTTCGGATGGTAATGTTGATGGCCTATCTGATCTAAATGGAATTGTGCAACAGAGGAAAACCTCCTCTTATAACCCTGACACACTGTCTGAGGTTTGCCTGCATTCTAAGTTCAAACCTACATACCTTCAGAGCTCTCCACCCCTGCCCCACAGACCTGTGGCCTACTTTCTATAAACTCCCCTCCGTCTTGCAAAGGCTTGACCTACAGTCCCATATAAAACACCCCCCTAACCACTCATCCCATTCACGTGAAGCCATATTTAATTGTCTGACACAAGCATGACCACCACACATCAGTGGAGCAGACAACTTAACCACCAACCAAAGGCAGAAAAAAAAAGGAGGCCAGGGAAGGAAAATTTACAAGCTCTCTTCTCGTCAAATTGGCTGCTTTCCAAAAGGATTCCCATGATTTTCCATGATGGCTGACGGGATTTTAAGGAATATATAAAGAGCACGTTAATGCATGTGTCGAGGAATGGGAGAAGAGGGTCGTAAAAAAGTGCTGAGTAGCACTGAAAAAGGAAAGGGGGGGAGGTCACACACGGAGCCAAGTCTGCAATGATGAAGGGGGAAAATGTACTAGATGAAGAGATAGAAATGAAGAGGAGGGATTTCTAGGAAGAGAGGTCAGACATTCAGTGGGCCAGCAAATAAACTTCGGCTCATAAAAAAGGCAAATATGGAAAACAGCATGAATAGAACTGTCATCAAATTCTTTCTCACCTCAAAAATTCATGAAAACTTTGCTCAGTAATGAAAGCGTTTTGTGTTTTAGGATTAACTTAACAAAGTTAATATAAAGAGAGGAAAATTACCATGTTGATGTGGCGAATTCTGATTGGTCGAGCTCTGAAAACTCGGAACAATTAGCTCCTCAGGCCTGCGTGAAGAAGTGCGGTCCATACTTTCCTGTCAAAAGAGACAAAAATAAAGGATTTACTTATAAACAAGCAGAGTTTATGCAGTAATAATAACATGCAGTGTGTTTAGGATGTCAGACATATCACTGATCAGTGTTGCGAGTTATTCACAGCAATCAAAGGGTCAGACAAAGGGTGGGTTCACCTCTGCTCTCGAGGAACATCAAGCCCCAAGTCCAGAGGCCAGTGACACTTTGACCCTTGGCACAATGACACATTGACCCCGTGACCTTTCTATCTTTCTGTCTCTGTTTTCTTGTTATTTCTCTCTCTGCCTCTGTCTTATGTTCTCTCTTGCTCTCTCATGCTTCAAATTCTACTCGTTTTATCTAACTCCTCACATCAGGCCCGGATTTAAAAACAAAAACAAAACAGATCAATCACTTTCTAGAGCAGAAAAATATCAGCTTAGGCACACTTATACAATCTCACACGTCTGGAGATGCATACACTCACTGCCAAGTTCCTCACACATTATCTAATTCAAAGCAGCCTCAAGGCAAAAAAGCTGTGGAAAAGAAAGGGAGGGAAAAAGGCCAAACAAATTTTCAATCTTCCCTTTTCTAGGAAAAAGAAGAACGCGGAAGCATTGCTTCCAGGAACTGCTCTTGGCCAGGGGTCCTGTTGTGCATGTATGCTCATACGCACACACTCACAGGTCCCCTCAGCGCTACGAAAACACCCATAAATGCCCCGAGAAAGATTTATTGCTCTGAGAAGCAACAGCCAAAAGCTTTCCAAGGAAGGCAGCTTGGCTGCAGAGCCTGAGGGCTGACAAAGAAAGTCTGCAGGCTCCAACTAGAGCTGACTAGCTGGAGTAACTTGTCCAGTAATCGGATATTTAGCACATCTTACTAATCTTGAGAGAAATGCAAACCAACATGCATAATAAGTATGATACATTAGCTCTCAGAGGAGTTGACACCTGCTCAAACTGACAAGCTAATCTCACACTGAGCTCTTAGGCTCTGTGACAACCCTCTTCTTTACAGACACATATCACACAGACACATATCACACAGACATATTACAGACACATATTGCTGCAGAAAGGAAGATTTTTTTATACATTAATGCAACTGGATGTTACCTCAATAGTTAGCTTTGTCTTCAAAGGGCAGGATTTGATAAATAAAAAGAAATTACTTACATAATATTACTGTCAGAAAAAGTAATTTCTGCATGGGGAATTTCTGGATGGGGGTTGCAGAGGCCAACAGTAATTGCAGGAAGAACCACTTGTTATTGCTGAGTATCATATTCATAAGGGTACAAGTTGTACATTTTTTTATGAATGGTTGCTTTGTATTTTAAATGTTTTGGCTTGTGAGCCAGTTCTCGAGTTTTGTGCTCTAAGTATCTCAACAGCAACTTTCAACCATCTTGTCAGCAAAGAAAGTTCATCACTGGGTCAGTCTTTACAGATTTATATGTCATAGGTAGAAAATTCACTCATGCTCTGAATTGTAAACACGGGAGGTGCAAATGTTTCCCTTTGTGGTTAATTTTATTCGCAGCACTCTTGACCAATTTGCTTTGTTGTATAAATGAGAAACAGTGGTGTGAAGAAAAGATGCAGTCCGTCCCAAAAACTTAATGACTCCCAGCTGACAATGATTTACTTATCTTTATAATCAGATATCTGTCGACAAATGCAGCTAAAAAAGTGGATGTTGACAGATCTGTTTGACGCCACCGATCAGAGTTCAGGTTGACTTCCAAGAAGATATTTAAAGCATTAAAAAATGTTTCCTTCTCTTGATAAAAGAACAAACTAAAGCAAGGTGACATATTTACTTTTGACATATCTGGATTATAATAATGTTAGCGCACCTGTAAGGCTCAGTAGTTAAACCGTTCACTGCAGCCTTTGTACCGCAAGTACAAAGGTTAAGGTCCTTTTTACAAAAGTGGGCGGCCCAAGTTCAAACTAACCTTTGCCCCACATTACGAACTAATCTCTATTCCCACTGTACTCACCGCACTATCCTCTGAATTGAATACAAAAATCCCCCAAAATCCTCTTTTCCATGATATTGTTAATTCAATTAACTGCAGACCGTTTATATGCGAGTCAACTGAAGATCACTGGTCTCTTGATGTCATACTGCAGCCAGAGCAAGGCCCTTATATAATTCACTATCTACCTCTGAACTCACACCTACCAGAAGCAGATGAACAGACATTAATCCACTGGAATTAATTAATCCAGATATTAATCTATTTACGTTACAGAAAAGGACGTTTTTTTCTGGGATACTGTTGATTACAAATATGTCCTGAGATTTTCATTGAACTTCTAACAGATCCACCTTTATAAGGTATATATGGCCCACATTTTTAGTATTTTTATTGCAGGATTTAAGTGTCCATCACTAATTTTATAAAACTTTCCAACAGGATCAGATGTTTTACTTAAAGTTAAAAATGGCCACTTGCTTGCAATGCATTGTTGTTGCTGCAAAATGTCCTGAGTGAATTAAAAATAATCTGTATTAACTGTCATCAAATAATTTCCTCCAGATGACCTGTAATAAAAACCATGACAAGTCACTGATCAATCCACAGCCGTTTCGCTGGCGTTGGATGATTTACCTTTCTCTTGTTCTTCTTCTGCTGTCCTTTTATAGTGATTTCCACAATGCAGCTGCTAAACGAACAAGAATAACAAACTGGAGCTTCAGCTTCTGTTGTCTACGCAGATATTAACTTTGTTTTTGTTTTTTTCTCTTTGTGGAACTGAGTCTTCAGGTTACACTAGTTTGAAAAGACACTTGGTTCCTGGAGACAGCTTGAAAAACCGTCTACAATGATAAACATGTCTCCTCTTGAGTTCACTGTCATTATGAACGAACCTCTCCTCTTTCACTCTATAGCCCACAGCATTAATAAGTCAGCATTTCAGCAACCTTTCCCTGAGAGCATCAAAGGCTCTGCTTCCTAGAAAGCACAGCTATGAGATGAATGATGCTAAGTGATGACTGCAGCAAGCATCCCCTGACCTTTGACCTTAAGTATCATGTAAGAGGTAACTAGTCTCTCTGCATTTAGACAGGTTTAAAGTGACACCAGACGAGATTCAACTGTGCACCTTCAGAAAAACACATTTAATACTAGGAATAAAAGGGAAAGATGAGAAAGAAATCAAGTGTTACTAGCTGCGTACTCTGAGACATATTTGGCACAGGGCCAAAGTTCTCACCAACATCGACAGACACACACACATATACACAGACTTAAGAGGACAGGCCTGGAACACTGCCCAGATTCACAAACATGCTCCACATTATGTACGGTGTTATGTAAGTATGCAGAAAAGATGGCTCATTTACACCTTATCGATACACACTGAACCTTCAGACGCTACTTTCAGAGAGACTCCATGGGAAATCTGCGTATGTGTGAGTGTGGACGTGTGTCTGTCATGCTGTGTCATGTCAACTGGTGAGCTTTACATAACACACACACACACACACACACACACAGAAATCTCGTAACCTACTTCTCTCCTTCTATCAAACTCTGCTTTTACTCCCCTATATGCAGGCTGGAGGAATGTTGTTTTCTGTGGGGATTCAATTCACTATTCAGTCGTAGTTCTGCTGATGCAAAACCTTTTCCTGGAAGCTAATGTGAACCAATCCAACTTCATGTCAGCTCAACGGGGGGCTCATTGGTCCCACGGTTCGGGTTTGCAGAGAGCTGCATTCTTGTACCCCGACTAAGAGGAATAAGGCAGCTGACACTACGTCACCTCCTTCGTTTCCTCGCTCCCAGTAAGACGTCATGTCATCAGTCCCTCGCTTTTAAGCCTGTCACACAACAAAGCCCCCCGTTTGTTATTGTTGTTTGTTTAGCACTCTATTTATAGACCCCCGATGTTGCTCTTTAGCCAAATTCTTTAGGTTACTGGAGAGCCAGAGAAGAGAAAATCTGAGCTGAGAAACAAAGGGCTCATTCTGCAGGAGTTAGACAGTGGAAGTGGGTCTGTTGTGTTGCAGAGACACACAGTTTCACCCAACTAGGCCGAGAGTCGCTCAATGTGGAGCAATACACTCACAGGACCACTGTCTACACTCACTCTCACAAGTTTGTATGATTGTACTACATAGAGTAGGACCCACATGAACATTGTCACTATTAATGTTTCACAAACCTGTACACAACATCCCACAGCCCTTCAAGCATTTTGTTTTTCAAGTTCACTGTTTTGACAAAGTGTTACACAAGTGTACATAGCCTGTAAACTCGCAGAGGGATTTAGTATCTGAAAAAGCACATATTTTTCTTCTACAAAGTCAGAGGGGGGCAAAGCAGAACTAACAGAGAGGGGAAAACAATAGCTTATTTTCAAGAAACAAGCAAACAGACACTAACTTAGTTCTCAATCTACTGAATACATGACTATAAGGCTGTTTCCTGACACATTCAAAATAAAAACAATATGATAGAAGATTCTGTTATTTCCTCTTCTTTGAAGTAATCTAATTATTTTATCGCTAAAGTACTTTTTTTCACCAACTTAAAGGGATATTTTGGCGTAAAATTAATTTAGGGTCAAACACACCGTAACTTTAGTAACGACCGCACGATAGCGATACACAGGGGTCTGAGGATCCACACACAAACTTTAATCAAAAAGCCGCTCTATAGCCACAAATAATGCTCAGAACAGCACCTAACTTCATCAACAGTACATATAGGGTCCCAGCCACAGCACTAGCAACCAAACATCTTTTAAGCTTTGCATAATTTCTTTAGCAAAGAGACTAAACACAACTCACCTACTCTCTTCCAGCAGCCGCTTGTTTGTAGCGAGACCTCAGGCCAGTCTATTACGGACTAGAGCAGGGTGACGCAGCTCAAGGAAGAACATTTATGATCATTACTATATTATTTCCTTCAAGTAATAATCAACATGTTAATCATTTTGCACTGCAGATGTGGTAGTTCTGCCTTATCATCTCGGTCTGATTGCATTTTCTATAATTTGTTGATTATTACTTCATGGAAATGATAAAGTAATGATCATAAATGTTCTTCCTTGAGCTGCATCACCCTTCTGTAGTCCGTAACGGACTGGCCTGAAGTCTCGCTACAAACAAGCGGCTGCTGGAGGAGAGTAGGTGAGTTGTGTTTAGTCTCTTTGCTAAAGAAATCAGGCAAAGTTATGTCTGGTGGCTAGTACTATGGCCTGGACCCTACTTGTACTGTTGATGAAGTTAGGTGCTGTTCTGAGCATTATTTGTGGGTATAAAGTGGCGTTTTGGTTGAGGTTTGTGAGTGGATCCATAGACCAGTGTGTATTGCTATTGTGCGGTTGTTACTAAAGTTGGTATCACTAGAGAAGCAAGCGGTTGGCAACATTCATCTCTCGACGGGGTGTCTAACTTGGTGTTACGGTGTGTTTCACCCTTAATGAATTTTACGCCAGAATATCCCTTTAATCCCTGAAATGTCAAAATAAGAAGCCATCAGCACAGACAGTGCATGTGTGGTAAGCTAACAGCTGTTTTGACACTGGTGTCTCCTGACATCAGCATCACTAAGGTACACTGCTCATTGGCAGTAATGTGCTCTGAAACAGTGTCAGTTGCTGATCAGTATCTGTTGTTGTGATTCTGAGACAAGGCTTTTCATTTGGTCACCTGTCAGGCAGACCAGCATGACGTCAGCGGGCAACAGGTGCCGTTCCACTCGTATAATTCGTTTCACGGTCAAATGACATTTTAGGTGCGAGGACTGCCAACAGCGATTTTAATACAATGAATATCCTCGCACAGACAAAGAATTACAGAGAGATGATGAAAAAGCATCATTTATCAGAAAACAGCTATCCACTTACTGTAATTGTGAACATCCGATTCAGTATCCATCCTAATTTTCACAGTCAACAGAGAGTTTTACTGACATACAAATACAGTTTTCAAAGACAGAATCAAAACACTCTCTTATTTGTTTTCTTATTTGTTTTTCATTTATAAGTGAGAAAGTCAGTGCCACACAACCAATTGTGAGACAAAATATTTGCGAAACTAATCATTTGTGACAAATAATCTACTATGAGATTGCATGGCTGAAATGCATAGGTGGGAATAATAGGACTTGAAAGGGCATGTGATGTTGCAATGCATTGTGGGCCAAAGTCGCCATTTTGTTGGGAACTGTTTATTTACATTGCTGAGTAAGATACAGGACTAGATAAGTTTAACAGCTCAGAGGTTTTCAGGTGTTTGTTTTTTGTAATCCACCAATTTTTTTTACATGTATATATTTGGGGTCATTTTTGCCTTTATTGGTCAGGACAGAGTAGAAATGTGGGAGATAGAGAGGGAGGGGGGAGGCCAACATGGTCCCTGACATGGTGCGCGTTTTAACCCGCTAGGGTATCCCTATCAGCCATTTTATGCAAAATAACTGCAAGCTCAAACAAAAGCACAATACTGATGCTTCAACTGCAAGTTAAATGCTTAAAGTAAATGAGTGTTACCGGGATGCTGCAAGGATGATGCGGCGTTCACTGTAAGACAGGCAGAATGCATGCATTGATTGAGAGGAGCTGCTTATAAATCAAACGACCCCCCAGGTACGATTGTCTAAAAAAAAATACTCCCACACTTTGTATGAGCATGGGCATGGGCGAGATCTTTTGGGTGGAGCTTGTTTGCTGTCTACACTCCCACAGGTACCTGAGGTAGCCATTACCCAAGTATCATGTGACGCGTCAATGCAAGGTTTTTGCTTCAATGTAATTACGTAGTCGATTGTATCCACTAGGTTGACAAATCGCCCCCAGCCCTAGTTGGAGCACATGACAAGAATATTTATATTCGCCAATACCGTGAGTAACTTAAAAAGCAACATCAAATTTATCAATATTTATTGTGCTTCCCTATTTAGAGTAAAATCCTAAGCCTCACACCTAAATGAAGGATATTATGTTCATATCTTCATATATGTGTTGAAAGATATTTATAAGGATGTCTAGTTCTTAGCTTATAATTTTTTTTTTCTCTCCTTGTCCGTGTATACATGCAGCTGAGAAAATCAAATTATTGATGTGAACGTGTCCTCCTCCCCAAAACTAGGGGGCGATATGGGTCTTTTCAGCGGCGCTGTGTCCGGTTGATGCAACAACACCAGCAGGTCCATGCCAGAGGTCAGAAGTGGCTACAGCTGCTGCTGGGCATTTTCAAGCAAGGAGATGGAGCATCGTACAGCGTTGTTTTTGTCATTGGTTACTTGGTAGAGAAAATCAAATTCCAATTGCATTATCTGGGTGTCTTAATCTGAGTTCTTCGACTCCAATCGGAGTTCTTAAACTCCGATTATAGTCGGACTAAGGTGTTTACATGCACTTGAGTTGTCCAGTCTTCATCAGAGTGAGGCAATAATTTGGTTTTCTCAAGTGTCATGTAAACGTACTGAGTTACAAACGGAGATCTGGTACTGTTTATGTTTGCTAACACTTGGCAAAGATGAAAAAAAGTATCCAGTCTTCAATATATATTTATGCTTGAGCTCTTCCTGCTACAGAAAGCAAAAAAACCCAATGAAGAGGGTGCAACATCTCTACTGAATCTTGTCTAAATTGATGAAAATTTAACCTTGGATTATCACACATATACATGACTTCATGACCCACTGAAAAGCACCTACATACACCACAAAATATTTACCTGGTAATTTGAGTGCCGTAAAAAATAATCAGGACATCCTGCTAAGGCCATGGTGTTCCTCCACGGCTCCCTTTATAGGGAATGTCACCCACTGGTCTCACCAGCACCCTAAATGGGAAGAGAGGACAAAGCACAGACTGAATCAAAGGGGGACACAGATAACACATCACTGATTTGACAACATTAAGATTACAGGAAAAAAAAAACACTACAAGATTTTTAAAAGTACAAGTCAGCTAACCATTAGTGGACTAACCTTCATGGATATGAAATGGTTTCTGTTCTTAATAATATGCAACATTTTTGTGAGACTGGCATTTATTTGGTGAGCCAGGAAGACACCAGACAAAAACCCTTCACCCTTCTCTCTGCTTGAGAAAAAACAAAGCCTGCCTGTGCGTGCATGGATGAACATGTGCACACCAAATCCAATGTAAACACAGCCATTGTGTATGACACACACACACGTCGGTTCCCAAACAAAGCCTGGGGCTTAAGACTAAACAAGAAAATGTCTCCAAGCTGGCAACACACATAAGCGCTCACCACCTGCAGACTAATGGGGGAAGTAAAGGGAGAGAAGAGTGGAAGAGCCCTTTAGTTGGAAACTGTCATGGGAGTTGGCCAATTGTGTCTGTATTGTGCAGGATTATCAGCTTTGAGAGAGAGTAGCGGAAAGTCCGGCATATGTGCATGTTTCTGTTCTGAAAGAAGACACACATTGTGCAATACCTTTTCCATTTCCAGCAGTTAAACTTTGAATCTCCTGTTACTAAAAGAAATAAAGGCACTGGGTACAAACAAAGTGACTGAGTTTGACATAGTTTTACTGCTTCTGCAGTCGAACTTCAGGTTACAGAAATATTCGCAAATCATTTAATCTTCAGCCGCTGAGAATTAAAAGCATCTTTATGGAAGAATACTTTTATGGTCGATTGGGATTTCTCTCTAGTTTTATGGGTTTGGCAACAAGAAGCCATCCTCCTGCCTAAAATCACCAGGAAATCGACTATCAACTCCTGCCTGCTCACCCTATTTAATGAAAAGCAGCAATGAATCCACTTGATTTTTTTGTCTAGATTCTCTCTCCATGAATTAAAAATTTTAATATTGAGATGAAATTTATCACGATGGATTCTCCTGTATTGGTTTGAAGTACTCCCTTTAAACACCAATACTGCTTCCAACAAAGGTTGCATACACATGCATGCAGTCTCTCGCTAAATAGCTCCTCTCACTCTTTGACTCTGCTGGTTTCTCTTCACTTTCTCTCCCAGCATGTCTCCATTGTACAGGTCATTATATAACAGATATCAGATGGTTCAAACAATATCTCTTCCTCCTCCACCTCCTCCTCCTCCTCTCTTCTCCCTCTCCCTCTTTTTTTTTCACCCCACTAATTACTGTTTCCACTGGGGCTCTGCTATCTTTAGGTTGCTCTGCTGACTGAGAATCTGTGTCTAAATGTGTGTGCACAGTTGCACACTCATTGAAATGCCAGCCTTTCAGCTGCTGATAATTTTTTCTCTGACCAGTTTTTATATCTGACACATTCTTACTCGGGGATTACTCGTGTGTTTACAACAATCTAACTGCTGGCCAAAAGGGCAGGCGAGGCAGACTGTATGTGGGGCTAATAAGCCTGAAAGCAAAGCCAAAGCTCCAACTGCTTGACATTTGCTGACATTTGTGGTTCCTCCCGCAGAGAAAGGGAGTAATTCAGCTTTACTGGTCAAACAAGGGACTCCAGAAAATAAAAGAAGGGCTATGAACAACTTAATAATGCCACATGTAATTGGAAGGGGATGGGGGCACACTTCTATACCTTCTGGATACAAATGAACTCCAATGCTTACACTGAAAACAATTCAGCTTCATATCTGCACCTGTAGCTCACACACTGTTTCTCTGCCTTGCAAAAAACCCTAATGGGAAGGAAAGAAGGAAGTGTGCAGAAATTAACCTTCACTAAGTCAGTGCTAATGGAGCTTTATGACAAGGCATCACACACGCATACACACACCCACTTGGACCAATGCAGTTGTCCCTTAAGGGTGCTGTGTTCAGACAGTTGACTTGCATGGAAGGAAAATAGAGCAAGAAGTTAAGATGCATTTGTAGGGAGTGACAGAATGACAGGCTTAGTGAAGAGTTGTGTTTGTTTTATCTTCAAAAATCTCTTCCACCTTCACTCCAACACTAACAGTCATGACTGCATTGATTTAAAGTCAGGAAATAACTGGTGATCAACAACATGCTTCTTCCACAGACGCTTAACTCTAGTGCATGAAGCCAACGTCAATATCAATACGGGCAACAGAAACTACCGTTGTTGGAGAGAGGAGCTCACTCCACTGCAAAAATACACTGAAGCTGACACACATTCTCTCTCTCTCCTGTGCATCTTTTTCAATAAGCACCGGCACATTGGAAGAACATTGATGTTAAGTTAAAGCAAAATTTTCCAGTATGAGTTCCCATAGGAAGAAACAAAGTACTTACTGTAACCAAAGAGCAGCAGGCAGCTGAGAATCGACTACAGGACGCGCGACGTAGCAGCAGCAGCAGCCGGCGGCGCGTCGACTGTCCTCGTCTGGATCTCCACTCAAACTGCTTCACCCCAAAAACTCACTCCGCTGTTATGTTGTCTACACCTTGTTTCCCCCCACCCCCATCCCCCGAAATCCTGTCCTTGCACACGTACGCACGAACACACACACACACACACTCGAAATCACTTACACGTCAACGCGCACTCGCACACGTCCAAACACATGCACACACACGCTGGTCTCGACCCGTACTTTTTGACCAGCTGACACCTCTCTCTCTCTCTCTCTCTCTCTCTCTCTCTCTCTCTCTCTCTCTCTCTCTCTCTCTCTCAGGCTCACTCCTCCTTCCGCCCCGCCCTGCTCCTAGCTACACTGCAAGAAACCTCTTCAGTGTGTAAGCTCAAATGGAAAAGCACAATAAGTAATTTTGTGTTCATCCTCTAGAAGTCTTAACTTTCTGCACTCTTTTATAACTTCAAAAAACTTTGAAACAACCCAGTTCATTTTTTCAGTGTTCAGACCTGACTTTAACCCTCTAAGCTGACAGAGGCCTTCCCTCTGGGCTGAAGTGACACAGTAACTAATGTCATGCATCCATCTGGAGTCATGCAGATATACACAATGTGCTGTCTTTGTAGCCTGCGGCCTATGTCCTCCATGTCAAAAATCATAACACATTTACACCAGCACACTAAAAATACAACAACTAGACTCACTTTGCAGTGCATGGCTGAGTGCAAGAGGGAAAATACAGTATGGAGGATCAATATATCTTTGTAAGGTTCATAAAAAACTCATTTTTTTTCCTTTTACATTGCAATGAGCAATATGGCCATACACATACTTGTATAGCAAAGCAGCAGATACTGAATTTGGGCTATTAGTAGTAGTTTGAATGCACTACTGTGGAGATTAATTCAAAAATAAGGATTTAACAGGTCATTTTCATAGACTGTATATACTATGGATAGCTTGGTTCCGCCTCCCGCCAGTACATGGATTTAAAGTCAAAAAGCTCTCAGTAATTCCACGTTTTTCTCCATTTCCTGAAACCAACATTGCGCAGTAGCGTTGTACGCACTCAACCACTTGCGCAGTTGCATTGTGCGCATTCGGCGTGAGAGTCGCCGAGATGACGCTGAAACAGCGTATCCCCCAGGTGAGATACGCAATCTTCATACGCCCATAGGTGTATCAAGTGTCAATCATAGAAAACATGAACCCCCTAATAACTTTTAAAAATGGAGCTGTACAGAACAAAGAGGACTTGAACACAAACCAGTCTTATAATAACTACATGTCAACATCACAACCAGGGGGGAGAAAATTCATGTTCGGTGTAATAAATTTCTAAAGTTTGTCCACAGCCCCATAAACTTTGCTGGTGGAGATGGGATTTATGAACTTTACTGCAACCTGTCACCAGAGGGTGCTGTTCTCAGGCTGGCTTCACCCAGCAAGGAGGCAAACGCTGTCCATTCTATATACAGTCTATGGTCATTTGTCCCATTAAATAAATTTCTAATATTATAGATTTTTTTTTTTTTTTTGCACTGTTTGGATTTAATAAACAGCAGCAATGTAAAACCATTGCAAAGGTGTAGATTTCTGACTGCCCCTCAAAACTCACAAGACACTTAGATTAAATCACAAAACAGTCTAACATTTAAAGAAAATATATTGATATAATCCTTAACTGGGCAACTGGGAAAACACATTTTGTCAAACTCGTGTGTAGTATGTAGTTGCTCAGTTCTTAGTTTCATGGATTATTCCATTGTTTCTGTATGCAAGGAGTAATAATGTAGACATGAAAGCATTAAAACAGCACTTTATTGTTTTTACCATCACAGGAATAAAAGGCATTTTTCTTTCTGTCTATAATAGAGAGGTTCCATCACTTCCATAGGACACTAAATCAAGACTGTTTGCTCTTCTTGGTTCCTTAAGTGCACTATGGTTGCAAACTCTGGGACCAAATGATATTGGCATTGTCAACGTATGAAAGCAGATTTTGTTGTATTGTTGCATCCCACTGAGCATTTTTTGGTGTAAAAAAGGTCTAATAGAAGTCTCAATGTAGCCTAGATGACTGGTCTAAAATCAGGCTACCACAGGTCTAAAAATGAAAGTTATTTTAGAGTTTAGACCAAGTCCAAATCGGGGCTATCATAATTATTTTGGTCAACTCACAGTTGCTTTTTGAAATAAATAGTTATTGAATATGGGTTAAAGTGTGACGCCTACATTGCGTAAAAAAATATACAGAATCTAGACAGTAGAAATTAGGTCTAAAAAAAACTATGGACTTTGGATTATAGCAGGTGCTGATAAAAAATTGTTACCTCATCCTATAAAATGCCCCAGAAAAGCTGCAACTGTGTGACTTATAAGCTTTTGAAAACTAAACTAAAGGTGGGGGTGATGCTTTGTTTTGGTACATTTTAAGAAGTGGGTCCATGTGTGGTCTGTTTGAATAATCTTTTTTTATTAATATGGAGGAAGAATTTTCAGAAAAACTTTCGCGAGCCGGTAGAAAACCACAGATGAAAACCCTCTACCACTTCAAAGCTTCATGTCTTCTATGAAAACCAACAAACTTTACAGTCAAAGGCCCGGTCTGGTCTGATGACCGGTGAGTCCCACTGCTTTGTTTGTTTGTATTTATAGGTCATGTGTATTGGAGTTATGTAATTGACAACAGAGACAGCTTGATGCTTCCCACTGAAATGGGTCAGCCACACAAACACGTGGACACGCACAGTGTTTTGACAACACAGGAGAAGCATGGCTGTTACATAAAAATTCCTCTGACCCTTATTGGGAAACAGTTCGGCATTCCCAGATGTGGGGGAATCTGAGTCAGCCTTAGGAGGTCAGCTCAAACATGCCTAAGAGTCGCACCATGACTCAAGACATCACCACGGGATAAATTGTCTCCAGTTGTAAATACAGTGTATGGTATGTTTATGTTTGATACAGCGAAGTTAAACAGGGACATCAAAGCGGAGTCCTGTCTGAGCGTGTGTTTTGTTGTGTGAAATAATTAAAATGTCATCAATGAATGGGCCACAAGCTCATTATGTTTTGACTTTGTTGAACTGGGTCAGACTGTGTCCATTTATGTGTGTCCTCTCTTTCAGACTTTAAGCATTTGTCCATGAAATGCTTTCTGGTTGAGTTGTTGTGCCCATTTGTGTTTGTGAGTGTGTCAATGGTTGGTTGGACCTTTTGTTGAAAGTCTTCTGTTTTATATTTACGTTCACCTCATGTGCCAGCGTAGCCTGGTGTTACCTCATATTTGCTGATATGGAGGTCTGGAACTCTTGCCTCTCTAAATATTGTCCCCCAGTGTATGATAGATCGAATCATATGTTTATTTGATGACACTGGAGCATCACGTCACCATATTGGTAAACAACCAAGATGGCTGGCATCGCTGGCAGGTCCATCGAATGGTCAATGGTTGCTTTTAAACGAACCGGATGATGTATTTCCATTAAAACAAGCACAAATAACTGCACATGAAGCAGTTATCGATGCTGATTGTTACTTTTACTGTTGCTGTGCACTTTATCACCATTTCCTGCATTCATGAAGCCTCCTTAACTGTTGCCATGCAATAAAGTTGAGTTCCTTTTCAGTGAATGACAAATTCACTTGCTCTTCTAAGGAGATTCATTGTCTGGTTATGTCACGGTATGAGCAAACCTCATAACTGATCTTGCTGAATTCTCAAGTGACTTTTTGAACGAACCATCCAGCACACTCTGTAGTCCAATCTGGGGACTACTGCAACCAACCCTGCAATCTGAAAGATTGCTCATGTATAGAACTGATGTCCAACGTTTTAACCTGATATTTCTTTTCAAAATATGAGATAAGTTTTAAGATATCTTTTTTTGTGATAGAGTTATAGTTTCCTTAATATGATATGCTGTTATAGAGATTATGATAGCATAAACTTGGAAAAAAACTGAATAAAATAATGTTTTAATTACTGTACATCATTTTAAAATGATCCAATAAATGCAATAAATCAATTTTATGAAAAGTAGTGAGTGGTTCTGAAAGTGTTAATTAAGGCTGTGTAGGTTCAGGTGGAAAACTTGATCCATTAATATTACTGTTGTGGTAAAATTCCAAAACAGATCAATCTGGCCCATATATCACACAATTGTTAACAGGTTAGCCAAGATTTTTGTGAATTTAATTGACACAAATCTGCTTTTTTTCTAACCTGGTCATTTATAAATGGTAAGCACTTATTTACCAATTCTTGTTGTCTGATGCTACATAGTTGCAATCGGCAGTGTGCACCTAAACAAAAGAGGCAGCATGGAGGCCAAGGGGATGTGACAGCAGCAAGTACAGAGGAGTGTTTTGAAGACAAGATAAAAAACCTTTTCTTTAATCATCAAAATTTATAACGGGCCATTTCCACTGCACACGAGCTGTCATACCCTACCTGTCAGAAGAACTGATGACAGATAAGTTCCATTTTAGAAGTTGATGTGAAAACCTGTAGAACTAAATGGAAACCATTTTGGGACCATTGCAGCCAAGCACGGAGGGATTGTTGGAGAAACTGAGTGGAGATGATGCACACAGTGTGCTCTGTCCATAGCATAGTCATTTTTCCTGGCTATGGAACTAGTCATCCACTAGGGTCGCTTACATTTATTTAAATTGGTTACAATCAACATAATCTTCTTCAAGTGTCACCACTTCAGTTTCTTACATTCTGCATATATTCCAGTTGTTGCATGCAGCCTGAACTCTCTGGCGTGGCCCATGGAGACATTTTCCATTAAGTGTTTGAAAATTTATGTTCAAAGCAATTTGCATGCACAAAAGCATTATTTAAAGGAAGAACATACCCAGCCTTATACTTTAAACCCAAGGATAAACTTAAAACTACCTTGACAACCTCTAATCTTGATAATGGAGTCTGATTTGTATGCAAATGTATGTAAAAAGTGTTCCATAGTCATACCATTACATGTAGCTGTGCACTGTTTTAACATACAGTCTATATGTTTTATCACTTCAATCTTTACACACTCAGTTGGTCATGCAGAAAATCGACCCTCTCTCATTTCCATTCATGGTTATATCAACATAATATCCTTGGATCCATTTGCTGATTATCACACAGCAGCTAAAGACCACTTTGGTTGTTGCAAAATTGATAGCGAAAAGACAGCCAAGGAATACTAAATCAACTTTTTAGTACAGCCCTCAGCTGTTTAGATTGATGCAAACACAAGGATAAAGGA